CCATAAAACCGGAGAGCTGAAGTTCAGTATGTTAAGAATAAGCGGACCCACAGAGGAGGCAGAGATGCCAGCACAGATATGCTTTGTGTCTCTTAAACCCCAGACAAACGTAGATTTCTCTGCTATCCCTGTCTGCGAGGGAGCAAGTGGAGAAGACAAGAACAAAATCATAAATCCTGTTTATGTTTATTAATGTGTTTAGCATCTGTCTATCTGCTTCAACTAAATCCAAAGATAGCTTGTATGGTTTTCACCTGATTTGTAGTCGAATTTCTGGATAAAGCTTGTTTTATCTATTTTCTCATTTTGTGTTTGTGAATGTCTGTGCATGTGAAAACATAGCATGAATTTAAAAAGCCCCCAAAAGTATTTACAAGTGTGTAGGGTTCTTATGTGTGTGTGTGTGCACGTTCATGTGTCTGCTGATGTGTGCGAGATAGAGAGGAGAACTCAGTGTTCGGCCAAGGACAACAAGAAGTTTCTTGGACAGAGGAGCCAGTCATGAATCAGGTGTGATACCTGCAACCAGCTTCAGCCGAACGCCAAAACAAACACACTCAAAGTAGAGCTGCTCTCCAGCTTGGCTTCATTCTGTGTGGAAGTAATTACTGAGGTGCTGAAGCTGTCACTTTTCCTTTGCTGTTAAAAAAAAAAACACTTATTTTAGCCCTCTTATAGAAACAGTTTTACTGAAGTCTCTGTTTACTCAGCACATCAGTTTGGTTGATCAGACATGCTTTAAATTCGGACAACTTCCCTTCCTCTGAAAATGATTTGATTTTCTTTCGATTGAAGTCCAGTCACTGTCTGGTTCCACCTTGACGACCTAGTATCTGAAATGCGTTTTAAAAATTGTCAATTTATTTTAACTGTCTATATTACAATTCTAGCTGTTGTTTTATGTAGTCTAATGAACTTGTAAGCTTTCCAATTCAGAGGTAGCACCTTTGTAGTATTCATAGGGCGTCCTGAAATGGGACTGTCTTGTCTGTGGAGGATTTTTTGTTTGTGTTATTAAATGGTCCTGCTTCACATAGTGCCCATCTTACACACCAACATAATGCAAGCTGGCTAACTAGCTAATACAGAAAGTGAAATGTAAACTAACCTTTCCTTTTAAGGATTTTTTTACTCCATCAGAGTGCCTTTCAATCTAGGAACATACTTGACCACATGAGAGCCCACTATCTCACTGAACTGCACAATTAATCCTGAGATGGGTTGGGCCATAAAGGGTGCACCTAAGGAAAGGGTGCATATTTGTTGATACATTTAAAGAAACTTTTAAAATGGGTGTCTGGGTGTCTGTCTAACAATTCTCCCTCCGGAGGATGCAGCCCCTGAATTGGGCCCCAGCCTGAATGTTGGTGAAAAAATGTTCTGGAGTGGAATGACGATACAGTTAAAGGCTGGTGAGTAGAAATTACACACATGTCAGGTTCGAGTTTAAATTTGATTGTATCACAGTCAGAAATTATGTTTACATCAGTCTACAAACTGTAAACTCACGTCTGAGACTTTGGGAATTAGTGACGACAACATTATTTCCCACAATACATAAAACAGCCGAGAAGAGTCATGAAATAAAAGATTAAAAGTTGGGGAAGTAGCTGTAACGCCAGAAATGCTTGTAGTAATTTCTGGACAAAATCAAATATCAATAATAGACTGTTGAGCTATTTCAAAAGGAGCGTCATATGCTAAAATCTGATTCACACCATTAACACAGATTTGTTATTCTCCTGTGCTGTTAAAGATGCATCATTAGTTTTCTTCTTCCCAGAGATCACCTCAGAGATTTCTGATCTTCTTTTTCTGTTTTTTACAAATTCACGCAGCGCAGTAAATAGTGACATTCACAGTCATGTGCCACAAGTTTTTATTTAGAGTCGTGTTCATTTCAGAATACTGAATATCGTTTGCTTAATCGTCTGTCTGCAGTAACTCATTAAGTTCATTAGTCTGCACTGGACTTGTCTAGTAATGGAATTACAGTAATCTGACTCCTCAGTGTTTCATTGCACCCACTGCAGCTATGATTTAAAATTGTCAGGATTTATTTGCAACTGGAGTTGCCTCCAGATGGTGTCTGCTTCGTGAAATGTCTACGAGCAAATGTTCTGATTAATGACTGACTTAAATTTCAGTATTATCTGACAGTTATGGCTCTGGAGCTGAAGAGAGTTGCTGGGTTTATAGAGCAGGGCAACACCAGCGAGGCGTTACCCACATATGATGTGAACAGACCTGGACCAGCAGATCTACAGACCCCATCAAGGGTGGCCAAGCGGACACGGCCACTTTCCCGGAGAGGAGGGGAGTGTTGAATTTCAGTGTCATGCAGCAGTAACTCCTGTGACTGCACTCCTCACCCTGTATCCCTCGTCACCAGTATCCATTATGTCCCAATATACGCCTCACCCCCTTTCCCTCCCCCTGTGAGCTCTCGCTGCCATCATGGCTCACTGCGCTCCCAGCCCCTTTGTACTCTGGTTCACCGCAGTAAATGTCACCTGAGTTACTCCCCCTCTACTTTCCACAGACGACCATTTATTTGCCACCCTTTAAAAAACACCCCGATCACATTTCATGTTTTCTTATTTTTACTACGTGCCAGAGAGCCCTTTTCCTCTTCTTTCACTCAGTCATGTTATAACACCCACATTTTTCTGAATGCCAGAATTTGGCTCACACACTTTATTTTTGTTTTCTTGTTTTTGACTGTCAACTTTGTAAGACTCAGATATTTTCTTTGGTATTGCAATATTATAACTGTAACCTGACCGGCCAGATAGATTGTTAAACAAATAGGGCATGAAGTTTATTTCACATTCTTCTCAGCCAACATCTTATTCAAGTGTTAGGAAAGGGCAAAACCTTGACAAGCACTGGTCCAGTATGTAACTAGTTAGCTTGAGCTATATATCAGTCCAGAGACAATCAGGTTAAAAGAAATAATGCAACTGTAAAGGGATTTCACTTACCACTGATATGTGAAATGAACTTTATCAACAACAACCCTCCCAAAGTTTTAAGGACTCTGCAGAAAGCAGATTTTAACAGTTAAGATGAAACTGTCACCTCTTCAGTGTGCACTGTTTACAGGCTCGTTGTAGCCGTTACCAAACTTACAAGAAAACACAAAGCTACTGCCTCCTTCTCCTTAAATAACAGTGATTGATCCAGTCATTCAGTACGTTGTACAAATCGACAAGAATATATCATGGCACATACTTTCAGGTCATCAATATCAGGTCGTCTCCCAGCTGACCTTTCATATACCAAAACAAATGACAAAACCTGTTAGCAAGGGGCTAACAAAAGGCTAGCAAGAAGCTAACAGGATATGTTTCATGATGAAAACATTGTCAGTTTTACATCTCTGAACCGTTTTGTCTTATTTTTTAATCCTTTTCTTCATCTGTCAAGGTTACCCAGCTTCCTAGCAAAACATTCAAGTTACTCCACTTCCTGCTCAAAGCTCAGTGTGTAAACCATTGACTGTAAATACTATAGACAACTTAGCTCCGCCTTCTGCCAGTATACACATTTGAAGCCAAAAAGCTCTTGGTATTTCTACAATTTTTCATCATTTCCTGAAACCAACATTGCGCAGTAGTGTTGTACGCACTCCACCACTTGCGCAGTTGCATTGTACGCATTAGGCGGGAGAGTTGCTGAGAGTCACTGTGATGACGCTCGGCTCAAACAGCATATCTTTGTACGCCCATAGGCTGTATCAAGTGTCAATCATAGAAAACATGAACCCCTTAATAATTTTTAAAAACAGAGCTGTACAGAAAAAAAGAGGACTTGAGCACAGACCAGTCTTACAATAAATACAAGTCAACATCGCAAGCAGGGGGGAGGAAAATTTATATTCTGTGTAATAAATTTCTTAAGTTTGTCCGCAGCTCCATAAGAATGGCTGGAAGAGGCGGGATTTATGAATACAATCCGACCACTAGAGGTTTGATTTAGAACAATTTCAGTTGGGGTAATATATTTCGATATTTTTTCAAAAGTTCAATTTCAGTCAATAATTTTTTTTGTTTAATATTCCAATGAACTGATTCTCTGAAAAGGGGCAAGTGCATGAGCTTAAATCATGCATCCACGATGACAGACATGAAGCTTGGTCAGTCCACCTGCTTTTCAATATGTTTATCACTGACCAGCAAGAGAAAATGTTCATGAGGACTTAACTTAAGTTTCACTTCATATTTAAAAGGGAATTGTGTAGAAGTTTATTTAAACTCTAAATATTGACAAAATCCCACCTAAAGTTGTGTTACATGTCTTGTATATTTAAAAATAAAAAAAAGGAAAAATTTCTCAAGTGTTTAAACACGTCAGATATTTCACATTAGAGTTTGGTGTTCAGTTTGGATATGAAGCATGGCATAAAGCCGTCTGATCATTAAACACTTGTGATTCTGGATTTGGACCGAACACGATACATTCACACTTGATCCATGATGAGAGGTCCATATTCAGAAGAGGCTGTGAGAGGCCTGCTCTGACTGTGCTGACAGCATGATTAATGCCCACCTCCATTCCCACTCACACACTAACTTCTCACAGCAAGTCTAAGTGGCCTGAGGAAAGCTGAAGAAAGCTGCCTACAGGGCCAACAAGAAGTATCCAGTGTTCATGTGAAGATAAGACATGCTTACACAGGATGGCTTTGGCAAGAACTCTCAGGAGGTAAATACTGAAGAAAGTCAGATTCAAGTTGCTGGTGTTTCTACTGTGCCAAATGTTTTATCAAACTTGTGAGATACAACCCTTTACCAGGATGTTTTTGAACAGGAAACAGTTATCTGTATAATAAAGTTTACTTCTTTTTTAAATATACTTACGATCCCTTTGTCAGTCTTGATCATTTTCCCCTTTGATAGATTTCCCACGCCACAGCTTTGACTTCTCATTTTCTATCTATATCAAAAACAGTTGTGATTTTAACTTCTTGAAACAGATTTTAAAGCCATCAGTGTCACTTTATCAGTGAGTGTGTTAAAGAGAAAAGTTTATTTTACAGCGGGGTTGAATAGCGTACTTGTCAATGATAATTGTACTGCCCAGAGGGGATCCTGGTCAGTTTGACCCCAGAAGCTACATTATCAATCATTGCAGACAAAGTCAACTGACAAGTGCAACCCAAACACTAATATTTCCACAATTTTCTAAAAGACAATAAAGGCCAAAAAATACCCAAAGTAAAGCTTTAAAAGTTTCGCTAAATTATGTGGTTAAATTGGGCTTGTCTGCAGGGGTCAGTGGTCAAGCTTCAGAGTTTGCTCTCCAACTGGTTTCTCAACAAAGCCAACTAAAATCCCCTGTGAGTTATACAATTACTATTGATGATGATCTTATACAACCTCACTTCAGGAGAAAATAATCAGCTCTTAGAAGGGCATTTGTAAGTTGGCAACAAAATAGCTTCATCAAGGTAGTAAAGCTAAAAATTAAAGGTACGCAAAAAGAAAGAGTATATGTGGTTCTGAGGATCTCACAATAAAATCAACCCTTTAAATTTCTCATTAATCACCTTGATATATCATCCACAATGTTAGTTTTTAGTGAGAGCCAAGCAAAAAACCACATCTGATTAGATATACTTCAGTCATAAAATGACAGTCACCAGATATAAACACGGTCTTTAACACTTAATATCTGATCCATGCATTTGCAGTCAAAGGGAATATACTGAGCAGCTGCAGTGACGCAAAGGAGAAAACCTTTATTCACCTCAACACCTTCATTAATCTTCTGTAGGCATCTATAAAGAAGCCTGTGTGGGGAACGGGGAGGTTGTTGAATCCTATGCATGCCAGAGGCCAAATGGTAAGTCAGAGTAAGAGGAAACTCAGGCTGGCACGCCATTTCTATACCAGTCACTGCCAATACAAGCTATCAGCCACATAGACTCCACAACTGTTCAACACTGAAGAGAGCGGCCTTTAGACTGCCAAGCTAAAATGGCAAACTGAGGATCATTTAATGGAAACCATGGATTAAAACTGCACCTCCGCTTTTCGTTCTCCATTTATACATTTTATGTCATCATCAAAAATGAAATCCCATAAAGTGATTCCAAGTTTTAGCAAAAACTCCTTTTAGACACATCCAAGTTTCACACGTGAAGTTTTGAAACATGGGATGTGGGTGTTTTCCTTGTGTTTTACAACCATGCCATTAATTATGTTACAAAGTCAGCTTTTTTCCCCCTGGTATTTTTGACACAAGCTTTATGTAGTTTATGTTATATTTCATGTAGCACTCTGCACTTCATTTGTAATCCATCATAAAGGTTTGCAAAATCACTTAGAATGTCTGCTAGCCAAAAAGTACTGAAAACTTTTATTGCAACTACTGCAAATACTGTTATTAAATCAAACTGTCTCTAATAGTCTCCTGTTTCAATTAACATTTATGGTATGAGGAATTTACAACCTCGACATTGACAGTGATTCAGTATTTATCTGGTTGCTGTCACACTATTTGTATATTATGTACAATATATCTCACACAAACAGTTTATCATAGCAGGTCGTACAGTATGGCTTCCCTTTCTGCTCCTTGAAGATGCCCTGGCGCAGCGTCCGCAGACAGAAAGCACACACGAAATGCTCAGGGTGAAATTTTCGATCCAGGGCAGATATGCAGCGGCCTGTGATGGGGTTGCCGCAGCCTCCACATAGAGTGCCCTGCCGGGAATGGAAGTGCAGTGAGCAGAGGGGTCGGCCGTCCAGCTCCATGAAACAGCCATCGGTGAAGGGTTTCAGACAGTCCTGAGGAGAAGTAAAAGGAAAGAGGAAGAAAAGACAGACAGTTAGAAATGGTAACTGCTGAAAAAATACTGCAACTTTAATGTTGCATCAAAAATATTCTAAATTTGACACATATTATGAGTAAAACCAAGAGAATATGGAAATAAATTTGAAAAAAAAAAACAACATCGTAATCATAAAACCATATGGTATGTCAGGTTTTCGTCTCCTAAACATTAGTACAGGAGGGCCGCCGCAAATGTTCCTGTAGTTAACTACAGATATTTCTCTTGGACTTGGTCTGTTTGTGTCACAGCAGTTAAAACAGGGGTGTAAAACTTTATTTTAGCAATGGCCATGTTCCGTTTTTGTGTGTGTTCAGTGTGTATAAGCCAAGATACAGTGCCAGCAGGCTCAAAAATGGAATAGACCATCATAGACACGAAGAACACCTGTGTTTAGCAGGTCAAAATGTTCAAGGTAAGAAGGGTTTGTTTTCTTGGTGTCAGTGAGGACGTTTTTCCTAACTTAATTAAGCTAAAAATTTCTCACTTCTGATGGGATTTTCTTATCCAGACTACAAACCTTTGGTAATTACCAGCAAACTTCTGTTAAAAATGGCCCAGCAATCTGCAACAGAGCTCAAAAATAACCCCCTCTCCCAGTTTATCCCCATCTCTTTAGAGGTTATAGGTCACATTATTGGATATTGAAATCTTTAAACTCTTAACTCTTGACAATACCAGGTGTCAGTAAGTCAAAAAGAAAGCCACCAGAAAGACCAATATGTACAAAGCTTAATGAACGACTTCATATGTTTGTCTAGTCCAGGATGGTAAAAGAGGCTTAGATTGTGTGTGTGTTTACTGAATGTGTGACCTGCTGCCCTCTAGAGGAAGATATAGGTAAGCAAATTCATATAGGATTGTGTAGATCCTGAGTTTTCTATGATAAATTATTATGTTCATTATGATTTAGTGCAGTGAAGACTAGGTTAGGTTGTCATATTTGGATGGAGTGTATTTTGTGTAAAGTTGTCAAGCTTGATTTATCAGAGCAAATTTGAGTGGAAAGTTGTGTTTTTATGTGTCTTATGTGCAGGTTTATTAGCTGAGAAACACTTTCCTTGAAAACTAGTAAAACCCTTGCGAAGAATTTTAAATTTTTGCATAAAGAACATATAGACTTTCTGATGGCAAAGTAAAGAGCTGAAAAATTTCTCAGTGGAGGCAACACTTGAACCAAGATGCATGTTTGGGGCAAAGTTAGCTAAATCACATAGCAGACCTGACCCACCCTGTCTGTTCACTATTTGACCAGGTAGCCTGCTGGTTCTCCCTGCAGTTTCCCAGTAAGGGGGCGGAGCTGACATCAGATAAAAAGTAAAATAAAAAGATTTTAAAAAATTATTTTAAAAAAGTTTGATCTAATTATGACTTTTAAACTATTATCCAAAAACTATCCATTATACTCCACACTTTCTACTTTTATCAGACTATTCTGACTTTCTTTTTTTTTTTTTGCATTAATATGCTTTTTTATTTATATGACTTTTTCAATGTTATGATTTTTTTTGACATAAATTTCTGTAACTTTTACTTTCATTACAAAATTTCAACTTTTTAACTTATAATCTTGATTTCCACCAAAAGTTCATATTTTATCTCACAATTATGGTTCCCTGACATATAATTATGACTCACTCTCATAATAATGACTGTTTTAGCCCCAAATTTTGACTCACCGTCCCATAACTTCAATTTTTAATCTCATAATTACAACTGACTTCCTTATAACAATCACTTATTATTTGGGGTTACTGTTATTTTTCATCAAAGCTTTGTCTGCACTTTATTCTTGCAGGAATTGGGCTTTTTGTACAAGGGATGCCAAAATTGACACTGACGCGACACACCCTAGGAGCCGTCGGTATGAAAGTTGAAGTTTCCATGCTCTTAAACCATCCTCACTTTATGTTACATCAGAAAGCTGTAGCTCATGGCTGACTAAAGAGAGAGCACAGCAGCACAATGAACCATTTTCAACCAGATGCTGCATACTTAAGTAGTTTGGGAGAGAATGTAAAAGATACCCACTCTGAGGAATATGGTTTCCTTGATTTATTTGCATCACATCAACCACAACGTATTCATCAGACATAAGGTTTTCATCAACCTTGTGGTCCAAATGTTGCAAATAAAGCAAATGTGTGGGTATCTCTCTCATTTATTCCCAGGCTTGTGCGTGAGCCAGAGCTGTGTGTGTGGTCTGAGGTAGGAGACTCACCGCGCACACAAAGCACTCTGGATGCCAGGTGCCATTGGCTGCAGTCAGGTAGTTCGCCTTCACTGACTCCCCACAGCCGGAGCACTTAGGAGCAAAGAGTTGGTAGAAGTCGGTGCAACAGTACGGCTTCCCGTCCTTTTCTAAGAAACCTGGGCAGGTAAAAGACACAGGTACACCAGAAATAAATAAATAAATAAACATCTTTGAATGTTTCCTGAAGGTCTAGCATAGAGAAATTCACGCGAAAGCCTCTCACCGTCAGGTCCAAACAGGCCTCCACAGTGTGTGCAGAAGAAATGCTCTGGGTGCCAGGTCTGATCCAGAGCTGTCAGAATGTTCTGTTGAACACGCCGACATAGAAATATGACAAAGTGATATTTACAACAGTTAGAATAATCTGACTCATTTTAATGTTCAGATCTCAGGATGGAGGAAACAAGGGAAAACCTCTATTGAGTGACTCATAGTGGAAGATTCTGATAAATTACTTTGGTCTGCAGGATTAGTCTGCAAAATCCCATAATGGTTTTTGCTTAACTTATTATGTGACATGATGGATAAGTCGAGAAAAATTATCTGTATACTTCTGTATGTCATTATCCAGTCATCGGTGGATTATTGAGCTCTTATTTATTGGATTCATGGCATGGGGGGGGGGGGGATAAATGACAGTAGAAATCTTAAACAAATAGGCAAGCATGGCATTTAAAGGGTATGATAGAGTATGATGGGTAAGAAAATGTAAAAGTACAATTTACAGAAAAGAAATTCTCACCTGCATAATGGGCCCCTTACAGTAGGCACATCGAGGAGAAAAGAGCTGATGGTAGTCTTTGTTACAGTACGGTTGTCCATCTCTTTCAAAGAAGCCTGTGGTACCGAGCTCCACCTTACATGCCACACACACAAAGTGTTCAGGGTGCCACACTTCACCCAGCGCAGTGATCATCTACAGAAAAAACAAAGCCATGTAAGGAGAACAGGAGGAGCTTATCATTGTGTTTGACATCCTTTGTTTAGTTGCCGCCTCAGATCTGCACTGGAGATATTGATTTCACAACTTGCCTATTTGTGACTGTAACTTACTGTACCTTTCCCACAATGCATTTTTTGCAGGAAGCACAGTGACCCTTCGCTGTAGTGCGTACACCGATCTTCTCCAGATCAGAGCTCAGTCCTCCCAGCAGGTCGTCTATAGAATCTGGTTTCTCACTTGAGGTTGAGGGTTTTGCTTCTGAACCTGCTGTGCTGCTGCTCTCCTTGCTCTCCTGTTGACCCTCTCCTGTTTTCTTTTTCAGGGATTGCTTTTGTGTGAGAGGTGGTGGAGGTGTAGCATAGTCTGGATCCTAAAATGAGGATTTAAGTTAACTCACATGCTTTTAAAAGACAGTGTTGAACAATGCCCATACAATGCAACTTCAGCACTTGTAGCTGTTTTGACAATACTGCCCTCTGTTGTTGAGCCTGGATAATGCACTCACCCTCAAAACAAATACTGAAAACAAAATTCAGTTTGGCCATTTATATTCTATTGTATGTCCAAATACACACACACATTTAAAAAAAATTAAAACGTTTGATTGTTACTTGGTATACTTAGACACTGCAGGCCCTGTACTGACCCCTTCTCCAAGACTCATCAGATCCTGCAGGATTGAGTCCAGCTCCAGAGTGGGTGAGGGTGAGGAAGCTGCCACAGGAGCAGGCAGATCACTAAAACCCAGAAGAAGAAGAAGAAAAAAAAACATTTGACAGCATATTATCTCAGCTTCTTAATAATCTTCATATGGCACCAGGTAACAGGTGATAATAGATTTTTGACATAATCCCAGAGAGGCAGGAGTTACTGTAATCTTTCCAGGTTAGCATGATTGATAATTGATTTTGAAAATAGATCTTTATTGAAGAAATAAACTGGATGATTTTCTCGCAAGGGTTATTTCTGACTGAAAAATTACTCCTAGGTTTTTTCAGTAAGAGTGATGTTGAGAACGGTACACCAAAGGCATTATCAATCTGTAGCAAGTGTTAGTTGAGGTAACTGAAGAGTATGATTTCAAACTTTTAGTGTCATTGGAAAACTTCAAGCCATCCAGTCTTAAAAAACAGTTTTTAAGATGGTTTAAAACAGCAGCTATAGCTTCTTTGGTCACCAGATCTCAGGAGTATATATATGTATGAGTGCTATTTTCATAAAATTGAGTAGACACACTCTGATGCTTAATGTGGTTGCAAAGTGAGGGTGTACAGAAAGAGAATAAAAGTGGGCCTAAAATTAAGCCTTGCAGTTTACCACAGGCAATGGGGTTCTTGTTAAAATTAAGAAAGATAAAAGTGAAAGTTTTATATTTGTAAAACACATTGAATGTTTTTTTTCTTTTTCGGCACCACTGCATAAATGGCCACACTGATATTGTCAATAAGGGGTTAATAGAGATTGTAAGCCGAGTTTTCACCTGTAGACATTTGCGCAGACCGGGCCTTTTTCTCTCCTTAAAAGTCCAGAATAACCTGCACCTGTCACCTGTGGACATGTTGAAAAAAATAACATCCCAGATTCAAAAGCTTATGTTATAATGGCAAGACTGTGAGTCATTCTGGTATTTTGATATGTTAAAAAGCATTCTCGAGTATCTAAGTGCAGATTTCACGTTTAATCTGTTTGTTTTAGAGTAAATTACAGCTTCAACACAGACAGCTGATGACAAAAACTGATTGTATATTTGCAGCTTTTCTGACTTGATCTTTACCTCTCCAGCAGTTGGATTATTGCCCCTGTTTTCTTCGACAATCTCTGTAAGCTCTGAATTTAAGGCCAGCTCCTCCAAAAGCAAATCTGCAGGAGGACATAAGCTTTAAATGTTAACCCCACACATATACACTTGAATACATGTGCAGACAAGCATAAATCTACATGACCATTAAAACACATGCACTTAATGTATGTTTACAGTTAAACCAGAGGGTTTCCTGCTCTGTGAGATAGAGTTCACACCAATCTACAGATCAAAATGCTACTAGATCAGTTGGAGGTTGCTTCATATCTCAATTTCCTCAGGAAGTGGTTGGTGACGTGCTGCAGAAGTGAAACTTCTGCAGAATACAGTTGCTAGAAACTTGTGACTGATATTAAATAAGAATTCAACTCATCCCACACAGTGTGTTACATCATGTAACATCTAAAAACTAGGAATATGTCTATTTAAGGTCTTGAGAAGAAGACCCGTAAAAAAGGATATATGTTCAGACTTATTGCACAGTCTTAACAAGGCAGACATGTCAACACATCAATTTTTTTTCATCTTAGTGAAAATAAATCATGTTCTTGCTGGACATATAAGTTGTATGTTTTTTCATGATTGTTGAGGCTTAGTCTTATCCTTGGAAAAATGTTTTATTATCATCATTGAAAAATTCCATAGACACCCTCATTGTACATTCACCATTACATGACTGTTTAGTTTACAAAAAAGAGAGAAGGATTTAGATTCATAGCAGAAAACAAAACAGTTAAGCAAAAGTACATGTACACTTAACCAGGTGTGACACATAATAAAAACCATTAAGCAGTCAACAATCACTAGATTTTGATCACAGGTGTAAAGTGAGACAGTTTTCTTACCGAGCTCTTCCATGTTGTCTTTCGCTGTCACTCCTTATGTGTTGATCCGTGCGTCTTCTTGTGTAGCACGTAAGTTACTAACGTGACCAGCCCGTTTTTTTTTTTCTTTAGTCAAAACCGTCACTTCCTCTGACAAAGGTTTCTTTCCATTTTTCACAGAAGCAAAGTCACATTTTGCTGCTTCCTTGTGAAGAGGAAACCATGAACACTCTGATCTGATATGCAAAGGAAGACAACAGCTGACTCCTCTGCACAGTTCTTAGCTGTGTTTGCTTCTGATTGGATATGGGACAATATGATTGTGATTTTGCTTTTTCATGTATATCCTGTAGCCTATATATTTGTGTATATTCTTGTGTTTGGATATTTACTGTTATGTAAAGGAAGTCACTATCTCAAATTATGCAAAGTTTTTAATTATGTGTGTGAAACAAAATGGTACTTAAAACTTATGTAAAAACAATGCATTGGCAAAATAGTGATTATAGCAGGTTAAAAATAATAATATAATACAAGAGGGGAAATGATTGGGTAAGACAGTCCGTCCTAAATCTTATGTTAAAGGTAAATATCAACTAATTGTTGTTGCCTTTATCACATTATACCCAAGTTTTAGGTATTGAAAACGCACACAGAGAAGAATTAAACAATTCGGAAATTGAACAATCTTCTCTCACCACATGAAAATATTTGGTCTAAAAAGTATTTTTGTCTTAACAGCTGGACAAAGAGGGGAGAAAACTGAGCTGTCTTTTTGAAACCTCAAAGTAACTCCTCTCTACATTGTCCTTTAAATGGAGTGTCTCAGTTTGGTGTTGGAGATTATGTTTTATCTCATGTTTTACTTTTGTTCTGGTTATATTTCTAAAGAAAATTAAAAGCCACTTTTGTCTTATAGAGTCTTTTGTTTGGCACTTTTGCTGTTTATTTATTTTTTTATAAAATGTGAGTTCAGACCACTTCCAAATTTCACTCTGAATTTTTAATGTTACATTTAGAGATTAACGTCACACTAAATGTCAGAGTAAATAGCTGTTTAACAAGGTGGATGAAAAAGAACTGTATAGCTGAGATTAAAAATTTAAAAATTAAATTAAATTTCAGGCTATGACACTGAAAAAATCATGGCAATATTATGTCTGCCGTATTCATTGTGTCCACACTTTGGCTGGGTTGTGAACAAACCCTGTGGATTGCATAAATTCATCAGTTTATTTAATAAAACCAGTGTTATACTGAAGCGGAATTACACTAAATGTTACTTTCATCAGTGGTTCTCAACTGGTCTCACTCTTGCGCCCACATTTTCCTATGGTCCTTAAGTTGCAACCCACTTTTATAAAATTAAAACCGAGCAAATTCATTTTTTATAAAAAAAAAAACCAAAACTTAAGACTCAAACCTTTAACATAAATACATCTATCTTATTGAGTAAAGTGCATTTCAAAGCATATGAACTGAGGAGGACAATTACTGAAGTTGCATCTACAGAAAATATCAAATATCAAATTGTACAAAATGGAGACCAAAAAAAGAAAAAATATTTTTACTGCATTCAGGCCACATGAATAAGAAACCAAGGAGCACCATGAGATAACGCGTGCCTTTCAAAAGAAGCTATTTTTCCAAAATAAAAGACATGTCAAACATCAGATGCTCATTAAATTTTTACTTTTTTGACCAGCTGTTTGCAACCCATCCAGAACGTGCCCGCGACCCACCAGTTGAGAACCACTGATCTATAATGAAACGATAAAGCGTGGTATAACCTCTATTAGCCATAGTAATTCAATTACAGGGTGTCTAAGTTTGTCCAACAACATGACGGCAGTGAACACATAAAAACAATAACTTGTCATAACCAAAAGAAACAAAACTTCTGAAATAAAGATTCAGCCCAATATTTTCATACAGGATGCCTCATGGTTACCACCACTCCCCGTCAGACTTCTCCACCTGCGTTATCTCGCACCACTTCGGTTGCAACCAACAGCTTGAAGAGGAGGGGGATTTGTGGTTTGCATTAGTTTAAAACTTGTACTTACTGAGATTAATTCAAACCTCCCACAAACAGATGATGATAAATTATCACATTACCATCGGACATGAGAGGTAAAAATAGCTCCAGAGGCTTCTTGTGAGACTTAAATGTCACGTCTCCTCTCGCTCTGTGGTTTCGTCCATAACCGGAAGAGTCTGTGTTTACAGCGCAGCTTTCGCTACACGTTAGCATTGCTGATTCGTCTAGAGTTGACTGGGGATTTATTCCGTGCTTTTTTCTAAACATCATTGACATTTTTGTATCAATCGCTGAATTTTGAGCGACATTACAGTTAATATGGTTGTTTTGGGACAGAGGTGTCACCAACAACGATAGCGATGACATGCTGGCTAACGTAGCGCTTTAGGTTGGCCAGTAAGGCAACTATCAACATTAGCTAGCCAAGTACTTACACAGCAGCAGCTTATCCACGACAGTCAAACAGGTAACTGTGTGCTTACTTCGCCATTTACAGCGAGTTTCTATCTGCATGTCAAACCACTGACAGCCTTGCATTTTCTCTGGGCTTGCATGATTGACGTCCCTCTGCCGTCTACATTGCCCCCCAGGTTGAGCAACAAGCGCGGCCATGGGTGCGGAGAGCAGCGCGGTGCGGGGCTGCACCCTGGAGGAGCCGCTCCTGACCCTGCCCTCAGGACTCACTATGTACTCGGCGATGCTTCAGGATAGAAAGCCCGCTTCCGTGTTTGTTCACAAGAGGGGAAATGAAGACAAAGTCAACAAAGCAGCAAAGGTGGTTATCCCAAGATATACTAGCTGTACTTTTGTCCCAACAGTATTAGTAGTTGTTGTTATGCCTGTAGTAACCATAGTAGTTACTGCTGAGTGTGTTCCACTCTAGAGAGCTTCATCCTCTTAGCACAAAGTTTGTTTGGTCATTAAGATCCAATAATAAAGTAATTTGCCTCATAAATGGGGATACACAATATTATAGGCACCATATCAGCAGATATGAAAATGTCAGATGTAGGGCTGGGTGATAGAACGATAACGATGTATATCGAAAACTAATTTCTCTGGATAGTGATATAAAACATTGTCAAAATGCCTTTTGATAGTCAGTATTCTGCCATGTTTTGGTAGATTATACAAAAAGGGGAGCTGTTCTGGCTCTGTTTTGCGCTGAACCAAGCATGTGCTGAATTAAAACCAAGACGCAAACAACTTCGTAGTAGCAGGCTGCAGCTACATGCAACTATAGCACTTTAAAGGTCCTTTCACACCGGGACAGTTTTTGTTGTGCGATTATTTCGGATGTCACTATTTTTATTGAACCTGCGATATTGCCGCATTTATTTATTTATATTTTTTCGGATCATGGTCGATTTTTTTCAAGTTTCGCATCCACCTCTGACGAATCAGATTGCGTGTTGTTGTGATGTCTGATTTACCGGTATATCCAACATGGCCGACCGGCTGATTGTTTATGTGTCTTAGAACAGAGTGCTTTTTGATAAAAGACAGAAATATTACAAAGATAAAGACTTGAAGGACAACTTGTGGAAAGTCATACCGTTGGATCTCTCATATGACGATGGTTTGTGTGCTTTAACAGTTTGCAGCTGAAAATAGCCGACCATTCCGCTTTCTCTAGCGCATCGCCTTACGACAAAACATCGAAGAGACATAAAGACCTCACAGAGGCAGTAGCTTATTGTATTGCAGAAGACATGCTACCAATAAACACAGTTAAGTTTCATTTAAGAGTAACAGGGAACATTTAAGATTTACAAGTGATTTCTTTTATATCGTGATATATATCAATATCGACTGATATGAAAAAAATATATATCGTGATAAACTTTTTCCCATAACACCCAGCCCTTGTCAGACGATATAAACAGCTAAAAATATTTCTTAAACAACAGCAGTCACATAACTGAATGTCTATGTATGGAATAGAAGATATCTAGGATTTATGCTACAATCAAAATCATGGGGAAAAAAATAAATACTTTCATTTCCTGCAGCATCTCAAAACCCTGAGGCACCCATGCCTGCTGCGTTTCCTTTCCTGCTCGGTGCAGGATGGTGGTATCCACCTGGTGACAGAGCGTGTGCAGCCCCTGGAGCTGCTGCTGGACAATTTGTCCCCTGAAGAAATCTGTGCAGGCATCTATGACCTCCTGCAGGCACTTGTGTTTCTACATGAGAGGGTGAGCATTAAAGACGCAGTAAATAGTTTGTGGGGTTGCAAGTGATCTCCACATAAATATTTTAATGTTCGCTCTAAGGCATGCCTCACAGCCACTCTGGAACATTGCATTTATTTCTCTCTTTCTCTTTTTCTCTCTACCCCCAGGGTAAATCAAGCCACAACAATGTGTGCATTTCATCTGTTTTTGTCAGCGAAGATGGTCATTGGAAATTAGGAGGGATGGAAACTGTGTGCAAGTTCTCTGAAGCAACACCTGAGGTAAATGATGGAGTTTAATGACGTCTCTGTGTGTTATTTATCTCCTGGCTTCATTTAATGGAAAAGTGCTTTTGTGAGACATTTCTAGACCCAAGCTTTTTATCATCTTTTAAAATTTGATTTTCAAAAACATTCAACTCCTCAGTTTCTAGCAAGCATGAAGAATGTGAGAGAGGCCAGCTGCATTCCTCCAGAAGAGCAGGTACGTGGATTAGAGGTCACAAATCAAAAAGAAAAACACGACTCCCTTTATTGTCCAAAAGTTCTCACTAAAACCTATTGTTGTTAGGTTGAAGACTTAAAAATGCTTCAGGATAAAAACCCTCACTCTCGGGACTGTTACTCATTTGGAGTGATGGTGGAAGGCCTTCTCTCCCTGCTGGATGGTTACGGTGAGAAAAGAGACAGTCTGTTATATTTTGTAGCTTATAGAGGATGCCCATGACCATAAATTTTTAGATTACATTTGTAAATGCAGGTCCTGACACTTTCCTCTATTGTTTCCAGTATCACAGGAGCTGTCTGACAGTCTGAGGAAAACCCTGCAAGTAGGCCCACTGAACTCTGACCCCTCATCTCGACCTCCGCTCAGCTCCTTGCTCACTCATGACTTTTTTAGGTATGTTAAGTTTTATTTGCTTGGAGGATGTTTACAGTGTTTACCAAAGATTTGTTTTTAAATAAACATTTTTGTCGATTGTGTGAAACAGAAATGACTTTTTGGAAGTGATGAACTTTTTGAAGAGCCTCACCTTGAAGACGGAGGAAGAAAAAAACGAATTCTTTAAGTAAGAAACTGTAATGTGTGTGTTTCAATGTTTTTATACAGGGGGTTAAAAAATTACTGCTATTAGGGATTTACTTCACATTCTGTACACAATATGCTCATTGTGTATTTTATTTTCTGCAGGTTTCTTCTAGACCGGGTTCAGAATCTCCCTGAGGAGCTAATAGCAGCACGCCTTGTTCCCAAACTCCTCCACTCTCTTGTTTTCGCTGAACCGATGGCTGTCAAAAGCTTCCTGCCTCATCTTTTAAGGCCAAAGAAGGGTGGGATGGCATTAAAGTGAACTCATTCTCTCTTGCTGCTAATAATAACTCTGATCTTAAATCTCCTATCAAAGAGAAAGAAGCTGTCGGACTCAACATTTGTGCACAACTTTGAATAGTTTGTTGCTCATGCTTATCTTCATTTGTCTTTGTGGGCAGATTCCACTGTTGGTGGAGGTAGTGTTGAAGAATGCCTGCTGTCTGTGTCGCTTTACCGGAAACATGTGATTCCTCAGCTACTCAAGCTTTTTAAGGTCAATGAAGAACATATACGGATCGTGTTGCTGGCTCACATCCATATCTACGCTGAGTTCTTTTCCCACGATGAACTCAAAAACCAGATCCTACCTCAGGTTGGGTGTTGACAGAAGATTTTTCATCTCCACTGTCACTCATAAACTTTACTGTGCAGTTCTTGCTAAGTTTCCCTTCTTTTTGTTTTTTTTTTTGGCTGCAGGTTTTGCTAGGAATGAGAGACACCAATGACTCCCTGGTTGCCATGACGCTGCAGAGTCTGGCAGTGTTGGTGCCCCTGCTGGGGGCTCAAGTGGTTGTGGGTGGAGAGAGAAGCAAGGTCTTTAAACGCACCACGCCCAACTTTACCAGGTCTACAGAGGTCACTCCAGAGAGTAAGTTACATTGACTACAAATGTCAATAGAACCATGAAAGCTGCTCTTTGGTAAATATTGTATATTTGGAGATAAACACAACCGCTTATCAAAACATTCAAATGTAATGTAGCATTACACATCTAGATGTCTACTGCATAAATTCTGCTTGAAGTCTTTGATTCCTGCTATGATAAGATATTCAGGGAAATACCGAAGGTGTCAACAAAAGAGGTAGTAATGTTTTTTGGAAGAGTCATACTCAGCCCCAAGCCCCTCCTTTTCTAGGTCTGTGTTACAAAACAAAACTGTCATAAAACCATGTCATTAAGTTTGAATCACCAAGTATGTGAAATGAGGCATCAAAGTCGTGACAGAATGAGCTGTAATCTCTGTTCTTTGACAGCAAGGGTACATTAGCTTGATGTGTGAAAGCCGTCCCCACCCACCACTCCTAAATGTCAGTCAAGTCCACATACAGTATGGTCTGAAATATATGGACTTGTTGACCCTGGACTGATTCCCAGTCAATTTTGAGGAGTGTTTGGACATTCAAGTAATTTATGTTGTGTATTCTTTGTTTCCCTGCTTGCACACTAAAATGACCTGCCAGACACACTCAAATGCATCACAGAGAAACAGACTGATTTCAACATATCGAGGTTTTTTGATCAGGTATTTGTCATGCCGCTCCAGCACTCTGAGCACATTGCCTAGTAGCATAACAGGAACCTGTTAGGCCAGTAATAGCAAAGATACACCTGCTACAATTACTCCAATTCAAACATAAGCTCTCCTTTTATACTGTAAAGATCAGAGTTAAATTAAGGAGGCTCCAGTGCTTCATGAAGTATGTCTTTGAAACCCACCCAAGAAATCCTCCGCATGAAAATTCAGAAAATCTGTTAAACTGTGTAACTTCAAGATGCAACAAATACAATCAATTTAGAAACAATTCTCCATATTCACTTTTCACTTTCTTTAAGTTAATTTTAAATATGCATATGTACCAGATAAGAGACATTAATACAGCTATGATAGTTTGACTAGCAGAGATTCCTGCAAAAGTATTTTGAGATAGGCTCAAGGTTATGGCTCAGACAAGGCAACAAACAGGTTTTTTAAGTGAACATGTTTCAACCAGAAGATCTGGATATGGATATTTGAGCGTCACTTCTGGAATCCCTCATTTACATACGTATAAGCACCAAGTGTGAGAAATACCAGTCAATAAACAGATGAGTGTGGGTAAATTATTGGTAAGACAAACATTGTTTAAGAATATCGTTTGTTTATCATTTTTCTGTACCTTTTCTTTCTTAAAGCGTCTCCTGTCCACATCGTTGGAAGCTCCCACCCTCAGATGGCTCAGCCTTCAAAGGGCTTAAATCTATTTCCCAAGCAGCCAGGGAGTGAAGGCCTGGTCCTAGGTCACATGGGAAGCCTAGCCAGTGGTAGAGAGACTCCGAAAAGTTACCCCCCTGCTGCAAAATCAGGTATGACCATCAATACTTATTAATTTTAATAGATTTAAAACTGACATTGCTGTGTCTCCAACTATGTCCATTCTTTGTTACTTTGCAGATGTGAGTAGACAGATGTCTCTACCTTTGAATGGTTTTCATCAGGTCAAAGAGACAGAGCCACTGTCATACAGCCCAGAGAAGGCTGACAGACTAGAACGCTCAGCTGAAGACTGGCCTGACTGGAGCGACCCGGAGGAGGGTGAGAACAGAGACGGGCAGCCAGTCCAAATCCACATTCAGGCCTCAGAAAGAGAAGATCCAGTCGGCAGAGGGCTGTCTCTCTCAAACCCTAACATGGAAGAGGAGCCGTGGGACGACTTTGAGGACCCTGAACTTACCTCGGATCTATCCCCCACAGCTCCTACATCAGATTTGACCCCCATAGCTCCTTTATCAGAGCCAGTTATTCTGACACCGTCCAGAGAGAGCTCTGCTACACCTGTGACACACGCACCTGAAGCACTGAGACTGAGTTCTTCTAAACCCCTCAAACTGACCTCAACACTGAGACAATCCACACAGAGCATGACCACTTCCTCATGGGACGGTGGCTGGGTTCAAGAAGAAAGAAACTCACACAAACCTTTAAACCCCAAGTCTAAACATACCGCACCACTAAAGAACGACGGGATAGGAGGCCTGGGGGAGGAGTTTACTATTACAGTGAAGAAGAAAGTAGAGCAAGACCCAGAGCTGGATTTGTTCGCAGATATGGTGCCAGACATCAAACTGTCCTCATCAGCTCTGCTGCCTCTGGAACAGACACTAGAAAGCGTCAGTGGTGCGGGACTCTCCGCAGCTTCGTCAGAAAACACGAAATCTGTGGAGTTTGATCCATCTATAGATACTGTAACACTCACTGCCAAGTTTGCAGCTGCCAACCCGACTGAGGTGAGAGTTCCTGGTTCTTATTTTTCTCTATGACTGGCATTAAGAAGAAGCTGTGCAATACAACCAGAAGTAGTTTAAAGCATGTTTTGTAAAATTTAAAAAAGCATATTTTTAAACAACAGTAAGCAGGAGTGCTCGCAAATCTATGTCCACAAATAAAAATGAAAGTTTCTACTGATGGGGTTTTCTTTGCTTTTAAAATCCTCTTTTAGTTCTGATAATTGTTCTGTGTATTTTTCTCTAACAGGGTGAGGCAGATGGCTGGGGAGATGGAGATGACCTCAACTGGGAGGATGAGAATGCCTGGTGATGATGTTTAATACATCTCATTTATCTGAAGTAAATGACCACTTATAGACTCAAACTCTCAAGTTTCACCATCTCTGGAAACAACCATTTGAAATGGGACTGTTCTAATGTAACAGCATAATGCAGTAAAATCATGATGGACTTGAAGCTAATATCCTATGCTGTTCACCCTTGGACATTAATCACCGGTCTGTTCATTTAGAGAACTTAATTTTAACTGGAAGGATCAGAAGCAACTGGATACTGGTACTGGATTTAGACAAATGAAGATCTGACGAGAGGAGAACATTATCCTGTTTTCATCTGATTCTTTTTTCTTTTTTTTGTTTGTTTTTGTTTTTTTTAATGTGCCAAATTTATGGAAGGCATGAAGCTCAACATACACCTTTTGGCAAGAGACAACTTGTCCATCATGTGTCCAGGTTGATTGACAGAAAGCTTGCACTTTGAATGAATGTGAAATAGGATTATCCTTTATAATTTATTAGTAGCTTTTTGGTTGCTGGTGAAAGTAAAGATTTTACTGTATCAAACTCGACCCTGCTGTTTTGTAAAAACTCTGATTAAATACAAGTTTCTTCCAACACTGATTATCAGACAGGATTTTATCCAATGAGGGCGCACACATAGACTGTATATACTATGGACAACTTGGTTCTGCCTTCCACCAGTATACAATGATGAAGCTGAAAAGCTCTCGGTATTTCCAGGTTTTTTTCTCCACTCCCTGAAACCAACATTGCACTGTAGCGTATCCCCCCGGGTGAGCTACGCAACTTTTGTACCCCCATAGGCGGTATCAAGTGTCAATCACAGAAAACATGAATCCCGAATAACTTAAAAACGGAGCTTCACAGAAAAACAGAGGACTTGAGCACAAACCAGTCTTACATGTCTACATGTCAACATCGCAACCAAGGGGGAGAAAAAATTATATTCTGTGTAATAAATTTCTAAAGTTTGTCCACAGCTCCATAGAGATTGCTGGAGGAGGCGAGATTTATGACCTATACTGCAGCCCGTCACCAGAGGGTGCTGTTCTCAGTGTGGTTTCACCCAGCAAGGAGGCAGAAGACGTCCATTCTATATACAGTCTCTGGGCTCACAGAATAAATCTGTCTTCAAGCACAAATTAGTTAGCTTGATGGGTAAAGACCTCGGTTTCACTTCTAAATAAAGACAAGAGATTATATTTTAACAAATTTAATAAACAATAACAATCATGACTGACCACAGATAAAAAAGTTTGAACAGCAGCAAACAAGAAAAAAGACTTTCACACCCTTGAATAGATGTAAAACATTAGTGTAAAGTAAAAAACCTTGAGCCACAAAAAGAAGTTTGGCAGCTAGCTCGGCTCTGTGGATGTTCTGAAGCTGGTAATGAGGGTCTGCAGCTCCTGCAGTCGAGACTCCAGCCATTGTGGAGGTGGTGCAGCACTATTTGCCTTACCCTCAATGAGAGCCTGAAGAGCTTTCAAAGCACTCTCAGCTGTCTGGATGTAGCGGCTGTACTCTTCCTCCGCACTGGTCTCCTGCCGAGCTCTCTTTGGACACGGCTGAGAAGAAGGAAAATGACATCTGTTGGTTAAACTTTTAATCAAAACAATATGTCTGAGTGGGGGGACACTGGCTTGTAGAAATATAGTTTTGACTTGCTGAGAAGGAAATGATGTAAAAACTACTATTTTGTTAAATAAATATACTTTTTTACAGAGCTTTTGTTATTGCTAAGTAAAGTACAGAGTAACTGACTATAGATCTGATAAATATTGTGATTTTTTTTTAACTTTAAATTCCTCATCAGTTTATTTCTTGCCTAATATGTTTTGCACTATCACATATTTTATATATTTTTTTAATCAACATAGCTGTAATATATGTGGCACACATGTACACTAGGGGGTAGTGTTGTACCGCCCTGCTGCCATTCAGGCTTTTTGAAGATGCATGCTCATGCAGTGTTGCTTCACACAGTAATATCTAACAGCTTTAGTTTGACTTCATACTCACTTCTGGATCCACAACAGCTTGAGTAACTTCTTTGTTACACGAGTTTTCTTCCTTGTTGTTCTCCAGCCTCTCATTGTGTTGCTCAATAACAGCAGTCTGCAGCTTCAGCCTCTGCAGCCGTGACTCCACATCTTCTTGTGCATTCACAGTCTGCAACAAAACACAGGCTTTCGTCTCCTGGGTTTATCAAAGACTGGTTATCATCACAGTATGTTGGTAACCCTTACCTTGCTCAGGTAGTTGACAACCTTTGTCTTCGTCTTTTCTTCACACAAACTCTGGGAAATTACCTCTTCATGGCTTGTAACCTTGGATACCAAAAAGAAGAGGTTAGATTTTATGAAGGTTTGGACTACTGGATACTGCTGAGTATATGATCTGCAAGTAATTTGTACTTGTAGTACCTCTGCAAAGTGAGAAAAGGCCTCCAGGGCGTGCTGATGTAGCAGCCAGGATTTGTCGGACAACAGGACTCCAAACAGGCCACTCAGCCTTGGCAGAATTTGATTCTGTGGAGACAACAGTAGGTCAGAGTGATAAAACGTCAACACAGAACAAATGTGTCGTCCTCAGTGTCCCTGTTGTTCCTTTTTTCCGTTTCATATTTCTCTTATCTGCCCTGCAAATGATATTAATTATATTTTCCATAAACAAGACGACAATTCCCAGTCCAAACACATTCCACCTCCAGGGAAAACCAGGGGGGAAAAAATTGGTATCAACTATATGAGGTGTAAAAATCTACAGTAATTTAGTTTTTGAAAACAAAGGAAGCATCTGTGATTATTTTTTTATTGCTTTTTTTTCGATTGTTTTTGTGGGGCTTCAAAGATAACAGATGTAGAAAAATTCTCCACGGGCGACCATCAGTTAGATAAAAGAGAAGATTCTCATATATGACAGTTTACCTGACTGTCAGGAGGAAAAAAGACCTTTCCCAGGGAGGAGAGAAACTCCAGAGCAGCCAACTGCAGCTGATCTGCACACTTCTGAGACACCACCATCTCTACACATGACAGAGCCTGGAAAACACACACACACATAGATGTCAAATACAGTCTTCTCATGTCTCAATCTGACTGATCTGCATACAACAGTGTACCTGGAGGATGACTTGATGTTCGAGGTTTTTCACTAAAGCAGCCGATAATGAAAGGAGTAGGCGTAGAGTACACTGGAGCACAGGGTGGGTCTTCACCTGAAAGGGTTAAAGTCTTGTGTGTTTAATACATCTGATTATCCTTCTTTGTAAGCATGTGTGAGTGTGTATTTAGATCTCACCTGTTCTGGACTCATTCGTGACCAGAGCTGAGTGATTATCTGTAGCGTGGACAAAACACACTGCTCTCCAGGAGATGACTGCCCTCCAACCACCGCCGAGAGGGACGCGAGTGCCATGTTCTGGGCATACGAGAGACTTGTTTTTAAAACAACAGCTTGGTGTGTTTGTAAATGTTTTTCTCGTCCTGCTTCCTTACATTGTAATTTCTTTCCCTGTTTTTAATCAATCGGGCACATTTGGGTGTGATAGAAGACAGATCAAGAGATGCAAACACTCTGACAGAGAATAGTTGTTTGCAAAGACTAATGATGTTGACTAAGAAGAGGGATCATTCCATAAAAAAAGGACTTCCTAAAATGTGTCGCATTCAAAGACTAAACTAAATTTTAAAAACAGTACAATAAAACACACTCACTCTGATGACTCATTTCTTAATCATAAACATTTTTTAAATCTATTTTCTTAAACCAGTTGTAAAATAAATAAAATGTGACTTTTGTACACGCAAATCACATCCATCATTGTCAGAAGCTGGAGAAACAAGGGTTTTGCTGTCAACACTTCAAACCCCTGAAGAACCCTCAAAGTAAGGTCAAGCCCAGGAGAAACCGGCCTCACCCTCAGTACTGTTGATAAAAGATTTGGCTCAAAAAACACAGCAAGGGAGAGAGAGTGAGCACTTGTAACAACAAACTTATCCGTGCCATTTAAATCTAACCCTGGGAACAAGGTTATCTACTTTTCATATCACTTGTTGTGACATTTATCAACTGGATGCGTTCACAGGGCCACAAACTACGCAGATGCTTTTTCTTTGATGTTTGCACTGCCCCTTTTTTCTCTCTAAGCATTCAGGACACAGTCGAGCAAAACAGACTCGATCCTGTGGCTGCGGGTGACACAAAGATGGCTCTCCACAGTTATACGGACAAAAGCACCAACATGCATGTGTTCACTGAGTCAGTGAGCTGGTTGTAGCTTTTTAATGATTAATGAATGAAGTTGTCCTCACCACTTTGTTAACTTGTCCCAATTTGTAGCCTCCACTCTGCCAGTCGTTCACAGCTTTTTGAGTAAGGCCGATGATGTCCGTCTCTACACTGTGGCGAGCATCATTTGACAGAGCTCTGGGGAGGACGCGCCGCCACAGCGGGAGGTTTTCGACCTCTGATGGTGGAAAACGTGTCACCAGCTCCATCTAGAAACAACACAAACACTTTACACTGGTGTCAAAAAACTTCACCCTAAAATATATTTTTATTACACATCAACATAAGAAACTCATAATTGTTATCAGAAAACAAAAGGTATGTTTTTGGTGTCACTTTGATCATAACAACACAACAACTTATTTCGAAAAATCTCAACTTTTTTTCCCCTAGATCTTACGTTGTAAAACAAACATCAGGGTAATGTAGTCTGTTTGATGTGGGGGTGGAAACTTTTGGAACACTTGAAACAAATTTCAGTGATAAATGATGTTTTAAAGGGATATTCCGGCGTAAAATTAAGTTAGGGTCAAACACACTGTGACACCGAGTTAGACGCCCCCTTGAGAGATGAATGTTGCCGACCGCTTGCTTCTCTAGTTATACCAACTTTAGTAACGACCGCACAATAGCAGTACACAGCGGTCTAAGGAGCCATAAACAAACCTCAACCAAAACGCCACTCTATAGCCACAATTAATGCTCAGAACAGCACCTAACTTCATAAAAAGCCATGTCCAGTACATTGTACCGTTGATGAGGTTAGGTGCTGTTCTGAGCATTATTTGTGGCTATAGAGTGGCGTTTTGGTTAAGGTTTGTTTATGGCTCCTCAGACTGTCTATTGCTATCGTGCGGTCGTTACTAAAGTTGGTATAACTAGAGAAGCAAGCGGTTGGCAACATTCATCTCTCAAGGGGGCGTCTAACTCGGTGTTGCAGTGTGTTTGACTCTAGTTTTACGCCAGAATATCCCTTTAAGTTTCAGCTCCAGTCTTTCTAACCTGGTGAATTGGTGTCATGAGGAAAACCATGCGTTTGAGCAGCAGGCCCAGGTGGAATGACTGGTAACACTCAGCTGTGCAAGCTTTCACCTGAAGGAGCAGAGGGAGAAACAGATACAAGGTGAGGGACCATGTGAGTGCCAGAGTGAAGGTTCAGGAGGAGTTAAAGCTCCAGGACATCATAGGTGGAGAACTGATGGTGGGTACTGTGTAGAAAGTCGAGTGGATCTGGATCAATCTGGTGACATAACTACAATACAGGTTATGAAAAGGTGACTCAAAGGTCCAACAACACTAATTGTCACCTCTGCTGGGGTGCCACAGTACACAGGCAGGACCCCATACTTCTTCACAACCCTACAGAGAGAGATTAAGGGGATTAAGAGCTATTTTAGGGAGAGCTCTTGGGAAGAGGTCACAGACATGGAGAAACATCCACGACCTTCAGGAGTCTATCAAAGTGCCGACAGCTCAGATGTCAAAGCAAAAGGGGAAGTTTGTAAAACCAGGTCCACAAAGTACATGAAGAGAAGACCTCAGTGACTTTTTTCCTTCTTTCTTTCTGAACCATGAACACACAAAAAAAATCTCTTACATTTTCTTGATCTATACCCACCAGCTGTGCAATGAGGACAACGTGATGAAGGCAAAGTTCTGCTGTCCCATAGCTGCAAGAACAAAAGAAGAGCTCCGTTGAAAAGTGCAGAAAAAAATTCAAGTAAAAGGTTTAAACTTGACTTTGGTGTCTGAGGAGCCACAAGTTCAAGGGTGGAGTAAGTTGGTAAAATAATCTAGCTAAGTACAGAGGAAATTCCTTTGTCACTGTGTACCCTTTTCTATGCACGTGATTCACGTGAGCACACCCTCACCGTGCAGTGAAGCACCACACATCGGTCGCCAGTAGGGCTGTCTGGGTATCAGCCTGAAGTAAAGCGTCAACAAAACAGCACTCCTGAGAAAAGGCAGATTAGGGAGAGGGGAAGTCAGACAGACAGGAGGCAGGAGGAGGGAGTTGCACTGAAGTCTGATATAAAAAAAAAAACTACAGAAAATCCAACAGAAACAATTGCAATGAAAGTGAAAGAATAACTTGCTCTGAATAGAGGGAAATCCTGCATCAAAAAACAGCTATGGCTGGAATCTGATATCCAAAATACACAAAATCAGCCAATACAAAAGCCAAACCAAAGACTGAAGATGTTTTGAACCCACAGCCACCAGACTTTTCAGTTTCGGTCTTAGTTGAGCTTTCTCAACTTCTGACCAGCTATTATTCGATTCTTATTCTTCATTATTTAAATTACTTATAGGCTTGATTTTTGTGTCCATAAGATAGAGAAGTCGTCATGAGTCTTTATAACTAAAACAGAAGATTACCAGGACTGACCCTCATTATAAATGCTCTCTATTAATGCTGTTTATGACACACTGACTATACTGTATCTATGTATGTATATGTGCAACTCACCAGCACAGGGAAGTATGCTGGAGGAAGTGCAGCCACATTGGCACAGAGCTGCACACAGATATGTTGGTGCAGAGAGACGTTGACCTGGGCCTGACCCTTCATCATCACACCTGGAAGCAGCACTGGAACCTGACGCTCTGTGTTGCACCGCCGGAAACTAGTAAACAACGCCTGGTAGAGAGGAAGCCTGGAGACAGACAAAATCATCAAAAGAACTTTACATGCTGCTACAGGAGAGATGTTTGAGAAAATATGAGGGGCCGCCAATTTTTCTTATGAGTTTAACATTTTAAAAAGCGTGTTTTCACAGCTTCGCTCCTAACCCAAGTATTTATCTTATATGACACAAAGAAACACATAAGCCAATCCCCAGAACTTGATGGACTTGTTCAAAGTTGGATTTATTTTTCTGTTATTTTGGTCCTCTTGCACCTCTTCTTATTTCACTTCTGTTCTTTTTCTCCTCTGGCGTTACATGATTTCATTTCTTTTTTATTATTACTTTTTCCCCATTTGTAGCTGAGAATGCTGGAGCTAGAACTATCTCAACACCTTTAAAAACAAGAAAAAAATAATTTAAAAAATCTGGATTTAAACAATTATTATTATTACCGCAGGGTCTCTTCTGAGAACTGGCTGCCAGTGTACCAAAGCTTCAGCACCTCCTCTGGTTGGGAGCTGAGCTGGCCCAGGACGTTCACCAGCAGAAGACAGTGAGGAAGCTCATGTTCGGGACTTAAACCTGCAGGCACCGAGATATGAATCATTACAGAAATGTGGTAGTTTCATATTTCATGTTTAAAGCAGCTGCTAAAACTATGTTAGAGAATCAACATGTCGCCACTTCATCAAAAACAAATCATCAGAGATGTGTCACCTCTGTGTGACGTGTAAGAGGTAAAAGGACAGAGGAAATGCTAAAATGGGGCTTGTTTATTGCTGTTTATTCACACTGAAAACTTCACTGTGTAAAAAGGAGGATGAATTGGTGTGCAGCTTATCATCCATACAATGATGCCAAAGCTTTAAACTCACACAGGTCCTTCTGGAGGATGACCTCTGCAAAAGGCCTTAGTGGCAGCAGCTGGAGAAGTAGGGCATCCATGGGAATAAGAGCTGCAGCTTTCAACTCTTCTGACTGAGCCAAGGGTAGCGTTGGAGCACACAAGCTGGGAGGGAACTTACTGAAAGACAATCGGAGGAAATCTGAATTGGTGCTTTATTTTCATAAAAAAAATAACTTGATATCCTTTAAAATGTCACGGTAACCTCAACCAAACATGCTTACCAAATGATCTGGAGGTAGAGTCTGTGAAAACAGCTGCAAAACTTGGTCAGAAAATATTTGAATTCCTGAATAGGGGATAAGAAATGAATGTTAAGCATTTTTGTATTTGAAAGAAATAAACAAAACATCCAGCCACTTAGGAGCAACAAAAGGGAGTAAGAATCAGAAAAAGTTCAAGTTTCTGTACCTTGAGGTAATGAACCAAAGTGTTGGCAAAAAATCGACACATCTTTGCAGTTTTCTGGAACAGCTTGTACTCTGGACTTTGTGTTGCCTCCTTTAAAAAGGACAAAGAGGATTAAAACATAAAAGTAGCACAGTATCCACCATTCATTCTGTACACACAACATAGTAATACTGAGTAGCACACTGATGATGATCTTGTTGGTATCAAAACAGAAAGGACAAAGATACACCTCATTGTACTTGACTTTATAGTCATTCTTTAATGAGCTTGCACAGATTTTCTGATTTAAAAAAATGCAAAGTAGATACACTGGAGGATATCTTGGGAGCTGTAATACAAACTTAATTCAATGAGCCAACATCTGACAGACAATAAGAAGCTGCTAAAGCTGTCCATTATTATCTTATTATGTTTTACCTTTTTCAAAGGTAGATCTTTCCTACCTGAAGACCAGCATGTTTCATCTGCTCAGCCAGTTCCAAGCAGCTGTTGAAGGATGCTAACAGGTTGTCACACAGGCTGTTGCTGATTTCTTTGTGATGGAGATGTTCCTCAACCAATGACTGGTACTTCAGACTCTGTCTAAGTGATTAATGGCAATTCAAAGAAAGTCATATTTGCCTTTAAATTTTTCAGACTCATTCATTTTATGCAGCACATGTAACATTTGCAACTTTTATATCTAATACAATATTACAACAGTCCCGACATGGATGCGCCTTTCTTACTTGATAAGGAATTTCCATGTGTTTGCGTGCAGTGCTATGTCCAGGTCTGAGATAATCGAGCAGATGTCCAGCAGGCTGTGAATCACTAGTCAGGATGAAATTACACTGAATCAAAAATGATTTAGAGGCTGTATAAGGGAAACAGCGGAAGTGCTTTATCTAAGAGAATGTGGCAGTGGACCAATTACTATTGGTCCACCGCTGCTATTTCTGAGTTTCCACATACCTGTTACCATATAAGAGACCTCTTCCTCTGACGCATTGCTGTCCAGATGGGTCCTGTCAAGTAGCTCCAATAGACCCTTCTGAAGGGAATACGCCTCTTTAAAGAGTCCCTGCAGCAGATCAGCCACTAGCGACAGGCGGCCACAGTAAACCACCTCACTCTCCTGATGAAAGGTGGAGAGCATGCATTGATTCAGCTTAATGTTTTATTTACAACCTTGAAATAATTTTTAACTTTCACCTTATCTTCCAATTATTGGCATAATCAAATAATAATGCTTAAAAGGAAAAATATAAATGCATGATTTTACTTTGAAAATCTGTTAGTTTTATAGAGGTTCGGTATTTCTGCCCTCTTCCCTGCTGATACTGCTGATGATACTTATAAGAGTGGGTTTAATTTCAGTGGGTTTCATTGAGTTGTTGGCATCCCAGATTTCAGTATACTTCTGGTAAAAAAAAGAGACTACTGGAAAAGTAAGACTCATTAAGGGTAATTAAATTAAGTTCTCCTGCAGTTTGTATTTTTGATGTCACCAAAATTTGGATGTATTTATATGCCAAATTACAGTCTCTTCTGAAAACATCACATGAACTGGTAATACATTTCCCAATATTTTGTTTAAATAAAAGGAATTAAAGCATAAAGCCTATGAATAAAGTAATGTTAGACTACTTAGGGTTTGATCAGAATTCTATGTATAGTTAATCTGATAGTGAATGTCATATACTGTATGTCACTGGCAGTTATTACTGCACGGCATAATCACCCCGTTTCAGTCGTGAAAAATGGATCATTTGTGACCTATTCAAGGAGTACAATGTAATCATTACCACCACGTGGAGAATTATACACACCAACCTTGCAGTGATGAAAGGTTTCCTTCAGAACTTTCAGGATGCAAGTTGGTAATGAGCGGATAAAATCCAGGTCAGGAGTTTCCTCAAATGTGCCAATGTGACGCACACAAGAGGAAAGTGCATCAATTATCTGCACCATTGCCTGAAATAGAAACAGAAAGCTTTTAGAAAGTATACCACATATCATAAATGCCATCAACTTCTCAGGTAGAAATGGTGGCAGTATTAAATAAACAGCCTGTGTACCTGCAGAATACTCCTTAGTAAGGCACACAGCTCAGTGTTCTGACTAGACAGCTCTCCAACCTGGTCCATGATTTCTTTCATCATGCTGTCAAACATTGTCACAGCCTGCAAACATTTGTGACAGATAAGTACACAAACTTGTGGCCAAATGGTGTGAAACAACGAATGCCCCTGATGGTATTCATATAGGTCCAAAACACACTCATCCTTTTGTTTACCTTTGGCAAAATCTTGGAGAAGCACTCATCCTCCAGCTCTGACAAATGAATATGGGGGAGGAACATGTCCGTAATTATCCTCAGTATACCTGCAGACATGTTTGGTTTTTAGGACAGCTTGTACATTAGTCACAGAAAGAATGAGGCATAACAGAAAGCAGATTGGGAATAAACAATACAATGAAGAAACTTACGTATATGATCATCCCAACTCTCTGACTTATGATGCAAAGCGTTTAAAGAGTCAAGGAAAATCCAGACAGACATTAGGGCAAATATATTTCCACTGAAAAAGGGAGAGTGGGGTAAGATGAGCCATTTTTCATATTTCGGATCACTACATCAAGGCAATCATAGTTTTGTCTCTAACTAGTGTATCTGCATATATTTCAAGATGTTGTGTATCCCTGCAAACCAACAGAATGAGTGTAAACATAACTGTCTTGATAATATAGCACACCAAAAAAAAGTGATCTCCTATGGTCAACTTACCTCGTGTATGGGGTAAGTTGACCATAGGAGCGGGGTCAGTTGAGCCATGTTCCTACTACACCCCCACTATCCACCCCAGCCCTCCCTCACCTTCTCTCTCCCTAAATAGCAGTCACTTCTTCACATTCATGTGTATTTTTATCTATTATATGCTATTCAACTGGTACAATAATTATTTTATTATTATTGCATATAACTGCTAAAAAGCTGTTTTGTAAAAAGTCATTTTAACACGAGAATGCCTTTAAGTGGTTCAGAACATTCACAGCTGTATTTTTGGAAAGAAAAAGTAAAACATTTTAACAATCTGAACTGAAACTCTGATCCTCTCATCAGACTCATTTATGGCTCAACTTACCCCTGAACTACTATGATGACTTTATTAGTCCTCTAAGCTAAAATGGTGGACTTTTATGTTAGGTTTTTGAGCTGATGTAGCTCATAGATACCACAATTGATGTATAAAACAAACTTAAAATTATCTTTTTTGGTCTGAACACAATTCTAATAAAACTTAAGACAGACTGAATTCACTTTCAAGAGTGAAAAATGTTTTTTTTTTTTTGTAAATAAATGTCTAACCCCTTCACCCATGCGCTTCTAACCTTCACAGACTCCATGAATTGATGCCCATCTCCTAAATATTTGGTCACATGATCAATTTCTTTTACCATTTCCAAGCAACTGGGGGGGGGCTCAACTTACCCCACTCTCCCCTACATATGTTGTTCTTGAAAGTTATTAAACATTTAACAAAACTTAACACTAATCAAAAAATGGTCAACAGAGATTCATACTGAGTGTATTGCATATTACCTTCCTCTAACTAAGCGCAAGTATTTTTGGCTTGTTTAATTGTTTACGGCTCAGCTTAAGAGCTATGAGCGGTAATAGTCATAGACTGTTTGATTTACGGGAAAGAGGATATTGTGAGCTCTGGTAGGACAGACTTGAGTCTCTGGCGGCAGGTTTCCTGACTCCACTGCACCACCTGGTCCAGCAGAGACGTGTTGGTCTGGGACATGATGACAGCAGCCACCGGAGGAGGGCAGGACAATTACTGTTCAAACAAGAGATGCTATCACAACATTGTCACAGGGTGTGTATCACTAAAAAGGGCTTAACTGGGTACGTTGTCTTTAGTTGTGTTATCGTACATTAATAGAAAATGAGTACTCGGGTTAACACTGACTAATATTCAGCCTACGGTAACTTAAGACGTTGGCATCATTACCTAACCCAGTGTTTGTAATACAACGTCTTACCGTCAACGTCCTCGGTCTCCCGATGAACAACTTAGTATCACACAACCGCTCCAATATGTCTTTTTCTCCAAACATAACCTTTAGGGAGTTTATTTCCATTAAAATGTGCGACTCGTTTGTTAGGAAAACTAAAGTCGGTTATTCACTGAGGAAAACATACCGCGCGCCACTGTTTGAATCGGAAATGACGTTGTACCGAGAGCGGCTCATCTTGCCTTCCTGTGATTGGTTGAGAGGTTTCACTCCAAAGTTTTTCCTTCTTTTTCGTCTTCTTGGGTTAAATGGCGGTTGGCAAACAATGAAATAGTGCGTTTCTGCCACCTACTGGTAAGGAGTGTGGACCAGAATATCTAGTACGGTTGTGTGTGTGTGTGTGTGTGTGTGTGTGTGTGTGTGTGTGTGTGTGTGTGTGTGTGTGTGTGTGTGTGTGTGTGTATTTCTATATATTAAATATATATATTCTCTCTATCAGCCGTGTCTGTTTGAGATACTGAAATAGTATCTTGTAGCACTAATTCTCTGACTCTTTTTGTAGGATGTCTATGATACCAAAATACTCATTTTCTTTCGTGAGACTACAAATGAACTGCCTTCTTTCAGTTTCAAATCTCTGACAGTTCATAATAATATGTTCTACTGTTTTTTTTTTGTTGTTTACAGTTATCGCATTTACCACTTTCATGCTTTGCCATTTTGAATAACATACTATTTAGCCCACAATGTCCAAACCTTAATCTCAATATAATGGTTTCATTTTTTAGACTTAATCTTGCTCTTCTCATTTTTCCAACCTTCCTTTGTATTTTAAACTACCATCTCCCAGTTTTCTTTTCCTCTCAGTGTTTTTTCCACCTTTCTTCAGATCTCATCTTCACAATAGCTTTCACCTCCATTCCACTACATTCCACTGCCATGTCTACTCAACTGTAGTTTGCCTCCCTATCTGCCAGCTCATTCCCTCTGATTCTTACTGTGTATGCGCAGGTACCCATAAAAACGTGACTGTCATTCTTATCATGTGAATCCTGTACAGTGTCTGTTTAATTTCCATCAAAATATCCGGTTGGCTGTCTGGTTGTGCTGTAGACTGATAAGGGATGACCTGGAGTCAGAGCAAATGACTGATCTTAATAGTCTTGTTTCTTCTATCCACTGTGTTGCTGGTAAAATTGCTACCATTTCCCCTGTTTAAACTGATAAACCCTCACTGATTGTCTTCCCCACTTTGATCTGAAACTCGGGTTCAGTAAGTGCGACTCCTACTTTGTTAACCGTGTTCTTTGATGCATCTGTATAAATCTTAACATAGCTGTGATATCCATTAATGTATTCCTGTACATTGTATGAGTTGAGTTGAAATGTTCTCTCCTTGTTTTTCTTCCCTACTCCAAAGTCCCTTGATCATGCTACTGGATGGAAAGGGAGATAAATAAATCACATTTCAAAAAAGTGGCTCAAATGTTTTCATCTGTAAATTCAGTGGATTCACATTTTTCATATATGTTTCTCTTTTCCTGCCCTACTGGTGCTTATCTTTTATGGCAGTAACTCCTTAATTGGTAATTAGATAAAAGAGTAATTTACAGTATACAATCATATCAATACAAGATGGTCTGATCCATAAAGTTCACATCATCACCTAAAGATCTCAGTCCTATATAACATCTGTGACAAATCATGTAAATAGATTTTGTCACTTTACAAGGATTTTTTTTCTTATTTAGTTGAAACTGGGTTGATAGCAGCAATGAAGGACAATAATCCTGCATAAATATTTAAAATCCTTGTTATATGAGTTGTAACTTGATATCTCCATACTAAGGCTACATGGCATGACATTTTTTCAATGACTTTTGCAAGCATCAACCAGGATCATGCAGTTCAGAAGGGAATTTTTCAGGCTACCTGGGAAATATATTGAAAGCTGCACAGGGAAGCACGGTATTTCTCCTTAGGCATCTGGAATTTCTGTAGCTGAGCTGACCAGATAAAATCAGTGTCTTATTGTTTCACTGATGAGAGCTTGGCCAGTGAAGTAAACTATTAACCATTTGCTACACCATTGTTTCCCGACAGCACAAGGTGTAAGCAGCCACCGCTGCAGGAAGGGTGTAACTTCTTGTTTAGGAAACAAGAGTTCACATTAATGTTTATCGCTCCTCATGCAATCCATTGAAGTATGCATGCCAAGGCACAAAGGCAGTGTGACAGACCTGATTCAGAGTCTATATAAAAATCTGCTTATTAGTTTAGTCTTTAGATGATTAAATCCATGTTTATTTTAAGAAAATTGTTTTACTTCACTATGAAGTGAAATGTAAATATGAAATGTAGTGTTTGTGCCTTATAGTATACATATAAATATATATATATATATATATATATATATATATATATATATATAGAGAGAGAGAGAGAGAGAGAGATATATATATATATATATATATATATAGAGAGAGAGAGAGAGAGATAGATAGATAGATAGATAGATAGATAGATAGATAGATAGATAGATAGATAGATAGATAGATAGATAGATAGATAGATAGATAGATAGATAGATAGATAGATAGATAGATAGATAGATAATTTAAGGGGGCTCTGCCACTTTCATCACTTTTTCCTGCGTTAAGATTTCTTTTTTCTTTTATTTATTTATTGAAGAATTACATATGTGGATGTGCTCTCTATCTAGGTCTGATAAACATCCTTAAAAACAGGGTTTTATGATCAACAGCCTGTAATAGACTTCATCACCCCTCTGGTGCCTCAGTGTCTGAAAAAAGGCCTCTCAGTGCCCTCCTGAATGCTCTTTAATCCTTGTAAAATGCCCTTCCAGTTTTTTCTTTCAATGGATATGTTAAAATGGTACAATGTCATTTAGCAGATGCTTTTATCCAAAGTGACGTACATAAGAGAACAAGGACAACACAAGCAAAGATTTAGACAAGAGGAAACAAGATCAGTAAGAGCTACAAAGTGCTTCAAGTCCATTGCATGAAAAATTGCAATAGTAGCTTCCCTTCTAGAGGATGAAACATGACAGTGGATAAAATGTTGAAAAAATCTTCCAGTACATACAACTTAAAACTGTGTCCTCTGGCTGTACTAACAATATTTAAAACATGCATTGCCCTTTTGGTTTCTCAGCCTGTTTCCAGGTTTAGTTAACACACAGGGTTCAGTTTAAAGCAAAAACTGTGCAAAAGATAATAGATCAAGTCTTGTTAAGGTTGTTGGCATTCTTTATATATATATATATATATATATATATATATATATATATATATATATATATATATATATATATATATTGATTATTTGTTTTCGATTTAAATTTTCACTATTAAAAGTTGCATAAATATTAACTACAATACAGGAAATTAAGTGTTAGATGCCACAAAGGGGAATCTCTCTTTTGACTCAAAACCATGCTTTTGGAGATAAGTCTGTTTCCTTTGAAGGTTCGTTTTACTTGAAATTTCATTAAGCTCTTACAATACCATTTAAATTTCCAAGAAGAGGGTTGAGTCTTGCACAGTAAAAGACTTCTCCCTTTAGTATTGACCTTGCTGTGAGTAGATAATAGAAAGGTTATCAGTCTACAGGAAACTCGCTCCGGATTTGGGATGGAAACTAAAAGACCCGTGCCGCTTTGTTTTTCTTTCTCTGAGGTCACAAGGTGTTTGGCATAATGCATTGTTCCAGTCTGCTAATGAAGGTGAAGGTGAGCGCTCGTCAATGTGTCAACAGTAGCTAATTCTGGTCATGTAGTCTACAAGGTTACCTGTTGAACTTCCTTTTTATTTTCTGTGCTATAACTTACCGATAACATGGTGAGTCACAGATGTAAAAAGGAATGTATGTGGGAATGTTCTTGGATACAGGAACTAAACATTTACCTTCAAAGACTGAGTCAACCTTGGGTGGGAAAATCCAGAGGAAGAGGATGCAGACAGTTTTTTTGGGGGCAGTGAAGGCTCTTGGGAATCAAAGATAGTAATATGAAACTGATACTTCAAACATTTTAAAGAAATGGACTAAAATGTTCCACAACTGTGACTCAAATCAGATTACGTAACTCACCTTTCTAAAGAGCAGGTCTATTCTTACAATTTGATTCTTAGTGCCGTAAATTACAGTATGTTGGACATTTGAGGTGATAGCTTAGGGAAACTGGATTAAATGCTGCCCTGACTTTGCATATCCTGTAAAATATCTTCACATAGATAGTTTTGCAAAACATGTTGGTACTCATATGAATGGTACCCCCATTTAAGAAAAAAAACCTTAACAGATCCCTGACATCCCTACGAAGGAATATTAGGGCCAGAAAAAAAAGAAAAAAGACTTCAAGAAAATCAAGACTTGGAGGTTAAAGTAATTAATTTACAAGAATAAGTCATAATTAACGAGAATAAAGTCATATAAAATCATTTAGTACGAGTATTAAGTCGTAAAAAAGTAATAACTCACAAGAATAAGGTCATAGTAAAATTTATTACTTACGAGAATAAAGTCATAATCAACTATTACTACTACTATACTTATGATAATGTGGTGCTGATGTGCCAAAAGATTTAAGTATCTCCTTGTTTGAGAAACCTTTATTGAAGTACATTTTCACAAAACGCTCCATGGCTCTCATTTCAACAACTGTTATCTTAAACAACAGGTTAGAATGTAAAGACTTTATTCTGACTTTACTCTGATAAGTTATTACTTTACTACAACTTTATTCTCGTAATGATTTTATTACGACTATATTCTCGTAAGTAATTACTTTAGTATGACCTTATTCCCATTAGTAACGACTTTATTCTCGAAAGTTAATGACTTGAATCTCAAAGTGTTATTTTTTCTTAATGTGGCCCTAACCGTCCGTCGTACATCCCTCCAGTGCCACTCTATGGTCTATTTCTAACCACGACCTTGTTATTTGACCAAAAAGCTGATAAACTAATACTGACTCTGCTCCACATTCTGTTTAACCCTAAAACGCATACTAACACTCAAATGTGAACAATAACTGACTGTTCCTGCAGTATGGTAGCATTTAGCCCTGTAGCTGAAAGCATCAGAGTCACTACACTCCAACACTGCGAAACTTAAATCATACAAGGAGTACTTGTTTGTTTTCTGGTCATTGTACTTGATATAAACCACACTGAACTGACAAGTCCAGGTTAACCCTTACTCCAACAAGTCAAATTCAGGTACATTTCTTGAATGGTCTTAAACACAATAAAGACTTATTTCATGTCATTTCAAGTCCTGTTTGAGCAGCTTGTCCTGAGAATAGTCAAGTTACTAATCTCTTTATAAATTAGGAAATAAAAGAACATTTCAGATGGTTTGGCAGCAAGCTAAGATGTTTGAATTTTGACAGCTAGTTTCAATTCACAAATAAAAGTCTAACTGTTTTTTTCCCAGATTAATCTTTTTTCAGTTATCTCCGAGCAGCACCACTACGAATTTATTATTTTTTACCGTATAAAACAGATTACCAGCTGTGCATTACAATGTGGAAGTGCACAAGCAGCCATCAAAACTAGCTTATTTATTCACTGTCTGTCATTAGTGATCACAACATGAATCCAAAAGTTGCTTTGAATCAGTACGCACAAATGTAGGGCATAAACCTCTCCAAGAAAAACATTAAATATTTATTTGTCACTGGTAACTCTGAGGTGGTTATTATCAGAGCAATAGAGGAAAAGGTTCATTGTGCCGAAAAGCTTGGAAGGCTTTGTGTTCGAGAGGGCGAAAAAAGTATAAATAGTTTGTGGCCTTTTCCGAAAGAACATGCATGTGACTCAGCTCAGGATGTTTAATCCATATCTAATTTATTTATTTTTTCTTGTCTTAGCTATTTTTTACCCTGTCATTGTTTAACCTTTAAAACTCTGACGTTTTCTGAAAAGTTTACACTCATGGGCCGATTCATAGATGGAAAAAAGCAAAGCATTGAATAATGATGAAAAGTGAAAGCCCAGCTTATCTGCTTTTTTCCCTAAACAAGACACTTTCCCCCTCAGAGTCACAGGATATGATAGGATTTGCAACTGACTCACCCTTTCCTGTACGGACTTTACGCTTGGCGCCTAGCCTTTAATTCTGATGAACTCGAACAACAACAGAAAGGTAGAAACCACTCAGTCTATTTTTTAAGGGAATTACAGGGTCCAAACCCCAAATCTTTCGCATTATAGGTGAATTAAAGAATGATAAAACCTGCAGTAAAAGCAGAAAAGACTATGAGAAAGAAAACATCTCAATACAGAATGATGTATTTGAATCAAATATTGGTTGTACAGATGAATAAAGTCATCACTGATTTTTCTGACAACTAATAAATAAAGGCAGACATTGAAAACAGAATGTTTGTTGGTTTACTCTATTTCTTGTCATCTGACCAGGTGATCTCATAGTCACTGAAGGCACTCTTCAGCTTCTCCACAGACACAGAGTGGTCTGCTTTACCAAAACCCTGAAAAGGGATGAAAAGGTGATTTATGTCATCATAGTGAAACACAGCTAGGTTTCCCATTAATCTTCTATCATCTTTACAATCAAATGAACTTACTGTTGATTCACCAAACACCCTTAGTTTTTTGTCCTGCTTGTTGTGCTCTATTTTTCCTCCTCCAAGGCACTTACACTCCATCCCCATGGCCTCCATGGCTGGGCAGACCTTCTCAAATATGTGATCTGGAAGTATTTCAAATTCATCACGTGGTCAGTCTGGTTTAGGCGCAGTAGACTTTAATGACTAACATTTTCAAGAGTTAACAGACATGGTTTTGTTTGTCAGGTGCCTTAAAGAGCTCGCCCCTCCATAATATCTAAAAAGAAACCCACGGTATAGCCTACTCGCTGCACATGCTGATTTGTATAGTGTGATCAAATCAGCCCACTTTTCTGCACGAATTGACACAGTGTGTGAACTCAAGCTGCACAAATCACCCTTTTGCACTGCTACTGTGTTCAACTTACTGTGGTACTCTGCACTTTTGGTGCCCCGGACTATGTCTTTATGCGCATCGCCGTCTTTTACTTTCACCCTGACCAGAATGTACTTAAAGGTTCCTTCCGGATCAATCTCAACATCGGGGACTTTAGCAAGAGCGTCTGCCATTGCGACTGTAGCTGTATAGAAGAAGCCCACAGGCCGTCTGAGACTAGCAACAGGTCTGGCGAGGAAAGACAACATGGAGCAGTAGCAGGCTAACAGATGACTTTATTTGGGTCGGCGATCATCTGTCTTAAAGAGACAGAGCATGTAGCAGGCTACATGCTACTGTCGCACGATGACGACCCCTAGTGGCATTTAAAGGGAACTGTTTCAATTCCAGAGTTGTTTTTTTTTTTAATTTATACAAAACCACCTTGCAAAATGTTACAAAAGTAAGAAAAACAGTACAGTAGGAAGTAAATCAGGCAGGGAAAATATTTCCAATATTGACAGGACCATTTTTCACTCAGGAGACTATTCGCTTCCATTTTAACGCAGTCCTGTGGCCAGACCATAAAATGTATATAGAATGGACATCGTCTGCCTCCTTGCTGAGTGAAGCCACACTGAGAACAGCACCCTCTGGTGACGGGCTGCAGTAATGCTCATAAATCCTGCCTCCTCCAGCAATCTCTATGGAGCTGTGGACAAACTTTAGAAATTTATTACACAGAATATAAAATTATTTATTTATTATTATAAGACCGGTTTGTGCTCAAGCCGTTTTTTTCTGTACAACTCCATTTTTAAAAGTTATTAAGGAGTTCATGTTTTATAAGATTGACACTTGATACAGCCTATGGACATAAAAAGATTGGGTAGCTCACCCAATTTTTTTTGTCTGGCAGAGAGCAGAACCAAGTTGTCAATAGTATATACAGTCTGTGGGCTGGACAAGGTATTTTGCATTCTCATCCAGCAAGATGGCCTGAGTTCACCTGAGGATTTTCTGGTTCAGGAAGAAAAAAAAAAAAAAAACAGGAAGTATGCTTTTCCCTGGAGGACCAAATTTCTGTCAAGGACTTCTACGATCTTTTTATCCTGAAATCCACCCAGCAGTCTTTCATTTCATTTGAAGCCTGAAAAATAAACAAATTGCAGACATGAACCATCCCAATCTGAGGGAGTTTCCTGCTTTTATCTTGCCAAATAAGACAGTGATAAGGCATTCGATTAAACATTTTCTATGTCGTTGAATGATTCAAGGTGACTACGCCTACTTTCTGTACTAAAATATTTTCTGGAATTGGATAGAAATTTCATTGAAAATGCACAAAAAGGCATTTCTTTATTTCATGAAAGTTAAAGAATTAAAAGTGTATCAAAACTGCAGCATATTCAAAGACAACAGAGAAGATCATCTCATCAGAGATTGAATTCATCCAAGCAATTGTTGAGGACTTTTTTAAATCAAAGCTCTAATTGATTTTCTCCCATGGGTCTTGTTCTATATTCAAGTTAATTAGGGAGTTTATATAAATTTCAATGAGGAGGAGATGGAGGCTGAGAGGTGTCAGCGAACAGTGGCCACTATCCGGAGGAAGGATATGAACTGTCGCTTCTGGAAACACAAGCAGCCGGCAGGCGCCTCGACTTCTGCACTGCATGCTTCCTGTCCCTGAGGACTCATGAAAAAAATACAAGTGTTCTATAAAGCTACAGTGGGGTTTTTTTAAGCTCTTTCTCTTTTTGATGAGCAAATCCTTGTGACGGGACATACTGGTTCACTTTCCTGAGGGAAATTCTGCTTGAGCTGCAGACTGTCTGCTAGCATACTTCACAAAACTTTTATGCACCACCTTAGTGAATCATCGTGCACTGATAAAGCTTCAACCCACTGATCTTAATGGATTTACTGACACAACAATCTCACTAGAGCTGCCAACAATAACACTGCAATCACTTGGCGCAAAAATATCTCAACAAGTTAAATCCACGAAGAAGGAAACGGTGAGAGTGTCTAAATCTTACTCAGACCCTCTGCTTTATCTACTTGCATGATTACTCAACTTCCACCACTGTAATTTACTCCTTAGTCGTCTTTCACTACATACATGCATCAGAGAGCAATCAGGCTTTCCCTAGGAAACTTATCACTTTCTCAAAATGTAGTAGTTGTTTGGTCTTTGCTGCATTTGTGCGAGCTTGCCAACTTTTTTTTTGCCACATTTGTGCGTAATTTGTACATGAGCAGGTTGTTTGTCATGAGATGGTATCATTTGCTATTGTTCAAGTGCTTATGCAACTTTGTTAAACACCTTGGACAAGATTAAGACCTTGAAATTAATTTAAAAAGCCAAAGTGTAGAATAAGTAACAGCAAAATCTCCTTAAACAAAAGGTAACACTTTACTTGATGCCAATCTCTGTAATGCATTATAAATATATGTATAATGCATTACAATCATGTTATAGCACTGTATAACATTAGTTATAAACACTCATAAATGATCATAATGCTTTATAGCAATAATCATAATATAATATAAAGCATTTTATCATGACTTACAAGGTCAGGTATTATAATGTGTTATAAATTTTAACGACTTGCTGACAATGCCCACATAGAGAATAAAATGCAACTGCTGTTATCAGTTATAACACATTATAATACCTGACCTTGTAAGTCATGAAAAAATGTTTTATATGGTGTTACGATTAATGCTATAAAGCATTATTATCATTTATGAGCATTTATAAGTATAGTTATACAGTGCTATAATGTGATTATAACGCATTATACGTATATTTATAATGCGTTAAAGAGATAGGCATCAAATAAAGTGTTACCAACAAAAATAAAGCCTCTTTCTATGGGTAGCATAATTTTGTAACTTACACCTTTCACTATCACTATCAGAGGTTAAAGTTTAATATAAGTAGCATATGGATGTTAAACATCCATGGACTAGGGCCACTTTTACTTACTTAAAAATTACTAAATAGTTTTTTTCTGGAAGAGAACATAATTTTTACAAGCTCACTATATGTTATGAGAAAGAATTCATATGTAAAAATGATGTAGTATCGCAGCAAAATTAAGAAAGCCTAGAAGAGGTGTTTGCAGGACACAGAAAATGTTATTCTTTCTGTTTTACAAAGTGTTGAACCACTTTGTTAAAAACAACCAAATAGAAAGCGCTCATGTTGAAAGACTGACTTTCCATTTAAAATAATATTGATATTAATGATGAAAGTAAATGCAGAAATTCTCCTAAAACAAAGACAAGAAATAAAGAGAGAGGAAAAGTTCCCAAGAACCCTACTGGGACCTGGCAGTAGTTCAGGGAGGGGGGGATTTCCAGTTGAATGCCTGGATCTGATGAGGGCTTCCCGGAAAAACCTGAGCAGGCTGGCGAGGAGGAACTATAAAAGCAGGAACCTCAGCATATAAACCTCAGAGTCAAGTCTTTCTTAGATGAGCTCAAACTGAAGAAATACCAAGAGATTCCTGCAGCTTATTACATATAATGCTGAAAATGGTGAGTGCAGTATTTATTTGAATACAGTTTATTTAAGTTAAAATATCTCAAATGTTTGGGTCCGGGATGCATTATTTAATCATTACTATTTTTTTTCCTAACATATTTTATACACAATTTTAATAAGACGTCTGCTTTGATTTATTTCAGACTTGTGGACTTAAGACACCATCATCACGGATCAGTCTGACCTTCCTTGGTAAGTTTATGCTCTGCAAACAGAACCTTATAACTCAACAAAATTTATTGAATCTATTCCAGTAGCTCAAAGATCTAACACATGTCTCTTTCTACACTTTTAGTGCTGTGTATGTGGACAGGTGTAGACTCCTGGTCCTACTTCTATTCCGAAAAACCCATGAGCTGGACCAATGCTCGGACCTGGTGCAAGACGCACTATACTGACATGGTTGCTATCCAGAACCAGGAGGAGATCGCGCATCTCAACAGCTGGCTGCCCAAGCAACGCAACTACTACTGGATCGGGATCCGCAAGATCAACAATGTATGGACCTGGGTGGGGACTAACAAGGCTCTGACAGAGGAAGCAACCAACTGGGCAGATAAAGAGCCGAATAATGGGCAGGGTGGGAAAACAGCTGGATTGAACGAGGACTGTGTGGAGATGTACATACAGAGGGAAAAGGAGCCAGGAAAGTGGAACGATGAGAGATGTGGGAAGTTTAAGACTGCTCTGTGCTACGCAGGTGAGTAATTCTATGGGTTAGGAGATGTAAAGTAATAGATTCATCTGCTCATTTCTGTTATTTATGCTCATATTTAGAGAATATATGATTGAATGGTGGTGTATTTTCTTTCCAGCTGCCTGCAAGAATGACTCCTGCCTCTATGGTGAATGTGTAGAAACCATTAACAACCACACGTGTGTTTGCCATGAAGGTTTTTATGGAGACAGATGTGAGCAAGGTAAGAAGATAAATCAGAAGGAAGGCTTTTTTAACCCCCATAAACTTTAAAAACCTCACAGCCAGAAGCAGGTATCTTATTGTGCTTTGATGTGTCTGTGTACAGTCGTGGAGTGTAACAGAGATGAGGTGACAGTCCCAGATAAAGGAAGTGTAAGCTGCACTCACGAATACGGAGACTTCTCCTTCAACACCTCGTGCCATTATTCCTGTGAGCAAGGATATCAGCCAAATATCTCAGGTCCCCTGACATGCAACGGTTCAGGAGAGTGGTCAGAGCAGCCTCCGACATGTGAACGTAAGTTTGTAAGAATAATATGTTTACAGTAAACCTCTTATTTCAAGAAACCGTGTGAAAAGTGAATCAGTTAGCTTTACTTTCAGCCTGCTTTACAGTGTTTTCTGATGATCCTGTTTTCCACAGTGGTTCAGTGTCAGAAACTGTCTCCCCCAACAAGAGGATCCATGCAGTGCTCCGATCCTCTAGGTCCCTCCAGCTACAGTTCCACCTGTGTGTTCACCTGCGATGAAGGCTATGCTCTCTCCGGATCTTCCTCCAAAACTCTGCAATGTCAAGCAACGGGAAATTGGAACGACTCTCAACCGCTTTGCTCTGGTACGCTCACTTTTTAAAAAATTGTTTTGGCAGACTTTACGCAGGAAGAACTTTCTTTTAACATCTTCTGCTCCTCTGTATTGCAGTTGTTCAGTGTCCTGATCTCAAAGGGCTGGAGAATGGGGTTATCAGCTGTGGAGACGATGCAGATGCGAGGTTCAGCTTCGGAAACACCTGCAGCTTCAGCTGTAAACCAGGCTACCGGCTGATGGGGTCGAGCAGGGCCACATGCACATCAGCAGCTGAGTGGAGTGAGAGGATGCCTCGCTGTGAAGGTACACAGACCTTTTCAGTGCAATACTTTTTATTTCATGCCATCATTACTAGTACACTAAACGCATTACTTTTTTCATCTAGCCATCACCTGTAAGGCTCCAGAAGAAGATGTTCAACTGATCACCAAGTGTAGCCAGCCTGTGACAGATCTGAGGCCAGACTCCACCTGCAGCTTCAGCTGTAGTGCTGGATTTGAACTGCAGGGCTCGCAAACTATCCAGTGTTCTGGGGACGGAGAGTGGAGTACAACCATACCCACTTGCAAAGGTAGGGGACCAGATTTTGACATAAATCTATACTATGACAACAAATATATTTATTTAAATGCTCAAAAGTTCAGAGGCTGTTCATTTTGTGAGACTGAACACAATCTAAAATCTTGCTTTCTTATCCCACAGCAGTGAGATGTCCCTTGCTTGAAGCCCCTGAAAACGGTCTGATCAACTGCTCCAATGAGCGAGTGTACAACTCACAGTGCTACTTCACATGTGATGAGGGTTACTCTGTCCAGGGGCACGACCTGCTGATCTGTAATCAAAATGGCAGCTGGACTGGAGAGAAACCCACCTGCCAAGGTAAGAGTAAGAAAAAGCTTAGAGAAGTAATTGAAGAAAATAAAACACAAGATTAAGATTTCAATGAAAGGGTATAAAATTTAACTCTTTTCATGTTTCCACAGCTCAAATAAATAAGGTCACAGCGATTGCCTCTAGTGTGGCCACCGGGGGCACTCTGTTGACGGGTCTGTCCCTGGCCACGTGGATCCTGAAACGACTAAGACAGAAAGCTGACAAGTTTGAGCTGAGCAGGTCAGATATGCAACCATATTTTTTTGTATTATATATGTTGTTGTCTAAAAATCTTTGGTTGAATTGTGATGCTCATTTTCTCCTCTTTTCTTTTCTTACAGCGACTCCGACATAGAGCCTCCCCCACAGATCTACAAAAACAGCATCGACAGCCTTATCTAGGACACGACGATACTCCTCAGAGACAACACCAAGCAACTGTACTCATCTGTGATAACACTATATACACATTATCCATCATGATAGTGTCACCAGTAAGGGTGTATAAAACTTGTGAGAGACTAAGTTATCTGACATTTGTAATGAATTAATGTTATGTTGAATTTCAGGATGTGCTCTGCCATGTTCTTCAGACTCTGATTTCCTCCCAATGGGAGTTTTACATTGAACACATTGTTCTCCAGCTATATAGACATGTTGGAAAGGAGGCCACATCAATGTTACCAGAATGTTACCACTGAATGTTGATAACCCTCCTATTGCAGGACTGTGAATAATTTTAGGATATTAATATCAGTTCCAATGGGCTATTTATTCATTTATTTTTCTGTATGTTTGAGACAGTACTGTTTTTTTATTCATAATAAAAAATCAAATGTTCATGTTTGTGGGTCATTTTTGAATCATCCAGCATTGTGATTAATAATTACTGTTCATACAGAATCTAAATCACACAGTATATGTCCATGTTTGATCAAAATAAGCCTGCAGACAGCTTTGAAGTCTGTATTGCATACAAGACTTCTTTTTGAATAATATAAAATAAGATTACTCCTCTAAAAATACAAAAACTCAATTCCATTGAAGTTGGGAAACTGTGATAAATTGTGATTTTGCAAATAATAACTAACTCAGAATTTCATGGCTGCAACATGTGCCAAAGTAGTTGGGACAGGGGCATGTTTACCACTGTGTTACATCGACTTTCCTTTTAACAACACTCAATAAATGTTTGGGAACTGAGGAGACTAATTGTTGAAGCTTTGAAGGTGGAATTCTTTCCCATTCATGCTTGATGTACAGCTTCAGTTGTTCAACAGTTCGCTTACGTACCGTAAATGTTGAAATCCCTAAATTCCTTGCAATTGTACTTTGAGTAACGTTGTTCTTAAACTGTTCGACTATTTGCTCATGCAGTTGTTCACAAAGTGGTGAACCTCGCCCCACCCTTGCTTGTGAATGACTGAGAATTTTTGGGAAAGCTGGTTTAATACCCAATAATGGCGCCCACCTGTTCCCAATTAGCCTGCTCACCTGTGGTATGTTACAAAAAGGCGTTTGATGAGCATTCCTCAAATTTCGTAGTATTTTTTGCCACCTTTCCCAACTTCTTTGTCATGTGTTGCTGCCATCAAACACTAAAGTTAATGATTATTTGCAAAAAAAAAACAACAATAACGTTTAGCAGTTTGAGCATTAAATATCTTGTCTTTGACGTGTATTCAATTGAATATAAATTGAAAAGGATTTGCAAATCATTGTATTCCATTTGTATTTACAGTTTACACATCTTCCCAACTTTATTGGAATTGGGTTTTGTACTTGATCCTGGAAAATGATGTGAAATAAGACAGACAAAAATGCAATGCATTTATAGTGCACAGAAAAGGTCAAAAAGGTCAAACAAAAACTATACCTGATATAAACTGTGTCAAGAAAATAAAAGACAACCTTCATGAAAAATGGTAGACCTATGTAAGGCATGGATCCGGTCTGCCTATACACTAACAAACAGGGGCTCATACATCAACCACTCACACAACATCAGGCTGCTTTCCCACAATTATCACAAGACATGGCGCTGACTAAACAGGACATTGTGTATTTTCTCAGTAGTTTCAGGGGAAATGCATCACTGACCTCTTGTCTCTTTCTGTGACCTCAGTTGGTGAGGGCAAAGACAAGTATAGTTATATAACAGTGAGAGGTATAAAAGGAAGGAAGTGTTATACGGCTTCGCTGACACACATACTTTCACAGATCGTCACCTTTGTTTGTTCAAAACCCAAAGTCTTTTGTGTCAGCACTTTAGCAAAACCAGAAATAAAGCAGCTACATTGGAATTTGTTGCTGTCGTCAAAAATTTGACCTTGAAAGACCGAAGGATTCATACAGTGTCACAGAAACATGCAACTTTGAAAAATACTTATTATATAACAAGATAAAGGCTCTTGTCAGTGCAAAGTAAGCATTTTTACCCAAAGAAGGTTATCTTATAAATCAGTAATTTCATAAAAAATGGTGCATTTTTAATTTTCTTTTATATGTTTCTTCTTATGGTAACTTTATGCTTCCAATTTATAGATATTTTTCTGCAGTACTGATAAATCTGCTCTTGATTCTAACTTTCCCAGAAAGGTGGCATTTCTTTTTCTGTTCAAATGAAACAGGTCGTTAAGTCAGCCCTTCATTCGTCACTCATCACATCCTTTCACCGGGCACAGTCAACATCCAGGTATTCTTTATCATAGAGAACTAAAGAGCTTAAGAGTAATATAAAAGCCTAACACTGGTTCATGCTTACAGGAGCACAGTACTGCGCCGCATTGGAGTAGTTCGGGTTGGCTGATGAGAAAAAGAAAGATCTTTGGTCAATAGCAAGCTCATATTTAAACTATCTGGGTAGGTATACAACTATCTCTCAAATATTTTCTGTTCTGACATTATCAAAGTTTTCTCATTACTTTTTAAATTTTTTTTTAAACAGACACAAAGTGTCAAAATGAAGTTATTACTTATCTTCCTCTTTGGTGAGTTCAAATTATATCTGAAGATCATGATGAAAAATTTGTGGCATCTCCTGATGTGATGTGTAGACTTTAACATCAACTCTTTCACTTTATTTTCATTTGAATTCAAGGTTGCATCTTGACTGGGACCACCTTTGGCTGGACATACCATTACTCCACCCGCACTATGAACTGGACCCAGGCCCGGGAGTGGTGCAAGACGCAGTACACAGACATGGTGGTCATACAAAACCAGGAGGAGAATATCTATCTGGTTTCAAAGCTGAAAAACAGAGATAGGGCGCCATATTATTGGATCGGGATCACAAAGCAACACAAAAATGAAACCTGGACCTGGATTGGGAATAACAGCACCTGGGTTGGTGAAGAGTCTTGGGCAGCCAATGAACCCAACAACAACCACAGCAATGAGTTTTGTGTGGAAATCTACGTGAACAATGGAGCAAACCGAGGGAAATGGAATGATGAGAAATGTTCAAACAGCAAATATGTCGCTTGTTACAAAGGTATTTTAGAGAAATGTTATTCTTAAAACTTGTTGCAGCTTTAAATTAGGTACAAACTGGTTAGTGTTACATTTTTCCTTCACAGCTCAATGTGATGAAACATCGTGTGATAATGGAAGATGCCATGAAACCATAGAAAACACCACCTGCCTTTGTGACCCTGGCTTTGAGGGGGACCGGTGCCAAACAGGTCAGTTAATAACTCTCTCATATTAAAAACTGTTTGTGGTCGCTGAAGGTTTTACAGCAATAATAGTAATGAATTAGACAATAAAAATTCTCCAATCAGTATCATTTTTAACTTTTCTGCTTGTCTAAGCAACCAGCTTTGTCCTGTTCATTTAGTTTTAGTTTGTTAAAGCAGTTTGTCACGATTTTACATTTATGTGAAGAGGCCTGTTTGCTGACGAAGTTACTGTAGCAGCTGAAGGTTTAAGGTCAGCATGTGGTAGTCTATCTGGAAAATAAAATGCATCATTACAAATGGTTTAATTTTGTCATAAGAGACTAAGTTTTTCTCAAGAAGCCTATCACTTTTCTTCTCCTGTCGATGTTATTCCAAAGAATGTCTTAGTCACAGATAACCGAGTCCCACTGAATTTCTTTAAAATATGACATTTAATTTGTAGGTCTGATGTTTTGCATCGTTATCACAAGCCTTGCATCTGCTTCCTCTTTTTCCTGAGGCCAAGCTAAGGATTATATTTAAAACACACATCAAAACACTTGCATCAGCATGTGTTAGCTGTCCTCTTCTCATAACAGACAGCTTAAAGTTTGAGGTTACACAACTGCACCCTTTGTTAAGTTTTGACCTCTTTGTTCCCCCCAGCTGTACAGTGCCCCCCTCTGTCTGATCCTGATAACGGATACCTGAGCTGCTCTGGAGGAAACCTGACATTCAACTCAACTTGCCAATTTAAATGCCACGTAGGCTTCTTCATGACGGGACCATCAACTATCACCTGTGGGGTCAATGGGCTCTGGAGTGGCCCCGGACCTACATGTGAAAGAAAATTAGAGGGTCAAATAAAATTTTTTAATCAAAATAAGATTTTAAAGCATTAAAATCCACGCTAAGGATTATATTTAAAACACTCATCAAAACAACCTTCCTCCTGTGTTAGCTTTAACTACGCACCCACTAGGGTCGGTTTTGACCCGTGTTTTAAATCAGCTGCAAATTACACTAAAAACAATTCTCTAACATCCAATCTGGTTCTCATCTCTTGGTTACCTTGTTAGGCTTTATTATCCATGAAAATATTGCTTATCATATTTTTTTGTTGTGGGGCTCTGGGCCTTTCTTTGTCAGTATACCCCTCATGCAGACATCTATACTGAACTGATCTTACATGTCTGGACATGTTGGACATTGTTTTTTTGTGCAGGGAAAAAAACTGGCAAAATGAGAATTTCCTAAATCTCACATGATTAGAAGAAGATCTGACTGTCAGTGTGGTGCCTGGCAGCCACTTATGATTTTAATTATTAGATATTGATCTACCCGTGTCAACAGCAACCCTAACATGATAAGTGCCATAATTTTAAGAACAGCATTTTATAATTTACTCAATTTATTTTTTTTATTTTTTTTATTTTGTTGGAATAGATGTTACTGACAAAGTCAAAAAGTCTTGATGCGAAAAAGCTAATCTATCTGGTTCTTTTAAGCATTTAAAAACAAAGACAGGTTTGTTGCAGACCCTAACGCAGGAGGTGGGTTAAGTTTGAGGTTACACAACTGCACCCTGAGTTAAATTTTGACCTCTTTGTTCCCCCCAGATGTGCAGTGCCCCCCTCTGTCTGATCCTGATAACGGATACCTGAGCTGCTCTGGAGGAAACCTGACATTCAACTCAACTTGCCAGTTTAAATGCCACGTAGGCTTCTTCATGACGGGACCATCAGCTATCACCTGTGGGGTCACTGGGCTCTGGAGTGGCCCCAGACCTACTTGTGCAAGTAAGTGAGAGAGTTAAAGAAATTTTTTAATTAAAATATGATTTCAAAGCATTAATTATATTTTTGTTTGTAAATATAATAATTATGAATCATTTTAGGTTACAAACAAGCTCTGATGGCGGTGGCTGGGTGTGGAGCCCTCTCAGCTCTCTGCTGTATCTGCTTGTGTGGATTGAAACGCAGAAACAGTCAGTATTTCACAATTTGGTTGTGAAAGTGATGCAAACAACAGACTCGTATAGTAATCTATTTCTCTCTCAATTCTCACAGGGAAGAAACTTGCACAAGAAAGGTCAGTGTTGAAATATACTCGTTTGAGGCAGCCCCACCCCACTGTGCTCACCAAATATTTTGAGAGTTAAAATTTGGTGTAATGATGTACTTCATTCTGTCTGAAAAAGCAAACTAATGTCGTCTAACATTCTCAGATGTGTTTTTTCTACGCTTAGTTTTCCTTTGATGTTAATCTACTTTTCTTTTACAGGCAGCCTGAAGAAGCATTTTGTCCATCCAGTGAGGCGCTGGAATGAAAACGTCTGAAATTTCATTTATGTTTCACTTAAATTAATTCACAATGGCTAGTATGTTAAACAATTATTCATTTCAGTACTTGATTTAGGAATTACCCATAAGAAAAGACTGTAGCACAGACTGTATGTTGGGATAATTGGAAAGCTGAGCATATTTTCCTAAGTGTTGTGTTTATTGAAACTTAAAGCTACTGTGAGAAGTTTTTCCAGCATTTGTGAAATATATTTAATTCATTTTGACGCTTTTTCTTATGATATCCAAATGAGACTATCAGCGACGTGACAAATGATTGAAACCAGAGTGAGGAGGTAGGCTTCAGTATTTCTGCATCAAATATTCACAATAATTGACACATTGGACTGTCAGGGGGGGGGGGGGGGGGGGGGGGGGGGGTGTATAAAAACACTGAATAGGCATTAAGGGAACATAATAAGCAAAGACTGCTTTGACCACAGGGGATGCAAAAGTTAGCCTAAACCAAAAGTTCTGAACAGGAGCTTTAAAAAAAATGTATGGTTTTTAAGTTTTGTTTGTTAAAGTGCATATTAGACCATGAGAGTCACGCAATATTAGTACACTCAGTTTTTGTAGTGTTTTGATTTGAGATTGAATAAATAAGACAAAATTTATGAGTATTACAAATGTGTGTACATGTGTATCTGGGTGTGTGTGTGTGTGTGTATTTCAAAAGTGTTTTGGGTGTTAGAGCAGTGCCCTTCCTGAAAGGAAGTTACTGCAAAAGTGATATTACCACATTTGATACTGACTCATTGGCAAAGGGACAAACAGAATTTTGCCATCAGTCATCAGCACTGCAGAGTAAATAGTGCCACAAGACTGAGTGACTGAGTTTGGATCAAATGGTGGGAAACTTGACGTGTCAGTGTAAGTTGTACATTCAGTTCTGCATGACTATATTTTGCACATTCATGCTCAGACAATTAGGAAGAAAACAAACATTTTTTTTATATTACAGATGTTCCAAGAATCCACCAAACTAAGCCTGAGGGAAGTGATGCTGACAGCTTTACTCATTTTACTCTCCCAAGGTCAGTCTGCACTTCTACATCTTTTTCTTTTCATGCTTTTTTTGGTGCAATTTTGTTTCATTTTATGTATATTCCTGAATGTAGACCTGAGCAGCAGAGGACGAGCACAGGCATGGAGCTACGGCTACAGCAGCAGTCCAATCTACAAATGGCTTGAGGCCCGTCAGTGGTGCCAGCAGCACTTCACAGACATGGTGTTCATCAGGAACCAGGAGGAGAATGACTACCTCAGGGACCTGCTGCCAGCTAACAAAAGACATTACTGGTTAGGTATTCAAAAAGTAGAAGGAAGGTGGATTTGGGTTCAGTCCAATCAAACAATACCCCCAGAAGCTCAAATTTGGGCACAAAATGAGCCAGATCAGGAGAGGGGCCAAAACTGTGTGGAGATTTACATACAGAGGAAGAGTGAATCAGGCAAGTGGAACAACGAGGGCTGCCACAGGAAGAAAGGAGCTGTCTGTTACACAGGTTAGCGCTTGCTTTTTGGCTGATGGTCTACTGACTCATGACCTTTTAGTCTTATTTTAGCATTTCTTTTTATGTCTGTAGCGTCTTGCAAACAAAATTCATGCAGTGTCCATGGAGACTGTGTGGAGACCATTGGGAACTACACCTGCAAGTGCCATCCTGGTTTCCAGGGGCCAGGCTGTGAAGAGGGTGAGCAGAAATTGTCAGAGTGTACACAAACTAGTTATGACTTCTTTTTCTGAGAGGTTAAAACATGTCCTTCTTAATTTTTTTTTTTTCTAGCAATTGAATGCAAACCCTTGTCGGATCCAGAACATGGTTTTCGCTCCTGTATCGATCCCTATGGGCCTGGGCGTTTCAACTCCTCCTGCCGTTTCCAATGTGACCTTGGCTTCCAGTTAGTGGGAGTTCCCCAATTGCAGTGCCAAGCCAGCGGTCAATGGCACCACCCTGTTCCTCTGTGCCAAGGTATCACAACTAGATATAAAAAAGAAAACAAATACGAATGGAAATGCATCAAAAATAATATTTCTTGCTGTGTGTTTCAGCTAAACAATGTCTAGCTCTGGATGACACCAACATCACCACAGGTAGAGTGAACTGCAGTAACCCTATAGCTCCTCACAGCTACAACTCCACCTGCAAATTTAGGTGTAATGAAGGCTTTGAGATCAAGGGACAGGACCAGATACGATGTGACCACATGGGCAAGTGGACAGCCAGTGTCCCATCATGCACAGGTAACATACCTGTCGTACTTTTGGAACACAGTGTCAAACAGAGTTATTATCTTGACCTAATTAATAAATGGTGATTAAAATTTTGTTTTTGTAAAGCTGTACCCTTCATTACTAGATTTAACACCACCTGGTACTAATACTTAGCTACCCATTGTGTAGTCATATCCTGTCTAGACAGTAAAGCAGATTAGACTTAGGTCACATATGTTAACACTTCACTTCACACTCTTTTACACTGATGCTTCAAAAACATCATTGTAATTTAGAGTGGGTAGTCTGTTACCGTTTCCTGTGACTGTCAAATATGTCAGCATGCTTATTCATACTCCCATTTCATGTTTATGGTATGTTTATAAAAGTGAAGTCATAGTATGCAGACATGACAGTAGAGTACTGATTTACAAGTGTGATTGATATCTGTGTCTCACACAGTGAAAAAATGCCCGCAAATTTTGTTTCCTGCTACGGGCAACATGACATGTACGGACACTCTGGGGCCATTCACCTTCAGCTCAAGGTGTAACTTCACCTGTCGGAAAGGCTACAGCCTGGCGGGAGACAACACACTCACCTGTCTGGCTTCAGGAAAATGGAGCAAACCTGTACCTTCATGCAAAGGTGGGTCACAGAACTAATGACAGGTCTACTTTAACATAAGCTTTTTGGAAGTACACTGCTTCATGTGATAATTATTTCTTTACTTCTGCAGTGAAGCAATGCAACAGTCTGAAGGATCCACCGCATGCCTCCATGCAATGCCAACACCCTTTGGGAGTGTTCAGCTACAGTTCAATATGCAGCATAAAATGTAACAAAGGATTTCACTTGATCGGCACAAATGTGACAAAATGTTCTTCACAAGGGAACTGGAGTCATGAACTTCCTGTTTGCAAAGGTATTAACACAACTGACTCGATCTAGGGGTAAACCACGACTTACTATCCTGCAGGAATTACTTTTTGCAATTCAAAAGTGCAATTCAACTTGTGATGAGGGCTTTCTTTTAAATGGGGCAGCAGATACTGAGTGTAGCTCCTCAGGCATATGGACCGCAGTCATTCCAAACTGCACAGGTAAAAAGGATCTGTAGGAAAAGTTTTCGTAAATGAATATTGAATATTTTTGCAGGGTCTGTTAGCAGCATTGCATCTTGTAGATGTTCCCTGCACACCTTGCCTTCAAATTTGGTACTTTTTACTTGTTTACTTTCCAGCTTATTTTCATGGTGTTGATGGTATAATTTTACTGTTTTTGCCAAGATAAGCTTGGGGGAGGACTTTGACCTTGACATAAGTGTTTGCTTAGCATGTACCTGGCATGCCTGTCTTTTTATAACTCTTTGTTTTAGTCCAACGGGTTATTTGGTACCAAGGCGATGCTCATTTTGTTGTGTTTTATCCACAGCACGCCCATGCCCCCTACTGGCGGAGGCTCTACAGCATGGGATGATGAATTGCAGTCATCTGTACTCACCTTACAGTTTTGGCTCCCTTTGTGACTTCCAATGCAATGAAGGGTTCAGACTTAGAGGAAATCAGACTCTGACATGCCAAACGTCAGGTCACTGGAGTCAGAATCCCCCCAGCTGCCAACGTGAGTCTCCACCATAGAAACAAATCACAGTCATATCCTACACTGCTCTGATCAAATAATTAAACTTTTGATCTTTTCACATTCTAGCTGTACATTGCGGCGCAGTTCATCCTCTGTCATCAACCCTGTTGATGAACTGCTCACATCCTCTGGACAACTACAGTTTTGGCTCTCAGTGTTATTTTACCTGTAAAGAGGGATACTCTCTGAATGGTACAGAGGAGCTGTTCTGCTCCGCCAGTGGGTTTTGGAATGACAGCCCACCACGCTGCATGGGTAAATAGATGTTTAAAATATATAATATAATCATCATAACAAGAATGTGAAGATTGATATGTTTGTTATCTAAATTTAGAATATTGGCATACTTAAACTTAGTATTTAGCTGAAATTAAACACTAAAAATACTGAGATTTATTGGAATGCATTTTATTTTATTTCATTTTATTTTATTTTTATTATTTTTTTACAAAGTATTTCATCAAACTGTTGGGACATTAAAATTTCTTCCTGAAGGGGGTGCTAGTAAGTAAGGTAGTATTCAAATTAATAAGAATACATCTTCAAAGGGATGTGGATGCTAACAGTTATGTACATGTTAATTGTGCCCTGTCTCCCATACCTTATATTTCAAATAATATTTGAATATTTTTGTAGGGTCTCTTAGCAGCATTGCATTTTGTAGATGTTCCCTGCACACCTTGCCTTTAAATTTGGTACTTCTTACTTTTTTACTTTCCAGCTAAAAGATGTCCCTCCCTGAGCTCTCCCTCTCATGGTTTCTCTTCTTGCTCTGGTCCTCATGGAAAGTTCAATTTTGGCTCCCAGTGCACATCAACCTGTGACAAGGGCTTCATTCTTAATGGGACTGCAAAGACAGAGTGCACCTCCTTGGGCAGGTGGAGCACCGATATGCCACACTGCTTAGGTATTATATTTGCCTTTATCATGCAAAATGAATAAAAATTCATAGAGGAACCTTTGATTTAAAGATTTAGATGTCAAGATTGTAACACTTCATCTTGATATCTCTTAAACATTCTTGTCTCTTTCTCCTGCCTTTTAGCTAACAAGTGTCCCACTCTGACTTACATCTCTTTGTTTTTAGTCCAGCGGGTTATTTGGTACCAAGACGATGCTCATTTTGTTGTATTTTATCCACAGCACGCCCATGCCCCCTACTGGCCGAGGCTCCACAGCATGGGATGATGAATTGCAGTCATCTGTACTCACCTTACAGTTTTGGCTCCATTTGTGACTTCCAATGCAATGAGGGGTTCAGACTTAGAGGAAATCAGACTCTGACATGCCAAACGTCAGGTCACTGGAGTCAGAATCCCCCCAGCTGCCAACGTGAGTGTCCACCATAGATACAAATCACAGTCATATCCTACACTGCTCTCATCAAATAATTAGACTTTTGATCTTTTCACATTCTAGCTGTACATTGTGGCGCAGTTCACCCTCTGTCATCAACCCTGTTGATGAACTGCTCACATCCTCTGGGCAACTACAGTTTTGGCTCTCAGTGTTATTTTACCTGTAAAGAGGGATACTCTCTGAATGGTACAGAGGAGCTGTTCTGCTCCGCCAGTGGGTTTTGGAATGACAGCCCACCACGCTGCATGGGTAAATAGATGTTTAAATTATATAATATAATCAGCATAACAAGAATGTGAAGATTAAAATGTTTGTTATTTAAATATAGAATATAAGCATACTTAAACTTAGTATTTAGCTAAAATTAAACACTAAAAATACTGAGATTTATTGGAATGCATTTTATTTTATTTATTTATTTATTAATTTAGTAAGTATTAAGTAAGTATTTCATCAAAATGTTGGGATATTAAAATTTCTCCTGAAGGGGGAGCTAGTAAGTCAGGTAGTATTCAAATGAATAAGAATACATCCTCAAAGGGATGTGGATGCTAATAGTTATGTACATGTTAATTGTGCCCTGTATCCCATACCTTATATTCACCAACAACACAATATTACAGCAACATTGTGGCATTGGATGAATAAGTACTGGTGTAGCCTTAGCTACAAGGATACATCCTCAAAAAAATATGAATTTCTGTGCAAAATTTCAAAGTATTTTGCTCAGACGGTTGACTTGACAGCTTTGGAGGAAGTCATAATTGGGATTTTATGTGTTCCAGTGGAAGGTTTACCACTTGGGACTGCCCTGCTGATGTACACAGGTATCGGCGCAGCCTCTGCTGCCGTGCCTCTTCTTCTGATCGGACTGGCGTTCTTAATAGTGACACAGTTGAAGAAAAAAGGTGAGACTTTCTGTAATTTTCTTCGTAGTAGTACACAAATACAAATGACAATTTTGTGGCACTCATAATTTATTTTTAATGTGATTTCTGATCTTTGCAGAAGATTCAATTGTGTCTGATGCACCAGCATGGGGAGACAGAGAGAATCCGGCATTTGAGTTTTGATTATTTTATGGTTTTTTTAAATTCATTTTTGCAGCAAATCACTTTGAATCATCTAATCTTATGCACGTTGTTATATAAAGCTTCTTAATGTGATTTACTTTTAAAGAAAAAAAAAAAAAAAGTAGGATTGTGACCTAATTGTGTCCTCAGAGATTTAAAATTAGATTTAATCTTGTGCATTTTTCTTTGAACACCTCTATCTCAAATATGCAAAGCAGATATTTCCAAGTATTTATACCAGGTGGCAAATGAAAAGTTTGTGAGCAGCTTGGTATGTGGTCGCTTGTACATTGCTTATCAATAAACTCCGAACGTTTCCACAGTGTTTTGTCCATTTCAGTTTCTTTACCTCAACAATCCACATTAATCCTGTAAACATTGTAATCTAGTGATGCTGGTCTCACCGTGCGTTTTAATGGTGCAGCTCAGTGTGCCCACATTTAACCTCCCCTTACAAAAAACTAATACAAAACCCCTGAGATTGTCACAAAGTGTCAGTTTAGCACATTTAGTGGCCAGAAAGCCCCTGTCACTTCGATGCGACGAGGTGATCTATTATCAGTGTCAGCTCAGGGTGTCAGTAGGCATGAACCTCACCCAACAGTAACCCCATTACCCTGAAACAATACCTATACCAATACCTATAGAAAATTTGTTTGTTTTACTCCATAATGCGGGGTTTCTGTTCAAGGTGTTTTTTTTTCCCTTTGTATCTGTGCCAGTAATATAGTGTCAGACTTTAGATATGTGCTGCGAAAGGCTAACGGAGTATCTTCAGCAAAGCGTGTGCATCTGTCTTGGCGCTGCAACAGCATGAAGCCAATTATAGCGGTTAAAAGACAGAGGGTTTGTGGCCTGTGGTTGGCATGAAGGGTGCAATAAATAACCAAACTGTTGACAGGAAAGTGTTTGGCTACCGTCAGAATAATAATGAGGTTATTGCTACCCGCTGTGACCGTATGATCATGGTTTGATTATTTTTTTAATGCCACCCACCGATGCTGGCAGCCATGTATGCATGCCAACCAGGCACAGACTGGTGCACAAGGAGGGAAAAGACCCCGCGAGTGACCATCTTGGCTTCTTTCCCTGATATTTAGGTCTGGCTTTTCTCCCTAAAGGTACGAGAGGACAGGAATGTTATATTTTACCGTCCACAACAAAGAGTGCCTTTCCATCTAATACATGTACTCCACCAGACACCTAGAGCAGATACAGACACAGATACAGACTCAAAGAAACACGTCTACCCTGCTGCACACTTCTTGAGCTCTGGTTGGCAGTGGCATACCTCGGTGACAGACAGTTAGATTGTTCCTGACCATTGACTTGCGCTCTCTGCTCTGCAAGGTCTGATTTCATAGTGGGAAAGATGAGACGGGTCCAGGAGAGGGTTCATGGCTGGGGCAAGGAGGCACTGAATACAGTGGGGGCTTCATATCTCTGGGTCACCCTGGGCATTCTCCCCTGACACAGCTTTCAGCCCCTCTGTTGTCTCGAGGGTTTTCTCAACCTCCCTCCCCAGGATTGGTGCATTCCAGCTGGGCATAGAGCCTGGGTGGTCCCCCCAGCCCCTCCTGTGGGCTAAGACGGGAGGAAGGAAAAGGCAGAAAAATGCAGCGAGGGCCTTTGACCGTGAGGAGCACAATGTGAGCGTTGATGATGTCGGCGTGGATGTGATGCTTACCTGCCACTGACCCATACAGCTGTCACAGCTGAGAGTTTCACAATCTGATGATCCACCATCGGCTGGGAGAAGATGCTTCACTGACCTGTCACCCAGATGGGACTGATAAGCACCGAGGATGGACTGACCCGGCTGTAACCCTCAGCATGAATACCCCACCTTTACGACAAATCAGCCTGTCCTTTATAATCACTAAATGCTAAAAGCTCACTGTATCATTACTTCTTTTATTCATTCAAGATGGTCAGCATACACACATACTGAGAATAAATACAAATACACACCCAAACAGCCTTTTACATTTGTAGATGCAGATATAATCTCATAACATTCAAACATAGAAAGAGAGGTCAGAAAGTATCGTGCATACACAGTCTGTGTGTACAATGGGATTGTAAAGCATTGGAGGCAGCAGTGTATTCATGTCTATATGATGGTGCACACAGTGTGTTTCATGGTTTCACAGAGTATCTCCTTGGCAGTGATTTTTTTAACCACTTCGTCAAAGTTTTTGTGCACGGAACAGACAGATAAATGAAAGGACCGGGGAGCGATGCAGTGTCTGACCTCCATCCTCAGGAGGTGAAGTAAGAGTCCTGCATGGAGTAGAGACGGTCGATGGGGGTGAGCAGAGAGGAGTCACTCAGAGACAGACAGTCAGTGTCAGTCATGTGACACAGGGGGTCTCTGTCTATGTCGCTGTAAAGACTCTTGAAACCTAAAAAAGACACAACGGTAACACTCTTTATTAGAAAAAAACAACAGCATCTTTTGAATTCTGGGTTTAGAAACACATTAAAGCTCTTACAACATAATTCAATATAAAAACTTAACATTTACATTACAACATTACCTGTTTTTAAAGGTTCATAAAGAACTCATCCTATGTATCAATAAAAAACAGTTTAAATAAAATAAAAAAAAACCTTTGATACCGTTTTTGCTCTGCACTCTGGACAACAGAGGATCTAGTGTTTTGGATTTCTACTGAAAATCAGAGCATGTCAGTATGGACCACACCAATGTTGCCCTTGATAAACTCAATATCTTTTATAATGCAGCAATAATTCACTGCTTCATACTGCTTAAAGAAAAAAAAAGACACAATATGGAGAGCCATAAAGAATCTCTGAAATCCATATTCCCTCCACAAATAACAGTAAAATGATACGTAAATCTGTCAGTATTATAGAAATCATGAACAGGTTTTGTAGAGATTTTTTTTTAAATTCTTGTTGTTGATACTGGTGGAAAAACATGATATAGGACATTGGTGACTTTCATGTTTCATTATGATTTAAAAAATAATTATGTATTTTTTTTTCTCTATTTACGTGTCCCATGATGACATTCCACCTAGAAAATGCAATGCTACAATACTTACACCAGTTTAAATAAAAATCTGAAGTGATCTACAAACTATTATTCATTTTATAAACAAAAGCAGCTTTGGTTACGTGCTGTTAAACACTTTATCAGATTCCTAACCTGAGCCATTTACAGGCATTAACCCTAACAATCATCAGTCTTGCTGGCAGGTTTTGTAGGTCATATGGAGGCATCAGTATTAATTTCAGTGTTTCAAAACCAGCCAAAAACTTCTTACAGTAGCTTTAATTGACAATATTAGCAAAAAAAAACATTTTTGTAGATCATGATCTTGAACATTTAATTTATTGTTTAACTTTTGTTGAAGGTCTTAATTTACCGTAGGGGTGCATGTGATCTCCTGGCATCTGAGGTGGGGTCAGGCCCTGTCTGAAGGGGTCCATGTCATAATCCTGCTGCTCCAGTGTGGTGAGTCCCATCTGTTGTTGCTGCTGCTGTATATGGGAGTAAGAGGACCCCAGGTGCTCCATCTCAGAGGTCAGACTGCCACGGGAGGGCACTGTGGGGCACAGGAGACAGAGAGGAGACACACAGGAGATTGTTTAACCACTACCTGGAACAAAAATGGCTTCTTTTAGCCTTTAAAAACATGTCCCCTTTAGAGCTTTGATCCTGACCTTTCAGTTCAACAAAGTCTTGTAAAAGGGTGTTCAATGCCTTTTGGAAATTACAGTTAATTATATCAAATTTTTATATTTCTTTAAGTATCCAACAGTGTGATACCCGTGTTATGTGCTGGGTGTTCCTGCTGCTCCTGAGTCTGCTGCTGCTCTTGCTGCTGCTGCTGCCTCCTTGCCAGTTTCTTCATCTAAAACACACATTTAAAACACACATAATGTAGAGGCTGAGTGAAAAACCTTTGTTTTTTTTTAAAACTCTACAATTCCTCTGCCACCCAGGCATGAGAGTGTGCTCACTCAATTGCAAAGTATTAACAGTAAGGTAAAGGACATCTTTCAGTGGAGCAAGGAAACCACACATGAGCCCACTTTGTGAGGAAATATGGGCTTTAATCTCCAGTGATCTCCAGTGAGATGTCATCAGTTTCCTGTATGAACAGATAACCAGGCTGATTTCTATGCTGGCATACAAACACGGTGCAGAAAGAGACCTTTTATTAGTAGTGCATATGACTGTGCGTGTGTGTATGTGTGTGTGTACTTTGTATTACTTTGGCTCTTTGGTTCTGGAACCAGACCTGCACCACCCGGACGCTCAGACCAGTCTCTGCTGCCAAGGTCTCCCTTACCTTGGATCAAGATACAGAAGAGAGGGGAGGGGGGTAAAAGAGGGAGGGTAAAAAAGAATCAGAAAAAGAGGTTATTTGAAGGTTGAAAATTAGCACTACTCAGCAATCGGTCTCAGACATGGAGGAAAGAATTACACATTCATGAAATACATCGAACAGGAATAAAAAAAACTTTCTTACAGGAGGGATAAACTATGGACTAATGCTAAAACTTTAGATCTTTGTGTCCTCTTGTGTCCTCTAAACTATGATACTTCAGGTCTTCCACATTCACACAGAAAATAAGGTCTTTACCTTGCGGCAGGGCTTGGATGAGACCTCAAAGGAGGCTTTAAAGGTACGTCTTTGTTGAGTGGTCAGAATAGTGCGTGGCCTTTTGGGACGTTTGCTATCTAAGTCCTCTGAGCTGGCATGTCTGCTTGTCATCTTCCCAGACTCTTTTTCCTCCTCCTCTTCCTCCTCATCATCACTTTTACCTGGAGATGACATAAGCAACAAAAACAAGTCAAACAAGGAGACAAAGTTGTTGGAAAATCAGTCTTAAATAGTTGTTCGGTGAAAAAGATCATTGTTGATATTGCCTTTTATATTTACTATCCTGTTTCCGCTTTCGTCCCCCATTTTAACTGCATTTTCCTTTTTTTCTCAACTATTTCATGTTTTTATTTTGGTTCTCATGGTCTCATTTTATGTTGCATGATTCTTGTATTGTCTGGGTTCCTTATGACATGAAAATGGCCTTCAAATCTGTTTTTACTGAGCTTTTTGTTTTTATCTGTCCTTTTCCTTTTCACTACATGTCAAAGCACTTTGTAAACTTCTGTTTTTTAAAAGTGCTATACAAACAAAGTTTTTAATATTTCATTATTATTAAAGTTTTTTCTTTGTTTGGCCCCCTCTGTGTATAGAATCTATTTGGTATTGATTTTCAAAATAAAAGCACTTCAACACTTTCTTATAAGTTACAAAATATTGTATTTACACTAAGTTGCAAGGAACAGCCATTACTAATGTGTCTTTTTATCATTTCATAGCTGCTATTTTTTCATATTACTGTAAAATGTATTACCTGTTTTAAAGTATAATTAGTCTTGTGACTTTTAGATTAGATTTGTGACTTTTTTAGTCTCAAGTCCAGTTTCACCTTAAAACTGTCGCAATTATCTTAATAGTTGTATATGACAGCATGCATTTGACTTGCAAAGTTGCAAAAGATGTGCATTTATCAACAAATCGCAACAAATAGTGATATATCAAATCAAAACTATGCATAGACCACAAAAGTAAAAAAGGCCGTCCCACGCAGGCCTGCACAAACACACACTGTCCACTGTCTGTACCTGAGTCTGAAGAGGCCGGGCTGGCCACACACTGGTGGTAGTCGTCCCTGGAACATAGAAGCTGTCCCTCCCTGAGGACACAGCGGTCTCCTGTCTGCAGGCGGCAGTAACAAACGCTGCAGGTGAAGCAGCGCAGGTGGAACACAGCGGCCCCAGCACGCATCACCAGTTCTGTGGGAGAGATAGCCTCCATACAGCCCCCACAGCGCACTGCAAACAGACTGCCGGGAGGGAGAAGAGGGTGAGGGGGGTTGTAAGAGGGGGAGACAGAGAAATTGTGAGAAGTCAGTAAATAGGTTTGAGTAATGCCTTTGTTTGGCTGACCAGAGCTTAAAGCTGAAGGACTTGAAGACCCCTCTCTCTTCAGGAAGAAGGACTCCATGAGGGGAAAAAAAGTTGGTTGACTCAGGGAATGTTGCTGAGTTGAGCTGTCACTCAAAAGGACTGCCAACCTGACTTCCCCCCTCTACTTCTCCTCCTCCTCCTGACTCGACCTCGCAGACACATACCCACAGCATGGCGGGTGTGCATCTTAGCGCCTGGCAACCAGAACTGGTGGGCTTAGCCCCAGAGACTGTTGCCGTGGCTCCAGCTGCCGTGTCCGAGGCTGTGCTCCTGGGGAGGCCAGAGAAAAGCTCTCGGCAGGCCATGGCTCCAGGCAGAGGGGGGGAATCAGAAGTCCCGGTGGGAGAGGCTGAGTCGCCGGTCCCATGAATTATCTGCAGAATTATCCCTAAGTCTGCTTAACCAGAGTGGGACAAAGACAGAGCCAGCCCCCGAGCAGCAGGACCATTGTCCGCTGGCTGACACCGCCACATTTTGGGTCTGTCACGCAGGATGATGCGTCATCATTTTGGAGCTGGTGTTTGTCTCAGAGCTGACTGGGTCATCAGACCAGTCAGTTCAGAGGCATGAGAAAGTGACAGGCTTTTTTCCACATTTTCTTCTTTACATTAGAAACAGTGTTGTTGGCTCATATGAAGAGTTTACATTTATAAGCAAATCGATCTCAGATTTATCTACTTATTACCGGCAACAAAAGACATTTAAGATTAGTGTTAAATACTTTTTTTTTTTTATTGCTGATCAATTTAGTCATTCATGCACAAATGGAAAAAAAGTTAATTAAACAACTGTTTGCTGTTCATTTTTAGTCTTGCCATCAGAGGAGAGGTTGATTCGACATTTGTCAACATATCTGCTGATAGAAAAACTTTATTTTGCCCATACTTTCTGTCAGGAATTTCAATTTTTAATTATAAACTCTGGCCCAACAAAGTGTTTGTCTTTTATATTATTCCCAAATAATACTTGTCTTCCCTAAATCTTTATTCTAGGATTTAAAGTTGGCCTCCAAGTTACACAAAATTAGCATTTTAATTAATCTTTCAATTCACGCCAAAAATAAAGCACAATATTTAAAAACAAAACAAAACAAAAAGACTCAAGCCAAACACAGAGCTAACATTCAGGTTGAGATGTCCCTGTCAAACAGTCTGGAGCTTCAACATCCTGAAGTCAAACATTGCTCAGACCTCTCCCTGTTGCCGTGGGGTCGCTGGGGAGACGCTAAAGCCCCTTCCCAGCAGCTCAGGAAGGTCAGACAGGCTGCTTGACCCATCCGGGTTGTCTGGTCCATAGCTTCAGTGGTATTCGCTTTAATATGGCCAACATACCGTCTGTGATATGTGCATTCCCGTGGCAACACAAGATGCATCTAAGAAACATCTTAACAGGAAGTGTGGCGCAGGAAATACCCGGAATGTTTCTCTATGATGCAGCGAAGTGCTTCATTTAATGCCTCAATGTGATGCTGATGATACATGGCAGTGATGAAGAAACCCTGGGCATTAGTATTCTTCAGTTTCGAGAATCCCTTTTCCATTATGCGCCTCCTCCCATTTGTCTTATTAAAACGAGTATTTCAAAGCTGTGTTAATGCAAAGGTAAGAGTACCTCCCGTACTTATGGAGCAGCTCAAGGTGTTTAATATTTCAGAGTTTCCGTCGATGTGATTGGCATTCGGAGGACCTGCAAGCTGAGCGGGAACACTCAGTCACGCTGGATTTAGTCATGGCAATTAGTTACACGATCATTACGGACAAGTAAGTCAGCAAAATCTTGCACTCCTCCACACGGACACAGCTCGAGTCGGGAACTCTGAAGGTAGATGCACTTAAATAAACACGTTTAGTCCAGAAGAAGCCCTCCTCTCTTTGTTCCCTTTGTGACCTTAGTACTGGCCTTTAGCAGTCAGGCAAACAGACTGCAGGTCCAGTGGACATGCAGAGGCACAGATCCTGTTTCTGTATCAGGTTAACCTGGATTATTCCTTGAACACACTCACTGACACAGAGTGTGTATCAGATACAGATCGGTGGGTCAAGCACACCGACAATCAGGCCGCTGATCCGACAATCAATCTGATTTCCAGTTCATGTCTCCTGAACTGTCCGGCCAAGCTGAATCTGCACATTATCTACGACACCTAAACGTCACAATGCAGACAGGACATTTACATTCTGCCTCAATAAATTACACAACAGTGGAGTGTATAAGTTGTGTGTCTGCTACAGATCACCCAGAGCTACCTATAGGAGCTAAAGAGACAATGCAATCTTTTCTGACAACATTCTCTTGTGTTTGTTTGTCATGAAAACCTTGGCCAAAATAAAGCTCATAAATAACTTTAAAATATGCTCCTTATTATTATTATTATTATTATTATTGTAATTTTATATACAAATATGAATGTAAGTCCTCATAGCTTAGTGGAGTCTGTAAAAAGTGGATAAATCTGTCCAATCATGATTAATTATCATGAAAGTTCAAAATATTTTAGATTCATCAGTGTAGAAGAAACTTATGACAATCAGTAAAACAAATTGGGATTATTTGTAATGAAATGTTATTAATTAATGAAACTGATATTTCTGTTGCTATTGCCATATATGATCATACATTTTGCAGTGATTTTTGTATGTTGTTGATACTGTTAACTAATTAGTTTGGACTGTATTTGATTAAATTGTTCTGCCATATCTTTATGGGTAAAGGTAGCACAATATAAACCCCTTTGTTTAGGTCTTTTATCCACTGGCGTTATTGTCTTTGAGCTTCTGTAAACTTGCCAGACCTGGTGGTCTATCACCAGGCCAGCACAGGGCAAAAACAGACCAGATCCAGACTAGAGATTCAGCGTGTGTTAGGAGACAAATGTTGTCACAGTATGGTATAATCGTCACTTACGAGCCAGCTTCACACTCTTCCCGGATCATAAGAAAGGGAGGGAGCTGAACACATTTTACACAGTGAGAGAAACACTGGCACGGTTTTTAAAAACCCTCATGGGAGACAAAAGCGTTGCTCATGTGTAATAAGGAGCCATAACCACACACAAGGATGGAGCAAGGAGGTAGAGATGGGAGAGCTTGGAGGCAGAGCTCTGGCACCCGGCCTCCTGCTAATTGGTCAGGTCAGATAACTCACGGTCGGCTGGGCGTTGTCCCATCGCTCGACACGCGGGCTGCTGTGAGCCGAGCTTTCCAGATGCCACGGCACATAACGCCAGGGCTCATGGAGCGCTCCGTCCCTCAAAATAAGTTCACACCAGCAGCAGCAGTCTCTGTTGTAGGGATGCAGCAGGCCCTCTGACATATGGCTTTACTCTCCTAATTACCCTTCAGTCCTACTGTCTGTGATGCAGCCACAGACATACAGCCCACAGATTTACACAAGCGCTATCATCTCATGCTAAGTACTCTTATTTGGGTGCTTTACAGGAACCAATTCAAACTGGTCATTAGTTATGGCATCTCATGTAGAAACAATACATGAATCTGAAAACTTTGACAATACTTGAAAACATTTATGGACTACATTAGAATCAAGGCCAACTGTTCGCCAAGGGAAGTACAAGACCAAAACAGACACACAAGCCATGTCTATGTATCAGCATCTATCTAGCTCTGTCTATGATTAATTACAAAGCACAGACTCTTGATTTTTTAAATAATAAACTACCTATTTTGTTTTCTTTTCAATTCTTGGGTTTTCAATTTGCTATTGTTCAGCTCTCCTAATGGTCAAACAATACACGTTTGAAAAATACATTTTGATCGAAGCTAACCCAAACTCCAAATGGGCCTGAAACATCACTTAAAGAGATGTGATATGAGAGGATACAATATACAGGGACACAATACGCTCAGTACAGTATGATATATGTTAGTAATTGACCCGGCTCTTTACATTACAATTCAGTACAATACAACACAATGCCTCGGTATGTATGCCAACAATTAATCGAGTAATTGCTTGTTGAAAACACACTCAAATGTGTATGATATTGTCACACTTTCTATCAGGTAGACATAAACAACCTGTGGTCTCAGGTTTCATTTTACTATGAAAGGAGTGATTTAAACACCTTCCAGTGTGGGCCTGGTGGCTAAAGGTGTTGTACACAATGGAGATGCTCAGCTTTGCACCAGGTCTCTTTGATGACTCTAATATTGGGGAGAAATACAGAAGACATACACGAAGATCAGCACGCCAATATTTCTGCATACCAGCGACATCAGTGCTGTCTGTGTATGTTTTCTGCCGTTGGTCTCACTGTAACATGGTAATTTTCTTATTGAAAATACAACACATTACCCTTCCACTTGATACAGTGCCATACATTTTGAAACCATACAGTGCTATACCAAACCACAGCACTGGATAGACACTATGACACAGTGTGGTAAGATATGATATTATTTGATTTAACACAGTAAAATGCAATACCATAAAAAACACAATGAATTGATTGAAATTGATAAAACGCAATATTACACTACATTACATGATTCAGTGTGATTTTCAGGAATTCAGGAAACAATACCATACCATACTACACCAAATAAGCAATTTTTTTTACAGTTGAATGTGAACTAAAGTGTACTGTCTGTTATCATAAAATCTAAATGCTGGCAGGGAGCATTTTGGACAATAACCATCATCACTAAATTGTTCAGAAATATTATGAAGTGCGTTTTTAGTCCTGGCTCTCTAGGTGAGGGCATGTTTTTGGAGGAGGAATGAGTCAGTGGGCGGCCATGGGTGATGCACTGGGAGTTTTGAGGGGGACCGCCTCAGCGACTAGACCATATGTTGTCCCCAGCTTGCAGTTGCCACGCCGATGGGCCTCCAAATTTTAACACTTTTTGACAATGTGTCAGTTGAGCTCTACCCCTGGTTGTGTGCCGTTTGTGTGTGCGCTGTATGGTGTGTAAAGGTGTGACCGTGTTGTTTTGCAACTGTGTACATGCCTTTGTGTGTGTGTGTGTATCCGTGTGTGTGTGTGGGTGTCCACTATCCAATAGTGTTCTCACATTCCTGCTCCCTCACCACCCTTTCCTCCTACAGTCACCTTGTTCTCTGAGTGCACTGTGCCAAGTTCCCTTGAAGTCAACTTACACTATATATGCGACTATTATCCAAGCACAAACATAAAAACACCATGCTTTCACCTTTAACTATATAATATATACATGAGTACAGGATGAAAAAGTTTTTAAAAATGACTTTTTTTTCACAGGGGCTTTCACGATAAATTACTTTTCCCCACTCTGACTCACCCCTGTTACCCCCTCTCTCTCTTTCTAATACACACACAACCCTCCTCGCCTTCACTTTCTTTGTCAAGGTCAGATCTAGACAAGGCTTCTGTTGTTAAAGTTGGCTTAATAACGCAAAATGACTTCTGACTTCAGGCCAAATAAATAACATAAAATGTGTAAAATAAGACAAAAAAGTAGTCTGCACAAAAGAGATCATTTTTAACTATTTTAGGATTTTTCTTGTGGTAAAAAAAAAGTTTAGGAAGATTTTTTTTGCAAGATTTGTATATGATGGAATGTTGAGGTATTAGTTTGGCTCTAATTGGTTTAGAGGATTACACAATCATCATCATTTTTTCACTGAGAGGTGATTTAAAAAGAAAAAAAAATATGCTTTTAATGATAAGAGGACAATGAAACTATAAAAAGCTCCATGTCATGTTTTTTTAATCTGAAAACTATATTTGCTTCATTAGTCAAATCACTTTTACATTTTCTTATGAGACAAAAACTAGAACCTAAATTGTGTTAGTGTGTCTTTTTGAGAGTGAATTTTAAGTCAAACGAAACAAAGGAAATGTCAAATATGGGTCCATTACTCACTCAGCATAATCCCTCTTGCAGTAAAGTTTGTGGTCCCGCAGAAAGCAGGAGTTGGTAAGCGCATCTCCGCACGCGGCGCACCGCACACACTCCTCGTGCCAGAGTCCGTCAGAGACCCTGAGCAGGAATCTGTCTAAGATCAGCCGGTGGCATCCGGCACACACCGCCTTTTGATCCATATCTGAAACCAGGGAAATCCTTTTATTAGAAGAGTTTTCTGAGTAAGAGGAGGCAGCTGAAATATCGGTCTGATTTGGCAAAACGAGATGTGATGGAGGGGCCACAAAATCAGAATTCAAAGTGATGATATGTTGATGTTGCACAAGAACAAAGGCCATCAAAAATTTTAGTTTGAAGAAACAGCACTAAAATTTCCAGTTTGTCCATTGTATAATTAGTACAGTATATTGAAATGTCAACATGGTTGGGTACGACTGAATTAAATCTTTTGGAAACAACTGGTCCAGACTAGACTGTAGACTTGGACAGACTACACATTTCAAATAATAATCCTGAAATCTCTTTAACTTAAACGCTTTATAACTTATTAATGTCAAGAAGTTATACCATCCTAAACACTGGTGCCATAGTCAATCCGAGAATTGCTGTTCTATAGTAGGCTATAACGAAAGACGTGATAAATCAATTTGTAAAAGTTTAAAAAAAATACATTTAAGTGTGAGGAAAAGTTAAGAATGACCGTTTAAAAGTCTCAGCTGTTACATTTCAAGACGCTCTTACCTTTCGAGGCGAACTCTCAGTGGGTAAAAAGTATGTGGGTCCTCAGCTTCAGTTTCGCCTCAGAGCATCTCCGCTTCAACAAGAGTCCTGCTGCAACTTTGTGTCCGGAGAGGAGAGCACAGTGACCTCTCTGTGTCTCTGTTATTGACTATTTATCTATCAATTATCCGATTAGGACTGAACGAACGGGAAGAGGAGAGAAAGTTTCTCCATGTGCAGGTGCAGGTGCAGCCTCTCTCTCTCTCTCTCTCTCTCTTTCTCTCTCTCTCTCTCTCTCTCTCTCTCACTTTTTGACTGAGTGTGTGTGTCTCTCTCTCTCCTCCCACGTTTGCTCTGTAGACATCCACGAGTAAGTTTTTCTGTCATTACGGACCGATAAATCTTGAAGTTTTTAGGAGTTAGATTGCAGGTTAAAGGGTCGAGGTGGCAGGTTAAAAAAATGAAGAACAGCCAAATATTGTCTGGCATGTACATGATTGTTTTAAAAAGTAGTATTTCTCAAACCTCATTATTTGCTTTTAGATTAAAAAATGACAAATTCTCTGATGACTTAAAGGGTGGAAGCAGAGCTATAAAACATACGAGCCCATGAGTTGTATGCTAACCTGGTGCCTAACTTGGATGATAACATTCTGGTGAAACTACTTTACTTGTGGGTGTATTAACCTTTATCATTCTCACACTTCTTCCCAGCAACTTTTTATTACTAAGTTAAATATACTATTATCTGCACTGCTGAACTTTGCTACGTGTTATCAGCAGACATTTAAAGAAGGCTATTAGGCTAATAATTTTGGGTAAGTTAACAGTCGAATCGACATGTCTGGTATTTCTCTGTCTATATTTTATTTAACTATTTGGTCCTCATTTCCCCTGAAGTTCTTGAAATTATGTCCTCGTGGGAAACCTTAAACTTTGACGATTTAGGAAATAGATCTGAGGAATCCTCACTGATGGTTATCAAACATTTTTTTGACCTGCCATCATCCGTCTCTACCTGTCTACACTGTAACTACACTCTTTCCCACTGACCCCACAGTCTACACTTTTTGGACGCCACCTAGTGGAGAAGACTGGAAATGTACATACCTTTGCTCAGTTGAAGAAAAACGTAGGGGAAAATTTTTAAAATGTAATAGACATATTACAAAAACTTGATAATAGTTTTAAATTCTCAACTATATTACATAACAGTTAGATAGAAAACTCCCTTGTGTTGATTTGGAGCTACAAAATAAAAGGGCAGTTTCACAGTATAATGGATTAAAGTAAAAAATATACTGATAAATATTGGAATTTAGAAAATACCAAGTAAAACAATAAATAAAATAAAGGCTTTACATTCGGTCTAAACTGTGATGTAGTTTTGAAATTTGTTTAAAATGTTATGAAAATAAGACAACAGAACCAACACATTTCATTTTAAATAATTTTATTCTGTAAGAATTCTCAAATGTGTTTTAAGAAATGCAAGAATGGTTTTTGTTTTTTATACAATTCCTCTTTGAATAAAATATGATTCTTTTTCAAATTGCATTGGGTTGCTCTTTAAACGGACACCAGAAATTATCTATTTACAAAAGAAATCTGTGGACAGTTCTATCAGAATTCATTTTGACAGTGTACTCCACCCTCCTTTTCGTTATTCCACCCTCCCCAAATCCTCAAAATACTTTTTATTCCATTTTAATTACAAGGTTGTGCTAGGTACAAAATATGCTGTTTTGCAAGTTTAATCAAGTCTTTTTTTATTCCATCTTCATGTCGCTGACATCATGGGAGTATATACAGGGGGGAAGGGGGGGACTGGTGTCATGTGATCTGATGCGGAGCCTCCAGCATCTCCATCAGGAAGGTGTCGATGGGCGTGTCTCCGATCAGCTTGAAGAAGAACAAATGCTCCAGACATTTGAGGCCGATGGAGCGCAGGGCGGGCAGGCGGAGCAGCAGTTTGGCAAACCTGTGAAGACAAGCGAGAAGATTGTTTTACAATTATGTGACATTCAAGAAAAAAAGGTTATGCTACCACATACAGAAAATCATGTTCATGAAAACTTGAAAATGTATGTAAATAAAATCCATTTAAAAGACATTTTTGTTCTGGTTACACAACACTTATGTAACGGTTAATCGTGTTATTCATTCATTCAATATTTTCATAGTTTTTTTACATCTTTTTTTAATATTTAAAATCATGATATTACTACATTTATCTTACCGCAGATTTTTTTTTAACCTTACTTTTTACACTTTATTTATCACAGTTTAAATGAACATTCATTATTTTGTACAACATAACCCCCCGGTGATTAGAATTTTCTACCAAAGATTTTACAGTTCTGCAAAAACAAAAACATGCATTTTCAATTATAGCACGATTTTTTTAATCCAATGGGGGGAATTAAACTTCTGAGATAATTGAAAGTGCACAAACCAAAGTGTAAGCTGCAGCATAAAGTAATTTATCTCATGATAGTAAATATTAATAATTGATTGCAACCATTTTACAAAAGTAAAACCTCAATTAGGCCATGCACTTTAAAATTTAATGCTGGTAAAGTGTTTAAGCTGAGTTAAAACCATTAATATTACTTTATACCAGTAATCTCTCTCTCTCTCTCTCTCTCTCTCTCTCTCTCTCCCTCTCTCTCTCTCTCTCTGCTGAAATGAAATACATTTCCTACCTGCCAGGCTGGTCTGGGTATTTCTGTTTTGTGTATGACTCCAGTGAGGCGTAAACTTTTTCCCTCAGACCTTCAACCTCTGGTGGGTTCGAAAGACCTTTTGCATCTAAAAACAAGCATACACTCAAAGTCAGGACAAATATCATACTGAAACAACATGTATAGACTCTGAAGTCGCAACGTCATGACTGTAAAAACAAACAGGTTCACAGTGAAGTTGCTATAATGGTAGTTTTATTCACTGCGCACCATATGCATTATAGTCATGTGCATCATTGGACTATTGTGATCAAATTTAACATTCAGGGGTTTAAAACTTTTTTCCCCATAGATAATGAAATCAATCCAGCTCCCAAGAGATCTTGGCATCCAAACAAGTGCTTACCTGGGTTAAAGAGGACAATTGCTCGCAGGCAGCCGAGCTCTGTCTTATCCATCTGCATGTCTTTCATTTTGGAAACCAGCTCTGTCAGCACTCTGCAAAGCAGCAGATGAAAAACACTAGTAGGGTTTTGGAAGTTTCACTTAAGTGTCACTAACATACTCTATATTGATGCAACAGCAGCCTATAAAGACTTTACATTCTGCAACATTAGATAAAAAAAATATATATATCTGTATATACTTTACATATGTGAAGGTTTGATAGAGTAGTTGATTCAAACATGTTACTGAATACACAGGAGATAGAAGATGACATGCAGGACTCAAAAGTGTAAAGTAGTAGTACTATCACTTTTTTTACATTTGAAATGATGTTGGACCTTCTCTATCAGTATTTCTCTGCAGTGTCAAGAGGATAATGAGACTGCACTGTGAGGTGGCTGAAGTAAATGTTTTCAGTTCTCTTGTTTTATCATTGACAATGTCCTACCTATCAAAGATGGAGCCCACTCCAGCACTGTGGGCACTGCTTCTGTGCACGTGGAGGCCTGTCGCCAACAGGATACCATCTTTTACTGTGACTGAGCGATGTGAAAATGATGCAATAAGAAGCTCATTCCATCCTGGAAGAGAAATAACACACAAAAACTGTTACCTTTTCATAACTCTAACCCTCAAATACTCTATCAGTTTATGTCATGATATATTACTTTTTGTGGCTTGTGTGTCTGTTCCTTGTTGTAAAGGGATTATTAGATCTGCTTTGTGGCATTTTAACTTCCTCATTTAGACCCGTGTGTGAAATCTGTTACCAGCAGGGGTCAGCAGCGGTGCAGCTGCAAAGTGCACTGCTGCTGGGACTTGGCAAATAGTCCAGTTATATTTGGTTTCACTGCTCCATTAAACTAGATGGCAAAAATGTGTTGAGCAAATGTAAAAGACTCAAATAGACTGCCTGCTGGGGAATGAATAACTGCCCTGAAGGAAATATAACACCACAGGACAATGGGTTGCACAGAGGCCTGTTTACAGCTGTAAGGATATGCATGAGTGAGTGTGTGAGTGTTTTTCTCTGTGCGTACTAAGTCTGCACACATGCCTGCTGAATGCTTGGGACTACCTGTGTGTGTGTGTGTGTGTGTGTGTGTGTGTGTGTGTGTGTGTGTGTACCTGCTCGTAGTAGGATGACCTGGTCATCAAGGGGGAGTTCAGAGAAGTGCGGGATCCTTTTGGCCCACTCCACCAAGGTGAAGAGCTGCTTGTCTGCTGCTTGGCAGATATTGGTGACGGGGTCGTTGGTCTGCAGGGGAACAAGGAAAAGGAAATACAAAATAAGAAATCACACTTAAATGCCAGCAACATTTAAGCTTGTGTTTTTTCGCGGTTATTGAGTATATGCAAGTATGTGTATTTTAGTTGTTTTGTAAACCAACACCTCGGAGTAGGCGCAAACTGGCACCCACGTTTCCATCAGTCTGCCCTGGGGTTTAGTTTACCACCACCAGGGTGTGACTGTGAGTGAAAGAATGATGCATCTAATGTAAAGCGCTTTGAGGGTCTCTGATAAAGCGCTATAAAATCTGTCGCATTATTATTACTATCTCTTTAGAAAGATTTTAAAAGATTCACCCGAAGGGACATACAGTTTCTTTTTAATTCCACCGTTTCACTTCACAACAGCAAAACCCTTCTACAAAAAGTGGTTTCACACTCTATGCCCCTCACTGATCGAGGTTACAAGAAAAAGCAGTGTATTTTTAGCATCCTGAGCTGTTAGAAGCTGCCTCAGCTTCACAGTAAAAGAACAGCGATGAATAGTTTATGGGTTTAACTAGATCAAACTCATTGTCTGTGCTCCTTACTGAGTTGCTGGGGCTGCCTTCATTGTACGTCTCTGTTTTTGGCTCAACAGCCAGCTCGGCATCCAGGATCTTGTCCACTGGCATTTCTTCGTTGAAACTGCTGGTGGATTCCACCTCGTTCTCTCCTCGCTCTTTCCCGCGCTGCCTCTCTTCCTGTACAGCTGGACACACAAGAACGCCAACAAACACACAGGTACATTCAAGGTCAAGTACCCTACACAGACATACAGTGTGATCATACACAGGCTTATGACTTAAAGCTCTAAAAATATTTTCAATTAGTGCGAACAGGAACCTGGAGGTGTTATATTCAGTGTCTTAGATGTGTTTCCATTGAGTTCAGCCTGGCATATTACTTTGGTTCTTGACAATATCTTCAAATACAACTCATCAGGGTTGAGCGATGCTTATCCCCACAACATGAATTTATCATTAGGAGTTTGTGGGCTTTTAAATATCAAAGAACCAAATCCTGCAGCACTGCCCACACCTCTCCTTAAGCACAAATGCCCATACACACCTTCCCTCTTCATGCCCATTGCCAGGCACTTCTGGTAGCGACAGTATTGGCAGCGGTTTCGCTGGCGCTTGTCAATCAGGCACTCCTTGCTGTCTCGACATGTGTAAGTAAGATCTTTTCGGACAGTCCTTTTGAAGAAGCCTTTGCATCCCTCACAGCTGTACACACCATAGTGTTTTCCTGTGGAAACAGAGTCCAGAGCATCAGTATTGCTTAAGCCACAAGTATGCTTAAATCTCCCAGTAATTGATCAAGTATGAAATTTTATGATGTGGTATAGAGTATGATATGGTGTGTTACGCTGTGCTTTGCAAAACTATGCTATGCTTAAGTTCAAACCATATTGTGTCATGACGTGGTGTGACATGTTGTGTCGTATTGTGTCGTATCATACTGTATTGTATTGTGTTTTATCGTGTTGTTTCATGTCATATTTCACGGCATTCAGTGTGAAGGCTAAAATATAAAAGACTACAGGCAGTATTAACTGGAGGTAAATCTTTCACTGGATGCATCTTTGGAATCATATCCTCTCTTAGACAATTAAAAACCCTCAGAAACTGCAAAAAACAAGGCAAGATATCTTTAATAGAGATGCACCGATCCATTTTTTTCCTGATCTCATCAGATGCCGATACCTGGGCTGAGCACATCGGCCGATATCCGATACCAATCCAATACTACTGTTGAATGAATGTACTGTATACCTTGCCCTGTGAGTGAAGGCATCAGGCTTGACATTAGCCTTGTTAAAAAAAGGTAACAAATTAACACAGATATAAATTTACTTAATATTTTTTATTAACAAATAACAAATTAGCACACAGCTAAAAGAAGCAAGAATTCCATGTAAACATTTAGTGCAAAAGGATAGAAAGACATAGAATATGGAGAGAACAGAATTGCTGTGTTGCTGTGTATGATATTAATGTAAATAAAAATTAATACCGGAACGCTGGATCTGCATCATTCATCACATATCCGATCCAGTTAACTTGTCAATATCGGAGCCGATATCTGATCCAAATATCAGATCGGTGCATCCCTAATCTTTATTAACTGAAACAAGCTCAAGTATTTTTCAAAGGGCTTTGAAAAGTAATAGCTTAAATTCCTTGTGGCAGAGTTTCAGGAGTTCAAAGGTTTAAAGGAAAGATGATATCTTCATGCTGATGGTCTGGTTTGCTTATGGAGGTCACAATGGGGGATCATAAGAATAACTGGCATAAAGCTTGTATAGAAAAAAAATCCAGTTTTTATAAGACAGATCGTGACTGTCTTCTGTCTATGATCAACTTTCTTGCATCCTTCTCAACTTGAGTCACCTTGAGCATTTCCCTATGCTGCTTCCTTCTATTATGGCAAAGTGCACACTGTGTAAGGGGAGAGGATGTCCATAACTTTGAGAACCTTGAAAATCTGAAAGGTGAACTATAAATTGCACTAGTAAACCTGTCAAAACACCTTACAAGTCACCCTGAAACTGCTTCTATTAAGATGCTAGTGTTTGTAATAAGTAGGGAAATACATTTTTCATGTCCACCCCCCCATCACCCCCATTATCTAACATTACCTGAGGAGCGGTCCCCGCAAATGGAGCAGATGTGCTTTGACATTCCCCCGGGGCTCGTACACTGGTAGTTGATGTTTCCCAGGCTCTGCAGGCCCGGCGGTGGCTTGATGTCCTCCGAGCTGCTGACACTGTTCATAGAATTCATCTGAGGACAACAGGAAGACAAAAGAGACAAAAAAACATACACAAAGAGTTAAAGCTGAGGTGAACAAAACTGAACGGAAGCAGAAGGGAAGTCTACTTGAAAAGTGCTGGGCTGTCTCATGACACTCTCCTCCTTCCCCTATTTTTTTCTCATTTTCTCTTCCGCTCACCCTTACTATTTTTTTCCTCTCCCCACCCACGCAATTTATTGTAAAAGTGTCTGCTGGTGTGATCACATGCTCTGCTAATGGGTGGGGCTTCTGTCTGAGGCTTGTCATGCAGGTTTTTTAATGTTTGTTGACAGGGAGAGAGGCGTGTGAGGGAAGTCACATGGTTCAGAGGGTGCAGTTTCCAGGCTTCAACAGCAGGGGGAGCTCCAATTTTGTTGTTCAGACAGAGGTGTCACATGAGCTTGCATTGTAGCACCAATTTGACCTTATATTTTGCTTCATAATTTGCTTCTTAACTAATAATCATGGGTGAGTTAAAGGTCAGAAACTACTTGATGTGATTCTGATGCTATAAGATGTTAAAAAGCCTCTGTGATACTTGAAAAGGGTGAAATGAAAGGGGTTCAAAATAACTGGACAACCCAGCAGATGAAATAAAACCTACCCCAGCCTAAGCAACAAGTTTCCTTTTTTCACACTGCTTCACACTACATCTCTCGCTCTGATCATCTTCGCTCTCTTTGACCCCTTTCCTATTGCTTAACACCACGCAGGACGCATGCTTGTGTTACACATTTTTGTTTGTTTGTTTGTTTTTTGTGCTAACATCTGCACTCCAAGAGAAAACAAGATTGACCTACTTAGGTCCTGCCGTTCTATATATTTGATGCAGCCTGACATGAAGGACATCTTCCCGGTCACTTCAGTCTCCTCTTATCACTTATTTACAATGTGCTCTCTCCTCTGAATATCCTCTAATGGCTGGCTGAACTCAGGCCTGTGACCTTAAAGCAGAGGACAGTGTATCCGAGGATCTTCCTTTTCTGTCTCTGTTTTTCTCGAGCTCACTAGTTCTCAACTCCACCACCTACTTCTTGCCCAGAAGGCAAACAGTCACACTTATATGAACATTCAGCCTCTTGTCTACAAGCAAATGCAGGTTTGGTTCAACACAGTATTCACAAATAATTGATTTTACACTTGTGCATGGAAGAGAAATACACCTTGTGGTGTGTTCGAACAGTTTTACAGACACAGACAGACAACATACTGCCACAGAAAAGAGCTACAAGCACTGAATATGGATTATTGATGGGTCATACATTCTTTATATGTCACATGCTATTACGAACACACTGCATCATACATGAAAGGTTTACTACAGGCTTTGAAGGGCCAGACTTATGTCTCCACTCTACACAGGAAAGTATTTGATCTCTAGATCTAAATTTTATTTTCAACAGAATTAGCCAATTAAATGATTAGTTGAATGATTAAGAACAAAAAAACAAGCTTTCTGATAACAGATGTCTTGTTGGATTGGTTTTAAAGCTCAAAAGGCCAGATAAAGAGAGTTTCAGCGACTTCAGTTCGAATTCTTGCTGGTTTTCTTACACTCCCAAGATATAAAACCAAAAATCTAAAAATCTCTGAAGAAATTTAGATGCGTCAACTTGGACTCTGTTGTGCTGTTAGGTTTGTATCTTAATGTGTCAGTGAACTGTTTGAAACCACTTTCAGCATTTCATCAAATGTGTAAATATAATGGCAGATACTATTATCAGAAAATGTTGATAAAGCATAATTGAGAAAACGTCAAAATTAGGAATTCTAAAGGAGACATAAATAACCGCAGTCCTGACTTATACTGTCCGATACATCCACACTACATGCTGTACTATAACTAGTACACTGAATTTACTCATGCTGCTATGAGCCCAGCACTGTACATGACCCCCAGTTCACCCATGGCAACAGTATGTGATGTCCCCCTGACACAATAACCTGATGGTCACCGGCTGATGACGAGCAGTGAAAAGACGGTTTCACCAAACATACAATCATATCAACCCTGAGAGAGCCTGAGGGCACGGATCCATACTGTGATTGAACTAATGTATAGAACTATCTGCTGTGCCCTGCAGCACTGGCCTGGATCCTGGCTCCGAAGCTCTTCACGCGTGTGCATGTACGTATGTATGTTTCTGACTCTGCAGCCAATCACATCAAAGCACAGAGAGCACTTAAAGATGCAGCTGCTTTAGCCGTCCCTTCTTCTCGCTCTCTTTCATAAAGGTTTGGGACCAAAGATAAAAAGAGCAGCCTAAAAAGTGTTTCTTTGTGTTATTAATTCAATATAAGAGCTGTAGCATGAGCAACCTTTAACAGGGAATGAGGTGTGTTTGCATCGAGAGCAGCTCAGGTAAAAAAAAAATGACTCAGTTAGATTTTGGCATACAGCATATTATCAAATATCAAATGGATATGTTGCTGGACGTGGTAGTTAAGGCTCTAACCAAAAGATTGATGGCGCAGGTTGGTTATATGATAAATAAGCAGCAGAATCATACCAGGGATTATATTTTAGGGATTAACTGAGTAGAAAAAGAAGCTTTATCATTATTTTTCAGATCCATTTTATTCCAAAGTATGTCAAAACTTTAATTTTAAAATTTGCAGATAGAGCCAAGACTAACTGCAACTTATTTCCCTCTCATTAAATGCCACCACTTCTGACTATTCATATTCACAATATGGCTCATTTCAGTAGTCTTCAAAAGTCAATTTTTAACAGAAATAAAGCAAAGATTTTAATCACATCAACCTTTTTTCTTTGGTTTTGGCGGACCAGATTTTTTAATGGAAACTCTTACAAGTGTTTGTATGCCAGCTCTTGTCAGCTGTAATTGCAACATTAATGTACTCAGTGAAAATGGAGTGTAAAGATTTGAGCTCTCAGTGGAGACTAACTCTGACAGAGTCGAGCTGACAGGAGAGGAGACAGTGTGTTTAAAATGATGAAAAATGTCCAGAAAGGACAAAAAATGGCAGAGAAAATGAATGGCTGCTCTTTTTCTCCCTCTCCGCTTCCTTAGTAATCCATTAAAGGGGCTAATAGTCGCACTGCATCTTAAGTCCCCTTGCATGACAGCAGTAACACAGAATTCAGGGATGACCTTTAGGGCGAGAAGTTTAAAGGTCAGCAGGAGGGTAGGAGAGAGAGAGTGAAGCCAAGGTATGCCAGCCAAACACATTGGATATGGCTAACCTCCAGCCTCCAGTCTGCTGGACCAGATTCCAGGAATTAGAAGCACATGATCAACCCAAGAACATGATAGTTTAGCACAGACGGACCTTGCTAAAAGTAGTAATTGGAAGAATATAAACCTCTGTGGAGGTAGTTGAGAGCATGAGTGAGTTTAAGTAACACAAAGAAGGTTAGTGTTGAGGACTTGTACGGATTCAACACACACTTAAAGTCAAAACTGTCTTTTCTGTTTTTCTTGATGTGATTTTAAACTCTGCAAGTTTCCACCATAAGTTGTTTAAAACATGAATAAACACTGTGTCCCAATCCAGAGGGAGCATCCTTCACAACACCTGACCTTCATGACCAGCATAGGCTGCCCAATGTGAATCAAATTGGTCTATGTCTGTTTTTGGTTTACATCACCAATTTTTCCCGCTCTTACCCTCTCACAGCTCAGTGTTGTTCCTGTCCCCCTGAGTTTATATAAGTTGCATCTTGTGACTTATTTTGTAAAAGCTAAAAAAGTTTCAAGGCCCCATTTGTTTTGTAAATGTTAATTCACCAACAACTCAATTTGACACCAATAACTTATATTGTATAACTTTCATTCACTGGTATGTTACAAGGCTACTGTCGAGTCTGCCATCTTATTTTAATTTACTATCAATGAATTATGGGGCATATTGGGCTACAAGGGATGCATCCTTGGACAAGGTCGCAATCCTTCTTGGGATGTTTCGCCTGAAGTGGGACACAGATTAAGTCTTAGTGACGTTACTCATCTAGAGGGGTGTAACGAAGCCCAAAGATTTCAGTCTCCAGCTCATCTAGAAATTGGCAAAATGGTGATGTAACCATGACATCTATGCGAAACTCTTGGCTTTACTATGATAAAAATGGGTGTTCATTTGTGTCCAATAACCCCTTCTCTTTACTTCCAAGTTGGTTTAAGTCATCAAAACTCTGGGTTGCTGGTTGGTTTTCACAAACTGTAGATCTATCTCTGTAACCACATGATAAAAAAAGGAGATGAAAATCAAAATTATTTTTACAAACATCATTAATCTTTCATCTATAGGTTTATATTCCTTTTTTATTCAATTGATGTCCCTCTCATAGCTGGTTTAGCCAACAGCCATAGCTATCTGATGACCACTAAAACACCCACATACTCTCTTACCTGTGGACTGTTGAGTGGTCCGAAGTTCATGTTAGGTGTGGATGGTAGAGATACAGCAGGGGAGCCCAGAGAAGATGTAATGACGGGGTAAGGTGAGGCCAAGCCATTCATTGGTGAGCCCAAGGTGGACATGGGGGACGGTAAGGGCCTGGAGGTGCTGATGACTGATGGGTGGCCCACCATGCCACCCATATGAGGGGGGTGGGTGTGGACTGTGCTCATTGGCCCTGTGGAGTCTGAAGGAGGAAGAAAAATGTTTTAAAAGGTGTGCAAGATTAAAAAAAAAGACTGACACTGAGTATCACATGCTTTCATTTTAACAAACCACATTGTTACAACACATAAGAGGTTTTGGATGTACTGTAAAACACAGTTGAGTCCAAATGAGCGAACAGGGGATTATAGGTCCCTATGTAAGAATTAAAGAAATACAAGTTCATTTGAAAAACTTCCTGTATTAGTCTGGCCTCATGAATGAACTTTTACATAGGAAATTCAGTGCAACATCTAGATAAAGCAAAGTAAAAACAAACAGAAGCTACATGCAGGCTCGTAACACAACACGAACAAGGTCTCAACTTTGTGTAGGAGTCTGTGCTGTAGCCTACTTCAGCTATCATTAGTGAATAATGTTAACATTAAAAATAAATATGACGGGAGAGGCAACCAGCAAAACATTTCTAAACTGAATCCTCAAGCTTCAGCACTCTCGCTATCAAAAACACATTTGTTGGTAATGTTCATGACTGATGGACTGCTGGAGCAGCTCTTCTCCTCCACACTTGTCTATAATATAGATGACTGAAATATATTCCTGCAAATTCAAGTAAAAGGAAAAGAAAAAAAATGCTACATTTCAACACTTTAAAGGAAAATGCTGGCAGCCAGTTGCAACACATTTCAGATAGCCAAATTTAAGACATCATATAATCTGGTGTATAGGATGTGTAAAGGCTCAAAAAGTAAGCTGCATCCCATATGCTGTAGCAGCTGATACATTGGTATAAAATGCAGAGAAATGTATTTTATTGCTCTTAGGTACTTTCCACAGAAGAAGGCACTCAAAGACACAAACAACACTGAATACATAGTAAGGAAGATGAGTCTGGAAACGCCACTTTACAGCAGCTTTTCTCCTTCAACTGTTCATTATCACTTATTCAGAAAACATGGTGGTATACTGTTTCAAAAATTAATCTTGAAAAGGCTCCACAAGTGACCAACAGAGGGGCTTCACCGAGTCTCTGTGAACTGGTCACAGACAGTGGGTCCATCCCATAGTTAACGCTTGCATGAGCCAAAGCTAATATACTCACACTGTCTATCCATACCTCACAACTACAAATGCTACCTCTCCTGACCTCTGCTACAGTACTGGTAGCTAGCAGGATAGTGGAGAGAGATGGTACATAAAAGAGCGTCACTGATACAAAGACACCGCACGTTGTGCTCTTTGTTAAAAGCAATAGAAGTCTTTAAGAAAGCTTTAAGCCTTTCTTCCCTGGGGTGGCCCCCCCAACACTGATTGTGTTTGATGCACCCATTTCGAGGTGACTGATCGTATTTTAAGGGGTAACAAACCTTGGCCACCCCACTGAATACGTCCCTGATGTAGGCTTTGTTGTAGACATGGTAAGTATGTGTTTTGACTAAAGAAATAATTCCCAAGGAAACCTAAAAAAGAAAGCTGCTGACTCTAAAACTCAAAAAACAGTTCAAAGGCATAATAAGTACCAAAGGAGCTGAAAAATTTATGATTTAAACTTTTGGTGTATCATTTCAGAGGAAAGTTTTGAGAAAACACCCACTTTCATGTAACAGTGCATACACTATTTTATCAATTGGACCGGCGGCTATAACGAAAACACCAGCCAAGTATTTCTGAATGCTACAAAAGTAAAAACACAAAGCCTGTGGGGTTAAACAAACTTCCTTAAGTACAACCTGAACAAAAAGAGCAAATCTGAGAATAAAGAGAGTATATCACCAAGAACAGAGTGGTGTGTGTGTGTGTGTATACTATGAGTGAAGTGTAAATAAGGCTACACAGAGGAGAGCCCGCCTGACTTTGGTCACAGGGTGCTGACTTTGCTTTGCATCCATTGATGTGAACAGACAGGCTGGCATTTACATAGATGACCTACTTAGAAAAGCTGTCAGTCATCCGGGAAACTGGGCGTGGTGTGTAATTTCATGCATGTACTGTGGCTGTGGGGACATTCATACATCATCAACACATATAACAAATACCAGCCTGCACATACAGTATGTACATATAGGGACCAACATGTTCCTTAGACATAATGAATACATTCAAATGTCACATGCTGTCACAGCTTGTTCTGATAAAATCTGATACATGAAGCAGCACCTCAACAGGCTAACATCAATGAGTCATAGAAACATGTTTCTTCTCAGTGCTACTGATGGAGAGTGACGTGACATTAAATGATCATAAACATTTGAGTTCGACTGAAAACTCGAGATAAATCCAGAGCTATAACACACGTGCTAGTGCAGCATCTCCTTCCACCCACCTTGCAACACACTCACATACTCAGACACACACAGAGGGAATCTGGGCCCAATGCCACTGTTCCCAGTCACATTTCACATTTTTGTGTTTAGATTAACAAGGTGCTAAGAGATCAATTTCTTTTAGGGGGAGACTTTCATTTTTGCCGTAACACTTTTACTAAGCTAAATCTTTCTGAAAGTTGTACAAGATAGAAGCTCAGGTGGCACATAGATTCTGAATTTGTGATGTACAGTAAGGGACAGCTGTGGCTCAGGTCCCACTGCCCACGTAATGAGGTATCCTCAGACAAGACACTTGACCCCAGCTGACCCTGCAGGTGGGATGAGGATCAAAAGAACTGATGGATGATTTCCATAGCAGCCTCTACCATCAGTGTGTGAATGCTGGGTGAATGTGGTATGTGATGTAAAAAGCGTTCGAGAGCGCAGAGGACTAGAGAAAGCTCTGTACAAACAAAGTCTATTTACCATTTAATTATCAAGCCAAGATTTATTTATTCTTTTCAGAGCCTGGCTCCAGGCTGCTTCGATGAGTTGACCTCAGTTTAATTGTAGCATGGTGTCTCTATTTTTATCAGTCTCAAACTTAAACCTGAAGCATACAACTCCAGTTCTTTCTAGAAGCTATTAGTGGAAAAGTTCTTTATAACGACCCTGGTGATCTGTTCTGAAAACCTGTTCGGCAACTCTCCCTTCAAGCTTTGTTTTACATAATGATGTTATATAGCCTACTGTATGTATAGTGGAGGAAAGCTGTACTCTCCCAGTTGTGCAGTCATGTGATGAGAAATATCAAGAAAAACTTGTTATGACATCTAGCTAAAATGCAGTGTCACATTTCAAAGCTTGAATAAGCACACAGAATGACTGGAGGTCCTTGTATCTGGTTCTTTCTTTTAATCCTACATAACTTCTCTTTCCCCATAATCTTCTGAATGCTAACTTTGTGGCCAATTTCCACACAGATAGAGATGAGCACATAAATTCTAAATGTGATCTGAAATGCTCTGAAGAAGCTCATTTCCAAGTTGTTGATTTCCAAATGTAACTCTTCTGGCAGGGCGGTTCAAGGTGAGGAAACACTTAAAAACAGTCAAAACTGAGCACGATTTCTTTGACGGGGTCACAGAGTCAGTGGGTACACAAAGTGAAATTAGAAACGTTAGCAGTGCTAGCAATAGCAGCCTTTTGTCCCCCTAAAGGTTAACGTCCACATGCTTGTGCTGGTTATACTTAAATTGCTCCAGTCAAGTGTGGGATTCACATGACATAACTTTAATCCATTTTTTGGTCAATTCTCCCGCTCAACCCCAGTTGACACTTTGAATTCAAGAGAAAAGAACAACCTTTCCACTCTCCCACGGGTAGTGCTGTCACAGATCTCTGAAGATCTATTTCTCTGTGTCTTATTTTGAGAAATAATGGCTCGTGTTCACAAACAGGCTTGTGTTCAGACAGTTCATGCCTGATGAGTGGTCTAAAGTTACTCCTATTTTCAGACTATTTCAACAAACTTATTACCAAGTACTTCGCAATAATTCTGAAATCATTCCCTTGTATTTAACCTTTAGTTGGGTCACAATTGTTTCTTTGTTTTTTGTTTTTTTTTTCACCCTGAGATAAGACAAGAATAACCTTCATTAAAGGGAAATGGAAACTTTGACTAATGCAAGCTTTCACATTGTATTGGGAAACAAAGAGGAATGACACGTTGTCTGCCTAGATGCAGGGGCTTTCTGCATGAAGACACTCCAAATCACACAGCTGGCCATTTACTCCCTCTCCCGATGCCAAGGAACAGATGTTGTGCAACTTCCTGTTTAGCGCTGAAACTATAGCCTCCACCCCTTTTCTCACTCGCCCACTTTCTCCAGCCTTCCATGAGTGATCCCCAGCAGGCAAATATGTATCAGGGCCTCCCTCTCTGTCCCACCAAGCTGAGTGAATACACAAGATATACTGCAGGGAAACATACTTTGGGAAACTTCACTCTTGCTAAGACCCTGTACTAACCCTTGTGCTACAAAAAAAAAAATCATTTTACATCCATGTAGGGAGTGTACTGCAACTTTTTTCAAAGTGCCGATTCATCTAAATAATGAGCTTATGTAATGGCTGGGTGCTGTACGGCATGTACTGCGTCTGATTTTGTGCACTGACCCCTCTCTTTATGTGCATGACAAATTCCCTTTGGGGCTCGTAAAGATCTATTCTATTCTTGAAGTGCTGAGTAGGAGATATAACAGCAGAGCACTCATCACTCCTCAGGCCAGCAGTTTGACAACGTACACTCCAAGACGTTACAACCAGCAACTATTCAGATTACTCCAGCAGACTTGGTAGAAAAACAAGATAAAGGTTAATACAGGCAAAGAAGAAGAACATGAAGATATATTAGTGGGGCCTGAACATAACAACAGATTGTTGTGCTGATACTTAGAACAAGACCATAACCTCAAACCACCTTATGTACATTCATCTGCATGTTTACAACCAGAGCAAAAAGGGCTGTATTGTGTGGTCAGAGGTACATACTTGATCAGTCTAGACTAAGACCTTTATTGTTAACTGTGTTCAGAACACCCAGTAATGTTGTACTTTATACCAACACTCATGCAATGCCTCTCATCTGTGCTGATTATTTGGTCAGAATTATTGTTGAATGAAATAGTTCATACAATGAAGCCCAACAGATGAACTCTCATGTGTCATATGCTTAAAACCAGGACCAACAAGCAAGTCAACCTGAACTAAAAATCACTGTTTCTGACCAGTACTTAGAATAAGCATTTCTGCACATTTTGACTACATAATATAACAATGCCACCCTTGTAGGCACCCAAATTGCAAATCATTCAAACAAGCCAAATAAGCTGGTGATGACACACGTTTTCTGTGCATTGACTTGACTGACTGTCTGTTGTTTGGTTCTTGGTTCAAATAAAGGTTTTAGTCTCAATGGCTGCACCCACTGTACAGGTCTTCAGTTTTTTTTGTCACGCATTTGTTTAGAAGTCATCAAGGTTCAAAGATCTGTGTATCAGAGGCACGGTCAACTCAACTGATGGGCAGGCACTGTAGCAATTTGCAAGGAGGCTAAAAGCCCACCTCTGATAGGCTGACTGAACTTAGGTTGAGTCAACATTACCAATATGGTGACCACCACTAAGGAAAAGGAAAACGTGACCAGCAAAGCCATGTGGACATTTACCTGCAAGGAGCACTGATGTTAGCCATGTTCAACAAACCAATTTACCCTCAAACTTTTTGAACCTTTGTTTAGTGCTTTCTAACCTACGTTGAAACAGTTACTCCCTAGTTAGAACCAACTAGATGATCTATAACGTTAAGAAGGCTTTTATAAATACTGGCTGAATTGGAAATTTTAGGAAGAATCGAGAGTATTTCAGTCTTCATCATCAATGTCTGGTTCCAAAGTTTTGGTAGTTTGCCGCTCTTGGGTTTGTAGATTTCTTGAGCTGTACACTGAAATTCTTTGGAAACTGGACTCTAAGTGGGAATGTAGCCACAAAACAGTCATGTTGACCTCAGTGAACTATCTGAAATTTTTAAAATAAAACAACAACCATTACATTCCCACTTGAAACTTTGGTCACTGTCTTGGTAAAGTTCAGTTTCCATCAACACGGGTTTAAACTGCCTTCAACATGACCGTCACGTTTGGTCTGGAGAAGGCTGTACCTTGTCCTCACCTGAGAGTCATTGTTGCCTCAGAGCACGAGAGGGAACAAAAGCACATGTACAGTCAGCTGGTGGGATAACTTAGAGGGAATGGCTGGCGAGCTGAGCATGCTTCGTAAAGGGAGTGTGTGTTAAGAAGGCCAACATGTTCAGCAGAGGAAGCATAAATCGGCCCAGAGCGGCTAAAGGGGCCTATCCTTGTATGACCCACCTCAACCGGCTGTTCTATCTCCATTATGTGTAAATCACTTCAACTCAAAGAAGCTGCAGGAATGTACAGAGACAGACCCGCAACAACCCTACTTCAGAGAAACACAAACTGGGAGGTGGTTCACAGAAAGGCTAAAAACACTCATACTAACAAACTTTCAGCTTTCACAAAGATTATGTTCCAGCACTTCTTCCTGCCCGTTTTTGTTGAAATCTATACAGTGCTGCAAAAACACAGGCATCTATCAGAGAGCAAACAAACAGACACAGCAGTGAAGGGCACCTTTGACCGCTGGCGCTGCAAATCAAAGGTCGCCTGTTGCCAAACTCCTGAACCAAGTTCAAAAGAGTTCCTATCTGCAGAAGCGCTCAGACACACTGATCATGACCACAAATAACTGCAGTATATAAACAAATATACCTTGACATTTACTGTAAGAGTTGAATTTCACAGAAACACAGAAACCTCTTACAAGAACTTGATATCACCACGTACAATAATCAATCACAGAGAACAACTGACTCTGAGATCATTTCTCTTCACATATGTTATTTTAATGCTTCTGGACTGTGCAGTGATTCCTGTGTATCTGTGTCTTCAACATTGTGTTTTTGCTGCTGTCTTGGTCACGTCTCCCTTGAAAAAGAGGTTTATGATTTCAATGGAGCAAACCTGGTTAAATGAAGATTACATACAAATAAAAAATCAGTGATTTAAACATTGTACTTCATATCTTTTAAGATAAGCAACCAGTCAGAATTAGCCCCAGTGTAAACGATACAACAACATCATCATCATTATCACCATAAAGCAGCTGCTGTGTTGTTACATGAGCGTTTAAATAGGCCAAACCCTTCCATCCTACCCTTTGTGACGGAGGACAGCCAAAGCCACAAATACATGTATCAAGCAGATCTAATGTTCAACAGGTTCAAAGAAACATCACAGACCACAAACCCTGTAAATCCCTTTCTGTTAATTACTGGTTAGTGGCTGGATGGAGCACTCCTCTGTGTGGTAATTCAATAAGCTCATGGCCCACTAACTAATAATATCTCCTGTCTGGAGAGCAGAGCAGAACTGGGAGCGCGGTGGCCAGTGAGGAATATGTGACGGGGATCAGAAGCGACAAATCGACTCCTGGAGAGCAGCACAAGCCTCAATATCAATCAGATTAGCCAGTATGAAGACGGATCTACAGTGTGTGCATCGATCTGTTTAATACCTGCTTTGTGTGTCTTGTGCGTGCGTGTGAGCATCTGTGTAGTATGACCACATGCTCTCATGTTCCCATGTGTGGCTGACAGTGCTGTGACCATATGACAGAGAGCAGATCGTCTCCTAAAGTAATCAGACGGACAGCCTGCGGAGCTCATTAGATACAGTGGACCTGTAATTAAGAAGTCTCCCTGCTGTCAATCCGGCCCATGCGCGACAGCAACAAACCCTTGTTTAAAACACACACTCTTTACGAGGACGCATACTCTTGCTGTCTTTCATACTAGACAACTAAATGAATAAATAAATAAAATAAAATAAAATCACTGCACTTGATGCACTGGAGCACAAAATCAAAACCCGTTAAACATTCATTTCATCGCTAAATGAGGTTGATGTCTGATCAATTGTGTCAGTAAATCCTCTTATCCCCGGGTAAGTATCTGCAGCTCAGCAGGCCAGCTGTCAAGAAGGTGGGAGGTGGAGGATGAGGGGACAGAGAGTGGGATGGAGCCAGAGAAGAGGGGAGGGGAGGGGAGGGATAGATGGAGGGATAGTTGATAGACGGAGTGATGGGTCGACGGGGGAGGGTACAGTGCAGCTCCTAAAAAGCATCTCTCCTGCTCACATGATCTCGCCACACACTGAGGGACACACACACTCGAACAAACACAATATTAATCGCTCAGCCTGCCAGGGTATGACTTTTTTTTTTAGACAAAATAAGCAACTTTTAATATGAGTTGGACTATATAAAACTAATGCTATAGTTGTGAAGCATTCCTCCCTTGTTTAACCTGAATGAATGGAAAGTATACGGCTGTAAAAACATACGCACTGGAGCATCTGAACTTTTCTGACCCTAAATTCTGCCCTGTAATGAACCCTCCAGTGAACTTGCGCACAATTTCCATGAAAAGAAAAAGAGTTAACCCTGAGTTTTCTTTTTGTTCCTTCCCCTCCGCCCCTAAAGAAGAACCAAACAAAACAAAACACATGCCAGTCAAGTCAATGCACAGAAAAACATGCGTCATCACACAGCATTTCCCAAGTATGAGCCGTGTCCTTGCATCCACACCCTGCAGTCTTGCTGGCGGGATGCATTTTACACAGAGGTTCGATGAGGAGGCCAGAGACTGCGACAGCCACCAGATAAAAGATTGTTTTGTGAGTGATGAAATGAGTTTGGAACTTGAACAACAGGAGATAACACAAGTCTGCTTGCACAAACAGAACAAGCTGACCAAGCACTCCTGGAAAACAAACAAGCAGGCAGACCAAAAGGCCCAATGCAAACCGAAGCATCAAGCTCTGTCTGATGAAGTAATTAAACGCACTTGCTTACACACGCTTACAGAAGTAGATGTGTGTTGCAGCTACACACACACACACACACACATTAACCTATTCATCCAATGCTGTGACCCTGTTCGCGTGAACGTGCTGACCTGACCTCTGGACCCGTGACCAGTTCCTAGAAGGACTGCCAGACTAGGCAGCCTGCTTAGGAGACTTGAGTTTAGTTTGGGACGTGATACTATCTCCTTTCAAAAAGCTTCCTTGACAAAGTAATAGGTGGTAAATGTGCTGTGTTTTGCATACGCTGCAAGTGTCTATTTTCAGTCACCCACTGTGGAAATGCTGACATAAAATTCATATTACTCTAGGAAACACAAAGGTGGAAGACGTGTTTTTTTTTACATGCTGAGGAATTTTTCATGGTGTTTAAAAGTGCACAAATGAGAAATCTAATTACGCCAAGAGCTCATACATGTGGGTTTGGGGTGAAATTTTGAAGATTTTAATATATAGCCATTCAATGCAAGGAGTTCAAAAGAGCAATGTTTTCATGTACACTTTTTTTTTTAAAAGTGCAGTTTGGCTTCAACAGGAAAACTTAAGCTGACTGTGATTGTACAATTATCTTGTCAGAAACCAGAGGGTTTGAAAATTATCCTGTCATTAGCGCTTGAGCAAAAGCAACAAAGATATCAGAATACATGCTCCTACAGGGGTGATGCATTTGTATAAAGTCACAGCAGTCCGTCAAATAGTTCTCGGGGTATTACAGTCGTCTTGACCAAAGTCATAAATCAAACAGACTGACAAAGCCACCGCTCGAGCTCATCAGTATCATTTAAAGCATAGATTATAATACTAGACAAATTTAACCCACATAGACTCAAAATCAGCTTAAAATACCTCTTTTATTGCCCAACTACTCAACTTTTCTGGCAGGAGCTTAAGTCCCTACATGTGAATTGTTTTACTTTACTTCTATGGATGTAAAGCAATGGCTACATGAAACATAAAAAAATACAAACGCAAACTTTTCACATGCTTCACATAAGCAGGAAAGAAATCTCAAAGCTTTTATTCAGCTCAAGGTCTCTCTGTTTGACACAAGCTCAACAGTATTCCTTCATTTGACATTTCATCGACATTATTGTTTGATATGATTTACAGTACATGTAACAGGAATCGATTAGCATAGAAATTTCTGCATTTTATGATGTAAAAGCTTCCCAAAGTTTGTCCACACTTCTCAACACATAGACGGAGAATGAATAAATATCTTCATGATTTTCAGAGAGGAGGAAGCACAGTTGTAAACACAGCCATCACATGCTTCTCCCCAGGACACTGGAGTAAACAATCAGTCCCCTTCTACCAACATATGACACACACACACACACACACACACACACACACACACACACACACACACACACACACACACACATTGGGCCAGTTAATAGGCCAACTACAGTGTGGCTGTGAGTTCCCATCAACACTTCCCACACCTCCTCAAACACAGGAAAGAGGAAAAGGAGAAAAAAGCTCATCAGAGGGAGTGCTGATTAAAGGATGTGGTGTGACAGGCAGCAGACACAAACACAGAGAGAGAAAGCAGGATAGAGGGGGCTAATATGAAGAGACAAGTGTTAAGAGATAGGGAGATAGTAAAGACGGTGTAAGAGACGAGCATGAAGAACTGGATGTGGACTTTTAGGTAAGGTTGCCTGGCATCCCTTCTGACCGCACTCACAAGCTTTCGCCCGCAAGTGTAAAAGTACTTTTAAAGCCTTTTACCTGTCACAATTAGTTAAAACAATCTGCTGATTTTAAAGGCTGGAACTTAGCTGTTGGGGGCTGCTAAGCTCATGAAATCTGGACTTTAAGTTACAATCCCTAGTGAAATTAAAGTCTTTTAATCAAAGTAAGACATGTCTCACAGTGAGGATGATCCATTATCACCTTCATTAAAAAGAAATTCCACCAATGAATTTGCCATGCGTTTTGCTGATATCTTCCGCATGGCACACAACTTGTTTGGAGAGTGCACAGGGATTAAAGGCATTACCTAAAAGCATCTGTACTGCGCTAGCTCTTAATGCATGCACCTCAGCTCTGTGGAAAAACACAGAGCAACAGCAATGCAGACAAGCAACATCGTTGACAAGGCACGTTCACTTCTGATCCATCTATCTAGCTTTCACTGAAACAATTAAAAACACACATACTCTCACACAAAGGAAAGACCAGACCCGGCTACTCACAGTGGCTATAGCCTAACTCCTTCCCAGGGCTGCCTCCAGTTGCAGGTGATGCCACAGGGTGCCACATGCCTACTGTAAGAGTGCGGAGCTGGCAGGGTGCCAGTCACTCGGGACCGGGACTCAGATTCTAGTGTTGGCTTGCTGACAAACTAAGAAATGATGCGGACGCTCTGATCGACCGCTTTTCAGGACGGATCAGGGAACAGAAGGGTGGACGTGGAAAAGGGGTGGGGTTGGAAGGGGTGGGGTTGGGTGTTAGTGAAGAGCAAAAGAGGCGGAGTTCCCCCGGTACTGGTTATAGGATTACCCAGATTATCCTTCCCCCAGAGATCAATCCGACAGGAACTGTTTGCTGCCCGACTGCTGCGAAAATCAGCTGCCCAGCCACCCACTTGTCACGTGTCTCCCTCTCTGTCACTCAGAGTGGGTAAAACTATCTACTCGGAGACACCTGTTGTAGTTGCAGAACAGTGTGTCTTGCACGAAGGAGGGAGGAGCAAGGAGGGAGGAGGGAAAAGAGAGGGTGTACATAGTGGAGGGGCACACTTCAGACATGGGACAACCAGAAGTTTCCAATTACCTTTCTTAAAAGGGGGCTGAGGCTGAAGATTATGGCACTGATGTTCATGTAGTCCAAGGAGCTTCTACTTTAATTTGACATTTTCTAAAAGAGTTTCCCATGTTTGCAGTATATGAATCACAGGTTGCCTTTTAAACATGACACTCATGTGACAGTGGCAGTGACCAAAAGTAAACCAGAGGCCGCAGAAGTCTGCTGCACTGGGGACAACATTAAATCCCCTCAATGCCAAGAAATATCTGTGCCAGCATGCTTATCCATACCTCCGAGGCCTCTCAGCACACTGTGAGTATGTTTGTGTGTTTAACAAGTGTTATAGCATTCCAGGAAGTCAGGAATTGTCTTTTTCAGTGCTTTAAGATGGTGCAGCAAACATACAGCAAAGTGAAAACCCACACGCAAACAAGGCCAAAAATATATCTTAAAAGCAATGAGGAACAATACATGACAAACATTTAGTGAAACTTAAATAAACTCATGCAGAGATAAATCCAATCCGGACTTTATAGCACTTCAAATGAAAGACCAAAATAAACAGAAATAAAATCTGCTTGTATAAAAAGAAATAAAAATAAAACACTTGGAGAACAATGACACAGGTTGCATGTGTTCTTGTACAAAGAAGTATGTTATATCAGTATGATGAAAAGTAGCCCAAGCCAATAAGTGTGAAATTGGCACAAGTTTTTTCCTGCAGCTGCTCCCACCAGACTAATAACTGCTAAGCAGGTTCTGTCCTTAAAGTTTTTGAAGGACAATTACACTGACAGATGGGGTAACAACTTGAAGAGTCTTGCCCTGTGTACATCTATTTTGCTAACATGACTCAACATAGCTTTCCCTTGCATTGAACATGCATGGATCGAATGTCCATACAGTGCTTGAAGGATGGCCACCTGTAACCTGATCCACTCAGTGACAGTAACCTGGCAAGAGACTCGGCAGCCCAAGACATCAGACGAAGGGGAAGACAGGGGAAGAGACAAGACACTTGCCTCTCTTTTGGATCTTACAAATCCCACAGGAGGCAGCCAAAATAATACAGCCCTTCTTGAATGAATGCTATGTTGGAATAGTGTGTCATGGCCCACATAAAACACGCCAAATTAACCCTGAGCGTTATAATTAGCGTTCATAGATGTATCACTGTGGAAAGATAAGAAGATGTTAATTAGCGACCCTAAATTTAGGGTGCACTGTCAGATGTAACATCTCAACTTCTAATAATGCAAAAGACATTTTGTCTTCAGTGTCATTCATATCTCTGTCTACAAGTCAAAGAAAACAGGAAGAAAGTATACGTAAATAAATCACACTTGGGTAGAGGTCCATTTAGAGGCAAAAAAGTCGACAAAAAAGACAAGGAGTAAACAGGAAAATAAAAGTTTTCTTCCTGACAGCGACGTATGCTTGGGTGTCACAGTTGTGAGCACACGCTTGCATGTGTGGGTGTGAGACAGGAGGAGTGCACTAAAATGGCATTCAGAGCTCTCAAAATAGCCAAGCGGGGTTTCTAAACGTTCTTCATGTCTCTCAATAGAGATGTTTAATTAGATTTAAAGCACTGTTTGATAACCTGTAACTCCCAGTAATAAGGCAGTTTTTCTTATTGATCAACATGGTGACTTTATCACGATGTGGCTGAATGTTCAGACGATAAAATGTCAGAAAACAAGTTCCCAACACCCAAAGTGACATTTGATAGCCTTTAATTACCAGCCAAACTTCATTTCTAATGATATCACACACAGAAAAGCAGATTACCTTCACATGTAAGAAGCTGAAACATAACAATGTTGGTTGCTGTTGTTGTTGTTTTGATTTTTTTTTCAGAAAACCTTTCAGATTATCCAGCCATCAAGCTGGTGATCACTTTTTATCTGTAAAATGAGTAAAAGAGTTTAATCAGCCAATCATTTCAGCAATGTTTCCATGAAGTACAAGACTTGGCATGATTTAACAAACTTTATTTAATTTTAGGTTATCTCGATTACATTTTTTTATTTTCAGAAATTATTTGTCAAATAAAAATTAAACTGTTGCTCCTTTGTAAATAAACATATAAAATAAACTAACAGGCTGTGTATGAAAAAGTTGTGTATGAAGAAGCTTCACCTCAAAGAACTCCAACATTCACACTGGATCAAAACAACAAACAAGGGCCAGTCTACTTGTACTATGTAATTTAAACGTTGTGCAATGTATGCATGTATTTTGAGCTAGTTTTAATTGATTAAGAAAAAGATTGATTATCTACTTACATTTGTATTTCATTTAACCACGGACAGTAAGCCAGCTTTTATATTTATTACCCAGCTGTTTTAAACACTTGAGTCTGATTGACAACAGAGGCTAATATTCAACAACATAAGCAATTCTAAAGACAACCTGTGAAGACATCATATCAAATCAACCCATGAAAAGAAGTCTGGCACATTTAACTGCTGTCTTCTGACACTGTGGAAAAAACACTGGTTTCTGTCTCAGGCAGGTTTTAGGATTTGTGAAATGATACCAGTATGAGAGCAGTCTGAGCAATAACTTTACTCCATTTGAGAGGGTGAAGTGGAGCAACAGTCTGCTCCTCTGTAGTCCAGGCAACAACAGCAAAACTGGTGACTGTATCAACTGGTGCCTGTATCTACATTGCTGATCACTTATATATTTAAATCATAATCCCAAAAGAGCAAGACGAGGTAGGGTCTCGACCACCTTGTGAAGATTCTAATTTACAAAACCATCTGCTCACTAGTCATAGATTTCAGTCACATGACCAATGCAGGACAAAAAAAAACTTAGTAAAGTCATATCCTCTACTGGACACTCTGAGGAGCTACAGCGTGGGCTTGTTAATTGTTCATCTCCTCAGTCTTACTTATATCACTTGACCACAGAAAAACAAAGATATGGGGATGATTTTTAACTTTTAGGCATTGAAAACTCTTAAACAGCATCCATTTCAACTACATACATAGCTAAGTTCACTTCAGTATGTTTACACAATTTTAGGCAAAGAGCCCCTCCCTGTTCACCCCTGCCAAGATGAAAGAAAACAAGAGTACATTCATGGACAGCTGTGTATTTTGATCTGGCTGGATCTTCAATGCTGCTGTTTGAGAAGAGAAGGGCAAGAAATTCTGCGTAATCACAAAAAAGATTACATGAATTATGCAGACTGGTTGAACAGTCTTTTCCCTCTCAAAGTTCTTTATCAAGTCTCGACACAACCTTCCCCTCAGCTCACCTAAGACAGCTTCATAACCACAATGTAGGATAAGACATAGACTGTATAACTTAAAAAACACATGGATGTATATCAATGGCAGTTTCCATATTGGTAACGCTGACCCAACCTAACTCTAAGACACTCCACCAGAGGCAGGCCTTTAGCCCCTTTGCAAATAGCTACAGTGTGCCCTCTTGCCAGTCAGATCAGCTGTGCCTCTGATTTGACAGTGGACACTCCCTTTGAGTTGTCAATATTGTTCCACAAACATTATATCAGACCGTGAATGTATAAAGATAACACACATTCATCAAAATAGTCAGTATTTACTGAGCTTCTCATGAATGAAATGTGCTGCAAAGATGTGTGAACTTTGACAGTTGCCATTGTTTAGCTCCCTCACAAGGGACAGCGGAGAGCATTAATCAAGGTCTCCTTTTTTATATATGATTTTCTCTCAGATGGGATTCTCTAGATGTTTAATCTAAACATTGGTTAGTGCATCTGATTGGACGACAATTGTCAGACTTTTAAAGTTTTTTTAAAAAAGGTAGTTCGCAGCAGTCTGCTAAACTGCCCTCATATAGCATCTAGTATTATATCCTCACTATAATTGAGTGACATCATGAGAAAACTGATGAAACACAGAGGTGCCAACGCAAATATAGAACACAAAATTCTGAAATATTCTAAGGCGAATTTTGACGCGCCTGATTATACACATCAAGCCAGGTGCCATTTTGCGACTGTCCGGGGGGGAAAAAGACGCGTCCCGGGTGGAAGCGAGAAGACTGACACAACACCAGACTGACTGTTTTCAGTTCTGATTAGACACTAGTGTTGAGATGTCTGTCTGTCATGATAGCATGTACTGAGTCGGGGCCAGTACCAGATAAGCACATGAAACTATAATCCATAAATATAAGGTAACAACTGAAACCTACTGGTGCTAATGGTGAATGAGTTTGAGACAGTGAAAATACATATGGTATGTTGTATCTGAACAGGTTAGCTTACGAGCTAAAGTTACTAAGCACAGATGAAAGTTAAAACAAAGACATTTAGCAAACTATTAAAACACACAAACCATCATCATATAAGAGATCCGACGCTATGACTCTCCACAAGTTGTCCTTCAGGTCGTTATCTTTGCCAGTCGGCCATGTTGAATATACCCGTGAATCTGATGTCGCAACAACACGCAATCTGATTGGTCAGAAGTGGACACACAGTATGAAAAAATAAAAGCTGCAATATCGCATGACAAAAATGGTCCTGGTGTGAAAGGACCTTGACTTCAAAGACTGACAGAAACCACTGAGAGGGGATCGTAATTTATTCATCATTTGATGTCATGAATATATAGTTAGCTGTTGTGCCTTAAAAACAGATGAATCCATTAAAAGCAAACACTTAAACAGATAGATGTTTGATATCCTAAGGATTTGCCATACACAACGTTCAGCGCATAGAAATCAAAGCAAGTGTACATCCATGTGAAACATGTATGTTACTGCCGGATCATTTGCAAAGAAAATAGCTATTTATGTCTCATAAGCTAACGTTACTACAGCCTGTGGGCCTCTCAAGGTTCTCTGCTTGATTAAAGCTGGAATTAAATCAAGGCTTTGACCTTCTTCACTAATGACTAATTACTGGCAATTAGCCCAGAGAATGGCCTCCGTATGCCCCTTCTTTTCCTTCATCCTGTTCTCACAATTAGCATCCACTCACACACAGCCAAGACAAGCGGGCTCTTTTTTACACTGACACATAAATACAACACACTCAATCAATCGTGCCCTGAAATAAACCCATTGTGTGTTCTGTGTGCTAATGCAGGTGTCAGCATCGCAGGTCTGGAGCTATAGAATTCCTAAGCAAATACCTGCAGAGAGCCCCACCCTCTCTACCTGTGAGGTTTATTTAACTCTGCAGGAGTGGGTGGGGAACGCTTTGTGTGCACGGATCAGCCATTAGAGAGCAAGTTAAACACAGTCTTATAGCACGACCCACATTCTTTAAGTCACATGATATCACAGTCACATTTTTTTCGCACATAGGAAGTTTGCGTACTTGCAGCTGTGAAGTCGAGGCACAAGTGTGTCAGACTGAGAGTGTGTGTGTGCCCCTCTGACCGTGTGTGAACTGTGGGGTGAATCATTGACCCCTGGCAAGTGATGAGAGTTCACATCAACTAGGGTGACCTCTCCCTTTCTCCAACCCCCACCCCTGCCCCATCCCACCTACTTCCCCTTTATCTTTCTCCCTTCACTCTCCCATCCCGTTCTTCTTCTTTCTGTCACAACTTCCCTGAACGGCCACTTAAAGACGTTCTCACTGTCATAGGTAGGGAGTCAGCTTGTCTAGAATCACTTCCACTGATGGAAAATAAAAAACGCTGAGGGAGAGAAATGCTGATTCTACTTAAAGGCCCGCAGTGTGGCTGCATCAGACCTGCTGGAACATAACATGTCTGGGAAAAAAGCTGAAAGGCTCAAGAATATATCCGCATATAATCACCAGACATCCCTTTGAAATACTATGTCTCATCCAAGAAATGAGCAGTGTTATGTCCTTATTTCCCCTCTTCATGTTTTGGTACTTTGGTTGTTGATGCAAAAATACACCGCAAATCATAGCTGTGGGCGAACACAGGGATAACAACTAGGACAGTCCTTCCTTATGATGTTCTTGTGGTGGTTGTGGCTTCAACTCAAAAAATCTCTGTGGCTGTACTTCTAACTTATATTACATAAAGGCTCTAAAAGATAAGAGCTGTCCTGGTGGAGAGTTCATCTCGCACTGTTAAAAGGCTGCAGTTTTCCTCCTCAGTTTTACACTTTTTGACACACAAAAACACCAAATGTAATGCGTTTGCAACAGTTCACAACCCATAGCAAGCTGGGTAAGCTGCCACACGTTACTGTTGGGCAAACTCTTTACGAAGACCTGTCCATAACTAGCCGATCTCCACCTTCTCATCATAAAATATAACATAAAATCAAAAGTGCTTTTATGATAGAACTGAATAATAATAGATCAATAATGATGGATCGTTTAAGCCTAATAACTCACTGGTTTGATGGTATCTTGATGTGCATAAGTCTGATGCCAGCACTCCATGATCAGAGTAAATCTTTAAAGACCGACATGAAAGACTGTGCGGCCCTGGGGACCGTTCTTCTGATACTCCTGTACACCGTGGGCTTCCCTCAACATGCTCTCACATCCAGATGTCCCCCTCATTCCCCTGAGAGCCACATTCATTACAGAAACAATTTCCAGACCTACAGAATGGTGTCTAGATATCCGCAACAACATAAAGGGGCTACAGGATTTAGTCTTCAAAGAGAAGTATTTATTTGCTCCCTTGTGATGCCACATTATTACCCCTACTCTTTGAAAAACAAGGCAGTGGTTTTGGCAGGTTTCTAGCACAGTGCTTTGACAAAGAGTGTATCTTCCAGGGGAGAAAAAACATCACATGATAAATGATGCATATGGAGTGTGACTCAGTGAAGCTTAAAAAGCCTCTCTCTGTTGTTGGGGTCTAATTTGAGATGGTTTAGCCAACAAAAACACAGGCCTGGGACTTGTTTGGCAGTCCTTAAGCAGCATATGTACAGTATGTGTCCCACATGTTGCAACCTTGTGGCACATGTCTTCTTTTGTGCTGGCTTTAAAGCTGTCTCAACAATCCTGATAATAGAAAAAAGCTATCAGTCGGTTCAAGGGCAAAGTCGCCAAGTCAGATCAGAGTTCAGCTTTGTTGAGCAGAATCACATCAAGCTTTCATTCAGCCGTCCAGCTACAGGCACAGCGCTGACCGTGGCGCCCTGCGCACTCCTTCCACCGCAAAGTGCAAGTTTATCAGGAGAAATCCACACGACCGTAAGGCAGTTCCCTGCATTTCTGTCTGAACCTCACGGCCATCCTAGACCAATAAATTGCGTTTCTGTCTCAAACAGTTTAGCTAGAGACGCGCGACAAGCGCCATAAATTACATAAGCGCAATTAAAGTGCCAACCTCTGACCTTGCCTGACCGGCACAACCACGATCACCTGACTTTTGCATTGACCGCGGCTTTCGTTTTATTTGGCACAGTTGCAAAACTATTATTACCACCAAAGCGAGCTGCATGACGGCCGAATTCACAATTGGGAGTCGGTTGTCAAAGTCCACGGCTGTTTCGCGTACAGCTCGCAGACGGGAGAGAAGACGCCATGAAAGAAACGCACTCTCCTATAAGTCACAACAAAACGCATTAACCTCGTGAGAAACCCCACAGACGGACTGAGGTCTGGATAAATCGTTTAGGTGTACTTACTCAGGTGTAAATACGGATCATTACTGTCCATACTGTGCGAGTTGTTGTGTCGATTTCCTACAGTCGGTGCTGCTCCGCATCCCAGCGCATTCCTCTCCCAGCCTGACTCAACTCTGCAAGGCGGCTCTACACGGGGGCCCAGCGAAGGGGGGCAGCAAAACAGGGCTTCTCCCAATGACAACAGTGGTCGATATCAAGCTCCAACACGATCGTGACGAAATCGGTCTCATGCAATGACACTGTGTTGCAACATTTCCACGACGAAGTGTTTCTCTCCCCGAAAACCACGAGAGCAGGAAAATGGCTGTGTTTGTTTATGAAATGCCCCATTTGAACAGCTTTCTGCACATTCTGAAAAACACCTATTACTGCTCCCTGAAACAACAAGAAGTCCAGGAAGGGGAATAAACAGGAATGAGGGAAGTTTTTAACAGCTCTTGGTTACCACTTGATATATCATTATAGAGGAATAATATTGCATTAAATTCCATTTTGCTCATTTAAAGAGGTGTATAGACTTGCAGAGAAGCTGCACAGACTGGTGACCTACTTTTATTCTTTACCATAATGTTTATATTTACCAGCACTTACCTCGGAGTAAGCACAAAATGGCTATTTGACACCTACAGTTGGCTGTACTGAAAACTCTACAGTGTTAAACCTCTTTGAGGAAAACTCACTTTTTTTAACACTTTCATTTTTTATATAGTGTGTTTTTTAGTCTCCTGTTTGCTTTCTCTGGCGGGTTATCCCCTGTGTTTACCTATTTGCTAAAGCTAGTCATGGTCTGGGTACCCCCCGGAGTCCCCCCACACCCCTCTTCAGAGTGCGGGGTCATGTAGGGGTGAGGCTCCTGGTACCTCAGGAGGTTATTCAGGAGTCAAGCCGCACTGAGGCATTCACAGTCCTGATCTGCGGAGCGGCGGGCAGACGCTCCGTCAACGCCGGCCCGCTGACCACTCAGCAGGGCCATCGGGCTGCCCCGCTAATGGGACAAGCACCCCCGGCTCTACCGTCCTTGTTACAGCGACCCATAAAAGAGCACAGGAGGATGCTAACCAAGATGAATGGCATTTTTTTCTCGGCTCATTCTACACTAATCAGAGCTTTTCATTTGTTATGGCCCCGCGCCAGCCCCTCCACCGCAGCCTCCATTAGAGCCGGATAACGTATAAATTCATTAAAGTCAGAGAGGGACATTAAAATGGCTATTTGTCAGATCTCTCTTTGTGTGTCCCTAATGGTGGCACATGGTTCAAGGCATTGAGATGATTTTGGTGGGGTTTTTTCTCTCTCTCTCTCCCTCTCTCTCTCTCTGGTGCATTAGGAGGGAAACGTGGGAACTGGGCAAACACGTGTTTTCCCCTTTTCCAGAGAGATGGTTTCTTAAAAAAGTTAAAGTCTGAATTTGACTGTTTAATCTGTTTATCTTTTTTCATCTAATACTGCCTCAAACTTACCAGGAAATCTAATTTGCTCATACAAAGTTTTTCATTTTTTACTAATTATGTGACAGGTATATTTAACATCTTCCTGTACTGATTGAGTATTTTGTTTTGGTGGCACATTACATAATCACATCTTCACCATTACACACACATAGATATCCATAATTGTGGCCATAACACTATTCTCACCCAACGCAGTCCGTAAACCTAAACAAAAATTTTTTGACTTATAATATGACATGTTTACCATATTTCTGTACTGATTGAGTGGTTTGTTATGGTGGCACATTACACCATCACATCTTCACCATTAAACACACACATAAATATCCATAGAATATATGTTAAGCGTTTGACTGACGAAATGCTCATGAATTTTGCAACTCTGTTTGTCGTCCACCTTTAACGTTTTCGTCTCGTCTCGTCTCATCAACGTAACCGCACATTTGTCTCGTCACATTTTAGTCATCTAAGACTTATGCTTAGCTCGTCAACGTCACATCTTCAATGTGGAAAAAAAGGGGCGTTGACGAAAACAACACTGATCCATAGTTGTAGTCATACCACTATTCCCACCTAACACAGTCCTTAAACTTATTTCCAAACCAAACTCTACTAACCTGGCCCACCCGATTGCAAGTTAGTCTCAGAGCAGCTAAAAGACCAACACAAAACTTCAGACACACTCTTGTATGACACATATGCCTGTTAAAACTATTTTCTGTCCTTTTGGCCGTCTTCCTCTGTTCCTCCCCTCTTTCGTGTGTCTCCATCATCCTCTGGCTTCAGGATGGAGGTTCTGGCCAGTTGTCATGGGAGATGGCCGTCTCCATCTGCCTCTGGTGTCATTAGCCAATCTCCATCTCGCTTTATCGGAGGGGACCCCCTGAACATCCCCCCACCCTTCCACCCTCCTGGACCCTCTTCAGCATTCTGACAACCCCTGCCCCCTGCTCCATACACAAGCCTGAGATGATAAGTGTTCTCGCTCTTTGTGGCGGCCAGGATAAGACAATGCCACACAGCGCTACAGAACATCATCCATCTCATAGGTCATCAATCTGGGACACAAAAGATGAAATGTGGCTCAAAGTCCCCTTTGCAAAGAGGTTTCTTTTGCTTAAAACAAGCTTGTCTTCCACCTCTCTCGTTCTTTTCACTGCTTAGTTAGTGGTTCACCAACAGATGCTTCAGCCCTGTGTGGCTACATGTGAGGAAAGAAGTTCAGACAACAACTTAGCAACAACTTAAAGTACTATTAAAACAAAAGTAACAAAAGTATTATAATCATTACAATTATGCTGAAAAAAAGCAAGTATTCAGACACTCTTTCAACTCATGTGGTGACATTAAACTCCGTTTCAGTTCCTCTGATGACAAAGTTTTTTTGTTTTTTGATCAGCTGATTGAAAGTGTGTTTTTTTCCCCACTATGAAACTTGCACATCATCAGACCTCTGCCAAATTTAGCCCACATGGATTTCTATGATGGTAAATACTGATTATTATCTCTGTGTCACTTAAATAGCATTACCTCCCTTTTGTTAGTCCTCTTTTGTTCCTATAATTAGGTTTACATTGTCTCTGCATTAGCATGGGCCTCCTTGTCTTTAGTCTTTGTCTGTGACAGCAGTGAAGATATACAAAGAAGACACACAAATGGTGCACAGCAGTGATGTGAGATGAAGTTTGATTGAGTTTCAGGTGATCTCTGCTGTAACATAGGGTTGTAAGTAATTGCGGGCTTAGCAGCAAAGCAGTTCCCAATTTCAACAATTTTCCAACATTAAAATTATGATTGTAAAGAGTCTGTGGGCTAAAGTAAATCTGTGTCTGTAGATTCAAGTGGATTGCAGTGTGCTGTTTTACGTTGTCTCATCTTGCCTCACCAAAGTAGAGGTGAAGTTTTATCATCTCCAGCCATCATGGCAACAGATAACAAGAAACAAACAGCATTTAAATGCCTTAATTGGGACCAAAATGTGTGGTCTTGCTTTGTAATTTTTGTATTTTCAAAGCAGGGCAATAAATTCAAACAATTTAATCGTGCATATTTGAGGTGGAAATTTGCCCTAATCAGGGTTAGGGTGTACAGATTAATTAGATTTGGTCGATTTATGAGCATTTATAGGTTTGATATCGGTAAACAAATTGATAACTCAATATATACGACATACCAAGAGCATAAGTGTTGTGCTTTACCATTTTCAATATCTGGGGGGAATTACAAATAAAAAATTGATTACAGTTATTACAAAGATGCTTTGATCTTTTAAAAGTTGTCTTACAAATTGAGAAGACAGGGCTTATATTACAGACAAAAGACAAGATGTACTGTTTCAGTTTTAATAGCACAAGTGATACAACAGAGCCCCTTCATCGTGTCTTCATGTCATGCAAATGTTGAGATAAACTGTTCCACCAACATATCGGGTTAACTTGTTAATCTCCTGTCCCTGTCTGTATCTGAGGGGCTTTGTGCACAATCAATATGATGAGCTCTGATCTGTCCACAGCTAAAAACACTGTCCACGCCATTATCCCACCACTTTAATCAGACATAGCTGCATTATCATCACCATTAGGACACGTGATGGAGGCTTTTATTTTGAAGAATGTTTCACACTCTAAGGTATGAGACAGCCTTTGATTTTTAACCAGGTGCACTGTCCCTTTAAGGCAAGCAAACACATAAACAAACTTCTTGACTGGAATCTTTACATTAGTTGATTGGGTTTTATATTGCAGGAGGTGTGCAGACTCTAGGCAGATGGTTGACCTCAGCGTTGGTCTTTAACCTGCTGTAATAAGTTAATACAGACCCGGGGTTTGTTCTTTTAATATGAAGCTGAACCAATCAAGCAGGGAATCAACCAGACCACCTCAGGTTAATCTCACTGAGACCTGAAATGCCCACGAGGGATTAAGCCCAGCTACTGATTTTAGGCACACAATGTCTCTTAATGCTGCGCCTGTGCCATTTAAAAATCACAAACAAAGTCTGAGAACGTACCCTGCAAGTGAAGCTTTAATTTGTTGCAGAGAGAACATAGCTGTGCATGACTTTTGGAAAAGACAACACCTGTTCATTGATTGAATGGACTGGACTACACTTTTGGAACAGCATAGTCTCTATACAAATGTACAATGTATCATCAGCCTGCTGTATTCTTTACACAGCATGAACTGTGTCTCACCATCGGCCACAGGGATTTGAAAATACTGAGTCCATGAGCACAGACACCTAAAACAAATAAAGAGCAGTGTGTAAATGCAGTCATTTGCATTCACTGATTCAAATGACTCAAATAATGATTCAGTCAGAACACCGTCACCATCACTATCTGTGTTTGTAATCTGAAAGAGATAGACTGGAGATTATTTTTACAGGTTGCTTTAATGAGTATAAATACAGTAGTATCTGAGGTCCTCCACTGACTTACACTCTCATAAAATTTTGGTATTTGCAGTTGACAGATTTAGATAAATACAGTCTTCAAAGTGACTACAGCACATTGTAGTGTTTCTCTTTTAAACTTTCAGATCCTTTTTGTGTTATATTTTCTAATTTTAAGGTGTCATGTTTCTATCTTTCAATAATTTCTTTTTTTTCTCCTTACAGTAACATATTAATACCTTTCATACACACCCATAAATGAGCCAGATACTTATGCTTTCTATCGTGACGCAAGCACAGTTCACAGCAGAATTGTCCAGTTAGTGTCACATAAGCCCTATAGAAGCATCCATCCACCCAACCATCTCTAATGATCTGACCTCTGTGATGGCCGGCACTGTCCTCAGAACCATTTGTCCTTTTTGCTCTGCTTTGACTGGAGATTGTGCTGAAAGTTAAAGCTGACAATGTTCACCAAGCTGTCATATGAAAAAAAGGAAGAGGGATGAATGTTTTATTTTATGCATTTATAGCAAATTTTGCATTAAATAGATGTAAATATCATGGATTTGGATCATATGAACCATTTTAACTCCAGTTGTTCAACTTGAGCTAAATTGTAATTTCACAAATGAACGAAACAGGTCAAAAAACATTTGTGTTTCTTTCAAATGGTTCAATTAGAGCCCACGACCAAGCCTGTGAACAGGACTTCACTTTGCAAATGAAGTCAGAATAAGTTTTTTTTTTTTGAGGTAATAATGCCACTGGGTCCAATAGGCACTTACTGCATCCAAAAAACACCTCTGGAAATCGGATGCTGATTTAACTCCACTAATCTGAATCTTTTAACTCTTGTGTGACTTCTTTGTTGGCTTTATTGAATGTGACATTAGATTACAGAAGGCCTAAGACTTCTAGACCAACGAGAAGAATCAATAAAAAATAGGGTTTAAAATCTGTATGAAAAAATGTAAAAGGAGAGTTTAGTTCAACCTAAAGTTATGCCAGTTGGATAAAGAGAAAAACACACACAGCTTCAGCAGTGACCTGAATCAAAACTATGCATTCCAAAAAGCTGCAGTGTGGCTTATCTGCACTTCTGAATGGTGCACCTTATGTTTCATCAAGATGGATTTTCTCATAAATGAAGACTTCAGTTGGATTTTCCAAGATTTGCTTTGCTTCAACATCACAGATCAACTACTTCTTTTCTCGTCTGACATGAACTCAGTGACTCCTTCATAGAGGTGAACTTAACAGTGCTCAAAAACACTCTCTCGTGCCATACTACGGAGTGTGAAGTACTATCCCGCCCCCTTGTGGCCTACTCGGGCAGCACCATAGCCAAAATCGCGATGCTGTTCGCTTTTTTACCGATTGGTCCCTTATCGGCACCCGTAGGTTTGCGGGCTAATCAGACGTGTATCTACGCGTGAAACAGGAAGTGTCGTTCTTCCAGCTGAAACATGAGAAACTGGTGTACCATCGCTTCACCGCATCTTGATCGTTAGAGGAAATCTACAAATGAATTTAAACGAGGATGTCATCCGATTTAGCGTTAAACTTCGACACTCGTCCACAGTACCCTGAAATGGACACAGAGACGGGAAACATGTCTATCGACCAGGGGGGAGAGTGGGGTAAGCGACGCTCAGATAGTCTGTATATAAAGGATTTAAAGGAAACAGTATGAGCTCAAAATTCAGATGAATTTTTCATAATTAAATACGTTTTATGAGAGAGTTTCTGTCTTTGATAGACTTAAACTGACACCCGAAGGTAACTTGTGTTTTGTTAGCCCTCAAACTCCTGTAGTTTAGCCTCAGCTAGCGTTAGCTGTCTCTGATGTTATGATGATGATGATGTAACCTGCTCCTCCTGGATGTCAAGTAAAGATGCTTGGTGTTTCTGTTTCACAATGTTTATGTAGCTGAGCTTTAATTACTAAATACTTACTCTATTTTCTATGTAAAAGGGTTTTTAATGAAGTCAAATTGAATTTGGCCCATCTTTTGTTAACCTTTCAAAACTTTCTTTTTACAGTTATTTGGTTGAAGTGCTTTCCCTAATTAATAACGATAGTTGAATATATAAATAAGAGTGATAAAATAGTTAAGGACATAATGATAATTTACAGTTAATATTTTGTGATGCTGTAATAGTATTATTGTTATACAAACAGTAACTAAAAGTAGTATTACTGATGATCATCAGTATTAGTATTAAATGTATCACTTGTACTATTATTATAACTGTTGTTGAACAAGTATTGTCAAGTTTTATTTTCAGTTTAGTCAGTTGAAGACCCCTTTTTTAAACGTGTTTTTTTACATCCCTGTTTCATTTTACTTTTTTAAATGCCTGTTTTATGCTATAGGCTACTTTTAAATGTGTTGGTTCAATTTTTGATTTGCTAGTTCTCCCTCAGATATTATTATTATTATTATTATTATTACTATTATAAACTAGAACAACATAATTGAGATTACACATTACACAAACTTTCCCTTCTTTTTGTGCTGCATGATTTTTTTGTAGGATGGTAGGGGAAGGTCCTGCCCTCCTTTGCTTCTGATTGGCTAGAAGTGCTGGGCTCCGATTGGTTATTCCTTATTGCTGTGAAATGTCATCATCTGTCAGGTTAGGGTTAGGCTAAGGGATTAGAGTAAGTGTTAGGATTAGGATTAGGATTAGGGTTAGGGTTGAGGTGAGGGTTAGGGTTGGGGCTAGGTTTAGAGTTAGGGCTAGGGTTGAGGCTAGGGTTAGGGTTAGGGTTAGGAGATTTAGAAGTGTTCTGTAATGTTCTGTTCGATGTACAGAGCCGGCAGCCTGCATTTGGCTTGAGTGTGTGATGACGTTTCCAGCTTTTTTAGCCAATCAGAGGCGAAGAAGGCAGGACTTTTCCCTACCATCCTACAAAAAAAAATATTGCCTCTGGCATCGAAACTTGGAATCGAAATTTTAAAATTTGAAGGATTCCTGGAGAATCGGAATGTTAGTCCCGGTACCCATTGATAATCGAGACTCGATGCTCAACCCTAATGGTTACTACCTCTCTTTCCTGGTGGACTTTTTTTTGACAATGTTAATTTCTCTGTAAGCTTTTCATACCAGTGTGACATATCCCATTCAACACATGAAGACCTAATGACTCCTTTTCTTAAACTTTGTAGTGAGCTGGAGACAATTCTAAGTTGTGTTATGTGTTATATGTCCCTACACAGACATTAGCTTGTTTGATGAGCTCGACCAGTTGGGAGATGCAGACGAGCTGCTTCAGGCCTTGGAGAGTGCTGCTTATGTGAGTAACTCATCGTGTCATTATGCAAATCTGAGTCAACTGAAACTTATGGTCTCACAAGAGAAGAGGGAAACAGGAATCAATGACATCTAAAACATGTAAATCATTCAGAAAATGTGTAGAGCGTAAGACACAGAAGCATAATTAGCCAACTTGATAGGTCCACATGTTTTGCAAAAAAAACATGAGGGAAAAAATGCTAATCCTACAATAATTGTGTGGGTGTCAGGCACACTGCAGACAAGAGCACGAATTTAAGCTTTGTACACCTGTTGCATATGGTATACATCCAAACAGCTCAAATTGAAGTACACTGTATTTAAAAAAGGGATGGAGTATTCACCGTTTTCTCACATGTAATTCTTGATCAGACTCCGGTCTTGTGTCTGATCTGCAGCATGATCGGGTTCTTTGTTTTAAAAGTGTGTTTTTGGTTTCTCAGGCCACTGAGGGTCCAGACCTGGACTTTGATATCGACATACAACTGTGGACTGACACAAGCAGCACTTGCACAGGTACAGAAACACAAAAGGATGCGGCTACTGATTATTTTCCTATCAGTCAATCTATGGACTGTTTTAATGATTATTCATTTACTGTATAAATTTTGAAGAGGAAAAAAATGCTTGTCAAACTTCTGCCGTAATATTCTTGTATTTCATGAAGAAAGTCTGATCTCAAATGGATGATCCATTTGATGTCTAACACTGTAAAGGACTATTGTCATATACATTTCCTTGGTCTGCTGCATGCAGCTTCAAGTACTATTATTGGACCAGGTACCATTGATGACACATGTAGTAAAATAACCTAGGAGTTTAAAAAAAAGTTTTATATTTTGAAGTAACATTATAGAACTTAAAATCTGTACATATATTACAGAAAAGTTAAAGAAATTATGATCCAAATTAACTTCGATGACTTGCATGTTTTTTGCTTAATGATTGATTTGTAAAGCCTCCTAAGTGTATATTTATGGGACACCGTAGTAAATGAATAAAGCATATAAAAAGGGTACTAGTGCTCTAGTCATGTGCTGTTATCCACTGGGGCTGTAAATCAAAACCGCCTATGCTTGATAAACCTTCAGATATAACACATTTTTCTTTGTCCTTGTGTGTCCAGATGGCGAGGTGAGCGTGAACTCTCTTTCACCTGCTCACACTTTGAGCTCCGTTCCCTCTCCTTCATCCGTGGAGGCTCTGTCCCCGTACTCTGTAGTTGTAAGTCACTATTTTTAAGTCTTTGTCCTTCTCAGTTTTTGTCATTTGAGTTCCATTTCCATTGCAAATTTCACCCGGGTAGTCGTTTGTGAAGATTTGTGTGTGTGCCCTTCTTGTCATCCAGATGGTGTTCAAACACAGACAGCTGTGACTAGAGACGCACACGTACACATCCATACACTTGAGACTCTTATTAACAGAAGCTTTAAACACCTTGTCTCACTAATGATTAGCTGCCCATCTGAGCTGTGTCCCACCTCCTCGTTAAATAAAAGGTGCTGACAACTTCAGACACATTTGCATAATTTAGCAGGCAGGTGTGTCAAAATAGAGACCGGGGTTACATCTTCGTCTGGTCCAGTCCCCCGTCTGCAGATGTTTGTTTACTAACTGAATCACCCCAAATAAAACCAAGGACACATTTGTCATCTAGAGACTTTGAACACTGATATGAACTCTTATTTATTTATTTGATGTGTGTCACTTCACAAAAGCATATAGAGTATGAGTAGTTGGTGGACAGGACAAGTTTATCGGAGAAGGCTCATTTTTTTGTGCAGGTTGTTAATGACTGATGCAATACCAGGCAACAATGTCCTATAGTGCTGTGTATATTTAAGTCGCCTTTGTTTCCCTCTTCAGGATGAGGCCCTGTCGCCACAGTCACAGCTCTCTCCTGTTTCAGTCTGCTCAGAGTCCAGTGGTTTTTCTGTAAACTCTCCTCCAGCTAAAAAAGCTCAGAAGAAAAGCAGCCAGACCACACGAGGTGAGGCCTTTTTTTTTTCCCCGCTCTTATCTTTATTTGCACACCATGTTCCAAAAACAGGGGAATTTCTGCAGTGTACTGTGGGGTTTGTGGGCCTCTGAGATTACATCAGCCACACAAAGAACAACATAAGAGGTCTTTTATTCAGAAATGAAAACATAAACATCTCTTTTATTTATAAAAATGTTCCTTTTTAAGTCTCTGGTTAATTTTCTTTAAATTTTTTATTATTTCTTTTTCCTCTCTCATTTCACCTCCTCCCCTCTCCAACACACCAGTGAAACAAGCTCAGCCAATCAAGAGGCCGATTCAGATTGGCCCGAAGATTTCCATCCAGCCAAAACCCCTGATTACAGCTGTGCCGTTTGCTCATGCGGCAGCCCCCCTGCAAGCCAAGACAATCATCATCCAGCCCTTGCAGACCACCGTGCTGCCTGTGGTCAAAACATCTCCTGTCAGCATCCAACCGGCACCCCCTGCAGGTCAGAGCTCACACTGCATCAAAACTCGACTAATTTCCTGACACCACTCTTTGTTTGTTGTATTAAACCAGTACATTGTCCTTAAAAGGGCAGAACGTTTTCCTTGCCTTTGGAAATGTTGTTAATTATTTAAACAAAGAGACAGAATGATTTCAGTAATGTGGTCATCTGATGAATTTTGGTTGCTGTTCTGCTTAAGATTTTTTTCTTGAATTTGGTGTGTTGGCCAGGAGATGGCGCTGTAAACTCACTTTAGACTTATTCAGGCGCTTTAATCTCCATTTCATTGGTCTGGTGCTGCTAATGTTTCATTATAAAATAAATACTTCAGACAATAAGATGTCATACTTTGCTTTTTATATTTTGTGCAACATCAGGCATCACAACTGCATGGCTCAGACAGTCTGTTTATAACTGACTCTGAATCCCAAAGATATTTATGTGGTGCTGTGTTTTTAACCCATTTCGACACATACGTTGTCATTATGATGTTGTTTTGTGGTTTAGCCTTCTCGTTGTGCCAGTCTGGCCATCTCTGTGTATAACATCAGCAGTACCAGGGCCAGTGTAAACACTTGTGTCATAGTGTGGGACCTTTTGTGGGTGGAGTACCTGACCTCTGTTGACTTGAATTTGAGCTTGGATTCCCTGCATGTCTGTATGTCTGTCTGGTTTTAGTCAGTGGACAGAAGCTAGGGGTCAAGACGTCTGAGTTTAGGTCTCCAGATGGAAGTAATGTCAAGTCAGTTTTAGGGTCGTTTTAGTTTCGATCACTTTATTTAGGTCATTTAGATCACTTTATCAGGGGAGTGAGTACTGTGATTGAAGCAGAGCCTGGAGATATTTACTGATGAGTCAGTGTTTTATGTGAATGTCAAACTTGGGTAGTCATAGAACATTTTCAAAGTAAAAGCGAGCTGACAGCTGATATTTTTATGCTTTTTTTTTTCCTTTTCTTTTTGACTTCCCATACTCATGAATTCTTCCCGTAGATGTAAAGCTTTGGCACCACACAGTCATTAGCAGGGCTGGCTTACACTTCTACCAAATGAGCCCTGACATGTTGTTTAGTATTAGTGGTGAAAGCTGTCAGGTCATTTTGAGGGATGGTTCCTGGCACAGTCTTACCCTGAAAGGCTGGCCACCCTCTCGAAAAGCTCCTGCATTAACATGACATTTTGAGGCTTTGCTGGTGTCTTTCTTCGGTTTTACCATCCTTACAATGAATGTGGTCGCACATGCAGGTTTACGTGTGCTCAAGCACGTAAACGTTGCACACCTTTTAAGTTTGGAATGTGGAGTTTTAAGACCACAGGTTGAGATGGTAAATGTCTCTTCCACCTGTACTTTTAAAAGAGTCCTTGTAAAGACAAGGGATTAACGTAGGTCACCGAAGGTAAAAGAGGGGTTTATGGATCTGTGTACATCTGCAGCAGGAGGCTCTTCAGCTGCAGACTAGAATATTAGCTCAGAGATATATTTGTCATAGAAGGCTTAGAAAAAATGTACAAAAATAAAATCACAATAACAACAAACTGACAGACACACATAATCACAGTGTTACAAGTGCCAGCAGACTTATGGTTAATTGTTGTTAATCACACAGTCAAAATATGATTACAGTGCAGCTGAGACCTGCAATTTTGAAATCTGTATTTGTTTCATTTTAGGACATCCTGTTGTGCTGTCTCAGCCAAGCCAGGTGCTACAGATCCAGACACCACAGACCATCACCAGCAATGTGGTTGCTATGCCAGCACTCACTCAGGAGAGGCCCGTCCCTGTTGCTGCTCCCCCAGTAGTCTCTGTCAGCCTTCGTTCCCCTTCCTCAGATGATGACGTGAGTCCCTCCCACCGTCTTACCTATCTTGTCATAGTAGTAAACTGCAGTGAGGTACAATCAGAGTGTTACACAATGCTGAGTCATGCAAAACAACAAAAATACAGCTGGAGTACTACATAACAAATCGTTTTTAACGGTAATTAGTTTATGTACTTTATCTGTTGAAATCTACAAAAATTGAAATGTATATAAAATGCACGGTAAAACTTGTGCTACCGTATTTGTCACATGCATGGCTGAATTTTACTAGTTGTTTCTTTTCAGCAGGCGAAAATCTGCCTCCTCCAACCCTCTGTGCAGCTACTTCTTTTGTGTGTCATAATAGCTAATTTCACACATAAATGTTGCCGTTTACACATCTTGCCTTATGCATTGTCAAACACCCATGTAACCTCAAAAATCTGTTTTGATCAGGGCCCTTAAATGTTTTCAGGACATTCGTGTTGCCTTGATTGGTTGCAACCCAGCATGGACTCGAGGGGACTCCATCTGGTTTTATTTGGTTACACTTAAACAAGTGAGAGTCTGTTTACCGAAAGACTCGAGTTAGTAAAAACAGGTACATACTTGAAAGAAAGAAGTCGTCTGCTCCCCAATTTGTCTTAATCGGTACCTGATCTCACAAACAAAATGTCAAACACAGGACCTCTGACATCTCTGTGAAACATTTGTCTGTGCACACATGGCTTTAATTAACACCACTAAAGCTTGTCCATCAATTTCTGTCTCTCAGCTGATGAGGTTTTCTCTTACATGTTTTCATTCAGATCAGTCTCTTGAAGTTATGGCCTGTTTATTAGCTAAAGCTTCTTAAAAGTCAAGACAAGTTCATATATTTATAGCACAGTTGATAGCCAAAAACAGAAGGATTTACAGTATATTAAAACAGAAGAGACAAAAAAAAGTTTGAACTTGTAAAAGCAGATCTTTAAATAAACTGTATTTTTGAAATCAATTCTTTTAATACAAGAGCAAGCTGAATACAAAGCTCTGAGAAAACGAGGTCAAGTGGTACACTTTATTAGTTTCAGTGAGGACGTGGGCAGGAAAATTCTGAATAAGCTGCAGCTGTTGGATAAATGTTTTGCAGAGACCTGTAAAGACACTGTTACCATGCTGTAGTTAACTCCAAACAAACCAATGAACAAGTTTTACAAAATCTTTGCTTTATTTTAAAGGTTTCCCTTGGCTGCGTTTTCTTGGACCAGGTTACATCGTAAACTATTGTTCTTGTGCGAGGACATGCTGTTATGTTTTTGCACGCAGCTTCAGGCTCATTAAGTTGCAGCTTGGGCGTGCACACGCTCGCTTTTTGGGTCACTGTGATGTTGTGGTTGCGTTTTTCATACTAAATCTGGATCCAGTCCATCCTAACTTATTTTATTTCTGTATTTTTTGCAAATAGTTGACTTTAATATCGGCATGAAATATGATACGTTTTGAGAGGAAGTTTACAACTTTTTATTTTTATTTTTGAAGCTGAATCTAATTTTCCACTCCAAGGGAAAAGTTGTTTCTCCATATGGTGCGTGTCGCTCTGTTCTGGTACAGAGGCAGAGGCAGTACATCATGTTTTTGATGAATTGATTATTTGTTACTCTTGTACTCAAAGAAGAGACACATCTGTTTGTTCTTTGTCTGAAAGATTTACATTATGTAACTACAGTTCAGACAGTGTAAACGGTGGATTTCGCTCCCCAAGTGGATGAAACAGGGCGGGTCTTTCTGTGTGTTGCATTCAAAGGTGATGTCAGGACAGCTGCAGTAAACACAAGACACATGAACAAACACACAAATCCAACTCAAACGCTGCCCATTTCAAGCACGTCACTCATTTCTCTCAGATCTGTGTAATGGCAGCAGCACAAGACAGTATAGAGATTTAAGGGATTATCATGAGATGCTTTTAATTGCATTAGGGACTTCCCCGGAGATTTATAGTTAATAAAAAACTCTCTTAAAGAAGGTTTAGTGAGTGCCGTAAGCTTGTGGTATCTCAATAAATGCTCCCCGTCTTTCGGTTTTGAGTAGGAGAGTCTAATGTTCTTGTGAAGACCTGGGGCCAGTTTGTTGGCCTTTGTTTCTGATTCTCTTTTGTTTGTTGCTTGAGCAAACTGTAAACGCCTCCACTGCAGAGTCAGCGATGCCGTGACTTTCAGCAACTTCACTGTTAGTACAGGCATGAGTGCCCTGTATAACACTTTCCTGTGGCTTGCCGTTTTTTGACCTTCAGTGAGTTGGGAAACGTGTTCTCAATCTCTGTCTTCTCATCTGTTTTGTCTTGTTCTTAAGAGCAGGACTTCCATCTTAATAGTGTTTCCCATGTGACATGTAGCTCCCATTTACGTGGCAGGGAAGTCACAGAGACACATTGTGTTTGTAGAGAAGCTTTTTTTTTTTTTAAATCAGAAAAAAAACATGTGTGTCACATTTGTGGGTTGTTCCAAATCATCTGCAGTGATTTTTGTGGTGACAACATGAAGACATGGCAAAATGATTCCAGTTTATTCTCATTATCCTCATCATAAAGTCATTTAATTACTTGTGCAGCCTTTGGGACATGAACCTTTTGAATATCGGTCATGACATAATTGTCACAATGTTCTGTTTTCACCATCTACAGGCCTCTTTATAGATGTAAACTTCTAATAAACAGTACTGGTGGTTGTTTTTTTATCATTGCTTATATTCAGGATGGGAATCACTGGGTAAATCACAGCACTGTACAATACTCACACCCATAATATTGAGTTTTAATGATTTTATTATAAATTAGGGCTGGGTGATATGGCCTCAAATCAATATCACGATATATTGAGCAGTTCACCCCAATAAAGATATCGCTCACCCCCTTCCACATTAACTTCATCCACTTCAGCCACCGCTCCAGCCGCTACAACTTTTGAACTGTCCTCCATCTCCTCACCCGTATTTCCCTCTTTGTTATGGATCAGATGGGGTGGAGTCACCATCTGACGTAGGACAGCGACTTAAAGGGACATGAGACCATAGCCTACCTAAACACATCCAAAGCCAACTTTTTTAAAATAAATTTTTTTGACACCTAATTTGACCTGAGCAAAATAATGTCTGTTATTGTCGTAAATTTCGTTATTGGTAAATTTTTGGTTTATTGCCCAGCCCTATTATAAAAAAAAAGAACATCTGCACTTGATTAAGCACGATAAGAACCAACTGTGTCATCAGAGAGCATGTTTGAGGAAAATAATTGACTATATTTTAATGCTCTAATTTGACCCAGGTTCTGCTATGATGGAGAAAGGAGGCTTTGAAAGCTGTACTGCAGCCAGCCACAGGGGGAGCTCTAAAGGTTTTGGCTTTGCTTCAGGGGAACTGTTGTTTTGTTCATAAAATTTAAGTTTATGGTTGGCCTAGAAAAGATTTTGCTAAGGACCTCTTCCTGTTGTCAAGGAGACAGAAATTCATTTTCCAGAATTAAAAACTAAACAACCACAGTACTCAGCCATTTGTAAATCTAACCATATCAATAAAAGTTTACGGTAGCCTATTATATTTGTTAAATAGGTGATCAAGGTGGGGGAACTCTATGCAATAATTGTACGAGGGGAATAAGTCTGCTTTTGTTTTGGAGCTGTGAGCGCCATAATTGTGGGATGTTCTCACAGCATTTACAGAGGGAAATATCCACTCATATTGCCAAAACTGGGTGTTGGTATAATAACTTAAAATGACACTAAATGAGTTTTATGTTACGAAAGCCACAAGGAATAATTATACTGTCAGTTATGGTTAATGTTGGTACATGGTAATAAAGTTAGGGACTCTAACTTACACAGCAATAACCACGTTAAGCTAGCTCTCCACAGCTACCATTGGCTTACATTGGCCACTACTAGCTACAGGTCATAACAGGCCGTGATCAGCTGCAGCAGTGAAACACCTTGGGCTAATAAAGGGTGTGTGTGTGTGTGTGTGTTTCAGTGGTTAAACATTTAACTTCTGGTCTCTAGGAGAAATAATGTTCAATATTCCTCAAGAGTTACAAAGTTTGGCTTTAAATACACTTTAGTGTTGTTTCCTCGGCCCACCAAGAAGCTTATGGACCGTGTCATACTGTGTTAGCGTGTGTGCTTGCATTAATGCGTGTTAGTGCTGAGACCGGCTGCAGCTGTGTTACTTTATAACCTCACTGTGGTTTGGCTGCAGCACAGTGCTGGACTTGGTGGGCTGTGTAAAAAGGCCTGTGAAAGATGGCATGCTAGGGCCAGGTGTTACTACTACATGTTGCATCTACACTGGTCTGTGTGTGCCTATATGTGTGTGTGTGTGTGTGTGTGTGTGTGTGTGTGTATGTGTGTTCATGTTTTTCACAGATCTGTCTGTATGTTGGGTTACAGTTGGACCATGTAAGCCTGGGCGTTAAACGGCTGCTAACGATTACATGCTTCAGACAGGTGCTGTGCAGGATGAAGCTTTTGCGACAGCTGTAAACAGCCATCAGGGATTGGCTCACTGTAATGTAATGAGCTCTTACACAGCCTGGGATTTAGCTCTTTGTGTGCGTGTGTGTGTGTGTGTGTGCGTGTGTGTGTGTGTGTGTGTGTGTGTGTGTGTGTGTGTGTGTGTGTGTGTGTGTGTGTGTTTGTGCTTTTTGTCGTGGACTGAAACACATTTAAACTATAATCGCAGGTCTGAATAAACACCTCCACTGATAAGTTCAGAGGATTGTTAGAGTATAGCTAAATGGATTTGAGTCTCCTCTCTATCAGTACGGAGGATGATGCTTTTAGCCGCTAAACTTTTTGTAATCCAGTCTCTGCCTTTGTTATTTTAGATGAATTAAAGCTCATGTGAAGAACTTTCAGTTTGAATCAATTCTGGTGCCCCCTGTAGACAAAGCAGTCTGTGCATATCTCGTCCTCCAAATATGCTGAAGTGGTGTCTTTTGGCAACAGTTCCCAGACTGTTGACGTTTGACTGTCACAATTATACGTTTTTATGAGTATTTTAAAAATGTGCCTGTTTTTTTTAGCTGCTTGGCCAACAACTACCCTCTCACACTGGTTTCACACATTAAAAATGACAACATTTATTTTGCCTATCTTGTCCCTCTTGGTCTTGTTTGCTTTTGGACATCATGAAAAGGCATCAGTGTGAATTTCAGTTTATTTCTCAAACATCCAAAAACTCCCAATGAACTTTACTTGAGGGAAAAAAACACTTTGAGAAAATTTGTCAGGCTAAAAAAATCTTCACAGCTTTGTGAAACAGACATCACATCATTTAGTTTTCCTCTAGTTTGACTCATTGTTTTGTCTCATTAGTCGACACACACGATTGCGGGGATCTTTCATTATGTTAGAATTAAAATTACATTGGATCTTGTGCAACACAAGCCTGTTAAAGTTCAGCCGTTGTTGAAACAATCCATCATATGATGTGTTGAAAATCTGTTGAATATAACTACTCTCTTACATTGAAGTTCATGCACCTCCCAATAAACACATTTTCATAAGCAAAATCAGCTTTTTTTAGAACACAATACAGCAGAAAACATTTTTTACAACAAACAAAACACTGAATTTGGGATTTTCAAGCATCCTTAGACACACCAGCTTCTCTGTCAACAGTCTCCTCAGTGCCCCTCAACAGCCCCAGTAAACCACTCTGATGGTTTTAAAATGGAGATTTAAGGAGCTAGAGTGCCTGGAGTGTAAATTTCCACGCAAAACAGCCCTTACAATTCACCATCACAGCTTCACAGTTATTTCACCTGTGGAACGCATGCCGCAGTCAGAGGTGTTTATGAGCGACACTTAAATGAGGACACGTTTTCACCCGACCTTGTAAAACTCCCCTCCCATTTGGAGAGGTTAATGGTTCATCACACACTTCCTCCTTGGAGTAACCCTTTGACTACCCTCTCAACATCAGTGTGACGGTGAGGCATGCTGGGATCTGTTGGCCTCTTGTTTATAGGTTTAGAGCGTAGTATTGAGCAGCATATGCATAAGTGTGTTGAAAGTAATTATAGAATGCAAAAGTCTTCCTTATTTAGTTAACTTAAAGAAACGTGTAGATAAGCACAGAATGGACAAACAAGTGTGAGTGAGACAGACATGTTTTTGTATTTTGTGAGCAGCCAGTGAAAATGCAGCAGATGCAAGAAAGAGATGAAAGTGGTTGCTCAAAGAAACTGTGTTGAAAGATGTTTTGATGGTACAAACTTGACAAAAATAAGGTCAAACTATTGTTGCGCTGCGGAGTTGCAAAGAGTGAGAAAGGGGGAGTTCTCAGTCAATCGAGGATCTGATAGATCTCACAACATAATTCCTTTTAAACACACGGCACCTTTAGCTAGCTGGGGTTGTGCAGCATGGTTAAAAGGGACTTAGGTTATGGGCACAACCTTTGCAGGGTTCTTTTTATTGGGGACTTTTCCCACCATCACAGATTAGAGTGAGGCTTATTAGGAAAAGCCATTCTGCCAGATTTTGCCCCTCGCCCTACATTTCCTGCCTCATCCTGGTAGTGATGCTGAGTTCCCCCTGCTCTCCACTCCCTGGTAACTGCTTACATGCAGCGTTCCCAGGCTCAGACTAGTGGCACGGCTCCCAGATCTGAATCTGGGAGACAGAGGGGTTTCTCAGGAGACAGAACACAAATACAGGGATCCAAATAACTTAATCACCAGCGGGGCGATTAGGACTAGAAGCTCAGGGGCTTACCCAAGGGGAGGGTGTTGGTGTTTGGGTGGTAGAGGGGAAATTGGTGACTGGTTAGTCAGTGAAGGTGTTTGGATGATCACCTCCGCCAAGGGTCATGTTGGGATACATGCTGTTTAGGTTTGTGTGTAAGGTTTTGTTTTCAGCTTTGGTTTTCCTTCCTGTAAACAAACTTTAAACTTCCTCTTACTTGTTTATTTTTTCATGTCATGTTTATTTTTACTCACGTATTATCACATTTTTATGTTTGCTTGTCTCCTAGGAGTTTAAGACAATCTTTTTTTTGGGACAAAGCCACACAATGTAGATGAAAAAACAACTGAATATTGTCTCTTTATTTTTAAAGTAACTTGAGTGTTATAAGTCAGTAATTGCAGCAATTTTGACCAACTTGCTGAACAAGTATTTTCTTTCCTTCAGACCTAAAGTATATATAGTGTGTCTGTGTTTATGTGTCCCAGAGGTGAGCCTCAAAGAGTGACACCCTCTGTAAACACATATAGAACAGAGGCATTGCAGGAGACTTTTTAACCTTTCAGAGGATGTCAGTGTAAATATTTTCCGAGCGTGCGCTTAATCTTTTGCACTTTACGGCTCTTTCGGGGGCCATGACAGAGCCCTGATTTCTTGCAGAGATGTCATCAACCTTGCAACACATCTTGAACATTTCCATGTATTATTCCATCACTGCAGTAAAATGAAACATCAGCAGGGCTTGTTTTCCGCCCAAGAATAACACAGTCGACCCCGTCTTTCATGTCAGTGCCTCCACCCCCTCTTTTGTTTACTTTCTCACCATGTTGTCAGTCTTTTTACTCTCTCATGCCAGTGTTCCCCCCTCTCCAAACTTCTCCTACCCCCCCACCACCACCTCCAACTTCTTGTAAGAATTTTCTTCAATTTGCCTTGTAAACCCTCGGTGAGAATGAGCGGGTATTGGTGCAAACTGACAGAGCAGATGTTAGAGCTTCTGCATGCAAACATACAACCCTAAAAATTGACTTCACTATCTGTCTTCACATGCTTACTGCTCTTCTCACTTGACATCCTCTCGAGACTTGTTTGGGATATCTCGTGAAGAGAAAGATGGCTTATGTAAGGGGTCTGTTTTTAACTCAGTGACCCAGAGAGCTGTGACAAATATGGTGTCACACTGGTGAAATACAGCCCAACAGGTGGCTCATACAGGCATTTTAATGCATTCTTGAAATAACCAGCTTTCTTATAAATGGTTGAGTCCATGTATGCTTATGATGTGATATAATAGGAGTAAGAAGAAGACTCGTTCAATATGGGACGAATATGTATATGCCTGCAGAATTCCATAGTCTAACATTGCAATGATAATATATGATTATTTGAGTATATATGAATATTTGCGTACATAATAGTAGTAACTCTTTTTTTGTTTATCTGTCTAAATAATAATAAAAAAAAATAACATCTCTAAATTTCTCCCAGTTAACCTGCTCGCAGCTAGATGTAGCTTCATATGACTGAAAGCATTACTAGCAAACTTTTTTTCCTCTTTTCTTTGACTGCAGTTGTCACTAATTGTGCAGAAATAGTAATAACCAGTATCTAATTTCCTAATTTGTACATGTTTTTTGTTTCTGTTCTCTTCTCCCTCCAGTCAAAGATGTCTCAGAGGCAGCAGCGCATGATCAAGAACCGGGAGTCAGCGTCCCTGTCTCGCAAAAAGAAGAAAGAGTATCTGCTCTCTCTGGAAGCTCGTTTAAAACTGGCGTTGTCTGAGAACGAGGCGCTGAAGTGTGAGAATGGCAACCTCAAGAGGCAGCTGGAGGGCCTGCTGAGTGAGGTGAGAGGCTTCAGCTCTGCTTTTACTTCCACACAGGCCTACACTTATATGCATGCCAGTACATGGCAACAGATGAGATTTGCTTGTGTTTCTTCTTACATGATCCATATGTTTGCCTGCAGAACAAAGTACTGACTGTGACGGCCCCCAAGAGGAGAGCTGTGTGTCTCATGGTGGTGTTGGTGTTTCTCATGCTGAATGTTGGACCAATGAGGTGAGCGTGAACCAGTCGTTGAAATGATTATTTGTCCTTTATGTAAACATTTTTTCTGAGTTTAGAGTGGCAGATACAAAGTTCAAGATTTAGAAAGATTAGCTGCAGCATACTGTGGATGCAGAAGAGTTTGATTACCAGAGGAAATCAAATGGGAAGCCCCGTGACTCACAGTGGGAATTACATCTCTCATGACATTAAACTAAAACATTTATTGAAAACAGCGAGGAGAGTTTCTCATTAAAGCAACATGTTCACACAAACCGATTTTCACAGTCAAAAGAAATGACTATATAAGTTAGAAAATCTACACCCTGCTAATGTTTGATAAATATTTAAAATTAGATAAACTCCATTGTTTTTCTTTTTTCAAACCTGTTAGATTTAATTCGCCAAAATCAATACACTTCTTCTTCACAGTCCAGAAGAGCGAAGTCGAGTAATGCTCATGCTGGACAATTTGATCCATTTTGAAAACGGTCTAGTTGGTCAAGAAAGCGATAATTAATGGTTCATCCCCGCCAACTGGCTCTCCTGTGTATTTTCCATTCCTCTGTTATTGTTTCCAGAGTTTATAGAACTTTGTGACTAATGGGCGAAAAAGCCTCGAAATACCCTGCTGCATAGTGAGAAAAGTAAACATTTATTACTGTGAGAAAAAAAAAGACATTACAGGCAACAAAAGAAGTACAACGCCTTTACTTATGGAGGTTTTCTCTTATCAGCGCTTGTTATATTATCAGTGCTGACAAATTCAGAGGAGTTACATAAATCTACACCAGGGAGAAAGAGCTCCAATTCCACCCAGTCACCAGATGGTGAGGTTGTGTAACTCCGCAAACCCAAGCTCACAGCCCATCGCCAAATGTTAACGATGAATTTGCTGTTCTCATGGTATAAAAATGTTTGTTTTCTCCAGGGAAAAAAAAAAGTTTCTCAACAAAGATGTGAGCTTCAATTTGTCTGACGTGCTGATTTTAAAACGTCTGTCTGCACTCTTTGCTGGGAATATGTTTTTTTGATTGTTCTCAAGAGCTTAAAAGGGAAAAAGGTTCTAGGGACTCATGCAACTCTAAGTGAAGTCTGAGTATGTCTGTACCTGTGTTCGCATCTGTGTGTTTTGTGTTAGGACTCCCCTCTGGAATGTAAAATATGCCTGCTTTGAGGTCAGATCCCTTTGAAATGAAAATGCCACCCAGTGTAGTAATACCATTGAAGGAGACTGTGTGTGTTTTTGCTTGTGTGTGCCCCACAATGCTTTGGGTTATGCAGTCTGGATCAGAGTTCAGATTCTGCTTGTTGCTAGAAACAGGGACCCCTTCTGTGCGCAGGAAGTGGCCCTACTTGGAATTTGGCGGTCATTTCAGTCCAGTACCCCAGCCTTCTTCTAAGTTTGTTTCCTACATCCTAAGAGTCCTAATTTGACCTTTCCTTATCCCTCTCCTGGTTTATCAGTCTGTTTCAGGGTGGCTCCAAACCTGAGGTCTATACTGCACAACACAGCGGCAGACACCTGTTGGACTTCTCCCCAGACGACCAAACTGGCTTTGTGATGGGCCCCGATTCCCTCCACAGCGGCCCCTCGGAGGTTGCCGACAGGTAATGATCTCAACCCCCTACCCCTGAACGCTATTCACAACACTGCGGACCAGGATGCACCTGCAACGGGGCTCGGCCTGAACTGGTACAGCTCATTACGGCACGTGTAAACATGCCTGCCAGACGGTTACCAACTCAGCCCAAGCGTCTGCCTCCGGGCTGGGCTGGTTACCCGGCTGTTGTGCTTTAAGTAACAAAGTAGGAAATTGCAGTCTGGTTTCGTTTGACGTCTCGCCTCACCTGACTGGTAACAGTTATTTTTTTGAAAGGGTTATATATTTTTCTTTGGTTTTGAAATGCACAAGAGGCCCAGCAGACTCATTTGTAAATTGTATAAATAACAGTCTTGTTTGGTACATTAGCTGCACCCTCATGTCCTGAAGGTGATGTTTTTCAAGGTGGTCAGTTGGTCTTAACGTCTGCATGGCACTACCAGTCTGTGTTTTGTCAGATCTCTGTGTAGGGTATGTTACATGTTAATGCAAACCATTCAGCCGGGGTATCAGGTTTCCCAGCAGCATTAACCTAGCGCATGCAGGAAGGAACACATTAGCCTTTACTAAAGGGGTGACAGCACTAGAGAAGCAGAGAGGGGGACGATGGGGGAGAATATGCAACCTAATCTTGGGGTCCTGCTGAACAGGAAGGTGTGCGCACTGGAAGGTTAATACAGGCCCCTCAGTCAGAGTTATAATCAGGCCTTCGTGGTCTGACATGTTGTCTCGCTGAAGCATTTCCAGAGCATTTAGAGACAGGAACGCGGGGCTCAGACCAAGTGTTGGCCCTGATGAGGGGGGCCCTGGGGAGGTATTATGTCGGTGGCAGACGTTTAGGTAACAAGGCCTCTGCAGGTGGGCACCGACTGTGTGGACAGTCTACATCATCGCCTCGATCAACATAATCATTCATTCACTGAGGCGATTTAAGTCCTGGTTATGTTAAAGGAGGACAGCCAAGTCTTACAATGTCGATCTCTGTTCCTTCTGTAATGTACCGATCTTAACTTCTAGTTGTTGTTTTCAGACGGCGTTATCCATCATCAGACTGAGCGTTTTTAACCCTGCACTTCTTCTCAACATTCATGCGGATGTTTTAAAAACTTTTCTTGCCTACGATCGGCCACCGAGTCTCTGCCACCTCAGCACACGTCAGGTTTTAAGCATCTGAATCAATAAAAGTCATAAGTCAGCAATAAATTCAGCACACTGAAGCCGTGGAGCCAGTTGTTCCTTCCTGTTTCTCGGTCCGATCAAGCCGTTTCACCTCCGTCTGAGGGCACACGGCCATGTTGGCTTTCAATTTGCATTCAAAGCATTTTCTCAACATGTGGGGAAAACTCCTCACAGATTGTTACTATGAAGTTCTTACTTTGATTTAAGGGCATCAGAGACACCTCGTAAAGTACTTCTTTTTCTTCCTTTAACACCTTCTGTTTGCGTTGTAGCTCTGAAGACAAAGCCCTGATGGTGGTGAAAGATCCCGTCTTCCTCAGACCACCTCCTCCCTGCCAGCCTCCTGTAAACAGGACCAAGTGCTTAGAGTAAGTCAAAAAAAATCTTTTTACACGTTAAGGCTCACGTTTCTAAATCACTCAGAACCGCCATGTGTAAAATCCGTGGACATGTTGATTGGCAGGTTGGCACACGAGTTGAGGGGTTGGGTCCACCGTCATGAAGTGCAGCAGACCAAAACCAGGCGCATGAGTAACAGCAACCACAAACCCACCAGGACCATTCTGGTAAGTCACACTTTAAGGGGAAAGAAAAACACATTCAGTGGTGCATGAACAAATCAAACAGATTCCAGTGTTTCGAACAAACTTTGCAAAGTGAAGTTACATTTTAAGCATTATTCCATCACCATTGGTTTTATTTTCAGCGAACCAAAGCCTCCCTTTCACCACTGTTCAACCCCGAGCCTCCCCTACACACACACACACCTTCTTTTTTTTCTTTATTGGGCTGACTTTAATCCTGCAGCCCTGAGAAAGTAAACACAACACTTAGAGGGGGAGCTGTAGGATTAGTGCCCCCTGCTCCTATTTTTCCATCATTCTTCTGAAATCTGTTGCAGATAGTCTAATCCATTCAGAGCTGTTGAGTTTGTATAAACCTGTTACTCACTTTACTGTAAATAAAAACCTGAATGTGTTCATAACTCATGAGCATGTAGCTGTTTTATTGTTACAAGCTCATAAACTAGCAGGCTGTGTAGAGCGTGTGTGTGTGTGTGTGTATGGAAATGTTTTGAATGAAGACTGTGTTTGACTGTGTTTATCCGGCCCTCTCTAATGGTTTGTTGAGTTAGATATAAAAGATTGTACATAATTCTGTCTCGTTTTTGCTAACAGAAAACGGAGAGTAAAGAGGCGCAGAGTGCACAGATTGTGACGGTCCAATACACCGATACTACAGGACAAAAGTGAGTAAAGACCTGATTCGGTGTGTGTGTGTGTAGCTGATTCAACAACTCAAACCATTTTCAGGTTTCACTGCTTTTCTGACAAACAATTCTCATTTGATTCAGCATTTTTTGCCATGCCAACACATACGGTAGATAAGAGAGAGCAAAATATACAGCAATTACATCTTGTGTGGTAAGCCAAAGCTGTGCTGTAAACTCAAGCAGCATGCTGTATTCTGTAGAGCTGCAGACAGGGGTGTTTATTGGCTGGATCAAAGAGTAAACTGTATAAAAAAACTTCAGACACAACACACTGGTACGTTTTATTGTGATAGAGTTGTATTTGACCACAGTGGGTTTTTAAATGATGCCGCAACTGGATTTACATTTTGATTTTGTTACATTTCTGGCGTTCGCCTCCCCTCATAAACCGAGCGATTTATGATACGAAAGTTTTAAAGCGCTGACCCTTGTACACTTTTCCAGTGATTTGGCAGTAAATAAGAACCTTTCCTGCTGGAGAAGTCCAGCTCAGACAGATGAAGTTGATAGTTCTTGGCCACCTGTGGCTTTTCTTTTTGAATAGTATATCTACAAATGTCAAAAGAGGAAAAATCGCTTTCAGCAGTGACTGCAAAACCTTAAAAATGGATGGATGAGGTTGAGTGAAGACAGAAAATGCAAACACTAAAAACGGTGTTTCTTCTTCTGTACACTGTGTTTGCTTTCTCTATATGAGAAATCAGGAAGGCAAGCCACTGTAGGAGCTGCAGTGATTGAAGATCCTGATTATTGTTAATTTTTTGGCTAAGTATAAAACAACCATGGGTTTGGTTGTACAACAAAACATACTAGTATACATATCACAATTCCCTACCGTTCAAGGTGCGATCACTGTGATGGAAATTACAAAAAAAGCAAAACCTCTCATATTGAGGATGATTACATATTTAATATACAGTACATTGAGGTCTATTATGTTTTTTTACCCTAGTTGCAAATTTATTGGCTTTGATTTCCAGCCTGATGAAAAAATAATGGACACCACCTAAGTTGATTTTCATCTATTGGCTGTGTGCACAAATCTGATTGGTTGTTTAATGATTCTGATGACTGAGTAATTACTCCTTTCAACGAGGCAGAAAGCTTAGCATGTACCAGTGGTTAGATAATGATCTTAATAAATCATATCATTTGAAAAAACATATTTTACCTTCATTAAAATTGCCAAGTAAAGCTTGACATTGTGATTAATTGCATCAGTGTAATTTTCTGAAATTTTATTTTCTGTTTTACACACATATGTGCAAAATGAGAAAAAAAAAGTCAATATACCAACGGTACGCAGACAGAACTTCCCAAGTACCCCCCCCCAAAAAAAAAAATAAGATAAAAAAATAAATAAAAGAAAGGTCAGTGTATAAATCATGACAGATTACTGACTTAGATACTTGGTGTAAGAGACAATCGAGAATGGTCTAATCAGTGTAAGTTTTGAAAGAAAAGTTAATTCTGACTTTTGGCTGATTTCTCTCCATTTTTGATTTATTGGCATCCCTTTGATTTCCTGCTTTTTTCCTTTGACAGAAATTCTGGCAGTGAGCTACAGGTGTACTACGCACCCTATCACACCTACAGCGACTTCTTCGATGAGATCAATCGTCGTGGCGACACATTTTACGTCGTGTCTTTCCGCAGGGTAAGTTTCTTCTTGGCTCGCACTGATTTGACAGGAGGAAAAAATGAGCAATTACTTCCACTCGGTCTCTTACACAGCGCTTAAACCAATTAGGTAGGGTGAAATCGGGAGGTACATCAATAAAATAACTCACAGCTAATCACTGATCAGTTTGTTAATATCTGTTGCAAGTGTTCCTCCTCCCAAATGAGTCATAAAAGCAACAAGTTATTGATAGAGTAACTTAAGAGTCTTTGGTTATGTGTAATAGGTCTGTGCATCAACAGAAAGTCTTAATTTGAGAGAAAAATTGAGGGTGGGGGAGGGGGGTGAAACACACACACAACAGGGTGTAACTGCGCTGGTTTATTCCAGTTTCTTCAGTCCACTCACACTCAAAGACTGTGTTTTAGATTTGCAGGCACAACCTTATGTCAGTGTTGATCAATGATTCCTCTTTTCATTTGAAAGTGGTTCTCCCTGTTTAAGCCCCCGAGCCTGTTTTTAATTTTCTCTCCTGATACGATTAATCCTTCACATCATGTTTCATCAGACTTCTGTAGATTATTTCGGGTTTGTTTCTTTGACTGATGTTTCTTATTAGAAAAATAAAATTAAAAAAAAAAAAAAAAAGTTTTTGGCCCCACTCTGACATCCATTCGTTCTTAAGTACCAACCAAACCAACTAAAAAGCAAAAAAAGTTTTTACTGCCGCTGTACCCTGAAAACAAATGAATGTTTTTTTCTTCGCTATCAAAAGACTGATTCATTCTCTCCACCTCTGAACACTCAGAGGATGTGAAGCTCTTAAATCCTCAAAATCACTCAGAGGGGCGGGACTTTTGAAGCACGCAGTCAAAGATCAAGACCTCTCGTCTCCAAGCGATTCACAGAGGGTTTTGGTGTGAGTTGTCATGGTGACAGCAGGGACAATGCTAACAATGGTGGTGCCAAGTGGAGGGCCTCTCCAGGTCAAGTGGCAGTTGTTCAGTTTGAAGCCGCTTTGAGCTGCATGAGCAGAGCCAGGGTTATCGTCGATCCAAAATACAAGTTTAATGATTTACTAATCAAAAACAACTGGTAAACAAAGTCTAGAATAGCACAGTCAACAAAATGGAAAATGTCAGCTCAAGAGACAAATATTTTGGTTTTAAAAAATCTGTGTATATTTGCGCCTCAAATTTTCATCCTCAAATTACATTTAAAAAAATGTTACAATAGCAGTCCACCTGAAAAACATAGAATATAATCAGCAAATGAACAGATGAAACAAAGACAAGTGAAGGAAAATCAACTTTAAATATTTCTCTAAAAAGTCAAAATAACAAACGCCTTTTTCGTCTTTGGCTGTACTTCATTCTCTGGTACATTTTGTGATCTCTTGAGCTCTGGCATTGAAAACAAGGCAATGAACGCTTCCTTTAGAGTCTTTTTGACTGGCTGGATTTTTCCCTCCACATCTCATCAAATCTTTTTGTGTGACAGTTTGCCAGGTGGCTTCTCGTGTTTTCCCTGACGTGTAGTCTGGCAGTCTCAGCATTTGTTTTTTTGATCATGTGTCACTTTTCCTTCTTTCCCATTTTTTGTCAAGAAGAAACTGAAAGCCTCCGGACATCAAATTCAAATTTTTTGTTTTTCATTTTTTAAATTTGTTTCTTTTGACTTTCAAATACAGTCTACTATCTCAAAGGACAAAATATCTGCATTAAAACTATATTTTTATGAATATTAAATGAAGACTTTTTTTTTTACATTCAGTCAGCTTTAGTCTTTTTTTACAAATCCTAAATATAAATTCATTTGTACAATTCAAAACCTCAAAATGGTACTTGTGAACAGAATACCATTGATATTTTTATGGGGGACTAAAACTAAAACTCTCTAAACAGGGAGTCTATAATTGAGCAGGAACTTTTTCATCCTAACACAGTTGAGTATCACTTTTGAGATTTAGCAGACACAACAGGCACACTGTTGTTAAACTAGATTTGTAAAAAAAAAAATTAAATGGCACACCTCAGCATGCCTACTAGAGGGTGAATAAGGACAGAGATACGAAAACAACAATCGAGAAAAAGTCCTCTGTGATTCATAACAACTAATAGTGTAGGACTGTAACTAACACCAATTGTCTAATTTGATGAATTGGCTGTTTGGTCTTTGAATGCCAGGAAATAGTGGAAAATTCCCTTTAAAATGTCAAATCCTCTGTTTTCTTCCTGGCCTTCTCTCTTTTTTTTTCACTGTGACCTTTTTAAATCTTATAGAACCTTTTTTTAGTTTTTCTCAGTGGCTTTATTTGCTTGTATTTTGTTTCCTGGGTTTCAGGGTGTCTCTGTGTGTGGAAATCGTGCACTTTTTTTGTGTTTCTTTTTGTTCCATCAGTATGATGTTATAATGAGACTGCCAAAGCTCTGGATTAAATTTGGAATTTGTTTAGTTTTTAGAGCCAATCAAGACCATTTTTGACTTTTGTCCCTCTTGTCTGAAATCATTCATCACGTTCGTCATTGCCTGCACTCGTCCTGGCCAGCAGTTGAGGTCAGTCCCTGCAGGAAGTTGCACGCCCAAACTGGTCATGCTCAGGTCAGGGTTCCTTTAAACCCTCATCAGACACAAGACCACCTGTGGCTTTGTTTAAGTGTGAAACGAGCTGAGGTGATGGAAAACATAACAAGACCGAAATATGGAGCTGCTCTGCTCGCCCTCATTTTGTGCTTTTTGCTCTGATTCTCGTGTTGTTTTAGCACCTGCAGCTTTATATAAGTGTGCGTTGAGGTGACGTCGAGGAAACACTGGCTGCTTTCTCTGTGGGGACTGATCCAATGGGGGTTTGAGGAAAATTCACCTGGTGTCATGGCAGCTTCAGCTGTTAATGTCAGCTTGAAGAACTCGCTCATGCTGTAATGATGAGCAGGAACGTGAACTGATGTTTTCCTTCTGTCACCCCTCAAACACAGTCAAGGCTCTATTGCATTTCTTTGCAGGGTTTCATAACTCTTCTGGTGGGTTTATCCCCACATCCTCATATTAATATAACTCACTAAACACTTTTTTGGAGTGAAAACACCACCAATGACAGATACGCAGGATTACTGGTTTGCTTGTACATCATTTCTTGGCAGAATCGCACAGAAAAATCAGTCATGTATTTACCCTTTCATTCTCTCTGACTCTGACTGTCACTTCTCTCTCAATATGCTTTGAGTCTTACAAGTCGTGTATGTTTCTCCTGCTTATCTTTCTTTCTGCACTGGGTTTCCCAACCTCAGACCATACTCCCGCCTGTCATCGCCTTAAACTCGCTCATTTTTCATTTCACCAACGCTGGGTTTTTACTAGCCGAGTTTTGATAAAGTGAAACAGGTTTAAATTGGACATGTGGTTGAGGGAAAGCAACAAAAGTTTCCGTTTTGCAACTGATCCAGACAAAATTTTAAGATTCTTTCCTGTAGTTAAAGGAGCATTTCACTGATTTTTGTCATGAAGTTTAGTTTTCCTCACAGTTGCTGGAGAAGCTTTTTACACTTTGAATTTTAAAATGTGTGAAACTCAGAGAAATGTGTTTTAGTTTGAAAGGTTCAAAGTCATGTGACTGGAATTGTAATTTTTCTCACATAAAGTTTTTAAAAACATGAAAAATTTTGAGGTCAGGTAACTTTTTGGCAGACGTTGCCTCACGCTGAATTCAGTCATTAGTCTCAATATGTGGGTGTTTTGAGATGCTGTGTTCGACTTCGAGTTTTGCCCATCTGCTGTGATTTGTTTGTTTCGTTTTCAACATTGTTTTGATTTTCTTATCCTAGTTTAACACTGTTGAAGTGATTCACGTCTAAGTCTGATAACAGCTCGAGCTGAACACGACTATAAATGTGTGAAAGTCAGATCTTTGTTTGCATTTCAGCTAATTCCTTTCCCCTGCATTTCCCACTCAGAGGATATGCTTGGATTCAACCCTTCGTTTTTGTTGTATAATAGTGTGAAAAAGGCTGGTGTACTCGTTTAAGAAACTGAAGTTCTGTGGTTCTGGTCCCAAAGTTAAACTTTTTGTACTTTTAGAGCCAAAATAACTAATGAAGACAGTGTCAAAATATGAGTCTTTGTCATGGCTAACACAACGGGTGAGGCATGAAAAAGAAATTCTCAGTTTGAAGATTTATTTGACCAAAAAGACATTCATGGAAATATTTTCTTCATGCCAGGACCTTCAAACCTCCCAAATGACCATTACATCACCGATCATCTCAAACTGTTCAGTCAAATCCTCCTCCTCCGAGTTAGAAACCCTGTGCCAAATCCTGATCAACAACCCGCAAATCCCCCTCTCATCTGACCACTTTCTCAACTTGATGAACTTCTCTTCTTTGTTTTCAGGACCATCTCCTACTTCCTGCCACCAGCCACAACAAGGGGAGCCGACCCAAGATGTCTGTGGTGTTGCCAGCCATGAACATAAACGGTATGCGCTGCAGCACAAACACAGCCGTTAGGGTCATTCAGCACAGTGAAACAGATGAGAGGCAAGCTGGGAGCGGATTCAGAAACACGTTGCCCTACAAGAATGCAATAAATGTAGCCTAACACACTTTGTAAGGAAAAGCTTCTAGGACCAAAATAGAGCGCTCGAGCCTTTAAAGGTGATATTGATCCTTTTTTCTACCTTCCTGGATTTAACTCGGAGGGAAGTTTCTTTATAAGCTTACTTTGCCAAAAAGTTTCTTTGACATCTGGTGTCTTGTACGTCAAAGGTCTTTGCTCCCTCCCTCCCTTTGAGCCCTTTGAGGTTTCTGTTTTGTCCTTCAGCATCTGATTATATACTCTCTGGTACTTTTAGCAATGCTGTGAAGTGTCTGCACAGCCACTGAACACACCACACACAGACACAGAGGTTGAGAGAATCAAGTTGTTTCCTTTTTACTTGTAAACACTTTGTTTATATTCTAGTGTATTTTTATGCACCAGCTTGTCATGGCATTGTCTGTATTTTTGTGATGGGAGACTTGTGTAAAGAGAGGATGTCATCTTTTTCCATAGTTTCAACATAATTGCAGAGTTACAGTGTTTGGTCAAAGGTATGCAAACATATGTTGTAATAATCATAGAAACTAGATGTAACCTGATCAGAGCAGTTGGTTGGAAAATCTCATGAGATCTCACCAAGACGTCCATGAGACTGAACTGAGCCCCAGTGTGAGGCGACGCCCATTCAAAACCATTAATATTCTCCATCATACCATTCCTATGGCATGAGGTCCAGCCAGCCAATCAGGGGGTGGCAGTAGCTCAGGAGGAAGAGCGGTTGTCCAATAACTGGAAGGTTGGCAGTTCAATTCCCCCCCTATCCCTAATCTGTCTGTTGTGTCCTTAGGCAAGACATTTAACCCACCTTGCTCCCAGTGTGTGTCCTCCACTGGTGTATGATTGTGAGTGTTGTGTGGTGGTGGTTGGAGAGGCCGTAGGAGCAAACTGGCAGCCATGTTTGTGTCAGTCTGCTCCAGGGCAGCTGTGACTACTACAATAATTCAACACCACCACCAGGGTGTGACTGTGTGAGCGAATGAATGAATGAATGATGAATCCAATGTAAAGCGCTTTGAGGGTCTCTGATAAAGCACTAGAAAAATCTGATGCATTATGATTATTAGAAACTAGATGGAGCTGGTCACCCCGGAAACCAGTAAAAATATGCACTTGTTACATGAGCATCACAGGTAGATGAGCCTCTTTTGGGGACAGTACATTACACATCAACATTGAAATAACATTCAAAGACTTTGTCTTGCACCTACCACTGACCAGTGGTTACAGACATGAAAAATAATTAATCAGAAATGGCCACTCTTCTCTCTGATGGTCTTGGTTTTGCTATATTTGGGGTCAAAGTATGAAGTCAATCTTAATTTCAGTCTGATTTAAACCTAGCTTAAAAATCCTCACAGGAGCTTCAAAATACAGAGCGTTTGCCAATTTTCCAAATTTTCTCTATGTTTGAGAACAATACATCATGTCAATGGAAATGTAAGTTTTTGTACTTATACTGTAGTTCCAGACATTTTTAAAAAAGCACATTTCAAAATTACTAATTTCAATACTGCTATGAAACTTTGTCATGAAAACACCTGCCTCACTTTGACAAGTGCTTGGGGACAAGTGCAAAATCAGGCAGAGGCGGCTAATTCATAATTTTATATGCAAGAAAAACTCTACAGAGACAATGAGTTTAACAGTCTTTAGGCATAAAATGTGATTTACAGGCTGTACATGCAGAATTTCTGTCCATATTCATTATCTTTTAAGTAGCTACAGGCTCTTTTTGAGGTTGTAGGAAAGGCTCATCTAAAGTGCTTCTCCCCTCATGGAGAAGACAGTCAGTGTCCACAGCATGTCAGAGTGAATGTCAGTCAGAGTGCACTTAGCATGCAGTTTTAGGGGGGTGAGGGGCTTTCATAAGCCAATTAAGAGAGCTATCAGCCACTTTTTGACAACTTCTAAAACAAACTCATCCAAGAATTTGAGCATGGATGCACAAAAGGAACGCCTCAGTATCAGAGGACACTATTGGCAAAACTTTGGACTTCCACTGGCACATTTTCGCCTTGTTGTTTTTCAATGAATAGTTGAAACAGATGTTTTTACTTTTATTTCCACGAGCTTATCCTAGCTTCTATCTGTGGCCCTTTCATGCACAAGATTATTCAACAGGTGAGTCAAAGTCAGGTCATCAGATATTTCAGCGGAAAGAATTTCTCTATGGCAAGAACTTGAACTGTAACTTTCAGGTGAATTGATTTTCATCAAGCCTGCAGGACAGCGAACTGACAGGAAGTCGAATCAAGAGGGATTGTGTTTACACAAGGCGTGAGCAATTAGGAAGACAGCTTGTTGTTGTTGTTGGCTGTTAACCTGGCACTTTTATCTGAGATCCTCTTGTTCTTCTGTTACCTCCCCATCCTGTGATTTGATTAGTGCTTCAGGCTGCTCAGAGAGGAGTGAGTCAGTGAAATCTGAGCCTCTTACTCAGCAGGGATGACATGGCCATTGGGAAATCACTTTTTTTTGTCCTTGGGAGGGTGGTGTTCGAGATGAAGATTGATGAAGGTAAACATTGTTCTTGGTTGGTCTTGTCAGGGAGGAATGTTAAGGTCCATGCTGGTCAGATGGCCCTTTGAAATAGCAGCAAATAGTGAAATCCAAGACCTCTTTTTCAGCTAATCGTTGAAATGGCCAAACAAAGGTGGCTTTCAGGGGGAGATATCAGGGTCTTGAAGGATTCTTGTTAGCTGAGGGAAAGAGTCTTGAATTTGCATGACCTGTCATGGACACCTGTGGGCAATTTAAAAACGCACAACTTTGAGATCTTCCGTGCTTGTTGCAAAAGTCTGTGCTTGCATATAAAGTCTTCACTGGTCCATGTGGTATCTCTTAAGGGGAGGACTGACACCAGCTTTATATTAGCACATTAGCAGTAGCTTCAGTTTCAGATGCCCCGCTTGCTCATCCTGGTAATCCTCACTGACCTGACAGCAACAATGTCGTTAAAAAGCGAGCCAACAGATGCTGACAAATCAAAGAGAGTGCGGGTGATTCCCTAGTAGCACAAAACCGGCCCGGCCCTCCCTACCTCCCTTCTGTTTAAAGCCCCATATGTCACACAGATGACAACTCCCAAGTAGTGCTTCAGATTTGTATCGTCTTTGTTCAATCTTTGAACTGATTAAGTGCAAATGTACACATTAAGTTGGGCGTGACTCTCAGCAGAGCAGAAACACTGCTGTCGCACGATGATGGGTAATTCTTTCCAGCTCCCAGTTGCTGCTCTCCATTTGGAATGCCTTTCTCCTTCAGTCTCTTAAATGGTTTCATCTGGAGGAGGTGGATCGACTCTGTTAATCCTGAGTGAGCGTTTGGTCTGTCCTGGTCAATAACTGAACTTGGAAGATAGAGACTTTGATGTTAGCCATCGTCTCTTTCTGTCTTGCTGCGCTTCCACGGTTCAGGGGTTCTGTTAAAGTTACTTAACCTTGACGCTCTTGATCATCCCTGAAAACGTGAGCAGCTGAGCAGAGGCTCCTCGAAAGGACTGAAAGGAGTGTTTATTTAATTTACCCGCGAGTTTGAAAGTAGCTCAATCAAGTGAAAGCGACATGTTTTGGGGAAGGGAATGTTTTCGAGATTACATCATTTACAGGTGGACCGACTGCGGCTGATGCTCTGCAGTCTATTTTTACTTCTCTAAGATTATACATGTGCACTGAAGCAACAGGCTGCTTTCACAGGGGGCTCCAGTTAGAAGTGCACACCACTAAAGGAGCAGAGGATCAGATTTTCCTTGTCTTAACTAAATAAATATACCCATCAGTGCTCTGAAAGCAGTGTGCACTGAGCAAAACAAATATGTAACCTTAACCAGATTTTAACTTTTATTTTTGGCCCTCTAGCGCTTGGATCAGCATGTAAATTGACTAATGCGAAATGCCAACAGAGACATTGAAAATCCCTAACCTACCAAATATTAACGGTGCTGATAATAAAGGTGCAAATAAGCACAAAGCAGTGTTGTTAATGTGATGGTAGACCCTCTAATAAGACCCTTGACTAATGTCCTCATGATAAAACTTTACATTATTCTATTATTGTTCCAGTGCCACTGTAAATGCACTCAGTCATTAAAAATGTTCAGTAATATGCATCCTTAGTCAGCTGCCTTAAGCTGGTAGAGTTATTATCTTAAGTGAATGCTTATATAACCCCAAATACTATTACACCTTCATTTATTTTACTGGCTTGTATCACCTTTAATTCAACTTTCAGTTTAAGAGTTTTATTGATTTGTTTATCTCGAGTTTCTCTTTTATGAAAGTATTTGCACACACAAGTAACTGGATCAACTGCATCAAGAAAATAAAATACAAGAGCTGTATAAAAAGACTGTTAAAAGTACCACCAATAAGAGTAAATTAGACTAAAAGTGAGAATAAATTGCCTCCTTTCTCGTCTATAATCAACATTCCTCATGAACATGTCCACAGAGTTCGTGCCAGCCCGGCAGCTTAAATCCTTCCAGGATGCACTCTCAGGTTACCTCAGCTGCGTCTCTGCCAGACAGGAGAGTTTTATCAGTGCACACCAGCTCAGTGTGTCGCTGGAACTTTCTGGAAGGTCTCCAGATGGCACCAGTAAAAGCAGGAAGGGGATCATGTAAGAGCAGGATGGTAGATTTGGCAGCTTCTTCAAAGAGCTGCTGTTTAAAGTTTGGCCTCGTGGCTGTGTGTGTTTTTGTGCTTCCTGTTTAACTGTTCAGGCTGCTCATGCAGTTGGCTGAATAGACTCAAGACATGGTGGTAATTCAGTGCAGGGGATGAACACATGTCTCCAAATTGGATGATTTTTCAGTGATGCCTCTTAAATTTTAGTAATTGTTCAGTAATTATTGGACACTTAAAAAGTGATCAAAGGTATTGGACGGTAATTTTGTCTTGTAAAGGAAAAGATAGATCTTCCAATGTAATTTTGTCTTGTAAAGGAAAAGATAGATCTTTTAATTTATTAATATTATGGCAAGCTCTTGATTTAATGTCAGTTTTATCTCTGGTTTGGTCTCCACCAGCTCCTGAGTCAAATGTCAGGTCTACAGCTGGTAATTCTGAAGGAAAAACCTAATTCTGGGGCTGCTGTGGCTCAGTGGTTAAGTGAGTTGTCTCTCAGATAGAGGCTTGGTTGTTCAAATCTCAGCTCCCTCAGTTACATGTCTGCTTTGTTGATTTTCTTTTTTATAAATTTGCCTCGGTTGTTGGCTGCATTGTCCCTTTTAGCAACTTTGCTCGTAACAATAAGTTAACACTGGTCTAATGCTGTGTTTGAGTTACCTTGGAAGTCAGAGCTGAAAATGACGTCACACCCGAGTTCCCAGCATTTCAGTATCCCAGTTGGAAAAAAGCAAAATCGGAGGCGGAAACAAGATGGCTATATCTATGACAGTTATTATCGCGCTTGCCCTGTCCCAATATAACATCTTGTTTCCGCCTCCACTTTTGCTTTTTTCCAACTTGGTAACTGAAATGCTGGTAACTCGGGTGTGACGTCATTTTAACCTCGACCTCTGACTTCCAAGGTAACTCGAACGCAGCATAAATCACAAAGGGTACACTGCTTTACAAATAAGCTGTCACCTGTTGCTATGACAACTGACAACAGAATATAAGACGATCCCACTTTTTTTCAGATGTATTTTGGGGCAAAAAAAACTCTCTAGGGATCAATACAGTGCCCCCTTCAGTCAGAGACATTTTCTTACATGTACTCTATAAATTACTCACACGCCATTTTTCTATTATCCGCTACCTTCTGTTGAATTTCACTGGTTTAAAATGAGTTAAGTGGTGGTTATGTCATAGCACATTGTTAAGCTGAGCTGAAGGCTGTACTGTAAAGTAATGACAGGACCTTGAACAGAGTGGGGGGAAAAAATACTTGTGATCTCATCAAGCTGTATGCAGCTACACGCAGAATACATTTCCAGCTCTGCTTCATATAGAAGGCTAATTTGAATTAAACATAGCATGAGAAAGGGTAAACTCCTTACTCAGAGGATAATTTCCCCAGATATCTCTTTAGACAATAAAGCAAAATTCCAGTTTCTCCACAAGTACAAAGAAAGACGCTGAGCAGCAGATGAAGTCATACTCATCACAATGTCTTCAGTCTATTTAATGATATAAACACACATGGAGTCTTCCGGCTGCAGAGAAGGCTATTGTATTGTGACTGCACCATCTGATAAGCTCTCTCTGCCTCCACCAACGATTAAATCTGCAGAGAGCCAGACAAAGCTGATGTCTTGCACAGGTGTTTGGAAAAAGAAGCAGCTTTTAAACAACTTGCAGCTCCCTGAGGTATTTTAAAGACACCTACAGCTTCTTTTCTGGGTCATACACCAGCACACGTAGCAGACTCTGATGTGTTGGACTTCTGTGCTCCATGTGGAGTACGTAACTATCATCTTGAATCTCTCAAGAATAGTCAAAGTCAGCCAGACGTTTCAAAGATGTCTGTTAATGTAAATACAAAGTAGGGTCCCTCAATTTGTTGATATATGAGCTTCTTCTTGTAAAAAAAAAAAAAAGGGTACAAGCTTGTCCACTTTAGAGGATGCTCTTCCCTCCGCCTGAGCAAAGTTAGACTGTGGGAGACCACAGACCATGAACCACACCATTGTGTAGAGTCCAAATACTTTTTTCCAAATTTGAATTTCCCAAGATAAGTCCAGTGTAATTACTCTGTAGGTCAAACCCTCAAAGGCTGACTTTGTGAAGCTGTTTTGATAAGGAGCTTCAGTTCATCATCATCATACTGTACACCATCTGCGCTCTGTTGTTGCAGTCTCAGGGGTTTTTCCAAACACAAAGGCCTGACTCATCAACATTGATCCCATTCGCTCCTTCAATCTTGCCAGAGCTTTTCCTTTTTTTTATTTCTCAGCTGAACACAAGATGCCTGAAGGATCTTGACTCATCTTTTGTGATTTCTCTTCCTTGTTTCCTGGTCCAGTTTTCTCCTCTTAAAAGTGCAAGTCCTGCTCTTGTTTAGAGCTGTTTTGTTTATATCCATGATGGAGAAATCCAGTGTGACTCACCTCTGGACTCCATCTGTTGTTCAGCCTCCACCAGAGCTCGCTGCGGTTCTCAGGCCCCCAACCGCCTCAAACAATAACCCTTGTTATGATCCCAAATATACTTAAATCATGCCTTACTGCAGCAAGCTAGACAAAAGTCCACCAGTGATAACACTAATGAGTACTGTTTCTGGAGCAGGATTGATGTCCTGGGTTGATTTAAACAACTTGCCATGATATAAATGTGCTAGTCATTGTTGAAGTTTACTGTATAACTCAGTAAGACCAAACCTAACAAGCCTCTGCTCTGGTTTTTGTGATTACAGACAGCATCATAAGAGACGAAGACTACGAGGTGATGATGCAGATCGACTGTGAAGTGACAGACACCAGGATCCTCCACATCAGGTCCTCCACGATCCCACCTTTGCTGAAGGTCAACCACACAGACACATTTTACCAGCACTCTCCCTCTGACAACCAGGCCACGCCTCCTGTCGGCGTGCTAATGGGGTCTGCTTAAGATCATCGGCAGCACCAGGATTCTTGAAAACCCCCCCAGTAAAAACTCATGAAGACAAACAGAACACAAGACCTCAGTTATTTTTTGAAGTATGTGTGTGTGTGTTTTAAATGTTGTGACTTTTTGATTGTGCTAAAGATTCGAATGACGACTAGTCATTCAAAAACACACCGATAGGGTCAGCACTATCACTGTCAGCACTAGTCAGCCACATTCCATATTAGGAGCTAATATCCGGAGGTATTCTGTAATAGGGTTCGAGCAGATGCTAGCTCCTTGTGTGGCAACATTGACTTCTCCCTGTAACCCCAGACAGCCTACAGAAGGGTAATTGCTTAGCGGCAGGGTGCCGAGCATTGAACCCTGAGTCACCCCTTCATAACACAAATACTTTTACCCAAGAGCAACTCTTCTGAAGTCAGCCCTCTCTTTTTTAGATTTTAATTTTGGGACGGTCTGCAAAGCCAGAGCAAAACTGAAAGTGATTTTACAACTAAAGTTACTAATATAAAAATGATCCATGTGTGATATCAATGTGTAAGAAGCACAAAAGAGGCTGTGTTTGTGTAATAGCAGGATAATGGAGTTATCACCTTATCAAATATTTATTGCCTCACTGAAATCAATATTTGTGACATCGTAACTGATTTCATGCAGCCAAACAGGCATTCACCAATCTCAGGAAGTCAGGTTATATGTGGAAGCTAGCAGACTTGGTTTGATGGTTTCCTAAATTTCAGGTCCTTAGTTTTTAGAATTGTATTGATAAAGAATTTGTTTTTTAATGTTTTTTTTCTGGAAGGGTAAAGGGTGAAGGAAAAATGGGGGTCTTAACACTGTGCTTCTCAAGTAAAAATGATAATTAGGTAGTCTGCATATTTATTTGTTGCAAAATATAACAGTAATGCCAACGTCTGTGGTTTAAGGCAATTCACTCAGTTCTAGTATAACATTACTCCAGCTTACATGTGTTTTTTCCTCCAGCTGTCTCTGTTTGTTCAATTGGGATTTTTAAATAGACCACCCAAAACTAAATGATGAATTGGATTTATACAGGGGTGTGTCCAGGGGTGACATAGGCCACCATTGAATTTTGGATGACCATCCCAGGTGCCACCCAAAAAATCGTAACCTTTTGTTAGCTGCTTGCCTTATAACAGGTAGTACTCATGTTAATGTGTATGTCAAAACAAACTGTGTTGTGGACTGCTAGAAGACTTTTTTCTTGCATTTAGATAAAGCAAATTCTATTTTTGTGGTACTTTTAATTCGAGAAAAACACTTTGTGGCTTTGCTGTGCATAGGAACACAACCATCAAAAAATACAAGCAAACTTTGTTACATTTTCAGTTAGAAATATTTGAATTAGCAACAGTCTGACTGTGCCAAAATGTCGCCAAATTTTATTTTCGACACACATCTCTCCTTTGAGTGAATTGAGGTTCAGCTAAATGTTGCTGGTCTGTTATTTTTATTAGTATAAAAATTGTCGTGACATTCATATGATATTTAAAAGCTCCTCTAAGGAGCTCTTTAATGTTTATTAAAAAGAAGACTGACTTCATATTAATGACTTTACAATGATATGCAAAGCAAACGACCACTAGCAACAAGATTAATTATTTTTTATGTTTGTATTTTTATAATGTTAATGCCTTAAACCATTGTGAGGGGGAAGCGAAGCAGCCGAAGAAACTGTCCTGTTTTTATAATTTCCACATGAAATACAACAAATGACACATTGGACTGACAAAAGTCGGCAGGTTGTAACTTTTTGTGTTTGAAGTCACTGGAATTGACACAAACCAAAACCTCCTTACACAAGCTTTTGTGTTAGCAATTTAAGTAGAAGTTGATAAGTGGAGACAAAAAAAAAACAAAACATTTTTGTGTGTATGAAGACATACTTCATGCCACCCCTGCATAAGTCAGTGCCCCCCATTCAAAAGTGTCTGGACACGCCCCTGGATGGTGGTTTGGAGTTAAGCACTCAATAGTTGTGCTGGGAGATTTCTTTAATTTAAATTTGGCCATCCTGGACTCTCATGTCCCAGAAACAGCATCTTCATCAACTGAGCTGAGAAGGTTGACATTTGAAAAGTCACTACTGTTGAAAGTTTGAGTCCTGACTTCTCCGTCCACCAGCTAAAATGCAATTGTGTTTGGTGCACTGAAGCCTGTATTGAACAATAATTTGTTTTTATAAAGTTGCACTCTAAATTTAGAATCAATTGTGGCTTTAAATGCTTGTAATGATCTATCTGTAACATAGTTTTCACTACTTGCAATCGGGAGCTGAAAGTCTTATAACATAAATTATTCATCATTAGAATGAGTTAATTCATGCCTATATAAAGAAATATAAAATATATATACACACTTATTTTTTGTTTGGGTCTAAAAATGTATTTTATTTTGATATTGTACAGATGACTGTGTTTGAGCTCAAGTGATGTTCATAAAAGTACTTCTAAAGATAACAGACCACTTGCCAGAGTTTCTAAGCCAGGCTTTTCCTGTGGGTGATTTTTTTTCCCTTCAGTTTTCAAGAACATATTCTGTCCTCCACACTGTTCTCACTGCCTTCAAACATTACCTAGAGACAACATTAGAGTCCCTGTGAGGTTGTTTTTTGTATTTTGTTATGTGCATACACCAAAATAAACACTGGATTTTGTCTAATTATAAATCTCTGTGCATCCTTGGAGCTGTTGGGGGAAAGATCTCTGCTTTACTTTTTCTTCCTTTTTACTCTTAATTGGCCTACTTCTCTATCCTAGCTTTCCTTTTGTTTAGTTACCGCCTATAAGCAACCTTTCCAACCTTCATTCACACCTAAACAAAGACAAAGTTTTCTGTTGGCTTGTCTGACATTATTTTATTTTTCTCAGAACAGTCTGATATGAAGGGATTAAGTGCTTTAACAATACAGAGGTCAACAGCAATATCTTTGATATTACCACACAGAGGACCTGTGATATTTGATGCAAAGATAAAAACTGATACAAAATTATGTATGTAAAACAAAAAAAAAGGGTCTTTCAATGTCACTTACGGATTTGAGTAAAAAATATGATGTAAGGGATTGGATCTGTTCCACGAAATGTCAACGTTTTCTGTGATGGAGGCTATGAGCTTATCGTTTCTACATTCATTCAACCAATGAGGCATTTTTACAGCAAGACAGTATATACAGTACAACTTGATGTGTTGACATTGGCTCATTTCTTTTTTTTTTTTTTCAAATAGGAATTTAAAAAAATCTCAATGAGAACTAAACTTTTCTTCCTCATAATACAGTGAAGTATATTTATACATTTGGCCCTCATTTATCTCCATAGTGAAGGCCATGTGGACTGATCTACAATCCAATTAACCCATAATTTTAACTCTTTAAAAGAACTACTGTCAAACCCTTGCTAAGGGTCTACTAAGGCAAACGTAATGTCGTACGTGACTTGGTGTCCATTGTCCCATGCGTATAAAACCCGCTCTTTGGGATTGTAGTCTATCTGCGTAGTGTAGGTGTAGTTGTTAGTGAAAGGCATTCTGGGAATCATCTGAGTATTTGTATGTGTGTCGAAGGCATATTCCAGGTTGGCTTCCTTCTTGTTGTGGCTGTCCACGGCATACAGGACACCGCACACAATGAAGCAGTTCCCGTATTGGTGTCTCCTAAGCCCAGTTCTCCAGGTGGTCTCCCTCTGCATGCTGAGGTCTGAGGGGTTCAGTCGACTCAGAACGACTACTTCCTGTAAAAAGCCCTCATCATCGAGAGCTGGGTAGACGATCCACAGGCCACTCTCGTCCACGGCAAAGTCAATGTCCGAGTGGCTGCGCCATTCCCATGGTACCGATGACTCTTCAAACAGAGCGTCGTGCAACATGGTCCAGGCCGCCACATAACGCAAGCGCAGGTCAAACTTGATGATGTCACGGGAGAAGGCACGGTTGTAGTAGAAAGCCCCATTGTAAACAACATGGCCCGTTCCGATCCAGTTGTAAGGAAGCTTGTAAGAGTTGGTGAACCGTCCTGGAAAGGTAAACCAATAACAACAGGCTGAGAATCATCAAAGCAAAGAGGCAAAACGCTCAAATTTAGTGAAATCTCAACTGGTTCTGACTTACCTCCCTTGAAAACCTCTAGGTTGCGGAACTCCAGCAGGTTGTTCCCGTAATAGAAGTTTGTAACATAAATTTTGTCATCATTAGACTTTGGGTCCTTCATCCAGGCTCCTTCATTCCTGCCGTAAGTGTTGTGAGTCACTGGCTGTGAGATTGTAGCCAAAGTGTCCTTACACTCCCCTGGGAAAAAGTCAGAGAGCCACGTGTGAGAATTAAGGCACATTTTAACATCATCCAGATCTACGTCAAAGAGCCTGAAATTAATCAAAGACATTATTTCTACCAGCTTTAATCATGGAAAGAGAGAGGGTAATACAAGGAAGTGAGGCCTAAATCCTAAAGTTAAAATACTCATGAAAACAATAAAACATTTCTGAAAGACAATGAACAGTTAAATTGTGTCAGACCTTTTCATTTCATTCATTTAGTATGTCAAACTACTGTAAATACAGCCAATTTGTAAACTCAAAGTCACAGTGTCTTAGCTATTTTTGTCAATATTTTGAATTAAAGCTTTTTTAAGGGTGAGCTGAGAAGTTAGTGATATTCTGAGGATGGTCTGTTGTCTGCTGGTCCACGATTTGGTCCTGAGTGAGATATCTCACCAACTTTTTGAGGGATAGTTACTTGATGGAGACTGCTGATTTAGTGGACACTTTTCCTTTACCAGTCATGTTGAAACATATACTTTTTTAATAAAAAAGACATGTATTCAATGATTTTTGAGGGATTGACAAAAGGTCTGGAATGAATGTCAATCATCATGAATGTCAAAGACTTCTGGTGAATGCGGTAAACCTCAGGCTTTTCAGACACAATTTTAGATTTTCTCATAATCTATTTTAAAGACATGAGAAAAGTTCTCACTGACCTAAAATACTCTATATTTAGGGCTGATCACTGTCCCATCAATCTTAAATTTATGAGATGTTAAATAGTTCAGTTCTTAAGAAATACAAAACAAAATAAAAGCCATCATCTTTACAAGAGCCACTGCCAAAAGGTTGAAAAGCTGTTTGCCAGCCCCTCTTAAACAACAGCAGGAAAAGAGGAGAGACTAGTGCCAGGTGCCACTCAAACAAGTGGGGCACTGAGATTTGGGACTGCATAAAAACTTCTGCAGCTGTTGAAGAGCTCTTGGAGGGACTTCTTTGAAAAAATTTGAACGAAACCGGGGCCATGTGCAAACTTGGCCAAGTACAGCTCGAATATGTCTACGATAACTGTGCACAGAGAGCAAGAGTGGGCAGCGGGCACTATACAAAGAAATGTTGAATTTAAACTTCTGTCTACCTGGTTTCTTTGTTGTAGGCTCCTCCTGCCTTTGCATTGGCTCTTCATTAACAAGATGTCCGTCTTCCCTATCTTCTTCTTCTTCCCAGCTGATTTTGTATTTTTGTTTGAATTGAGCGCCCTGCCTGAGAGTAGTGGTTGTAGTTGTAGTGGTGGTGGTGGTGGTGGTAGTAGTTGGAGCTAATGAAGAGGTAGTCCCAGGTGTGGTTAGCGGCAGAGTTGTGTAGGGGGGCATAGTGGTCAGTCTCTGGGTGGTTAGCGGCAGAGTTGTGTAGGGGGACATAGTGGTCAGTCTCTGGGTGGTTGGAGGCAGAGTCGTGCTTGGAAAGAAGGTAGATGTGGTTCCTTGGTCTGGTGTTGTGGTTGCAGCCTGGGTGGAGGCAGCTATTGTGGTCATGACAGCTGGCGTTGTAATGCTCGTAGTGGAAGCTGGACTTATAGTGGAGGCTTCAGTGGCTGAGGTTGGTGTAAATGAACTTGAATGAGCTTCAGTACTGACAGGTATGATCAGATTTTGGTCTTCCGGTACCGGAGTGGAGGTTTCTACTGTGGTTGGTTGTATACTTGTTGTGTTCACTTGAAGGGTTTCCATCGTGGTTGTATTTCCAGATGGTTGGGTTGTGTTCACTGTAGTTTTGTTTGTCTCCTTGGCAGTGACGCTTCGAGAAGTGCTGGTTGGTTCAGCCATCAAAGGAACTGGTAACTTAGTGATCGAAGTGGAGACTCTTGGAGTGGTCAGAGGTGGAGTATCTGTGGTTGTTTGGTGAAGCGTGACTGATGTGTCACTCTGAACATCTCTGAACATGTCAAATGATTCGCTCCCAGTGGCACTGATGAAGTCATCATTTGACGTGGGCTCACTTTCTTTCACCTCTGATGATTCAGTGGTCTTCTTGGAACTGTGGGAAGAACCTGTCTTCTTTGTTCGAGTTGATCTGGGTCCCGCTCTCATTCTGGGGCGAGGGGCTCTGTGTTGAAGCAGATTCTCCTCGACGAAGAGGTTAATTGGTGCATCACCACTGAATCCGTGATACTCAAAAACTAGAGAAAAGAGAGTGAAATACTGGGTCATTTTATTTTGAAACTATCCCATGGTGTTAAACTGATGTTTACTGAAACTTTCTAAGAAGCCACATGCTGTAAGAGTTACAGGATTAAATTCCTTTCACTTCATTTTTTGCTGCAGCTGACAGAGCAGCTCACAGATGATCCTGACAGGCAGCTCAGATAAGCACCAGCCAGTGTGACTCTTTTCCATTTGACACAGAAAATCAGAGTTGATTTTCCATCCAAACCACTTATCCTGATCCATTCAGAGAGTGTTAAACTCAGGAAAATGTGAAGATATACTTTCAAAGCAAGGCGGTATGGATGATCACTTGAACTTACGGTTCTCTCCAGGCTCCCCGTCATCCGCCACCATTGGATCTGGCTCAGATTTATAAAATGTCATCCCTCTGATGATCATTCCATTGGGGCCACTCTTTGACACCTGAGAAGCCTCCTTGTTAGCCACATTTTTTGGAGTCACCTGAGGTCTGACCTCAATGATCTGAGCAGAACCATCTGTCTTTAGGAAGGATGGATTTTTTCCAATAAACTTCTCCTCATACTTTCCCTGTGAGTGGACAGAAAGAGTTTGAGTGTAATTTGATCGTGCGAGGGACGTTTCAGATGCACATTCTTCCCTCTAATTTGGAAAATTTAAAGAATTTTAGCAGACAGAAAGTATTTTCCAAGGATAGGCATACTGTGGCATCACTTCAAGAGAAAAAGCAGATAGAAAACCGAATGAACTGTTAAAAAGTGTTTAGCCAAGTTATAGTTTTAATTTTCACTCAGTACATCCAGAATGTAGGAAATGATTCCACTTTCAATGAGACAGCTGTGAGTGTGTACAGCTGATATAAGAGTTCCTGATTAAAGCTCAATCAAGGGTCAGTCTGTACCAGTGTTTGATGTTTACGTTGAACAATTTGGGTAACACTTATCGGATTTTCAACTTGTAGTTTCAGACAAATCATGCTATAAGGACTGACTGACTTCACAACCATTCTCATTATAGATAGACAAACTAAAAGTGTGATCCAAGCTGCAATGAGTATAGGTTATCTTTACATAAAAGGAGCAGCACCGTGAGACTGATGTTAGTTTTTAAAAAGTATGTTACTTTATTCATAAAATACCACATCAGGCACTCTGCTGAAGAGTATATCATCAGGACTTGTCTTGTAATGAGACAATGTTAATGGATGTTATGAAATCACATTTCGTCAAGGTAAAGTTTTGCCTTTATCACACTGCAGTACTACTGTGTTACTGCGGTATGGTATGTAAGATCTCCCTGCTTTTATTGTTAAGATATAGCACTAACCTCAGGGGTCTTATACACTGCAGCCCCATTGAGTCTCCTCTCATCCTGATGCTGCTCTGGTTGAGGGGTGGGTGGGTGTTCAGTCACATTCTCCTGGACCTGAGGGCTCTCCTGGGGCTTCACCTCATCGATGGTATTATTCACAGACACTATCTTCATGAAGTAAAGGAGAAAATCAAGATTTTAACAGAGTTTCTGAGCATATATTTTGAAAGAAGGCTGATGTTAAGAAACTGAAGTAGCTAATTACAGTTCCTCTATTATAAGTTTGTCCATGCCTCCTTTAAAAGGAGACCTCCACGATTTTTTCAATACACAAGACCTTCACTTCTCATACTTGTCCCCTTAGAATGAGCCTTAATGAACCATAGAAGGACAGGGACACCGCTGAAACTATTATAACCAATATGTAATCAATAGGTACGTCAGATTCAGTTATCCTTTGCTCATGCTCATCCTTTACATGCCAAGGCAAGCCAGTAAAAAAAGTCAAAAATCAGTTTTTATGTTGCTGATTTTTGACATCAGAAGGTAAATTATGCTTGATGTTGCTTCATTTTCAAGTGCAAAGTCCAATTTACCAACTAATTCAGCACTAAAACCGAGTGACAAAACGCAATCATTTTAAGGGCAACTAGAGATATGATTTTAACCTCAAATTAAAATAAAGTGGTTCAGTTCGAGGCCACTTGCTGTATGTGGTAGTTAAAAAGCGTTGTGCTCTGAAAATCCAGTCTTTTCCTGTTGGTTTTATTTCAATGACTAATTACACACACATGGTTCACTCATAACTACAAAGCTGTGACTGTATTTTTGTTTGGGCGTGTAAACCTCCAGGCAGCTGCTGCACCTGTTTTGTCATGACAACTTTATGTTGATATGATCCAACGGCGAACCTCAGTTATAGTCATTTTTGGTGCAATCCAAATAAAACAAATCAGGGGAATAATCCGTCCTGCTTATTTTACAACTGTCCTGAAAATCTTAACATTGTTTAGTTTCTACTAGTCCTTATTGTAAACTAAAAAATTACTAATGCAAACAATTCGCCTTTTTCATGCTACTTTAGATGTCCCAATTACAAATAGGCCAAATAAGTTTTCAGTCATCTGCACCAAAGAGGTCTAGCTTGTAAACTTTCTCATGTGATGGAAAGTTGAAGTTTTCCTATCAGTCCCAGCCCCTTGTAAACTTGAACACTGGCCCAAGAGGTCTTTCATGTTTGACCTGTTAAAATTGGAAGTGATCGTTTAAAACACACCTGAATCCATCACTGTAGTTTGATTAACATCTTTCAGTCAATCTTTGAAAAGTTAAGGTACTGCAGTACCTTTTCTATGGTTTCCACACGACCCAGGAGCTTGGTGGTAACAGAGTGCAACTTCAGTAGATCCATGCCATAGAAGGAGCCCTCCAGCAGCTCCAGGATGGTGGACAGCTGGAATGATGAAGTGGATTCCATCAGAGAGGGTTTTGATCATTTCAAGACATGCCATGTGTACAATTGGCCCATAGCCCCTGCCCATCCATACCCAGAGTCTCTAATAATGTTAGAAATCAGGGGTTGTCCCCTCTTTTATTTCAATAAAAGTAAAACCAAATGCGCCAAATGATCCAGGGTTCTCAAGAAATCAACAGACGAGCAGGACAGCAGCCTCTTATGTATGGTGAGAACTCTTCACCTTGACATTTTCTTTCCCAGCTTCCCTAAGTTTTTTCAGCCTGAACTCGCCCTCGCACGGGTTGACTGCTGACGGTGGAGCGATGCAGGCGCACTTGCACTCCGGCCCTGATGAGATGGTCTCCACGGTGTAGAAGTCTTGCGCCGAGGCGCTCCCGTCTTCTATCCGCCTGCAGGCGCTCCTGCTCAGGGGTCTGACAACACATTTACAGCGACAGTCAGAGCCTTCCGAGAGGGCTTTCACTTTGTCATAATCACCCAGCAGCTACAAAGAGAAGAGGACGGATGTGTTTCTAACCATGCTCATCACAAATGTTTGCATTTTTACGCACAGAATTATGACCATTGATAAGAGAAAAACAGAAGAGACATGTCCCCTACCTTTGAGAGGATGCTCTCCTGGTCATCAGTTCCTTCCTGCAGCCTGTCATCCTGCCCTGCTCTAATCTCATACTGGGAGTCAGGATCTTCAACCTCGGTCACTGGCACTGCATAGCCGCGTGGAAAAAGCGCACAGCACACCACGATGACAATGCATATTTTATACATGATTTGGAGCTAACTGTGCGACGAGAAAAAAAATAATCTGATAAGTTTTTCAGCAGGCACAGCCTGTCACAAAATTATGTAGCTGCCACGAAAATCTCATAGCCCGCACCTGGCTCCAAAAATACAGAGACGTACCCCGAGACCTCATCTGATAGCTCAAGCTTTATGACGCGATGTCATATTTTCCATTGTCACAATGAACGCGGTGTCATTGGAGTGCAGAGAAAGCGTGCAGTCTGTGAGAAGGCAGCCGGCATCTGCTGCAGCTGCAGGCTGACAGGAGGCGGACCTGACCGCACCAAAGGAGGAGTTGAACTGAGTCAGAGGACACCTCAGACATGACGAGCAGCAGTATTCCTGCACGAGTTGAAAGGGTCAGACAATAAATCTTAAATTTTCTGTGAGATTCAACATGCATTTTGATATTCTGAAGCATATTTCTTGGTCAAAAAACAAAACAAAACAAAAGACTGTAACTTGTTGCATGTTGGCAGGTACCTACAGAATCTCATCTGAGGTTTTGCTGCCCTCTAGCTGCAGCAGTGTCAACTACAAAGATTTAAATTTCAGTATTAGCGTTTTATTGTAAATTAAGGCACATATAATCTATTCAATTATTTACATTGCATTTTTCCTGATGTATGATACATGCATGTGTTCAGAAAACAGAGCATGGAAAAGTCCAGTTCAGGCGTATGACACCTATAAAGTTTAGAAATTACAAAAGCTTATTGGTCTCAAAATAAAAACGTGTTCATGTAGCAAAGGAACAGTTCTTCCTTGTCACTCTTTTTGATCATCATCCATGGTTAACTCAACATTCACATTAAATAACCTGAAAACCTGACACAAATGGCAGCAGGTCAAACCAAAATTGCACACATACCCCCAAACCCACAAGATCTCCAGCTGAATCATTTTGTTTTGCAGTTCTTGATGGTTTCCATTTTATATAGTGCTAAAGGAATAAAGAACTACACTTTTTTATTTAAATTTATTACATCTAAGTAAAACCTTTGGGTGTTAAAGTAATCTGCTGGCTACTGGCCTCAGCATGACTCAGATCACACAGGGAATCTGATACACAGGCCGAACAGTTTAGTGTTTTCATTTGAAGTTCAATCAAAAATGATTATTTGTGTTTCTCAGCAACCCTTGTGCTCTATCCTTTCTACCGCAGCAACAGGCAGAATGAGGTGAGAAATTCGGCTCCACAGTCCACTGTACTTGTCCTGGTCCATCCTGTCATAAGACACTGGAAAGTCATCAGAGAGGAACTTTTTCTGAAGGTGGTCGTCCACCATCTCCTCCACAACTCTTAAATGGCTTGTGGCAGGAATCTCCTCTTCTTCCCCGAGCAGCACTGTGAAGATCAGGAAGGTTTTCTTGTATGCAGCGTTCTCATGGTCGCAGTAGCGGTAAAAAATGAGTGTGGAGCCAGGAGGCAGCTCCTCAAAGCGGTGAATGACAGCCACAGGTTTGTCTCCTTCGAAAGCTCCCTGTAAGTTTCTGTCGATGTCCAGTTTGACCTGGTCGCTGTCCTGGCTGGCTTTGCTGGCTCCGTCTATGTGCAGGACAGAGGCGTTGAGAGCAGAAGAGAAAGCGGAGGCCAGACTATGAGCCAAGCAGTGCAGCGTCTTCTCAGCTCTGAGGCCAGCGGTCAAGATCAGGCTCACCGGCTCTGTGGGCTGAGGTGTCTGCAGGTGCCTCAGCAGGTGGATTCTGCTCCTTTTCCAGACTTCAGCACGCTGGTTTGGGAACTGAGTCTTTACTTTTTCCATGTGCCTGAGGAAGATGTCTATTTGCTGCTCATCTTTTTCCTGAGGCAGAGACTCCAATTGGTAGAAATGGTACACCAGAATGGCAAGGCCCACAGCAATCACTCCCATCACGTATATTATGTTTCCTGCAAAGAATAGACATCAGTTCACAGAGATGTTTTCTACACAATCTACAATGTCAGAGAGATCATAACCATTGTTGAGTTGGTGAGGTAATGGCTGTTATTCACTTCAAAGCTCTCCTTTGTTTGTTGAGTGGTCAACACTATTTTCTCCTAAACAGAAAGTGGTCTAAGAGAGAAAAGAAGGTAATTGTGAGTTACCTCCATGAAGGATTCCAACATGCTCAGTCATTTCCTTGGCTTCTTCTTCTTCTTCTTCTTTTTTGCCTTCTTCTGGAGTCATATCTTGTTCAGGGCAGCTTACTCCATCTGACCAGAGGGATAAAAAAGCAGGTTTAAACAGAGCATATTTTACAACCACCCTGACTGCAACTCCCTGACGCACAGGACCTTGGAGCAAATTGCTGGAAGAAAATCGAAACAATCAATTGAATATTTTTAAATCGAGTCTCACCCTCCTCTTTTTCGGTTGTTGTACTGCCGATGTCTTCTAATTCTTCATCGGGTCTTTCTTTGGGGTCATCTGTGTGGTCATCCATAGTGTCATCTTGCAGAGGTGCCATTTCTTGTGCTTCTGTTTCTCCACTGTGGGATTTTCCTGATGAAATTATAGTAATTAAACTCAAGTATTGTCACTTCTAAGTTCACGTTTTCAGATGGAGTAAAAAAAAGAAAGTTCAGTGTGAGCTGCCTTTTAGTCTTGCCCTTAGTCAGCTGCCTAATATATCATCAAAGATAAAAGTCTTTTTCATATGTGACTCACTTTTAATGTATCAGCTGACAGGGTTTTTCTGTTGCACTGTAGCAGAGGGATAGTGCCACAATAAGGACATTAAACGCTACAAAAGGGCATTTCAGTCAAATTTAGGACAGATCTAAACAAAATATGAGGCTATCCTCTCATACTTCCTTGGCGTGAACTCTAAAAGAAAATCTATATGGTACAAGGGGCATAAATACAAATATCTGCTGGGTACAGTGCTGTCAGGACGTGATGATAGTCTGTGACTAAAGGTTGGTTGAACCAATTCCAATCCAGTTACATAACACAAATGCAGGATACTTATCATGGCTGGTCAGGCAAGCTGGGGACACACTGTTATGAACTTACAATACTTAGATAGAAACACTCACCGGCACACTCCTCAGCTTCAAGTGTTTGCGGCTTGTTTCCTTGTGTCTCTCTTTTACAATCACCCTGGCCTTTCTCTTCAGCTTGTGTCTGGGTGCTGCTCTCCTCTCCAGTCTGCTTCTTTTCATCCTCTTGAGAGGGTGATTCTTCTGTAACAGCTGGTATCGTCTCTTCAGCTGAAATGGTGCATGCTTAAAAACAGAAATCAGTCATAAAAGTTATGAACTAAATAAATGACTTGTGGATTTTTGAACATCTGAGAAAGGTATTAAAAATGTTTATTCCAGATATGTTGTATTGTTGGGAGCGTTATAATAATATTGACAACCAAAAATTTCTCCAAACTTTGCTGGTTGTAAGGGTGACACAATACAATCACTTACAACAAGACTGATGAACCACAATGGGCATGAAAAAATTAGACAATTTTATTTGAGTCCTGATATCATATTACCCTGTGAACTTCTCCACTCTGCAATTTCAGAGTACACTTGATAAAATGAAACACTACTAAATATGAAATACTGATATAACGCAGTTAGTTTACATTGAGTGTCAGCAAGCTGCTTTTCCTTTATGTCATATTTGAGTCTTCCTGTCTGTATATGCAGATAATGAAGTTTAATGTTGTTGAGAGATATCGGCACCATACTGGATTAGCACAAGAGCGCACTAGATTCAGAAACTAGTGAGGAAGAAACACTAACTGGGTGATTTTTGACCTTCGTAGTGTCATGTACCTTCTGGTTGTTGCAGGTTTACATCCTGAACATTATCAGCCTCCTCTTGTTCGTCACCATCTCTTACTGTCTTATGGTCTGTTTCAGTATGCTGTGCTTCTTCTTTCTGAGCACCTGAAAAAAACAAAAAGATATTTCACAATATTGATAGGCATTTTATGAAACTAGTTAGATTCCCAGTAGGGGAGAGTGGGGTAAGATGAGCCATTTCTCATATTTCAGATCACTACATCAAGGCAATCATAGTTTTGTCTCTAACTAGTGTATCTGCTTATATTTCAGGATGTTGTGCATCCCTAAAAATCAACAGAATGAGTGTAAACATAACTGTCTTGATCATGTATGCCTTTAAGTGATTCAGAACATTCACAGCTGTATTTTTAAAAAGAAAAAGTAATAGATTTCAACAATCTGAACTGAAACTCTGATCCTCTCATCAGACTCCTTTACTTTCTTAGTTTAGCCACCGGCTCAACTTACCCTGAACTAGTATGATGACTTTATTAGTCCTCTACGCTAAAATGGTGGACTTTAAATGTGTCACCCCTTCACCCATGTGCTTCTAACCTTCCCAGACTCCATGAATTTATGCCCATCTCCTAAATATTTGGTCACAATATCAATTTCTTTTACCATTTACAAGAAACAGACGATGGCTCAACTTACCTTTTGGCTCATCTTACCCCACTCTCCCCTATTGGTTATGTAGTCTTTGTCAATATACTGTGACAGTACCTGCTATTTCCTGGTGTTTGTTTTCTGGAGGTTGCTCTGCCATGTCTGGAGGTGGGGGTTCCTCAAAGAGGAAAGTTGACCAAGTGTTTCAAAACTGCTTTGAAACGGAAAAAAGAGGTAGCAGATGTTCGCATCCTCTCTAAACAGTCTGAATTCACAGGAGTTGTATTAGACAAAGCATTCAAGGCTGTGTTTCCTCATGCTTTCTTGGGATAGCTAAATTGCAGCTATGAAGTCCAGGCTTATTTCCAACATAATTTGTTGTGTTGCTTGTTTCAGTTTCGGACCTTTAACTTCTGTTGACTGTTTTTGCTCATTTGACGCTACCTGTGAACCTCAAATCGGCACTAAAATGATTATTTTTTGGGGGGGAAAGTCCCTTTCTCAAAGTGGCTTGCTTCCTGTTAAACATATTAGAGTGAAAGCGTTTAATAGCTGTGAGTTACGGGTGAAACAGAGCTTCTGAATGCATAGCGCCTTAAGAGTCGAAAGCGTTTGTGGTTGTCGTAGTCCTTACTGGCGTGTCCTAGTTAATTTGTTATAGATGTAATACCAGAGCATGCTATCAAATGTGCTCATTACAAATAATAATAAAACAAATAATGCATTCACGAGGGACTGCGTCAACCACAGATGGGCAAAAGTCGCTACTTAAGAGGGTCACATTTTACAACTAAACCCTAATGCAGTTACGCTAGCTTATTTAGCTAACTGCAAGCAAAATAAAATATCGAGAGGAACTGAATATATATAATCAATTAAATGTACTCAAGTGAGAACCAGTAATAAGCCTCCCTTGCCAATTGTCCCATTGGGAGCAAATCCATGAATAATAACACACAAAGTAATCCTTCTTACCTCTATAGTTATGAGAGTCAGTGGCGTTTGACAGGTCACCAACACAACACATCAAGCGGAACCTTCGGCAGCGATCGAGCGTCTATGGGGATAGGTAAATGTGGCGGATTGTACTTCCGGCTTCCTGACATAAGCATCGTCCTGTTGAAAAATGTTTCCCCTAACAGTTACAGGGCAATCAGTTTCATTTCCGTTGTTTATTCGATGTTAATTTCGGCTCCGCGTGTGTTGATCTACACCAAAAATGGATTCTGGAGTCGCTAAAGATCCCCCGTTGAGACGATCATCGAGGCTTTCAACAGCTAACGGTAAAGGTTTGCAAGATGGTTACCAAGCGAGTTAGCCTAACAATTAAAGCTAACTGAATAAAGCTATCTCAGATTTTCCAGATGCAATTGAAACTTAATTTAGCTAACTTTACTCACAGACTGTCAAATAAGTTGAATGTGTACATGATGTGTTATTTGATACGGAAGCCTTAAAAGCACATGCTACCATTTCGCTGTTGACTTCATTCTGCTGATCACAACAGCATGTGGATGCTAACTTTGTGGTAATAGAACTTGCGGTTTATTTATTTATTGATTGAAGTTTATTTGAACATATAAATAAATAAATGAATGAATAAATAGTAAAGAACAAATGACAAAACGCTATTCATGTTGAAAAAGGAGTGGGAAGTAGTGATGTTTCGTTCGTGAATGATTCGTTTAAAAGAATCGAATCTTTCAAGTGAACGTATTGAACCGAATCACTTCATCGAGTGATTCGTTCGTAACTGAAGTGAGAAACAGCATTGCCAGTCGAGCAGCCAGCGAATGAGGGACAGCATGCGCCGACATCTGAATCACTTGGTGAACGAATCACGCATTGAACTACACTCTCTGGAATCATTTTTGTCGGACAAAGTTACCTTTTTTTTACTGCTAAATTGCCACCACAATTGCAGACAATAGGACACAGCATTTAACAAGTAGTGCATTAAACCCGCAGCAATCTATCATTGCAGCAGTTTGCAAGGGAACGGTGCATGTTAAGTTTGAATACTTCCAAAGGTTCAGTGAACAAATCACTCACTGACCCCAATTTACCGAGCGGACCTGATAAATAGCATACCATAGGACAGTACACTTAAGACGACATGACTTCTGTGAAAACATATTTTTTATATTTTGTTTTAAATTGTTTTATGTTCGGACGTTGTTTTTTGATTTTATTAATTTTGAAGTTATACTTCCCTCTTAATTGATAACCCCCCTCTTGATCCCCAAACACATTTTTTATATTTTGTGGTAGAAGGTTATTTTTAGCTTTATGCATAATTTGTGCTGTTTGGAATTTCACAGTGTCTGTAAGTTTAAATAATTGTGACTGCAAGAAGAGTGAGTGAGTGTTATCCAGATAACTGATAATTGTCATGAGGTCGCTGTGCCATCTACAGGAGAAGTCGGGGGATCTTTTCAAATGGGGGAACATTTTCGGAGTAAAACCAAATCTTATTCTCCACATTTTATTTCTGAAAATATCGGCGAAAATCGGTGAGTTTTGGCCGATTACTGATTAGTCTCAAACGGGCTAAATTGGCTGATTTAATCGGTTGGGCCCTAATGTTGATCCCCTAACCTGCTCCTGTGTAGGTTCTCTGTTGATCTGGAGCTGCTGTGCATTATCACAGACACTTCTTCTACTTATCTAGCTTTTGATTCAACGGGGACTAAATAGGCTGATACCACAGCAGTTAGGCTTAATTTTAGGAGCACCCATCGCACTGAATAATGTTGATTTAATAACAATGTTCCCATATTTTTGATTGATCTCCATATCCCTCTGTTTAATACCGCCAGGGCTGCAGCAGAAATATGCCTCTCAAATTCTCAGACACCAAGAATAAACCTCGGTCATAAATCAGCTTCAGAAAATGAACAAGCGTTATTGTTGTTGGATCATTTGTGCACTATTGAGGAAAAAGCGGTGTTAATTAAATCAGATCGATTGAACTCACGTTAAGTATGCTGAATTTGAGCACTTACAGACAGCAGATTTCTTGGACTGTAGCCTACTTCTATTTGGCGAGAGCACCACCTGGTGTATTAAGTCGCTTATGACTACTTTTTAACTGTGTAATGTTACTCTGATTCTGAACCTTACCAGAACTGTCTCAATGACAAAAGGTTACAGTGGTCCTGAAAGATAAGTGCAAAAGCTTTCATCAGCACAATATGTTTCACTGAACGGCAAGATCATTTCACGAAACAGCAAAATATTCTTCTTGTGTTTTACTTTTTTTGTGTCATGAAATGTTACTTTGTTTAAAGTAATATTTTTGCACTTTTTGAATCGATTTTGTACTGATATTTTTGTCTGAAAAACTAGCTTATTATATGTAACTCTGCAGACACACAGTATTAAGTTGTATTTTTAGTATTTCTTGTATGATATCAATTTATTTATTGACATTACTTATTGAAATGGGGAAATCAGTCTTATTTTAATGTGAGATCAAGAAACAATAAGTCAGTGTCTCATAAAAAAATAAGTAATTATTTGTTATCGTGGGAACATGGAGAATGTAATACTACTACTACTTCTGATAAAAATAATAATAATGCTAATATTTTCTGCTCGGTTCCAGTTTTAAGTGTCAAACCAACGCCCAGGGGTCCCTTAATAAGGACCAGAAAGAGGTCACAAAATCAAGCTGCTGCTGTAGCCGTCAGTAGATCCAAAAATGCAGAAAACCATCCAGATGATGAAGGTGTGCACCAATAAATCCATAAACAGTACTCATCAAATCCCACCAAAACTTAAAGTTGAGCCATTCAAGACTCTATTAAACCAAAAAATGTGTCTTTACCTGTATAGACTCGCCTGGCAAGAGGAGCCGGATGGGAATGGAAGCAGAAGATGACATTGAGATGGATGAAGAGCTGGAGAACAAAGACCAAGAGAGTGATATACGCGTGAACTATAATCCAGCAGAAATGCACCGAGGTTTGGGCCAGTTTTTTTGAAGTGCAACCAACCAGTTTTCTTTTGATCTATTCCTACCGGTTATCATTGTTGTAATTCTTGTTAGTTTTTTCAAAAAGAGAAAATAATTTCCTGAATCTGAGGCTACATCATACACAGTTTTGCTTTCCATTGATCAGGAGCCCATGGAGACATGAATTTATTCCCTCGAGTAGCTCTCGGTCAACGCTGTCAATCCAATCATACAGTTAGAGAAGATGGAGACTCATTTCAAACCAGGATAGGTGTGTAAAGCCTGTTGAATTTATTCTGAAATTCTTTCATCAAGGGAGTACAACATATCATCTGATTCTGTTTTTTTTTTTTTATAAGTAAAACCACCTCCAAAAACATCTGGAGTCCCCACCAAGCCTGCCATGCAGATCAATTCACCAGAGCACAGACACGATGCAGTGAATTTAAAAGTCACCAGCATGGCCGAGTACAAGAAGACAATGGAGGCTAAAGCAAAGAGCTCAGGTACTGTGTTTACTTTTTAGTCAGATTTCAGGTAACAAAAGCATTTAGCACCTGTCTACTAGATTTACAACTAATGATTCAACAAAAGCCTAAGTAGATTCTGTCTCATGTTTACGTTTTCCAGATGTTAACCACTATCCCCCTAGAGACTATCCAGCCCCAGAGAAATCATGTACAAGGAGGCATGTGAATAACTTGCCAAAAGGAAAAGATGCTGGACAGTACAAAAAACAAGGTAATAGTCTTTTCACAACAACACAATCCTTAGCCATGTGTCATGTTGTGCTGTTTTTAATGTCAACTTTTTTTGTAGAACGAAAGCTTGAGAAAACTCCTGTGATTAAAAAAAGCTCTGGACATGCGTCAAGAGGTAAGCTTTGGTAGTTTTTATATCACTATACCAGATTTAAACTTCTTAAAGATACTTGCTAAACATTGTTTCTCAAATGCTTTTTTATATTGCTATCTTTTTTTTTACAGGGTTCTTGTGGTATTTGTGCTGTTTGGTTGTCCTGGTGCTGCTTGGTTCTGCTGTCTTTTTTGCTTACAAGAGCTTCATCACACAAAAAAGTACTATAGGTGGTGGTGTATCTTCATTCAGGGCTGCGAAGCCAGAGTTGTTTTCAGATCAGCTGTCTCTTCTTGAGAGCCAGTTTCCTAGTCAGCGACTTGATGTGTGGAAGAGGAGTAAGATCCACCTGGAGAAGCACCTCAGAACAGCTCAGCCCACAGGGCCGGTCAGTCTGATCTTTGCTGCTGGCCTCAAGGCTGAGAGGACACTGTCCTGTCTGGCTCAAGGGGTCGCCTCTGCGTACTCCTCTGCCCTAAACGCCTCTGTCCTTCACTTTGATGGAGCCAGCAAAGCCAACAGGGACAGCGATGAGGTTAAGTTAGACATTGACCGCCAACTGCAAGCGGCCTTTGGCGGAGACAAACCTGCTGTTGTGATTCACCGTTTTGAGGAGTTGCCTCCTGGTTCCACCATCATTTTTTACCGATACTGCGACCACGACAACGCCGCATATAAACAGGTTTTCCTGTTGTTTACTGTGCTACTGCCACAAGATGAAGTGGGGGCTGAGGTGGGTCTGGTGAAAGCAGAGGAGATTGTCCTGGACTATGTGAAAGAAAGGCTGCTGGAGCCCACCAGCCAAACTGCTTTCAATACGATGGACAATGACAAATTTGGTGGACTGTGGAGCCGGATCTCCCATCTCATCCTACCTGTTGTGTCTGAGGAGGAAGTAGAGCAGAAAGGATGCCCATGGTAAAAAAAGAGGAAGCAGTTCCTTTTTAGCATTTGGAGGAACTTTAAAATAGAGAAGTATTGTGTAAATATCATGCTTTTGCTGTTATAATACATGTATGAATTGACTGAACAGGTATGAAGTTTGTTGTGAGAGCTGTTGCTTGGAAGAGATAAGATTGTACTGAAGTTGGAGTTTCAGTTGTCGTAGTTGATGATTCAGATTACCTCCTCCTATGACGTCCAACACTGATTTTTTAAAAACTTTTGCAGACATAAACAGTCTTTCCAAAAGGATGTTACAGAGATGCTCCACCAGCATTCCATTTTTAAGTAGTATTTGAAGCATTTTGTTCTACAGGTTAACACATAAGATACAGATGGAGTTGTTTTCTTCTTATTCTTCTCTGTTTGAGTCAACTTTCTCCATAACAAAAAAAGTTAGATGTCTAGCTTGATTCACGCTGCATTCTTCTTTAAAAACTATAATAATAATAATGATAAAAAAAAAAAGTTTTTGAGCTAAATTTCATTTCAGGTGAAATGTATTTCACCTCTTCTGTACCAAAACTCCAGACCACCGCTTGTTGAATCCTTGTTTCCCCTTTAAGTGTCCATGCAGATGTTTCTGTCGTTATTTGTGTCCATCATTGGAACTGTTTGCACTAAATATATAATTTTGATATTTTTAATCTAAGATTGAAAGCTTTTCAGAAGCTTTGTTTTTCTGAAGATGTTGCATACTTTTGATCGGTTTGTAATATTTTGTAATATTTTGGAAAGATGTATTCATATATTGTTAATCACAGTAGCTTGTTGTTTGCATCTGTTAAGAAACCACTGAAATGTATTATTCCAGCCCAGATACATGTAAGTTCTCACCTAGTGATATCAATTTGTAAATATATTTTGATTGAATATTATTCAGTTAGTCACAAAATGTGCCTTAGAAACGCATGTCAAGAAAATTGGGTTGTATTTAAAAAGCAACAAATCACTGATCAATGATTTGAAACTGTGTTTTGACACATTTGGACAGGTCAACATTTCTTTCAAATTAAAACTTTGAAATACAGGTAAGAGTTCCTTCACTTGTAACACTGCTCATTCCTCTTATGTTTTCATTTGGGATATATTTTTAAAGATTTCATATCCATGTGTAAGTGTGTTTCATTTCAATAAAGATTATTTTGAATACTGGAGGAGTGAATTGTGTTACCCATGATTTACTCTCACTGTGCTCTTTTCTAAACTAACCCTCATCTGCTTTTCATGCCACACACAAATGTTACCAGGGAGTTACAACTTTTCTACACAGTTCCAGTTCAATCATCATCATTATTAGGTGGTTTAGTTCTGGAAATAACTCACTGAAATAAAAGGGGAGCAGTCGTTGCACCCTGTCATACTGCTGGCTCCCTAAGAAAAATCAGTACGTTTGTAAATTTGTATTAATGTGAAGTTACTTTCTGTGAGTTAAAACCATCAACCTGACAAGTTTCATGGTGAAGAAACACGCTCTTATGAGAGATCGGTTTGAATAATCTTTAGCTATGAACACATTTTCCTTTAGTTGGAGCGTATGAAAAAACGAAAGACTTTATTTTGTTTCAAGAAAACCTGTCTTTAAAAAGAGAAAGAGCCACTTACAGTCACATACTGCACACTGAACTTTAACATCTTACATTTTTTCGATTTCAAGTTTCGATGCCGGAGGCGATATTTTTTTCTGGTACGACGGTAGGGGAAGGTCCCGTCTCCTTTGCCTCTGATTGGCTAGAAAAGCTGGAAACGCCATCACACGCTCAAGCCAAACACGGGCTGTCGGCGCTGTACATCAAACAGAACATTATAGAACATCATCGCAATTCTGAATCTCCTAGTCCGAACCCTAAACCTAACCCGACAGACGAGTCCAGCACTTCTAGCCAATCAGAGGCGAAGGAGGGCGGGACCTTCCCCGACATCCTACAAAAAAAAAATAAAAATAAAAATAAATAAATAAATAAAAATTGCCGACCGGAAGAAATAGCCGCCGAACACCAACGAGGATAAATCGTATAAGACGAAGCCACAGAGAGAGAAGAGAAGCAGAGAGAGAGAGTGCATTGCAACCTACAGCGGCTGCAGTCAAAAGTTTGGCTAACTTTAGCAGGAAGAGTGAACTCTTATCTCAGTGCAGCATTAGCAACACAGCTATATCGCGTAAAGGAGGATGAACGACCAACAGGATTAAACACCTCAGCATTCATGGAGGAGAAATACCTGAGTGCTCGTCTTTGACGCGCTTCGCCGGTCTGCCGCTAACCAGCCAGAATCAGATAAGTGAAACAAGAAATTATCTTTTTCTTCTGCTAACTTTGAAGCGGCAAACAAATTGTACTGTGAACAGTAGGTCAACTCAAATATCCAACTAACATTAGCCCTTGTACTTTTTCATAGACAAACGACCTGACAACAAAAATTGATATTTATACACTGGTTGAAAATACCCCTCTGAGAAATTCAAAGTAAAGTTCATAGAATTTAAAAATTCATGGAGAAGTTCAGAAATTTCATCTAAAAAGAAGAACTCCGGTTAGCACCCTCATTTAAACCATGCATTATTTTTTAATATCCTGCCTTTTAAAGGAATCAGAATAGAGAATCATTAGGAACCGGAATCGAAACGAGGAATCGGAATCGGAACCAGAATCTTTCAAAATCAAACGATACCCAACCCTACTTGGGGATCACATAAATCAAATAATCCTTACATGCTAAAAGTTAAACAACCTTTTTTACAATCATGTGCATCTGTCAATACTTAATGCACTGCTTTAGCTATATTACACACTTTTTTTCATACGAGCTGCACCCCACAGTCATGATCACACCATCAAAAACTCCTAGTGCAAAGGGCTCAGCTAGTGCACATTGAGAAGCATAGCTATAATACATTGCAGCTTTACCCTGGTGACAGTATGACATGAAATAGCTCAAACAATACAGCACTTTCAGATAAGGTGTGGTTTTGCCGTCAAGTTATAGAGCAAAATATAAACAGCAGGGCATGAAATAGTAAGTAATAAAACATTTAATTGCATGAACTATATACTGTACACTTTAATAACATTTACAAAAGATTTACAAGTATGATAATGAATTTCTGACAAATGTGCTTACAAATATAAATAGATTATATAGAGTAAATAGATTTTTACCCTAACTCCTTTCCTCCTGATACAATGGACAAAAATAAATACATAAAATACACACATTGTTGGTGGAAAAACACAGATTGCTAACATTTTGTTACCTCTGACTGATATGACCATGTTTATTTTCACTGGGTAGTTGTTGTTTGTCTATATCACATAATTACCTGAAAGCAGGTGATTATTTTGGAGGGGCCGTAAAATGATGGAATCACATGCTTTCCACATGCCACTCCCTGCTTTCATTTTTAGTTTTCTTCTCTATCCGCGGTCCGTTCTCTTCAATGAAGGCATCAAAGCCAGAAAAATGTAAACATTAAAAAAACCCACTGTGGTTCAAATGCTGTTTTAGTGCAAACACACCTTTATGTACCTTCTAATTTTCTGGATACAGTAATGTCCCAACAATGATAGCAACAGCAAAAGCAACAGTCCCGAGGATGAAGATCACTGAGACTACATTTACAATCACTTCAGCTGCAAGGAGCCTTATCTGAAATGTAAAAGAGCAGAGATTAAAAAAACAAAAACAGGAACTTGAGTTTGTTGATGCACAGTTGTAAATGTTATCATCACCCAGATTTGGACAGGCTCTCACCTTTTTCTTTCCCCCTCTTTGAGCAGCGTTGGTGGAGCTCTCTGCAACAGAAAACATTTATCCATAATGTTACAATCTGCTTCAGTCTGCATGTGGTACTCAACTTAAAGTGTACATGTCTAATAGTAGTGTAATGAGAAAGCATTCACCTCTTATTTTCCTCTGTAGAAAGGCATCTCTTAGATAAGTGAATACAATAATCCAAATAATAAACAGGAAAATCCATGCCGTGTAAGCAATCAGCACCCACAGAGGCCAAGTCTCTCTTCTGTTAATTCTGAGGTCAACAATCTCCAAAATACAGACATAGATGTAAGCAACTGTGAAATAAAAATATTTGAGACTAGTTATTAAATGAGCAGTGTTGAATCAGTGCAAACTGCAAGATGTACGTATGCATGTGTGCATCGCTAGCTCTCATATCTGTCAGGAAAGTATGCAGCTACAGACAGCTTGAGGGTAGCTTGGCACTAGTTTCTATGAGCTCAAAAACCTACAGATGTAGAGGTTAAAAAAAAAAAGAGTTCTCCTTACGTGTAAAAGCTTCATGGACGACAGAGCATGCTTGACCAGTGAGGTCACAGGCATTTTTTCTCGAACAGCTAAAAAAAAAAAAGAGAGATTGTTTTAAATTCAAATATGTAACCGGAGGAGGAGTAAAGCTAGGGTCAGGTTAGGCTGTAAACTATACCTCCCTCCTCTATCTGTATGAGTGAAGACAGAGAAGAAAGGAGAATGATCTGTGGCAAAATGCTAGACAGAAGACGAGAAAGGCAGTTGTTTATGTGTATTGTATGTATATATATATATATAGATATATATATATAGATAGATAGATATTTTTTTTTTACTGAGAAGAAAAAAAATGTTTTCAAAAATGTTCATATATTTGTGGATGTAGCTTTAGGCTGTATGCTCTACCTCCACTTACTCCCCCATTTTCATATCAGGAGAGAAAAAAAAGGAGATCTTTTAGGTTTGTTCTTGCCTCCTCTAACTGACATCATCTCTCCTCAAACAGAGCAACTCAATTGTTTTTACTGTTTTGACTGTCGTCTCCTCTACCGTCTCTCACATCTCTCCTCCACTGAGTCCTCCCAGTGCACTGTCAGGTCCTTGAAATAAACATTCTGCTGACTGGTTGACTGAAACATTATGTTAGGTTTCTGGTTAGACCAGACTTTCTCCTTAGGAGCAAGTTTTTCCCTCAAATCTGCCTGCATCCCCCGGTCATTAGCACCTTTTACATGGTTGAACTCATGCTTACTTAAAAACCCATCTCCCTCAGTTTTATCTCCTCCCATGAACAAACTGCTCTTTTTTGTTTACACAAAAAGCCTGCCTTTCCTACTTTTGAGTCTTGCCTATAAGTTTGTCGAAAAGCAGCTGTGCACAAAGTGTTGACGTGAGGGTAAGGTTGATTATTCATGGACTGAACTCACAGGTCATGACTGGGTCCCAGTGGCACAGAGCTGATCACAATCTCTGTGATAGTCAAGGAGAGCGCCACACACACCAGAGCAATGAGAGTGGCCTAAAGATAGATACACAGAGTGGCACAAGGATAGGTTAGAATAATATCAGGACTACCCAGAAATTCCTACAATAACATGGAAAAAGGGTATACATTATTTGCCATTACTTACTTGTGAGGAATCACACACAATTGTCAATACCAATGCTGGTATTTCCAGAGCCCCACAAAACACAAGAAGTAATATCGTTGATGCCTGCAAAAGATGCACTTTTAGTCTCTGACAAACACCAGAAGAGTTTAGGTATGTACATGTCTCTGAGGGAATTGTATGTTCAAGAGATCAAGTCTAAAAAGATCTACAGTATGAAAGTGGAGTGGAGGATTCTGGTGCAATTTCAGCTACTTCCATTGTGTCTGAGAAGGGAAGAAAAACCTAAAACTGTTAAATTCCAGCAAGTCCTGTGGTAAAAAACAACTTTATTCTTCATATAGTAAAGTTTATTTTTAGCTCAAGTGTTGCTGGAGTTTTGACCACTTCAAAATCATCAATGTTTGATAAAAAAAAAAAATCACAAAAAGTGCCATCAAAAATATGACTACTTACTGTAAACATGTTATTAATGTTTCTTTTCTTTAAAAAAGTAAAATCTAAACAAGTATGGGGCACTGCTGGTTTAGTGGTCCAAGTGCCCACTCACAGAGGTTACGATCCTCATGAGGATGACTCCACTCCAACCTGCACCTGCACTCTCTCGGGTGTCTCATTCTCTCCAAATAAAGGCATAAAAATCTCCCAAAAAAGAGTGAATAACAAACTTTTCAGAAACTATTTATGTCATGACTGTTATTTACTGCAAAACTGAAATGATGTCATATGATATTTGTGACAGAGTCAAATGAAAACTCGTGCTTAAAGGATTCACAGAAAGCAGCACACTAATGTGAGAAGAAAAGATGTAGAAATTGGTACTATAATACCTCAATCTTGTGCCTTACCCTGTTCACTGTCTGAGAAGAGAGGCGGTCGGTGACACTAGTAGTGATTATACTGGAAATTTCCTGAGGAGAGAATAAGGTGAGGTAGAGATAAACCTCTGCGTTTCACTCTTTTAATTAATAAACAATTCAGCATCGGCAAGTCTCTATATAGGAATCCTACCATTTTAACTACCACCAAAACACTGCAGACCAGCATGAGTACATCTGGCTGAAGAGAAATCAAGAAAGAAAGAAAGAAAGAATTGATGAAATACAATAACATGTTTGCTCAGTAACAAATCATCTTTTTGTCAATTCAGATGAAATCTTACCTCTGTGCAGCAGTGGAGTGTAGATAATGGCTGAGTAGTGTTTGTAGTATTTGGCTGTGTAGTATTGAATGTGGTGTTTGGCATTGTAGTGCTTGTACTATTTGGCTCTGTAGTATTGATTGTGGTGTTTGGCATTGTAGTACTTGTACTATTTGGTTCTGTAGTATTGATTGTGGTGTTTGGCGCAGTAGTAATTGTAGTATTTGGCTCTGTAGTATTGATTGTGGTGTTTGGCGTAGTAGTACTTGTACTATTTGGTTCTGTAGTATTGATTGTGGTGTTTGGTGCAGTAGTAATTGTAGTATTTGACTCTGTAGTATTGATTGTTGTGTTCGGCATGGTAGTTTTTGTACTATTTGGCTCAGTAATATTGATTATGGTGTTTGGCGCAGTAGTACTTGTAGTATTTGATTCGGTAGTATTTGTTGTAGTTGTGGGCTCTGTGGTAGTTGTTATTGGTGTAGTTCTTGTTGTAGTTGTTGACTCTGTGGTAGTTGTTGTTGGTGTAGTACTTGTTGTAGTTGTTGTAGTTGTTGGCTCCTTGGTAGTTGTTGTTGGTGTAGTACTTGTTGTAGTTGTTGTAGTTGTTGGCTCCATGGTAGTTGTTGTTGGTGTAGTACTTGTTGTAGTTGTTATAGTTGTTGGCTCCGTGGTAGTTGTTATTGGTGTAGTACTTGTTGTAGTTGTTGGCTCCGTGGTAGTTGTTGTTGGTGTAGTACTTGTTGTAGTTGTTATAGTTGTTGGCTCCGTGGTAGTTGTTGTTGGTGTTGTAGTTGTTGTAACTGTTGATGGTGTGGTGTCAATACGTGCTCTGACATTAATCCAGTATTCTGAAAAAGTCCGGAGAAATGTGGCTCTGCAGCAAAGTGACACATACAGTATTAGATATTGTGCAGAGATATTGTGCAAAATGAATTAAAAAACACATTTTGATGTAATACAATTTACCTTAGCATTATATCAGATTGGAAATAGGTCAAAGACAACATATAAAATGTTAAAAGTAAAATATTTTATGGTTTTAATGAAACACATACATATATCTTTAAACATTTGACGCCAGCAAAACATTAACTTAAAGAGACAGGGACAAGAACACACTGAAAAAGTTGTGAAATGTAAAAATAAATGTACTGCATATATATTGGTTGGCAGAGGAAAAACTTAAAGCTATAGTGTGTAACTTCTACGTGTTTGTAAACAATTTTAGCCACCTAATGGTACAACGCTGATTAAGCTGTTCGGCTCCTCTGACACCTTGCAGTATTTTTCAGTATTTGTATTTGTATTTGGTGTCTCAAAACTCCAGATTTGTCCTCTTGGATTAACAGCATTTACTTGGCGCTGCTGAAAGAAGAGATAACGCTACACGATGGTAAACATACCCCTGCCTCACCTGTTATTAAACCTGTCACTTGATTCAAATTTAAGATAACTATATATTTTTCATAAACAATAACATTTTTCAGGTTCAACCTCTGATATCTCTTCTAAATGTCAGTCATTATAGAGAGTATATATACCTGAAGCTGATATTTCTGTTAAGCAATGTGGCCGGTGGCGTCCAGCTAACCTGGTATGTTGTCTTGGGCCGATTGTTTCCTTGACTGACAGCTGAGGCCTGAGAAAAGAGCAAGAGTAAATCACATCCACAAAAAAACTCAAGATAGTTTCAGGATATTTCCTATGAACTTAGATTCCATCTAAAGCTATAAAACACCCTGTACTAAACACTGTTCCCTCTGTATGAACTTTAAGATCAGTACCATAAGTGATGGTTTGGAGACTGTGATTTGGTAACAGGATACAGTTGAGTGTAAAGATCTTTTTTCATCTGAAAGCATGACTTTTATGCACAAGACATACACAGAGGTCACCAAAATCAAGCCAAACCAAAAGTTCCTTACAGCAGCTAATCTAAAACACAGTTGATTGATAGATTACATTTTAATTCTTCATCAAACAATAATGTCATTGGATTTTTACTTACAGTTAAACTGTCACAGTTAAGGAGAAAAACTGGATTTCCATCAACACCAGAAAAACTTCCAACAGCAGGGCCCCCTTCTTCCCGAGCCTCCAACATGAAGCCCAAGAACCTACCGCTGTCCGTGCTGCGCAGAGTGACTGAACAATGCATTTATTAGAGCAAAGGTGGAGGTTCATAAAACAAGGACAGATGTATTATCAATAACACTAGCTTTAACAGAGTGAGCACTAAAACCGACACTGATGGTGATACAAAATGTGTCCAATGGTCTCTGTACCTGGAAAAGGGTCTCCCTCATTGCCTTGTACGAAAGAGATCTCAAAGGGGGCATCTGTTAATCTGGGGTCAGTCCCGTGCTGGGGTAACATCGATCCACATGACTGTGGGAAGCCGCCACTTGAAAAACCACGCACTCTCATAAAGATGTTCAGGCCAATTATAATCCACAACCACATCTGTGAAATCAGCAAAAAGATGGTCTAAATTGGTCTCATCAATGACAAATTTAACACTTTTCTAGTGATATTTTCAATTCAAACATTCAAACATATTTTATCTTTGTGTTTCTTTTACTTCTTCACTCCACACCGACTTTAAATGTCAGAATCACTAAGTTAACCCTCATGTCAAACAGTGCAATGCAAATTTAAAACAAAACATCAGTGCAGTAGGATAGTGCCAAAGCTACAATGAGCAGTCAACCCTCTGACTTTATTCTTAGATCACTTGGGCAGTCTGCTGCATTGAGAGCCAAACAAACAACCCTCTTGCTCTGCTTATAAAAAATATTTGTTGACCTAATTTTGGGGAATAGAAATAGTTTCAACAAAATAAAACTTTAAATTTGATCAAATACTTAAAACAAATACTCTGTTTGATTGATATTAAAACTTAAGTATTTAAGGTCATAGAGGTTTCTCTCAGTTTCAACTACATTTCAGGTTCTCCCTTTAAATATTATTAACCACAACCACGATGATGTTTCATCTCCTCCAGTTTTCACAGCCCTACAAGCAGTGAAAAATCCGCTGGGATACATCTGGCGTGTATTTTTATCAAAGGTTACTAAATGTGCCTGGTCAAATCCTTCAAATACACATTTACAATCCACAATTAAAGGAAATGTTAACAGCTTTCTGTGCTTACATGTTTACACGCATGTACATATAGGCAAGCACATATCATTATGCATGTATTTACACACATAAATGTATACATATAGCTTACCAAATGCATACATAATCAAACAATATTTTGTTTAAGCATTAAGCGCTACATGCATAGGATTAAAACTACCTGGAGACCTTTGGTAATTTGTGAGTAACCCCCCTGACATCAGTGTTAACTGTTGTGCATTCACACTGGATTAGTTTGAAGTTTGTAATAACCTCAAATTTTTACCGACATTTTTCAGATTGGACGTGAACCGGTGCTGTCAATTTGAAGACTTTAGCCTTTGCACATACAACTAGTGTCCTCTTTTTCTTTCTTTGTTTTCCATTTTTCATCCCTGCCATCATCATTTTTCAAAATCTTTTCTATTGAAACTAATGTTGAGATCCCAGATTTTAAAAATCAGATTGCAGTATTTTGCCAGGTGACTGTTTTGAGGGGTCATATCTAAAAATAACAACACAGACATATCTGTGTATAACCAGTCACCTGGCAAACAGCAAAAATATTGCCATGATTGCTCCAGAGTGGACCCTGACAAGGTCCTAAGAGGTTATGTCATAACATTGTGAAAGTGCTGTCATACTTTGTTTTGGTAAAAGTACTGTTTTTACTGTTCCTCCATACCTGCATCTAATGCATCCAACTCTTATTTGCAACTCTTATATTTTTTTAGGGTAAGACACTTAAGGATTTAACGTGGAGTTACTCCAAGGAGATTTACAGGCCTATGCCAAAACACTATCAAAACTTTTCCAGTTGGTCATCTCTCATTCTGAAGATTGAGGATTTGGTCCCAGGTCCAGCTGTCCACATGATAAAGTGTGCATGAACGACAACCTCAAACTGCTCTACTGCTTCAGCACAGCGTGAAAGGATTAGTTACAGATGAGTGCTTTACACAGTCACTGTATGAATGTGGTATGAACAGGTGAATGTGGCATGTAATATAAAACTACTTTGAGTGGTCAGAAGATCAGAGAGAAAGCTATCAATAATACTCTCTGATAACATTTACCATTTCTTTATTTGACCGAGCCAAGTTGATATCACTGGCAAAAATCCAATTCTAGTTCTCTGGTATGTTTGTCAGTGTTGGCACCTTTATTTACATAAAGGCTGTGTCACTGTTGGTGCTCCATCAAAACATGTTCTTTTCTTGGTATGGTAAACCCCCTCGTTAGATTGATTGAACTTTATTTGCATTTAATGCACGCAAAGGGCCCAACCCTTATGGATTTACAAGACACCAAAAATATAGCTCAGGCACTTTAAACATTTCAAAATATGATAAATTATTTTTAAGTTGCATTTCCTTTTACATCTCTCTTCTGAACATTACTCTCTGCCTTTTCTTCCAAGTTTTTCAGATAAAACCTGCTACAAAAAAGGTTCCTCTTCTGAAACACAGCTCAAGTTTTTAATAAAGACCATAGACTGTACAATGGACAATTTGGTTCCGCCTGTATACGGCTTTGAAGCCAAAAAGCTCTCTGTATTTCCGTGATTTTTCTTCCTTTCCTGACACCAGCGCTGCGCAGTAGCGATGTGCCCATTCGGCAGAAGAGTCGCCGAGAGTCACTGTGATGACGCTCAGCTCAAACAGCGTATCCCCCGGGTGAGCTACGCAATCCCTGAACGCCAATAGGCTGTATCAGGTGTCAATCAAAGAAAACTTGAACCTTTTAAAAACGGAGCTTCACAGAGGACTTGAGCACAGTCTTACTGTAACTACATGTCAACATTGCAAGCAGGGGGGAGAAACATTTATGTTCTGTGTAATAAATTTCTAAAGTTTGTCCACAGCCCCATAAGCTTTGCTGGTGGATTTATGACCTATACTGCAGCCCATCAACTGAGGGTGCTGTTCTCGGAGTAGCTTCACCCAGCGAGGAGGCAGAATCTGTCCATTCTATATACAGTCTATGATAAAGACCCAAACAACAGAAATCTGCATAAATGGAAGACATTTTTCCACAAAAAACATTCCTTAAGTCATCATGTATTGGACAGTAAAACTGAAAATCAACCTCATTTTAGATTTAACGCAAGTCACAAAACAAACAAATTCCATCCTCTTCTGTGGCCTTAAATCTGCCTGTCTGTAAAGCTGAAGGAAACTGTGCACAGAGAGAACTTTGTCTTCTGGTTAGATTACACTGAACATCCTCACCATAACCACTCTTTATCAGACAATAAGTTTGTAGCTTTGGTTTACACCACAAATCAACAGACCTTTTTTCTCTGTACTTTGAAAAAAATATGACTCCTAATCTCTTGAGTATCACAAATTAACCTTAAAAAACAAACAAAGTCTTATTTAAATGACATATAGGTTTCATCCCATTAGCCCAGGGGTGGCAACGACAGGTATCCCATATAAACACCTTCTTTGTGAGTCTCTGGTTCGACATCTTCACAAGTCTACTCCAAAGCCAAACCATTTCACATTTGTGTCTGATTTTTGGAGGCTCCTATCCCATATCACTGGTGTTAATGGATTTCCCAGAAAGAGCTTATTGCTCTATGACGTATAGAATTACTACTTGAATATTCCGAGTATCCCTTGGCACTAGACGCATAATCAGACACAGGACACACACATGAATAATAAAGTTGTGTATAAGTATGGTATCCCAGACTACCACGATGTTTAACTCAGTTCAACACAGATCCCAGAGTCAAAACACTCACAGCTTCTTTGAATGTCCTGTGTTCATCGGAAGTCAGGCCAAGGCATTTACTGTATATTGATTAGTATACCATGACAGCACTATTGAACCCTAATTAAGAATTACAGAACTATCACTGAGTTTTTTCTCTAAAATGAACTATTTGCGTCTTGTCTTGATTCACTGCTAGTCTCCATTTCCAGCACTATTCTGCAACAATGTTCAGCACTTTTTAGGTCTTCTGCATGTTAGAAGTAGTAAAACAACATTGTCTGCATATAATGATATTCTAACAATTAAATAATCTATTTTAACTTCAAGGTTAGAAGTTTTAATTCGAAGAGCTAAGTCATTAATACAAATGGAAAACAATATATAGGAGATTAAACATCTCCTTTGCCCATGTAGCCAAAATAACCGAGTTCTTTAGGCAAATAAACCCATTTGTATCTGTATATTGGGTTGTGAACTCTTAAACTCACAGCAATCACAAACCCTTTAATTGGTTCACACTTCCTTCAAAAGGATGGACCCCCAAGGCCCCCCTCCAACACATCATCCATGTGTCTCTACTAGTACCTGTGGGAGTACAGTTCAGAGTGCCAATTACATTTCTTCATTTACACCCAGCCCGTACATCAGACTAGCATTATCCATATAGAAAATAAAATCTCTTGTGTTCAGTGTTTTGTGTTTAGAACTATCTCCTCATAACCGCCACCACCATCGTCACCACCCCCCACCACCACCATCACCATCTCCTGAATCTTAAACCCCAAATCAACCTGTTATGTTTTCTCTTACCTTCAAATAATGTGCAATAAAGCACCTCACATATCAAATCTAACTTCAACTTTGTACATAGAGCAAAAACAAAAGCAAAAACAAAACAAATGAATCTGACATGCCTGAGTCACGTCCTCGTCAAAACTCTTAAAAAAGAAAGTATTCGGGTCAGAAAGGTACCTCAAAATTTCTCGAGAAGGTTGAATTCTGACGCAGCAAAAGTTTATTCCAGCATGCAAAGACAGGGTGACAAATCTAAATAAGCCCCGGCCATCCTCCAAAAGCGGATACATTGTAGAGCATGCTAATCTTAGTAATCTAAGAACTCCTCCCACTGTTGTTGAGTTCCAAGGAATAAGTCATACTGTAACCTGACATCATCAGAAACCGGTCCACTCTAAAAGAAACATGATCTGAAAACTGATAACTGGAAACTGAAAAACTCCAAACATACCCAAGGGTAACACCCCATAACAACTCAGCTGGATAAATTCAGTTTGATGCCCAGAACTTCTCAGACCCTCTCTACACGCACCTTTAATAAAGTCAAACATCAGTTACATCTCTCCCTCTTTAACAGAGTGCTCAGGAAACACTTTTAGAAATGTGTAATTTATGGTGAAGTTAAAAATTAAAATGTGGGCAAGATGAATTTTATAGACTCGCAAAATCTGTCAATATGTCTTTGAGAGAGATCCTCCTCCAGCACTGTGAGACAAATACTGTGTGTGCTTGATAGACAGGGGACAACTTGAAAGATCACAGAAGGAAGAAAAAGCAGAAGCAAGGCTTAGTCTACCAACATGCACCATGAAATGAAAACAAAATACATGCATCTCTCCTTCTCCTCTGGTTAAACCTGTATCTCAGGCAAGTCTGACCTGCCAGTGGAAAAATAGTCCCTTTTATGCCTCAAATCAAAGTCATCCTCTGATCACTGCCAACCGTTGTACTCTTCTTACTCCCTGCATGCTAACCGGTATAAAATACATAATGTGTACATCCTGTTAGTAAAATATATTTCAACCGCCCAGGGGAACAGCGTCATCGGCGCTATATACAGCTAACCATCCCTCATGTCAATTCATCATGAGCTCTTGTTTTTGTGCTCAATTGTTGGGAAATTAATACATATGATTTCAAATCAACTTCATTGGCCAAGTATGTAAACACATACAAGGACATTGACTACGGGAAACTTTGCTTTCAATGTACAAAGATGAAATATTACACAAATATGTGCAATGTTACATCAGACATTTAATTCATACAAGACTGTTTTAGGCAGTAAATATCATACCATGTTGATCGAGAGGTGCTGACCGTGTCATGGAAAAATGTTTTGATGAAAGAAAAGCGACTCTGCCAGGTTAAATGTCAGTCTGACAATGTAGTAACTTGTGTTCTTAAGGTGTGTCCAGAGGCAAGTGTATAACAAAGGCTTTGTGTTAGATCATCGTCATTCATTTCAGTGACGTTTGGTGTACCTTTGGGTTTTTTCTGACGTCTTCAAGTTAATATCATGCATGTGTAATTTTTGAGACAGATTTTACACATATCACTTGTAGAGATTAAACGTTTGTTTTAAGACACAGAGGGGCTGCATGTTTTGGAAATTAAAGTTCACGTGGACTGGTTTGGTCTTAACATGTCAAAATGTCCCAAATGAACACATAAAAAATGTCACATTTAGACGAAAGGTAGATTTTCCACACCAACAGCTTGCTGCATTCTTGTCTACGAGGAGTATTAGAAAGACCAGCAATTCTTCTTCCTTTGCTACTTTTGTCCAAGTCTGTTTCCCAAATCTTAGACATTTTTAATTAAATTTAACAAAAAAATAAACTTTTAGCATGAAAGCACTTTATTGAAAAAAAAAAGAGATTTTGAATTTGTAGATTTACAAGAGTAAATGTGCAGTTCTGTGCCTCAGTGGTAAATTTTTGTGTCTGTATTTTACTTTTGAAAAAGGTCATTCACATGCCTTTGATGCTGTGATTGATGTGAATATGAAAATGCTAACAATGTCTGTTTTCTTTAGTTAATGCTGGGTTAGTTTCTAATGCAGAAGAAACAAGAGACTGTTTTATTTGTATAAAAAAAAGCCTCTCTTGAAGGTTGAAGTAAAAACAGTGGAGAAGGATCTGAAGTTTCAGTAACAGAATGGTTTATCTAAAATGCACAAGAAGTGCAAAGTCATTTGTACTTTGTAGATTTGTACATTTGATTTATTTTGCAAAACCTCTGCAAGTCCTCCTGCAATCTAGAGTATCTGAGTGGGTGTTCTTTCCCAGTGATTCCTGTTTACTCCAGGAGAAATGAATAATAAATAAAATAAAAGTCTTATATTGAGAAACAGATTTGCTTTTATAAAAAAAATCAAATATATAGATAAGGCATTTTTCAAGGCTGCTGACTTGTGGTATCTGTGAAGTACAAAACAAATGTTTCGTTTTTCTTCTCATGTCCAACTTTTCTTTTCAAATTTGAAGAAGTGGTGAGAAATGGGTAAGAAAGGCAGTGCTTGATGAACCATAGTCACAAGGTAAAACTGTCACAGGGCAACATTACAGTGTAGTTTAATCCAATCCACTCTAATCCATTTTATTTGTATAGCACAATTTAAGCAAACACAAGGTTTCCAAAGTGCTGCACAGCAAGATAAAAATAGAATAAATAACAGAACAGGATAAAAATAAAATGAGATAAAACACAGTAAAATCAAATAAAAACAAACACAATAAATGAAATCAATAAAATAAAATAAATGAAGTCAACCTCCTACTGATTGTTAAATGCCAAGAAGATAAAACACAGTAAAATCAAATAAAAACAAACACAATAAATGAAATCAATAAAATAAAATAAATGAAGTCAACCTCCTACTGATTGTTAAATGCCAAGAAGATGAAACACAGTTAAATCAAATAAAAACAAACACAGTAAATTAAATCAATAAAATAAAATAAATGAAGTCAACCTCCCACTGGGTGTTAAAAGCCAAGGAGAAGAGGTGGGTCTTTAGATGGGATTTAAAAACAGGCAAAGTGGAGGCCTGTCTGATGTGCTGAGGCAGGTTATTCTAAAGTTATGGAGCTGCGACAGCAAAGACACGATCCCCTCTGAGCTTCCACTTTGTTTTAGGCTCTCTTAGGCTCACCTGATCGGATGACCTGAGAAGGAGGAGTATAAAAGTGTAGAAGCTCAGAGAGGTACGGTGGGGCGAGACCATTGAGGGATTTAAAAGCAAATAAAAGGATTTTTTGTTAAGATTTTGTAGAACTTTATTTATCCTTATGCGAAGGTTCCCTAAGTTAAAAAGGTAGAGATCAGAAAACCAATGTGGTATCGAAAGGTTGTAAATCTAACGTAAGTACATGCTATTTCCTCTTTTGAACCCTTTGTTGATGATTTGTTTTGGTGTCACTCTGCATGCCTCTGTCTGGTGTGTGAGGTCACCATTTCTAGAGAAATCAGCAGTAGTTGACTTTGGAGATCAGCCAAAGAAAACTAAAGAAACTGGTTTTTTTGTAATTTAGAGGTGAGCATGAGGCTGGGCTGTAAGCAGTACACCTCATAGTCAGTTAGTTCTGAAAGGCAAACGGCTGTCATTTAGTGCAGCAGAGTTTTTGCATCTGTCTCAGCAATGTTATGACCAAATATTTTCTAATCAGAGAGTGTTGAATGAGTTTGTGTTTCTAAATGAGCCTTGACCTTAATACTGCAGCAGTTACAGTTAAAAACAAAAATGCAGCCTTAAAGACAGGGAGCACATACATAAAGTTCACATGAATTAGTCTAAATCCATCTTCACAACAACTGTGAGGACTTCTTAGCTGGTAAAACAGACTGAAATTAATGATTATGCTAAAAAAATGAAATTACATAAGGAATACAACTGATTGTCTCTCATAGTTATTTTACACAATTTTTAACACTGCCATTAGCTCAGTGACAGTATCACTAACTTACTGCATGTAGACCGATACTTGGTCTGTTTACATTCTTATGCCGAAAATTTTCAGCGGGTTACACTGTAGTCAGTTATAAGAATGAGATTTAATAAGAAAGCATTGTTTAGACATGTCTGAAAGATCATCTAAAAAATGAATGCACTGCTTTGCCACCACTATTTACACAAACAGAAGATTCCTCGTGGCTAGGCAAGGTGAGGCAGAGCATATCTGATGATCACAGGGGAGATTTTAATCATACATTGTGCCCCAAACAAAAAGTTAAAAGAGTCATGAGAAAGGTCAGAAATACATGGTGAAAAGAGGATGTTTCACAACAAGGCAAAGAGGAAGTAACTGTGCTATTTTGATAAAAAATAGGTTAAAACATGATAAGACATTTTTTAATTACAGGCCTCAAATTTACAGCCCAGTGTTGAACAATAAAAATGATAACTGATGTTTGACAGTAAACTACTGACTGAATAAACCTGGACTGACTATGTGGGAACTTTTAGGCGTTGAACATTTACTATTTGCATATGTGCTCCTTCCCACTCATCATAAAGTGAGGGACATTCAGCTGCTTTTTGCTGTGCATAAGTGTAACAAGGAAGTTAAAACTCCACAATACAACACTAGTTCAATCATTTATTAAGTGGTTCAGAGGTTCACAGAGTTTCAAAGACTATATCCTACAGTTCAAACAGTACCTGTTGACACAGTTTTTATTTTTGTTTTATATATTGTGGAAATGTGTCATGGACACAGGAGTGTAAGATGTTTCTTTTTCTTTAGTTGAGAACAAGCATTCAGGTGTAAACAAATGTGAAATAGCTGCAGTTTCATCTGCGTTCTGAGAAAAACAGAGGTCACAGCAGGTTAAACCTTGTGCTGTATTAAAAGTCACGCTCCCATATCAGGAAGAGGTTTGATAGACGGGTGAGTCATCCACCTGATGGACTGCTGGTTGTGAATAGCTCCTTTCCAAAGAATCATTGAAGTAATAAATCATTTATGGACACTTGTTGCTAAACAACTGTGGATTAAGAGACACTTTGTTTTTACAGCACCATGTTTGCTCAATACAAGCAAACAAACTGTGATTTAGAGTGATTTAGATGTTAATATAAACAAACCATGAGTAAAAAAAGCATGAAAAAACAACAATAGAAAAAAAGGACAAATGCAAAGGAAATGTTCTTGCTGAAAAACCAATCAGGCTGTTTTCCCTGACCATGTTGACAATCACTTTTGTCACACAATAATTTATAAAAATCAATTATATATATTATATGTCCACCAATAACACTGTGTAATAACAATAATAACATGTTATTTTAACAACCAGCTGTGATAAAGTAATGTGCAAAAACAGCAGTAAAAGAAAAAAAAAACATTTCATGATGAGAACAAATTACTTTTGACTTGTTAGAGGGTGTCTTTTTTGTAAGAAATAACTTAAGTATACATGCACTGGGGAAAAAAAGTCCAATATAAATTTTTAAAACATTGTTCTGAGATTAATGTCAGAATTGTTTTCTCAGAATATGATAAAACCATTATATCATAATATTTGCCCTTTTTTTTCTCCTTGTGGCCCTTAACCTATTCCGTATATTTCTCTTCATAACTAAATCAGTAGATTTTATCTCAGGGGTGGGGCTTAGAAATAATGGTATCACAAATGTGTTAATAAGCATTCTTGCTGATACAAGCCACAATGTATCACAGAGTATTGTTGGCTGATACCAATACTTTGATTGGTATTTGAGTGGTTCTGCTGAAGAAGAACTGAAGTACAAATGCGGATAAAGTACCTGCACGCCTATCATGTGAATGCTACATCCCAGAATGCTGCAATTTCCCGACAATGAGAGCTACAGCAAGTGCAACTGTGCCGAGGATGAAGATCACTGAGACTACATTCACAATCATCACAGGTTCAGGGGACCTCATCTGAAATTTAGAAGTGTAAAGAAAAACAAAAGAAGAACTTGAGTTTGTGGGTGATGTACAGTCATGAAAGTGTTAAAGAAAAGGTTTCATCTTCAGGATTTGGACACGCTCTCACCTCTCTCCTTTGACCTCTTTGTGCAGCGTTCATGGAGCTCACTAAAAGAAAACGGTTCTCCATTATGTCATGATCTGCTCAAGACTGCACATGGTATCCAACTTGAAGTGTAAAATTTTATAAGTACTGTAATAAGAAATTATTCACCTCTTTTTCTCCTCCGCAGAATGGCATGTTTATGAACAGTGAATATAAAAACCCAAACCACAAACAGGAGAATCCACACCGTGTAAGCTATCAACACCCACAGTGGCCAAATGTTTTTCCTGTTCCCTCTGGTGCCAGCACTCTCCAAATAACAGACATAAATGACAGCAACTGTGTAATAAAAAGGTTTTAGACAAATAAGCAATGTCGAATCACAAACACACACACACACATTTTAGAGGTGTTGATAGATGAACTTTGTAACCTCTAGGTAGATACGAGTTAACTGTTTCCTTCTTCCAGGCTCTGCTCTAAGCTAATTTAGGCCAATCAAGGCTAAGCACCACTTAAACAAAAAAAGTACAGATATGCCAGTTTGGATCTTGATTGACTTTTCATACAAGGATTTCCATTAGCAGTGCAAACCATGATTAAATAATAAAGATGGAAATAATTTTTCTCCTTACGTATAAAGGCCTCATGGATGACAGAGCACACTTTGGCAAAGATTTCACAGATCCCCTTTCTTGAACAGCAAAAAAAAAAAAGACAATTTCAAAAAATTATCAAGAGGTACTTGTGCTGTAATGAAATGGCAAGTGTCCAAGAGTGAAAAACCCACTTCATCATGCCCTCCTACCATTATTTGTACTGGGGTTATTGTGGGTACCCTCCTGCACCAGTATTTCATTTAATGAAGTCTCAGTTCTCCCAGAGTCAAGTCATTACTATAATGTTTTTTTGTTTTTCAGAAAGAGGGTGGCTGTTTTACCCTAAACTATTTTCTATTTCCCCCTAAATGAGTGAACTGGACTTTTTGTGAGAAGAAAATGAATTGAACTAGATTATGCTTAAGAGTGCCATCTGCAAGTGTCTAATATACTCAAAAATACCTGCAGCCTGCCTGCTACTTAACAGAATTTAAACTCTCAAGATATCTTGAATCCATCAGTAATGCAATCAACATACTTTCTTGTATTTCTTGTGTTAATCCTGCACAGAGTGACGGTTAAAGTTGGAGCCTGTCCTTCTTTCCCTCGATGGTTCTTTTACATATTGCTCAAGCTGAACTGCTTTGGCTTGCACAGTCTGTTGCACCTTTCACTGGCAGGGACAGTTTCTGAACGTGGCAGCACATGAACGTGCATGCAGACAAATACGTGTTGTAAATTGAATACATTCTTATGGCCAAAGAGTGGTATATCCACACAAAAAGTGCCCCTTCCATCTATCGAATCCTAATGTAGCCAAATACTGAGGTCACAGTTATTACGAGTACTCGACTCAACTCTGATTAAAGTCGAAATATCGTATCCAAGAAGTCCAACTCTGCCCTTTGACCATTGGCTGATTAAAATCCTGTGTCCGTTACACTTATCTACCTCACAAAACAATGCAATGGCTTCTCCCTCACCCCATTTACACTCTGAGATCACCTGGTGTCTCCTACTTCCAAGTCCTGCGGCTAAGTGTTTCTAAAAGTAGTTGTGCACAAAGTGTGGATGTGAGAGTGATGTTGATTATTCACAGTTCATGACTGGGTCCCAGTGGCAGAGAGCTGATCACTATTTCCAAGACAGTCAAGGTGATCGCCACGCACAACAAAGCAATGAGAGCGGTCTAAACACAGACACAGGGAGGCACGAGGGAGACATGTTAGGATATGTTACAATAATAGTAAGACTACTTCGAGACATGAAAAAATGTTGTACTTCACATAACTTACACTCGAGCAATCTTTCACAATTCCCAAAACCAATGCTGATATTTCCAGGGCCCCACAAAACACGAGGAATGATATCTTAGACATCTGCGAAAAAGCAATTTCAGCTAAAACTTTGTATTTATTGATTAAGTGCACTTGTTTTGAATGCAAAAATACACAAAATTTACAACAAAAACTGTTTTAGACTTATCTCATAAAATCTGTCATTAATGCTCCATTCAAAAGTAATCAAAATTTTCAGCAACCACTTGCTCTCACAGCAAAAACTATACAATCAAATATGATGACGTTATAGCCAGATGAAGAGATTAACAAACTGTTACTTAAAATGCACACACCTTGAACTAATGCCTTACCCTGTTGAGCAGACGAGAAACTGGGCTCTTTGTGACACTGTTAGCGATTATATTAGACATTTCCTAAAAAGAGAATAAAGTAAGGGATACATTAGACTTGTTTAGCTCTTTTGATCAGTGTGCAGTGGGTTATAGCATTAGACAGACAAGGATACTCAAATCTTACCATTTTAGTGACCAACAAAACACTGCAGACCACCATGAGTATGACTATCTGAAGAGAAATCAAGAAACAAGAGTTGAACTCATGATAAAGGTTTTGTATTTACTGTAAATCAGCACAGTATTAAGAAAACTAAATCAAATTTAATGAGCCATCTACTCTGTCATTTCAAAGGCTAAACCTCACCTCAAAGGGACAATGAGGTGGTGGCGGTGTTGGTGTTGGTGTTGGCACTCCAGTACTTGATGTAGACATATGCTCAGTCGTAACTGGAGTAGTCTTTTGAGCTGTAGTACTTGGCGTAGTGGTTGTAGTCGAATCTAGAGTTTTCGTGACATTCACCCAGTATGTTACAAAAGACCGGAGAAATGTGGCCCTGCAACGGTGAGCACACATTTCAAAGTTAATAATCTGCCATCCAAAAGGGATATTTAAAATGACAGGATGAGACCATTTCCTTTGTTTTCTTTTGAATATGTCAGTCACGGAGTAAAGATACCTGAAACTAATATCTCTATCAGGTAAACGTTCCGGTGGCATCCATTTAACCTGGTGTGTTGTCTTAGGCTGACTGTTTCTTTGACTGATAGCTGAGGCCTGAGAAAACAGCAAGAGTAAATCACATCCACAAAAATCAAAGATAGTTTTGACAAGATTTTTCATCTGAAATTGTGAAATATTCTGTAACAAACACTGATGCCTCTGTATGAACTTAATGAAAGCAATCAAGATCATCAGTGAGAGGAGAGATTATTTAGAGATAATTTATATCAAAACTGCTGCTGCAGGAATAAGAATGTGAATGTAAAGAGTTGATATGAACTACTTTGTGCGCAGAGGTCACCAAAATCAAGCCAAACCAAAAGTTTCTTACAGCAGCTAATGTAAAACACAGTTGATTAATAGATTACATTTTAATTCTTCATCAAACAACAATGTCATTGGATTTTTACTTACAGTTAAACCGTCACAGTTGAGGAGAAAAACTGGATTTCCATCAACACCAGAAAATCTTCCAACAGCAGGGCCCCCTTCTTCCCGAGCCTCCAACATGAAGCCCAAGAACCTACCGCCGTCTGTGCTGCGCAGAGTGACTGAACAATGCATTTATTAGAGCAAAGGTGGAGGTTCATAAAACAAGGACAGATGTATTATCAATAACACTAGCTTTTACAGAGTGAGCACTAAAACCGACACTGATGGCGATACAAAATGTGTCCCATGGTCTCTGTACCTGTAAAAGGGTCTCCCTCATTGCCTTGTACGTAAGAGATCTCAAAGGGGGCATCTGTTACAGTGGGACCAACCCCGTGCTGGGGTAACATCGTTCCACATGACTGTGGGAAGCCGCCACTTGAAAAACCACGCACTCTCACAATGATGTTCAGGCCAGTTATAATCCACAGCCACATCTGTAAAAAATGTTCAGTATCACCAGTGAAAAAGAAGTTTTAAAAGTCTAAGTCTTCTAATCACTCACTGCAGATGGGTAACCTTTAAAATGTTTTCACTCAGTGTCGTATGAAGTACTAAACAAATATACTTGAGTTGAAGTATAGTTACCTTACCAGAAAATGATTCAAGTCAAGGTGAAAGTCTCCCATGAGAATTCTACTCAAGTTGAAGTCTTAAAGTATATCACAGTCTCTCTACCTAAGTATCAAAAGTACTCAAGTAAATGTACTCAAAGAAAAGTAAAAAGTCAAAGTACAAATATATATATTTTTTTTTCAAAAGTTACTTATGGCCAAATAAGCACATATTTCAGGTGGGTGCAAGCAACAGCTTAGAAAAATAGATGGACACACACACACCACCAATCAGGCGAAACAATAGTACATCCTCCTACAGTCAAGAAGGAACTTTGTGACGAGAACCATGCAAGTAACAGATTAGAAAAATAAGTGGGAGGGACAGATGGACGGACCCCTGATTACAGCACTGATCTGAAAAAACAATCACGCATCCTCCAACAGTCAAAGAACTTAGGACAGAAGTTGGGCATGATGAGGACCATCAAAACAGCCACTGGACATTTAGGTGGATGCAGGCAACTGTGCAACTTACAAGCGGCTGCAGACATGCCCAGGCTTTAGTGACTGATTGATGATGATCAAGCACCATGCAAATCAACATTGGGTAAAAGGGGAAAAAAAGTTTCTTGTCATAAGCTGGCATAGTAAAGAAGTAAAAATAGAAGTAGAGAAGATGCTTCTGTGAAATGTAGTGGAGTAAAAGTATACTTTTGTTTTTAGAAATGTAGTCAAGTAGAAGTAAAAGTCGCAGGTACAAAAATCCCTCAGATACTTTAGATACAGATACTTCAAAATTATACTCAAGTACTGTATTATAAGTATTGCTACTTACTATACAACACTGTTTTCACTGCAACTCAGCTCTGGCACCAGAAGTATTTGTTAAGTTTCTACTCTAAACATTCAGACACATTTTATCTCACATTGCTTTTCTCTCATCCAGAGTAAGGGATTATGTTGCAGCTGTGAATGTATCAGAAGGTAGTGATTTACAGTTAACGGCAGCACAAATATTTATGTATTGCAGTCAGAGAAAACTGAGACTACAATAACCAGTTAACTTCTGAAGTTAACGGTCAACATTAGGTGACAAGGAAAGCTTACTGCATAACAGAGCCAACTCCATGGTAACCTTATCTATCACACACAGTATGAAATATTTGTGGATTTTTGGGGGGGTAACAGGAAACATTTCAACAAAATTAATCTGTAAGTTAAACAGCAAACTTTAAAGATGGTCACACCTGCTAGTTTCTATTTAAACTGTTCAAGGTCTTAGTACATTAACACACAGTGAGCAAACTTTTTCTCTTACCTTCAAATAAGTGGTAAAAACGCAAAGCACAGCATACACTTGACTTTGGACTTTAAGCTATACTGGGAGAGGAAACTCCTTGGATAGAACCGAAAGAATCCACCAGATGGTCTCAGTCAGTGGGATCCTCCCTCCAACATTGTAAGACATACTGTGTGCCAGGAACCTGAGCAATAACTCCGCTCACTGTACAAGGAAGTAAGAAAGGGCAAGGCTGAGTCAACCCACACGGCTGATTTGACACCAAACACATGCAGCTTCCTGTTTCTTACGAGCTGACATCTATCTCAGGACACGTACGAAAGTCCGCTCTATATATCTTGTAAAGGCTAAATCATAGCTTTGAGTCAAAGAGGTGCTATCTCATGGGCTGATGATTAACCTATGTGATAAATCAGTAATAAATCAGTAAATCTGTTTATTTCTCTTACAAAGCTCTCTGAGTGACCTTTAAATGTAAAGGTCTGAATTAATAGGGCAATTGCACCTCCACCTATTTCCTTTGTAAGAAGTGCAGCCAAAATACTACCTAGGCGGACACTGTCATTGCACTGCAGGAGCCAAAGCATGAACAGAGATCCCCTAAGCAGAACAGATTTATGTGTCAATTTGAAGCAGACACTCATGATTATGAAAAGTTCAGTTATTCTTGTGTAAGTGTTTTATCACTTTGTTCCTCCTCTACTTACTTACCTGGTAAAGAAAGTTGCAGGAGCTGGCATTTGTCACAAAGCTGTCAGTCATCTTTCTAACGTCATATAGCAAACTAAAATTTACCTTGCTGGAATGATGAAAACTTGCACACAATAAGCACTACATAGAAAAATAGTTGCCTCTATCTAAAAAAAAGGTATACATCTACAACCATAGTTTTAAAGTTTGACCTATATTCCACTTCCAAAGATAGCTGTTGTCCTGCTCATTGTTTGATACAGTTTATGTTTTCAACCAACACCTGTATTTGACTCCTATAGCAACAAAAAAAAAGTCTGTTACAAGGTTTAACATTTTTTTTCTCATAGCAAATTGGTTGAAAAACGTCACCAGTAGCTGCTGTGTTGATGTATTTACTGTCACTTCAGGGCAGGCGCAATACAGTATATACGGCACATAAGACAAGTAATTTGCAGTTGAAATAAAATATTCATCCATCCGATATCTTTGCTGCTTATTCTGTCTTGGAGTTGAGCTTATTCAAGCTGCCATCAGGTGAGAGAATGAATCAGTTACAACAATACTGGCCTGTTACGGAGACGGTCCAAAGAAAAATGAAAAAATGATGGCTTGAGCCGCATGAATTATTATGGTGCTTTTATTTACAAATAAAGTGGGAAAAATTCCCAAAAAGAAATAATAATTTCACATAAAAAATACAAAGTGCTCTATATAATCTCTGACTAATAAAATAAAATATGATGCACATATAGTTAAGTCTAGAGTAAATGTTGTTTAATAACAATTCCGTTTTAAAAAACTCTCCATGGGTCTCATATCAAACAGCAATTTAAATGCATGGCATATCTACATTACATATTTATCCTAATCTCCCTCTTTCAGTTAAAATGCTTGAATGAATACTAATACATTGATCCACGGGAGTAGACTTGCAGTGTAATCTGTTGTTCCTCAACTGTATTTCTGCAAATAAACATACGATACAGCATAGACTTCAGATGACTCCTAAACTTGACGCCAACAAAAGCATAAAACACAGGGTTTAGGCAGCAGTGGGAGAAAGCGATGAACCTGCACACTTCATATGCATGGTCAAGCTGTATACTAATGTCACAGTCATTAAAAGGTTCAACCAGTCCCTCAGCCAATCTCCTCAGAAAGATGACCACGTTGTACGGCACCCACCCGAGGAAAAAAACAGCAACGATGCAAAAGACAAGTTTAATAGCTTTGTTTTTTGTCTTGGATCTTGCTCTTTTAATCTTTCCAAGGATTCGAATGTAGCAGAAAGCCATCACAGCAAAAGCAAACAGGAAGACAGCATTCTGTTGGAAGGCAGCAATGTCTCTTAACGCATGTGTTTCATAGTCACAGCCGAGGGAGAAGCTACCATTGTGGGGGACTTGCATTGTGGTGATGAAGAGCACAGAGGGCATGGCTGCTCCGATGCTGATAGCCCACAGAAGGAAAGACGCAAAAGTCCCTGTGCTGAAGCTCTTAGTCTTTAAGTTAAAAAGAGGGTGAACCACTGTCAGATACCTGTAGATGGTCATGCTGGTTAGGAAGAGGATGCTGCTGTAAAACCCAATGCAAAAAACAAAAGACACCATTTTGCAGAGGATCGTTGTAAACACCCATCCCCAGATGCTGTACATTGCCCAAAAAGGAAGACCAGTAGTGAAGACAAGGTCAGAGATGGCCAGGTTTAGGATGAAGATGTTTGTGAGAGACTTGAGGTTTTCGTACAAAGCAAGGATGATAAGCACAAGGATGTTTCCTGTGAGGCTCAGTGTGATCACGATGAAGAAGAAAATGGGAACTGCATAGGATCCAAATTTGACCACCACAGCTTTTTCACAGACCTGATCCTCATAATCCAGGTCATATTGAAAGCTGTCATTGTAGGAGTCATTCATTGCTGTTCACAGGACCCTGGAAAAGAAATTTTGAGCCGGTGCTACATTTTATTATTTCATCAACCACTGTAGTGTTAAATAAATGTTAAAAAAGTCATCTATCAACTCCAACACAAACATAACAGCATTTTACAAGGAAAGGAAATCACCTACCTGGTGCTCAGTTAGAGAGGTGTTGTGTGCGAAGCTGTCTGTCAACTCAAAAAAGAGCTCACAAAGCGCCACCTCTAATATACTCATGACAGGCAGCGTTTCTGTTCCTTCTTCTGTTCTGATATTGTAGTCATGTTTTACAAGAATTTGCGCCTGTATAATCACCACAGATTATTTTGTAAATTTTAAAACACTATAAATGCCAACTAAATTGAAGTACAAACCCCTTCCCAAAAAGTTCATATGCTGTGTGTAAAATGATGATTAAAATAAATGGTAGTTGCAAAACATGTAAACAGTTTGACTTCAGAGCCAGGAGTGTTAATGATCTTAACTTTAATAAAAATCAGGCTAAGTATTTATCTATCTATCTAGATATTCACATATTTGAAACTCCAGTTTTCCAGTTAGTAATAAATGTGATGTCTTTGAGCTTGAACTGAAATTCTCTCCAGGGTCACATAAATATAAAGCTGTTTTCAAAGGCTGTGTAATACTCCGGGATAATGTACAATCAAAGTTGAAAGCTGAATCCCCTGAGCGAAATGTACTACACAAAAGGATGTTTTATATAATATTCTAACAGCTATAAAGTCCTTGAAACAAGTTACATTGTGCCTGTGTATATATGTATATGTACTTCTAGATTTTTGTGCATGGAAGAAACTGCTCGTTTTATTTAGTGGTTTATGTATCATGTGCTGTATTTCCTGCTGTCTAACCAGGGACAAGGACCGCAAATTAGCCACGTCTAGAAGTCCTGCACACACAGCATCGGTTGCTCTTTAATTAGATGCAACAATGCCTGACGTACTGTCCCTGTCAAATAAACGAATAAAAAAATGATGACAGATGTGTTTCAAGTGTAAATGCTCCCGGTTTCCCATATTTTGGTTACACATTAAACTTAATATCCACGAGCCCCGTTCCCTTTGTCTACAGCAGCTATAGCCACTTCATCTTGCTGTCACAGCCCGTCAGAAAAGTGGGTTAGATACTCCCGAACAACACTGATCACATGACATCTCTGTTTACTCTGCAGCTGCAACCAAGCTTGAAAATTTAAAGCCCCGCCCATAAACCTCGCTGTCATTGGCCCGAAAGTAAAATGTCGCGTGGCCAGTGGACAACAAAACATGTCTGATGCCAAACTCTGAACAAGTTTGTATGTGAACGAAAACGCTCTGAGGATTGTTATGGACTTATGTCATATCACTATAAGTATGTGAAAGTTTCTCTTCTTTGTTCTCATTATTTGCTACCAGTTGTCACGGATTATGTCGGTTTATCCCAACAATGTTTGTTTTTTGTATATTAAGTTACAGTTAATCTTGAAATGTCTGTCTGAGGATATGTATGTCAAAGCTAAACATAATGTCACTAAGACGGCCAAAAAGTCTTCTGCAAAACCCTGAGCTGCCAGCTTTATAGCGTTATCTGTTGCTTTTATGGCAAAAGAAAACCTTATGGTAGCACTGCTGGAGACAATAGTTCGTATCGTGAGACTCCTCTTAAGTTTTATAAACGACCAAAACTAAATTCACGACACCCTGGCTAACCATGGGTGAAACAATGCTGAAGTCACACAATGAAAAGGTTTTGTCGGTTTTCATCATGCTGTACTGTAAGCACTTGTGTATTAAGATTGAAGTGGTGGCTTATCATACGTCAATGTCTTAGTTTAATGTCATAGGAGATACTTATATGTGGCTTTGTTTACCTCCTCAGCCTGCTAACAGCACAATTAGTCAACACATATCCTAATATCAGATTTAATGCTGCCTATGAGAATATCATGAAGTTCACCTGAGCAGGTACTGTTATTATAGGATCTGATTCAAATCCATGGTGGTATTTGCCTCCTATTTTGTGGTGCTGGGGTGTTATTAACATTAGAGTTATGGCAAAAACCTCACAGTAATTTTCACTCCTATTTTTAACTTCTCATAGATCAGATATTTTGTACACATTTCAACTTTAAAGTTTGATTGTATTTTGGTTTTGAGCAATGGAAATGTGTAAAATGAAAAATATGCTACATTTTTTTCTAATGCAAATTTACCAGTATTAGATCAACCTGTATAGATAATACATCATTTTATCTCCATCAGACTCACTTCAAGGGATACTTAAGTATTTTTAAAGCGAGATTAGATACCAGTCAGTTAGGCCTCTTTGTTGAGAATCTGCAGGCAGAAACAGGACATAGGTATGCCACTGTTTTTGGCGGATACCTCTGCATTACCCTGTCTTCGATTTTGAGAAGTCCAAGCACAAATCTGAGAGGTCCAAGCACTATTCTGAGAGACCCAAGCACAAATCTTGGTTTGAGCGTATGCTGTATCCAGAAATTCTTCAGCTCCTAACTTTTCCATCGGAAAGCTCATTTGTTTTTGCACTGTTTGCAGATGCAACACAGATGGGCTCTTCGGCAAGCATGCAGCGGGATCAAAAATAGTGAAACATCCCTTTAAGAAAGTCATTTCCAGCAGAGAAGCTAAATTTTTAACACAAAGTCATGTATTGACATGTAGCTATATGAGTGATGAAGACTACAGTATGTTGTAGCATTCACCTTTTATTACTGACCAGCACAGATTCTCTGATTCAGCAGACTTGATGTGACCCTGTGACCCCTGGTTGCCAGGGAGAGAGCGGTGGGGCCATGGCAGCGGGGACGACTGCTGGGGAGAGCCAACTCCAGAGGATTATCAGAGATCTGCATGGTACGTCAGCTTTATGTGGGTGTCTTTCCCTGTGATTGTGTGTGAATAGATATGCTGCAGGCAGCTTTATGCTGCCATGGTGTGACTAAAGCTAGGAGAAAGAAGAGACGAAGAGGTTTGAAATTATATAATGTCCTTAGTCTTTGTGTCAAGTCCTGGTACAATCTTTACGTCTGGAACTATCCTATCTTTTCTGGCTTTAAATTCTTTGGACAAATTGCTGCATTTGACCTGATACCCCTGTAGTTAGGGTGTGGTGGCAGCATGCAGCGAGACAGAAAGTGTGTACTGAGAGTGCACCCATCACAGGTGTCCTTCCAGTTTTTGCGATGGATACGAGGCAAGTAGTTTTTTTTTTAAAACCTCTGTTGCGGTTAAAATGGGAAAAAAAAGAGGATATGAGTCATCAGTATCAGGATCGTTTATGTGTAAATGTGAAGCTGAAATACAAAGAATGGACGAGATCAGTTCTATAATTTGGTGTTTCTTTTTAGGCCATGTGACTCGAGGTTATTTGTAAATAGATGAATAGAGATGAAAAAATTGAAACCTGGCTTTTATCTTCTATATTCTTCTGTATTGCCATTAATTCTGGTCATGAATCCGGCTTTCGGGTATTTATCATAACCCTGTGTTTATTTATCTCTCAAACTTGATTTTGTTTTATGTTATGTTTTTATCAGAGGCTGTTGCAGAGCTGGCAAAGGAGTACAGAGAAAGTGGAGAGCCCATCACCGATGACAGCACCAACCTGCACAAGTTCTCCTACAAACTGGAGTACCTGCTTCAGGTGTGTTTTGCCCTTAATGTTGGTTCCTCGATGAATCTTAATTACTCCAGTAAGAAAAAGAACAAAGATGTTTTGAAAGAAGACAATGGTAGTAGGATAATTGTCTACTTTACAAAAATACACAAGATAGATTGTAAATCTTGCTAATTTGTTAATTGACTTTTGTTACAAACATATATATTTTTTCAATATATAACAAAAAAACTGTCTCTTTATATTTATCCTTCCTGCAGTTCGACCAGAAGGAGAAGACCACATTTCTTGGTACGAGGAAAGATTATTGGGATTACTTCAGCGACTGTTTGGCTAAGGTCAAAGGAGCCAATGATGGGATCCGTTTTGTCAAATCCATCACAGAGGTATTAAGATGTCTTTGCTTGTTGTTTACAGTGATACCACTCATTAATCACTGATCACATACTGGTCATCCAGAGAATGTGACCATCCCTAAACTCACTTGACTTACTGTGACTCCAATGGATTTTTTTTTTTGCTCTCATGTTTTTTCTAATTCCTCATACTACAGACGTGACACAACACACACACACACACACACACACACACACACACACACACAAAGAGCCTGTCGCAATACTCTTTCAAGCTTCATTAGATTTTGTAATTATGAAATGTTTTGTTTTCTTCATATATCATGAACAGGTTGTAAGAAAAGGAGTTGAACAATGCCGGTTACACTTAAAATACAGTAAACTGACTGCGCATTTATGGCATTACTGTTCATGCTTGAATACAAAACTATGATTTAAGGTTAAATAATGTTGTAGTTTAGTAGTCTGCTGTGTGTAGAATCTCCCTGTTGAAATGAACACAGCGTCCTCTTTTGCTTTGACAGCTGAAGACCTCTCTGGGGAAAGGACGAGCGTTTATCCGTTACTCCCTCGTACATCAGCGGCTGGCTGACACCTTGCAGCAGTGCTTGATGAACCAGAGAGTTACAAGGTAAAACTTACACAGCCCAACATTGCAAAATTTTTATTGAGGGTTAAGGAGAGATAAAGAAACCAGACAGGGTCGCGACTGAAGTTGTGAAACTGACGTATATAAATGCTACTTCCTATTTTGCACCTTAAAACTTAATGGATGATGATGTGTTTTGGTGTTTTACTTCATGTTTCTCTCCGGTGATTAAGATCACTATTTCTGAAGAGGTCTGACTTTGGAAAGCAGTCAAAGGAAATCAAAGGAAGTGGCCTGCAAGTTTAGACATCACACTATTAGAGTGAAGAGCAAGGCTGTGACATTTAACAGAGGATGTTATGTTCCGATGATCAGTAACAGGTTAAATTTCATACCATTAACGATATACCAGATGATAATGCACACAACCAAAGATCTGCATGGTATGTGGGTGTCTTCTCTGTGATTGTGTGAGTAGATATGCTGCTGGCTGTAATGTGACTAAAGCTAGGAGGCAGAAGAGACACAGAGGCTTGTTAATGATCCCTATAAGAGTGTCAAGTCTTGGTACAGTCTTCATACCTGGAACTGCTCTACCTTCCTTGGGTTCAAATGCTTTGGAAAAACTGCTTTTCATCTGATCTCAAGGCTGTGTTGGAGGCCTTTGACAGGATGCAGTGAGACAGAAAAAATGTGTACTGAGAGTGCCCCCATCAGGAGAAATTTCAGTCATAATTAAGACATTAGTTTTATTGATGTGCTTTTTAACCAAGTTTTTAAACCAGGAAGGCTTCAGGGGTTACAGTTAAGAATAAAAAACTGAAATGAACAGGCGATAAACAAAGACAGCAAGGACACATGGAGAAGTTAAAGTCCAGGGCTGGTATTGAAAGCAGTACTTCCACATCACATACAAAAGAAAATGAGAACATCAGGACCCACAATTTTTTTTAGTTAATTTGTACAACTCTCAACTCTGCCTCCAGGTTGATGAGGGCAATGGTAACTTACTGCATGTGGACTAAAAGTGCTTCTCTTCAGACTCAAATGTCACAAATTCTTAGTGAGTAATACAGCAGTCAGCTACAAGGTAGTTGGATAAGATTTTTCATCAGAATCATTCCTTGGGCATCGTGACAAGATAAACACAGATAAAATGTCCTTTTGGGTCATTCCATGTCAATTCAACCAAGAGTCTCCACTCACGTCACAGATTTTTATACAATTTGGTGGAGTGATTGGCCTTCAGGAGAAACTGTCAGAGCTCAAATATTTTTGTTCAAAGCCATCTAATTAGTGAGAAATAGGCTAACGAATTTTTGGCTAATTAGCATGACATGCGTTACAAAAGTGTTCATATCTCTGGAAGTATGGCACCAAGAGAGCTGATTCAGGTGTCATTTTAAAGTTCTCTTCAAGCTCTATCTTTTTGTTTATAACATTTTTTCCCAAATTGGACCAGAAAAAAATTATAAAAGACCAAAAACTTAAATTGGAAATAGCAAAAAACGCGCGTCCTTCAATTTTCTTCATATTCACACTAAAGAAAGACTATCATGTCCACTAACATCCCTGCAAGTTTCAGGATGGGCATTTCATAACTTTTTGAGTAATCAGTCAAATTGTGTGGTACGTTAGGTCGAAAATCGCCATATTTGGCACATTATACAGTCCTGACCTCATCTGGAGTCAGCCCCACTTGCCTGCTTGTGTAAAATATTACTTCCTCATAGTGCAAAATGCTTTTTTTGAGTGTTTTCATTTGTATGTTATCCCATGTTGATATGAAAAATGGCTAGAATAGCTTATTTTTGCTCAGTTTTCTATCGCATTTCATTTCTCTTTGCACCTATATCCAGAATATGAATGATCTTAGCTTCAAGGGAGGACTAAGGACTAATGTTGTCAGTTATAGAAAAAAAAAAAAAGTATCGGCCAAAATCGGTCTCGGCAGGTAAAGCTTTTTAAAGATCGGTGATCGTACGAAAAACTTTGATCCGTGCACCCCTAGTTCAAATATAAGAAGGGTTAAATTTAAGCAGAAAAGTTCAAATGGAATTAAGAGTTTTAGCAGATCTGACATTTTCTGAGGGTTTATAACAGATAAAAGGTGTGTAAAAACTGAACCATGCTTCTCCATGTTGGGTTCTGACCCCAGGGACAGAAAGCAGACCTTACCTAGAGGACTTGAGTGGTTTGGATGGTGGAGAAGATTGAAGATCGTATTTTAGTCCTGAACGATTCACACTTTAATAAACCAGAAGCAGTAATATAAAATCTAGCCTCTGACAGATGGGGGAGCCCATATAAGACCTTATTAACATTAAAAATTTAAAGGGGACAATAAAATCTGTCATATTTACACCTTACACTATCCCAAATCCTAACTCAGTCAAGACCTTAGAGCCTGGAGAGGAAGCTATTTTGTGAGGAGTAGCTGAAGACAATTGCAGAGCTAAGTCAGATAAGTGCATATACATGAGAGAGACGAGTTTACCCGAGAGTACAAGTGATTTGCCTATGTTGACTCACTGTCGTACCAAGACTCTACAGGAGGTAGTTTCCATGTGTAACTATGTACTGTTTACATTTGGACAACTTCACTGTAGCACAAAACACCTGAAGAGGTGGCCTGCATACGTTTTTTTAAAACACGCTGACATGTTAAGACGAGCTGAATTCTAAGAGTAAAAACCACTTCCAAGTTTTAAGATTTTTGAAACATTTCTCTCTCTAATTGAATGATTTAAATATGAACTTTTATTAAATGATTTGTTTATTTGGATCCTTGTCAGCCTTAGAATAAGAACTCCTCTAGGCATCTACTCAAGCCTGTGGTCGATCTTGTAAATACTTGTTAATCTTGGGCAAAGTGGTATCATGTTTTGTACATGCATATCTAGAATACTGTGACACAGAAACCACATACTATCTTTGTACTGACCAACAGGTCTCTCACTATGACTGAATCTGTCAGAAATGAAAGTGAAGACACTTCTAGCTGTCGTACTCTAACTTCTAACACTAACACTCTGTCACAATTACAGTCACTAAGAATAGTTAACTAGATCCTGTTTACACCATTAAAATCAGATCTTAGGGATTTGGACACAGTTCTCCTTGTATCCATAGCAACGATTACTTGCCCAACAGACAGGGTCTCAGAATAATTAACACAATTCAGAGTCTTTGAATAGTGTTAACTCGCATCTGAGGTGGAGACCTGTTGTTAATGCAAGGTGTGATCACTCATACTAAAGCTGTTCGCTCAAGTCCCAATCACTATAATCTTCATCTTGATGCAAGGTCTGGACGGGCATTTTTTCTACTGATGGTCTTGTCTGCTTTTGAGGGTCAAACAGAGGCGTCAGTTTTGATTTCAGTCTCTTTTGTAATGAGTTTAAATGCCCCACATGCCTAATTAAAGCCCATTTAGAGATGGTAGAAGTTGTTAAAAGCTAACAGAAGCTTTTTCTGTGGAACGTCAAGGATATAAATATGAGCAAAACCTTTTTTTTTTCGTCTGTATCATAGTCTCTGCCTTTGTTCCCATGTTTTCATCTCTTTCTCTGCAGTGACTGGTACTATGCAAGAAGCCCCTTCTTGAAGCCCCACCTCAGTGTTGACATAGTCAGTCACCTGTATGAACTGAATGAAGTCCAGTTTGATGTTGCTTCAAGGGGATATGATCTTGATGCTTCCTGGCCAACTTTTGCAAGGTAACAAATAAGAGGCTCAACATTAATGCTCAACATTATCAAACAATAGGACCCAGACATGTAAATTAGCACCAAAAAATGACCATAGACCCATTTTTGTGGAGTTTTGCTTGCAGATGTATCCCCTAATATGTTTAGATTTCATTAAGGTTTCTTTTCTTGATTAACAGGCGGACTCTGGGAAATGCAAACTCACCTGGACATATGTGGAAACCACCCAGCCGTAGCTCAAGCATTAACAGTTTGGCTAGCACCTACTCCCAGGTAGGATATACCTCTCCAGTGATGCTCCTTTACTTTGCTGTAACTTCAAATGGTTGTATGAAGTTGATCACACTTGCTTTTTTTTCAACTCTTCCACCCCTGCCAACCTTCCAGCAGGCTTCTGAAATCCCCTACAGTCCCGACTTTGGTCAGGGTTTGCTAAATGACCTGAATGAGTCCCTTCCTGCTTGCACAGAAGATGAGAGCACAGTTGACGACCTTCGCCTTGAGCTGGACCGGTCCGAGCTGCACCAGCGAGAGCTCGAGGATAAGATGAAGCAGCTTGGTGAGGAGGCTGCTGAGCTCAGGGGGGTAGTAGTGGAGCTCCAGAGGCAGCTGGATATGTCCCTCTCTGCCCAAGAGCAGCAGCAGGGGTTGCAGGGAGAACTCAAGACCCTGCAGGAGAGAGAAGAGGTCCTTTCCAGGGAGGTGGAAGCACTCAGGACAGTGGAAAAAGCCAGAAATGCTGAGCAACAACTGCTCCAGGAAAAACTGGCAGCTGCTGAAGGGAAGAACATAGAGCTCCTGGCGAAGTTGGACGGGGTTCTGAGTGAGAAGGGCCAGCAGGCAACCAGTCACTTTGATTCAGCTCAGAAGATCCACGAGCTGCTGGACAGACTGAAAGAAGCAGAGAAAGGGAAGATGGAAGCTGTGACCGAAGCAGAGGGAAAAAAGAGACATGCTGAGAGGCTGGAGGAAGAGCTGAGATTGAAGGAGGTAGCTGCAAAGAACAGTGAAACAAAACTCGAAGCATTAGTGACGACTGCATGTGAAGAGAAGGCCAAGCTGCAGGTGAAAGTAGAGGAACAGTGCAGTTCACTTGAGAAGCTGCAGGGGGCCTTGACTGTTAGAGAAAAGGAGGCAAGCAACCTACAGAAGCAGCTGCAGGACCTCCAAAGATCTCTAGAGCAGAAGGAGGAGGAGGTGGAAGAGGTGAAGAGAAAGGCGCACCAAGATCAAGATGAAATGCAGAAGAAGAGTGGTGGATTAAAAGAATCTCTCGAAGCAGAAGTCGCCACACTCAAGGAGCAATTAAAGAGAAAAGAGGCGGAGCTAACGTCAAGTTGCAAGACACTACAACGGCTAGAAGGTAAAACCCACAGCCTGACCACAGAGAGAGATAAACTGACCTCTAACCTAACTGAGCTGGAGGGTACTGTCAAGGAGCAGGCCGCTAAGGTAGACGACTACAAGACCCAGTGCGCCAATCTGATGGAACTCCATGAAAAACTGCTGGCCACGTCAAAGAGAAATGAGGAGTTGATGAAGGAGATGGCGGAAAAGAGAACAGCGCTTGAGGAAGAACTGGCAACTGTGGGAGCTTCTGAGAAACAGCTCCGCAGCCAGCTGGATGATACCAAGATGACAGTGGATGAGAAAGAGAAGCACCTGCGCGAGGAGAACCGCAAGCTGGATGAGAATTTTCAGCGAGCAACCATCGCTGCAAAGCTCTCAGAGGACAGGTCGAAGCAACTCGAGCAGGAGAACCAGAGTCTGAGAGAGGAGCAGGACAAGGTGAAAGCAGCTCTTGGTCGCATGCAAGCTGACTTGAAGAGCGTTCATGGGCAGATCGGAGAGTTGGAGAAGAACTTAGGAGCCTCACGCAAGACTGAAGCAAGCCTTCAGGAGCAGCTTCAAGCCAAAGAGGCAGAGCTAGAGAGTAATGAGAAGAACCTTGTTGAGCTTCAGTCAAGGTTAAAAGTTCTCGAGGCCAGAGAGAGGGAGCTGGAGAGTGCAAGAGCCGATACTGAAGCAGCGATGGTTAAACAGGCCGAAGTGATAGAAAGGGTTACTTCTGAGAAGAAGGTGATAGAGAAATCTCAACTTGAGAGGAGTGCAGTCCAAGCAAAGGAAAACCAGGAAGTGACAGCCAAAGTGGCTATGCTCGAAGGCCAGCTGGAAATAAGCATGAAAGACGTGGACAGGCTTCAGGGAGAGATCCTGGACCTCAGGGTGCAGGTTGAGAGATCAGAGGAGGAGAAGCTAAAGGCAAGGACACAGCTGGAAGTGACAGAGGCCCAAAGAGATGAGCTCAGGACTCTGACTGAGCAGCTTAAATCCCAGACAGAGGCTCTAAATCAGCAGCATGTAACAGAGCTCATGGAGTGCAAGAAGAGAGAAGAGACCCTGATTGAGCAGTGTGATAAAGAAGTAGCTGCCCATGCTGAGCTGGCTATCTCTACGGCAGCTCTTCGAGAACAGCTGTCCACCCTGAAGGTAGAAAATGAGAGGCTAGTATCGGAGAACAACGAGACACGAGAGGGTCTGCATCGGGCAAACACAGAGATGGCCGAGCTGGGGATCACCATCTGTAAGCTGAGTGCAGAAAAAGAGGAGGCGAGAGAGTATTTGGTAGGGGATGCTTCCAAGATTGAAGAGCTGGAGGAAGAGGTGGGGAGGCTAGAGGAGAGCATGTTAAACCTGAGAGAGGAGAACACCACACTGAAAGAGGAGATACAGCAGAAGGGAAAACTTCAAGACACTGTCACTGAGCTTCAGGAGCAGCTGGAAAAAGCCAAGAATCAAATGCAGAACGTCAAGGACTCCGGCCGAGAGGAGGCAGAGGCCATCAAGTTCCAGTTGAGCTCCGAGAGTATGAATCATCAGGTTCAAATGAAGGTGAGTTAGTCTACGATGTTTCAGTGTGACTTTTATGACTAATGAATGAGTCACAATTGCTTTAATGTCTAAAGTGTTTGCTCTCAGAAACTATTCAGACAGGAATGACAAGCTCAAAGATTTATTTTTAAACTTCACTCACATAATGTTTTTATATCAAAGAAAGCAATCTAACAGAAGAATACCATCAATTCCTAAGTAAGGGATAGTCAGCTCATGAGGTGCTGTGTCACCTTTGGTTGATACTTATCTGTCCAGCCATTGTTAGTATTATTTTTTTCAAATGAAATGTTTTATTGTTTTCCAAATGACAAAAAAGACAATGACAACAGCTGTCCACATGATGTGCACTTACAATAACACAGACAAAAAATCAAGACAATCTAGGAGGGCCTTCTCCACACAGACACTAAGGAGGATTTTAAAGGCTTCAAGGAAGCAGGGATGGGTAATTCAGCCAACAGTGTTACAAATGATCTTTTTGTTGCGATAATCTTACAAAGTTACGCCTGACAGTGCACAGACAAGGAATCTGACTCCAGCGAACTTTACTTTCTATAAACAAATGAAACATGACACAAAAAATACTACAATGTGTTCAAGCATTTACAAGACATTTATCTTATATATACCAGACTTGTTTTCTCTTCTTCCTTTATCTCAGACATGTAATCTCTTTCACGTACCTTGACATGTTTTGGAGGACACTTCCGTCTTCCTCAGAAGTTTCACTTGGCAGTAGGTGTGACACGTCATATCAGCTGGCGTTACGGAGGCATGACCCTCCTGTGAGAGTCACGCCTCTGATTAGATAAAAGATTACATGTCTGAGATAACAGAAAAAAAGAAAAAGATTTCTAAGAGACTGAAGACTTAATGAACATCATTCAACGTACACACATGACTGTTATAGCAGTAATGAGATGGAGAGGAGTACAGTGGAGTGATTGGTGATTGAAAACTGTATTATTAATTTAAATATTAATTAAATTATTAAAAAGGGGTGTGCAGAGGTACTTGTCAGATGAGAGGATGATGTCTGCAGTGAGAATATGTGGGAGAATTGTTAAACGAGATTGTTGTGAAAAGTTATACAGATAAACCGTCAAATGGTTATTTTTGACATCCCGGGGGAAGAAACTGTCTTTGTGTCGGCTGGTTTTGGTGTCCAGTGATCTGTTCTGCCTACCTGAGAGGAGGAGTTTATACAATTTCTGCCCTTGGTGAAAGGGGTCTACAATGATGTTACCTGCCTTTTTCCTGAATCTTAACTGGTGTAAGTCAGGTTGGCTCTGATGGTTATCCTTAGTGAACAAATCTAAAGAATCCAAAAGCCAATTGCATTTCCTGAGCAGACCAGTTTGCAAATTTACAGACCTAAAAGCCCGAGCAACAATTTGCTCTTGACTGTATATAATGCAGCATTTTTCCAAGAATGGAAACATCAGAGCACTGAGGAATATGAACGTTCAGTAACACCTGGAAAACATCACCAGGGACCAGAATGTATTAACCATTGGACATGACCACAGAATATGCTTAAGTGTTCCGGTTCCACCACAATCATGTCAAAGTATTACTTTGGTATATGGTGAAATAGTTGCTAAGTCATTTACATTTAAACATCCCCCTCTTGTACTATATGTTTAATGTTGATTAACAGGGGTTTGCATGCTAAATGAGAACAACATCATAACCTTAGAACCTACTAAGCCTCCCTGTATAAGCATTGTCATCATTAGACACCACTGACGAGGTCTCCTGATGGTCAAAGTCATGAAGCTGTTCATCATACCACTTAAACAATGTAAGCCATGTAGTGGCTGTGTTGTGTTAGACAGGGTGGTAAAATAGCATTTGAAAGCTAAAAAAGTAAGGAGTTAGAGAAAATCAATAATTTTCTTATCATAAAAAGAATTTATGTAGAATTAAAATGTTGAATTTATGTGATGATTATGAAGTTATTAAAAGTGTATTACTTCTGCCTGAGATGTTTGAGAAGATATGAACCAAAATGTTCTCTTTATTATAGACTTTCTATCTCTGTTCTCTATCATTTCAGCATTTCAGGAGAAAAGCTCGTATTACCATTTGTCTTGAAGCATTCTCTTATTTCCATTTTCTTACATTTCAGGGTGTCAGTGAGCAGCTGGATAAGGTGAAAGCCCAGCTACAGAAGGAGCTGAAGAATGTGTCCAGCTTACAGGCCAAGGTGTCTGAATTGGAGGTCTGTGTCTGTTAAATATATCCATTCATATTCAAGTTACAATGATATTGTTTCAATCAAGTCACAACTGAGAGTAAGAAGAACTCAAGCAAGGATCTAGATTGAGGAAACACTGAGCAAGCGACAAAAACTGCTTCAAGTGTAATAATAATAATAATGCATCAGATTTCATGTAGCGCTTTTTTAGAGACCCTCAAGGCGCTTTACATTGGATACATCATTCATTCACTCACACAGTCACACCCTGGTGGTGGTAAACTACCTTATTAGTCACAGCCGCAGACTGACTGGGGCAGACTGACGGAAACGTGGCAGCCAGTTTGCGCTTAGTCCTCTCCAACCACCACCACACAACACTCACAATCATACACCAGTGGAGGACACACACTGGGAGCAGGTTGGGTTAAGAGTCTTGCCCAAGGACACAACGGACAGACTCGGGATAGTGGGGAACGACCCGCCAACCTTCCGGTTATTGGACAACTGCCCTACCTCCTGAGATACTGCCGCCCATAACCACACACAAGTGCTGACTCACAGAGCTAAAGACTTTACACAGAGTGTTAAAAAGCATTTTTAAATAATTAATGTCATCACCAACAAAGCATCATCAAGCATCATCAATGCCACTGTCATCAACATCATCTCTAGCACTAACCAATAAGTGCAGAGTTTTTTATGAGGGGTGGGTTTAATACTTTCTCAAATGTAGACTGGGACTCTTGGGATCAGATGTAGCTGGGTAAGTCATTCCACCGCTGGGGAGTACAGACTGTTCAACATCTACATGTAGCCTGGAATATATAACGCCTTTATAACCAACAGATTAGCAGGAGTGATGAAGAAAAAAGAAGAAACGTCACACGATACAAAGCTCACATTTTTCACGCTTATTAACAGTCCATGATTGCATAGGCTTTTCCCTTTTTGTTTCTATTTCTATAACAAAATATCTTGATTGCATGAACAGCTGCCGTTGATTGCAGAAAGTAGAGAAATGTGTAAAAATCCCTGCAGTGAACGGTACCTATGCAATCAGTCACACAAAGAAAGCCACAGGAGTTCATTATTTTCCTTCATGGTTTGATTTTTCATAGATGTACTCTACATAAAGCGATCAGGTTTTTAGGGGCTGAAAAACGTCCTTTAGTGTGAGATGCATGATTCATTTTTTTCATAAGGACAGACTTTTTTTTTTGACATTTGCTTCTCTATTTTCTAATCAAGGCTGTGAATGAGCAGTACTTACATCTCAGCGGCGAGAAAGATGCTCACATCACAAAAACAGAGACAACCATTCGAGAGAGCGAGAGCGAGATTCAGCAGCTCAGAAATGCGGTAACCAGGTGTGTTTACGGTGCCCTACAGTGATGCCCTCGAGCTTTATATTTGATGCGAAAAAAAAAAAAAAGAAGAGTCTTATTTTTCTTCTGTCCTCTCTCCCTCCAGGGCTGAAGAAGCACATCAAGCCGTGCAAAAGGTCTGTGAGGAATTGAGGCAAAAACTCAACACAACTGAAGCTGCCAAACAAAACGAGTGCCTGAAGCTGACTGCAGAGATTGATGACCTCAACAGAACCAAGACCAACCTTGAGGAGCGGCTCATCGAGCTTATAAGGTACAACTTATCCAGTCTGTTGAACTGAAAACAATTTTTAATGAGGAAAATTTTACATTTAATATCCTGAGAAGGTCTGTTTTGTTTGGTTGCTGCCTATTTTTCTGATCTTGTTATGCTTCTATAGATAGGCGGGGGAACTCGGGCAGAGTAGCTTAAAAAAGGATTTTTTGAAACCTGATCTAATTTACTGCGAAAACAAATCTGATAGAGAGGCCAGAAACTCCTTTAGGATGAACCTACAAGGATCCGTTCTTGTTTGCACATCCCGTTTTGCTTTTGTATTATATGCCCCTTCCCTGTTTTTCTTTGGTGCATTAGTTTAGAAAGCAAAGTTACTTCTAGTTTAGGTGGCATATTAGAATATTTTGGTGTATTTTACTTTAAAAAAACATAAATTGTCACTAAACTGCCATGCATTTGTTTTGTTTTTTTGTACAATACTCCAGGGATAAAGATGCTCTGTGGCAGAAATCAGACGCTCTTGAATTCGAGCAGAAACTGCGAGCAGAGGAGCGCTGGTTGACAGACAAGGAGGCCACACACTGCCTCAGCTGCCAGGGTCAGTTTACCTGGTGGCTGCGCAGACATCACTGCAGGTGATTTTTTTAGACTACACAAAAAAAATCCCTTCAAATAATCCAGGACAAAAAATAGAAATAATTTGTGAAGATTGTCCAGATTAGCCCTGTTTAATTCTTTATATAATTTTTTAGGCTTTGTGGTCGCATCTTCTGCTACTACTGCAGCAACAACTTCGTAATGACCAAGCACAGTGGCAAGAAGGAGCGCTGCTGCAAGGACTGTTACACCCAGCACAGCGCAGTGGTGGAGAGGTTCACAGAGGCAGAGCTCAGCGCCTCAGACAGTCAGCCTCCTCCACCTGGAGCTGGGCCTGAGCCACCTCCTGAACCTGCACCATATATACCCACCCCCAGAGTCACAGGTGAGAAGCAAGATAGGACTAAAATGTCTGCAAACAACTTTTACTGTAGCAGGTGAACTGGAAAGCAGAAGTGAAAAGACCTGAATTTGTGATTTTGAGGAACTAGAACGGAAACTTTGGCCAGAGGAATTTGATTCAGAAGGTAAAGGAGAAGTAGGAGACATTTGTGTGGAGGGAAGATGATGTTTGCTTCTATTGTACAGACAGAAACATCATCCGTGTTTTATTTACTGTTTGTACATGCTGTATGATTTTGTACAGATGTAATCAAAAGACTATAAAAGGAAAATAGATGGTGTTTAACAATCTGTAATGCTCATCTTTGACATCCTAGTGTCAGACCCAAGTACCAAAGCTGAAGATGGGGCTTTTGACATCATCACAGAAGAGGAAGTGAACGGTGTTTATGACAGTGACTCCACCTCCCAAACCACAGGAGGCTCCACTGAAGGCGAACAAGACCGACGACCCCCGGGAGCTCTGGATATGTGAGTGAAATATACATGTAGACAAGGCGGGGGGGTTGTGGTCAGAATCAGGCTCAATTAGTCATCTCCATGAGTCAGTATTTACTCCCTATTCTGATCAGCCCTCTCAGTTGGAGGACAACCAATCACAACACAAGGCACCATGGAGCTTTTGGATTATACAAAGATTACTCACATACCACAGAGAGTGGAAAAATCCACGCCCCCATTATTAATTCCACAAAAACTGCTGTCATGGTGGCTTTGACTATGAGGCTGCCCCACATATAGACAATACAGACCTCAAAGTACAGGCCCAGGTCTGAATCCCTTATGTCATACGTACCCTGTTACCCACTCTATCCTCTGTCTTATCTTCTTAATTGATGCGTAAAAAGATGGAAAAAATTATCTCACTACTTTTTTTTTTTTTTGTAATTTATTGTTATTGACATTCAGAATCAGACATTTACAATATATACATTATGTAAGCATACTTCTTTTGCATCTGTTTTCTGCCCTAAATGCTAAAACAAAATTTTAGTTTATATCCAAAAAATGTGAGGAGAAACAAACATCCATAACAATAAAATCAAATAAAAAAATATGTATCAGTAGGGAGTGATCTTTCTCATACATCATGGTCACTGGTTTGTGTAAATAAAATCTGCCTATGAGGCATGACATATTTGACCCAGTTTTCCCAGTATGATGTGAATTTCTTCAACTTGTGATTAACAAATGCTGTTATCTTCTCCATTTTGGAAATGTCCATGGTAATGTCCATCCATATATTTAAGGTTGGGCTCTCCCGTAATAGCCATTTCCTGGTAATACTCTTTTTACAGACTATCAGCAAGCTCACAACTTTCTGCAGTATAGCACAGAATCATCAAGTTTTGTTAATAATTAATGATTTAATAGGGGATTTGGAGTCAAAGCCAAGTGTCTTTGTGTTTTGGGAGTCATAAACATATGTAGATGTAGAGATCTCCTCAGTGCCCAGTCTTTCCAACATAAGGATACAGACTCTTCAACAAGATGAAAGTCACACATCTGCCCACACAGAGGTTCATTTCCACTGTGCCTTTTGATTCCTTTCTCAATTTATTTTCACTGTACTCTTCCTGCATGTATATCACATATACAGTGAATATAGCAGTGGGAGTTATAAAAAGATTTTTTTGATCTTTTATCTGTGCGTGTTTTCACAGGAATGTCAAGAATTGAGAGACTGGAGAACAGCGAAGTTGTGCTTGAATAAAATTCACTGTCATGAGTTTATCAGAAATAAGATAAAACCTGCAAAAATGTCTGTATGAGTTTTGCAGACGAATTAGTTATGGTACCTGATCCAATCACTGTTACCCTTTCCATCCATAATTATAAATCCAGAGCACATCAGCTAACCATTTCATGGGAGATTTTTGGCTGGCTCCTCCAGGAAACTTGTTTTTTCATACTTTGAATAGTGCAGGATCGTCTTTTAGGGTTAATTGAAACACCTACTAAAGAGCTGTAAACATTAAAAACCTGTTTTGTATTTTGCAGGAGTGCAGGAGGTGTGACTCCTGATGATCCCGAGGAGCACATCCCCACTGTTCAGGACTCAGAAATCAACCTCCTCAGATCAGGAGAAATCACGTGAGTCTCCCCCATGGTTTACTTCATCAGTTTGTGATTTTATCCAGTGAATCAGTATTTATCCTTATCTCAAATTTCATTTTTGTTTGATGCAGTGTGGCTGTCCCTCTCAACATTGAGGATATTTCGCAGTTTGGCGATGGTTCCAGGGAACTCTTTATCAAATCCAGCTGTTACAGTGCGATCACCATAGTCATGGCTGACTGCGGGCCAACCATCAGCTGGATGTTTTCCTCTGAACCCAAAAGCATCTCCTTTAGTGTGGTTTACAGGGAATCTGCTGACACTCAGGTGGAACAGTCAAAGGTAAATACACATGTTTTTTGCCCATAAGGTTTGTGTCTAGACTGATGGAACTACTGCATTTACAACCTACACACTTATGCAGTGGAGATGCCTTGTAAATGTGGACTCGCACTGGCATCAATCAGTCTTTGTACATCTGCCACAGAAATGTGAAGTAAAGGTAAAAGGCAGCGACAATGCTTTTTAAATGACTTTATTAAAGAAAACATCACAAGGCTCTGGGAAATAGTTTTCTATTATTGAAAATTGCAACCACTTCAAAACTAATAAAACTCCAAAACTCAATAACTTATTTGTGGTTCACAAATAAGTTATTACGAGACACAATAGTCTGACCCTGCAGCCCCACAGGGAGCAGGTCTATTTGCTTGATCCTAAAAATTTTACTGACAGAAGAAAATCGTTGCAGGTGTCTGGTGTTTTTTATCAGGCTGAAGTAAACATCCTGGATTTGTCATGGGTTGTAAATGACCTTTCACTTTTCATCCAGGCTAATATTCCCCTATGTAATTTTAGGGTCTTTTATCATTATAACTCAATTTGCAAAAGAGTTTGTACACAGTTTAAAAATGTGATAAAACCAGAGTTTGATCATTTGTGTATCATTTAAAGTCAATATTTGGTTGAAAATAGTGCAAAAACAACATATCAAATGTTAAAATTGAAAAACTTATTTTTTTAATGAAAAATATTCACACATTTTAAATTTGACACCTGCAAAATGGAGCCATGCTGTTGTAATACCTGCAGGGAGTGGTTTGACACTGTCATGCTGAAAAATGTACGGTCTCCCCTAAAAGGCCACTGCCTGGATGTTCCAAAACCTGTATATTGTTCAGCTTTAATGTTAGCTATCTATCCCATGGCACTTGTGTCCTCCTGTATCATCTTGGATCATTTGCTGGCGTTTGAGACGTGGGCTGTTAACAGACTGGGCGGTTCCACTCCTCTTTTTGCGCTGTAGACAAAGTGTCCATGATTTCCAAAAAGGATATCAAAGTTTGATTTGGCAGATGACAGTTTTCCTCGCTTCATTCCATCTTAAACGGGCTGGGGCCCAGCTCAGTCCTCCAGCATTTCTGAATGATGTTTGTCCTCTTTGCACAGCACATTGCACATCTATGGCTGCAGTGAAAAACTGTGTACACAGATGGTGTTTTTTGGAAGTGATTTTGATTTCCACGACAGAGTTATGTTCTTTTTTATGCATGCCTGTGGGCTCAAAGATCACAGCCACTCAGGACTGTTTTATTAGCCTTGTCCCTTTTGTGCAGGAATTTGAGAGAATTTAAAATGAATTAATCAGGAGTTGTTCCTCCAGGTGATGTTTTTTGCATACATAACTTCTCAGTTTTTTGTTACCCCACTTTGGTCAATGCTGGCATCAAATTTAATATCAGCTCATAGTCCTTTTAAAACAATAACATTTGTCAGTGTAAAGATCTGATATGTTGTATAAAAACAAACCTGGAGTATCAAAAAGAGATCTGCTTATGGGAGGTGCCGTTTTACTTCAAACAAATGTGTCTGTTCCTCTCTCAGGTCCTGATTCCTCTCACCCGCTGCAATTCCCATAAAGAGACAATTCAAGGACAGCTGAAAGTGCGACACCCCGGCCTTTACACACTCATCTTTGACAACTCTTTTTCACGGTATTGAACTCCTGATATTTATTACTGTTTTATTCACTCAAATAGTACCCCATGAGAAAGAGAATATAATTACATGGGAATGTGTGGGAAAAAAGCCTAACAACCCTCAAGGGCTTGCGAGTAGCATCCTCCAGGCAGTAGAAAGGAGATAATTAGAGCAGTGAATATATAATGTATGCAAAATATTTATGTTTCTACCAGTATTTCAGATGTAAACAAGACAGATTGGCACAGTATATGAGATCGTGGCATCTCTAGATACCAGTCGATTGCAACAGTGTGATAAATCACAACCATAAAATGTGTTACACTCTCTATTAAAGCGCTCACAATTAAATAATCACTACGATGAACAGACTCAGATCAGAAAATCCCCATTAAAGGATCTTGACAAGACACTTCCTCTCTGTTGAGGAAACACAGAAGTGTTTTAACAATCTATCAACCATTTCTTTTTAACGTCTGGCATTTGTGTGTGTCTGAGTGTGTGTGTATATATATGTGTGTGTGTTTCAGCAGCCTTCTATTTCACCTCATCTTATTTCTGTTACTTATAGTCTTCTAACCAGAAAACCTCCTCCCAACAGGTTTATCTCGAAGAAAGTCTTTTACCACCTGACCATGGAGAAGCCTATCATCTATGATGGAAGTGACTTCCCATGAAGCAGGTCCACATCCACTTTCCACACAGACGTCAACATGAAACCACAGAGACACTATTGTAACGTCAGAGTGGAAAAACAGAGTGTCAATCTAATGACTGTTAATTACCAACTACAAAGAGCTATTGTTCCCAAGACTTGCTTTTATCCAAGTATCTTATGATTTAAAGTCAATTTCTTTGTTGTTTAAGTTTGTGGTATTAACTGTGTTCTCGCATTTTAGCTGTTACCAGAGTTAACAAAATGAAACAGTTATAACAAGCAAATCGGAAAGAGAAGTATTCACGCAAATTTTAGCATGTTTTATCTCGATATACACCAAGTAATATATACATATACTTTTTGTTGAGTTAGCTTTAAATTACTGAGTTACCAAGTTAGTAAATGTGTAGTACTCTTATTTTTTTTTCTGTTGTACTTGTTTGTTTGGTTTAGTCCTCTTTTTCCCTGACTGACATCTCCAAGGAAAAAAGGTGGTTGTCAGATAAAAGAATATTTATCTGTAAATAAATAGTCTATAAGGACTTAGGGAAGATTCAAGAAATGTCTGAAATTAAAGTAGGTTTTAAATATTTAATTTTTCAATCTTAAAAACCAAAAGAAACAGAAAATGTGCAGACAAATATTTTGCTGGTAACCTGTTTTGAATTGACTTGTCTAAACACGAGGTTTGCACATTGTATAAAGGAATGAACGAAGTAACAGGTTCCTGGAACGGAAACTACACTAAAATGACAAAATATGTGCACTCTGCGCAGATCTCAGGAGACAAATTTCAACGTTTTCACTCCAACGGTAGCAGATCCTCATTTAAGAAAAGAGCTGCAGTCTTATTTTGTATGTCAGGAGATCTACAAACCAGTTCTCCCTGACTTAATGTGACATGACTGTGATACTCAATTAAAGAGTACTGACATCAGCCAGCTAATGAGCTGACTGTCATTTTAAGTGCCTTTTAACTCTAAAAGCCAGGGACTAGTTCACTTTTATAACTGTATTTTTATTTGCATGAAACATGAATCTTGATACGAATTAAGTAAAAGCTTCAGTTGATACTATGCACATTATACTGCATACTACAACAGTTTTATCTATGCAGATGTGTTTTTTTCTCCTAGTTTGAATAGTCCTCTCAAAAATTAGTGTGTGCTGTTTATTGTTTTGGTTTTCTAGATGACAAGGCATTCAGACCAAAAGCCAGCATGGTCTTTTGGAAGGGCTTCTTTCTCTGCTGCTTGTGTGGAGATCTGTTTGGTATCTCACAGTCAGGTCTCTTTTTATATTCTGTTGGGTTTAAATCGGTGCAATTTTTATGCAAAATCCTATATTTTCTCTACAGAGCTGCACTTTTGTGTTAATGATTTTATCGATTGTTACAAACGATATCAAATCTGTGAAGTTTACACAATCTTTGAATGGAATTCACACAGGGATAGATTTTTCTACTTGCTATTTTTGAAGGATAATGTCAGAGGCATAAACTGAGCATGAATCATCACTACAAGCACGTAATGTATCTATGAATAGGCCTGTCAAACAAATACGAATAAAGCCCAGGGGGGAACTGATGATTCCATCTGTGTCTGGTCTAGTGTTTGACTGTGTAGACCCCCAGAGCAACAATATTGACACATTATAGGTGTGTGATACCTTGTTTATTCAGCAACTCCAGACTGATAAAGAAACATCAACACATATATGTATATTTACTGTCATAAAACACGTCCTATCTGCATTTATACTAGGAAAGGGGGGCTGATGGGAAACATGTTTTCTACCTTTCAAAGATAAACAGCTCGTGCCATCATTTTCATGTCCCCAGGGGTTGATTAATTGTTCATTAACAATTGTTCATTGTTAGTCATCAAATGTTCATCAGTTGCTCATGATGTGTAAGTTAGCTGTGTAGGTAGCCTGCTAGGATAATTCCTGGCGAATTATGTTGATTGTCGCTTATTTTGTGTATCTGAGAGCCTGCTGTGATAATGACATGTCAAGATGATTGAATGGTGACAGCCAAGTTAGTCAATACTTTGATTGACATTGCGCTCCTACTGCTGTGTTGAATTTAGATTTATACACAAATAGGGGAGACCGGGGCTTGTTGTCACACTTTTTACTCTCTTATATATTTCTTGGAATCAATACATCACATATAAACAAAATGTGTACCAGACAAAAGACCAAAGTCTCAGGTATATATTTTGTATTTATGTCATTTTCATATCTTGTGTCAGTGCAGAGTTATAAGCAATCAAATAGAGAGTGTAAACATGTGACATGTTGCCCCTCCATCGGGTAAGTTGTAAGATGTCACAGTGGATTTTGCAGCTCATAAAACAAGGACAAAATTATTGTTGTTCTCATTTTTTACTTGAAAGTGAATATCAGTCAGGCACAGAAATTTTTTTATCATTGAGCTAGAAAAAGTCATTGAACAAAGCCTTTGAACAAACGTTCACATAAAATATTACGCAACATGCTCTGGAGTTTGGAGAGGTGTCTGACTCAGCCAAGGTGTGGTAGTTGATATTAAAGTCCTTTATTGTACTCCAGATTGATTTATTAGCTTGGGTCACCTGCCTGACTGCCCTCAGCATCATGTGAGGCACTGCACTGCCATGTGCGAAATGGTTAATTTGGCGTCCATCTCAGCTCACAATGTGCTCTTCTCTTCTCTTCTCAGACAGGACAACGCCCCAGACCATGGAAAGGATAAGAAAGAATAAGGAATAAAACTGGTATTTCACTTTTTAGTTGCGCCCTCTGGTGGCAAAGATAATTGCAATGTGACAACTTACCCATGCGACAAGCCCCTACTAATCAATGATGACATCCGAATAGTGACACAAAATAGGTCTAATAACCAAAATTATTTCGATAGAAAATAAACGTATTTTTCCAACACCAAAACACCTCACAAGCAGTTCAGTAAACTTGACACATGGACGGTTTTTGAATGAAATTGACCAGCATTGAGTCTAAAAGCAAACATGTTTAACTAAAGTAATTTTCTCATCTTTCAGTTATAACCCTAATTCTTATTTAACACTCCACCAAAGCAGTTTAGTGTGCGTGTTTGGCGACACAGTCAGGCTAAGTAGAGCAAATGAACAAGTTTGGAAATATGAACTAACTGCAGAAGTAAGGAGGCAGAGTCGATCATCTGTGAAGTTTCTGAACTAAACCAGGATGATACCTTCAAAATAAAGTAAAAAACATTTTGCTGTGCAATTGTTCCAAACATATGTAGTTCTTTTTAATGTGTAATTTGTCTTTTGGGGGCAATTCATTCAAAAACCACGAAAAGCAGTGGGGAATGTTTTCATTTAGAACCATTCTGGTTTCAATCTATGAGAAATGAATTTTATTTTGAAAATACCGGAAATTGTGTATCTGTTATCATATGTGACTCGACAAGTTGTATTTAATTTTGAGGAGAGCTGAGAGGGGGCTGAGCAGCCCGTCTAGTTGGGGTCTGGTGGAGTCACGCTGAGGACGGAGCGTCAGGAACAGAGGAGTCGGCATGGCTTGGTGTTTCCACATTAGAGGCGTTTTCCTCACCCTGACTTTGGCTGCAGCGGTAAGTTATTTACGCCGCACGTGTCAAAAGGTCTATGAACTTATCTTCTCGCAAATTTAACAGAGAGAGGACAAAAAACAATACGAGAACTATTTGCTAGATATTGTTCAACACTTTGCAGAGAAACATTTCGGCAGTAATTCATTTGAAGTCTGTTGTGTTTGGCTATTGATATGAGCTCTAAATTAAAAATTATTATTGATATTTTTAAGAATAAGGATAATAAAAGACAACCGACTGTGTGTGCGTGACTGTGGGAGACGTCTAATGTGCAGCAGTTCGTGTCTTCAGAAAGGTCCAAAGTCATTTTCTTTGAATAATGACAAAATATTTTGCAAAGTGTTGCATGAGAAAGAAAAAAAGCATATTTACTGATAATGTGTAAACATTTTATAAGCTTTATTTTTTTTTTCTGAATTTTTGATGTACTATATTTGTAGGTTATAACTATTGTTTTGATTAGACATAGATATTTAGAGTTAAGACATCTGATCTCCATTGGCTTTTTTAAACTTGATTGACTTTTTTCTATATTTTTGCTTTTCTTTCTGAATGATCTATGAATCAAAAATAAGCTACTGCCTCAGTTAAAAGTTTATGGTCTGGTATGTCTTTAAAAGGACAGTGACTGAATACCTGCATGTGCTTTTTATAATTATGCACACAGGTAGGCTTTTACAATGTAATTTAAGAAATGGACGATTATAATCTGCATATATGATGAGGGAATGTGTCAATGTTTTCAGCCAAATCCATAAAAAATTGTTTTGATGTCCCCATTAGACCATCTCTCAAACACAAAAACTTGACATCAAAAAAAATGAAAATGACTGATTTATTTTAATCCACTCACCTCTTTATTTACTGTCTGTAGTGTGTGTTCAATTTGTCTTTGTCAATCAACTGTGAAGGAACAAGGGAGACAACAAACACCACACAAGAGGTGCGCGTTCACACCGACACTCACAACAGCTCCATAAAGTTATTACACGGCCACCTCGCTAATTTCCATAATGGAATAGAAATATGAGAGGCATGGAAACAGGTGGTGTGATGTTCAACGTGGCAAAGAGAGAATGGGAGACACTCATCGCTGCACTCCTCTTCATTCCCTTTTTTTTTTTTTACTGCTGAGGACTGCAGAGAATTAAAATGAACTCTGGGGTCCTTAAACACACATGCCCATTTTAAAAATTCACTGTCCTTAAAATGATCTAATGGTAAGTGGCTGGTCTCTCTTTAAATGGTCAGATATTGTTGAATTTATTAGAGAAGCACAGAGGAAAACAGATAAAACCCTAAAAAAGTGTTAACAAAACCAGCAATAATCAGGTCATCATTTTGTAGTATGGCTTAAAAAATTATATTTCAACATCGGCACTTACTAGTCTAATGAAATCCATCTGTTTTACACCCAAAGTAGTGAGCAAATTTATGATTGGAACAGTTTTAAAATATCAAATCCACTTTCACATCTTTGCTGTACATTTTAAACCCGTTGGCTACATCCAGCCAGCAGGGCATCCAACAGAGCCAAGAGAATTGGATCAACATTATCTGGTTCCATCTTCCTTCTTAAGCACACAGATATGATACTGTATCAATCGTATTTATTTTTAGTGAGAACAGGAATATATATTCAGCTCCTTTAAGATGCTTACCTTAAATAATTCATAAAACCTTTGAACTCCAGAGACTGATGGTACATGTGCTCTCTCTACCTGACTGAACATATTTTATATTTTTATACCTTGCATCACAAGCGTAAAAGTGCCCCTCATTTGCTGTTGAAAATAGAAGGAAACATCAGCAAAGTGAGCCCAGTCCAATGGCCCCTTTTTTTGGGTAGTTAGTGGATAATGGGCTTCACCTCTCAGGAAACGTTTTTACAGCAGACTGCATGCAAACTGGCAGTGTGTGGAGGGTTTTGGCTTTGCATTTAGTTTCATGGATCATAATTTGGAGACTTACATTATGCAGCGCCCCAGTTCCATTCTATCAATCTGTTTTTTGTCTCTTTACATCCAGGGTAATGTCCAGAGGGATTGCCAAAGGGATACATGGCTCCCTTTGAAATCTGATCAGCCACCCCTGGTACAACCCCCAAATCCCAAATTATGATCAATTATGTATCTTGTTTGATATCAGACTTCTGTAAAAATCAACTATTTGAGATGTAATGCATCAAGCTGCTAAAAGCTTCTTTTGCACTTTAACTTTTTACAATGTTACTGCAACACACATCTTCTTTTTGAGTTCTTAAAGAGCTACATTTTAAAGATATACCATTCTGTCATGTTGCTTAAGTAAAAACAGAAGCATGACATATTTTTAAAAGATTCAAGTTCAGAGTTACAGGCGATAGTTTATAACATCTGAAGATCGACAATGTAAATGAAGCTATACATTTATGTGTGTGCAGACACACTTTATGCTGCCCATACATTTCTGCCAAGAGTGCTCTCGTCATAAATTGTAAAACCATTTATTGCAAAATGGCTACATAGAAATACTTTAGGCTTAATACTTGTCTCACCAGGCTACCCAGGGTGCATGCTTTGGCTTTCTGGAGAGAAATGAAAACAAGCTTTTAGACCTGAAAGATGGAGGTGACCAAACTTTACCAACAGCGTCAGGGTGTGGGCAGAAACAAAGATCGGTCAAAGGGTAGATGTCTTTAAATGTCCATGTAGATTCTCATTCTTTCAGGTCATGGTTATCTCGAAGACTCCAAAATCAGGCAACTGGACTGTGTAGAGTTTGAGAAGATGTTTCGATGCTTATCCAAGAAGCTTCTTCAGTTCTAAAATAGCTAGTGAGGGGAGCAGGTATTTATCTTACTGGAGAAAACAATGGCTGGAAGGAGTTGGAATGAATGGGTCGTAGAAACCCATCTCCGGGTGTTATGGGTAGCTTTGTTGTCAGGATGGGTGGTGATTGGTTGTAAGCAATTTGAGACAAATAGCAACAGGGGATGGTTGCAACAGGGACCCATGACCTTATGTCCTAAATGAACTAACGTTGACTCACATTAGCTTCATAAGTTGGTAGCTTGGTCGGGTCACCCCCATCAATAAGTCCAGACAGGTCCCTGCTTCCATTCCCTCTCACGGTTGAGTTTCATGAGCATGTCATGCGCCCCTGCTGAAAATGATAATAACAACAGTACCTGGTCTTGTGTTCTTTATCTCCTGCCTCTCTGGGCTATACTGACAGCCTTTCATGGCACACCATTCCCATGTAGGATAAAACATCCATGGTTATCTGATTTACAGTGTGCCATTAATTTGATGCATTTATTCCGTAGCAGCTTATGCTAACAATGGGTGCAGATATCTTTCTTCTTCGGCTATAAATGCTCCAACAATGGAAGACTTGAACCCATTATAACAACACAACCACAGCGTAGCGATGAAAAATACACTGAGTGTCACATATTAGGGCGAAACTTAATACAGCCTTGGATGCCTGAAATCAATTTGACTTTAAGAAGGATAAGCAGTCCATTTTTCATGAGAGGTTTTCTTTCCTTTGAACAGGAAAAGCAGTAATTGCAGCATCAATTTCACAAAAACAGCTCCTATTAAATTATTATCAATGCATTAGGAAAAAAGAAAAGACAAATTTGCTCGGGTTGCTCATTAACACCTCTTTTTTCATGGAAAAGAGGAAAATTGCTGCTGTGAGCTTGCAAAATTCTTTCTCATACCTTTAAGAAATTAGGAAAAACTCTTTTTTTGTGTAGTAACTTTAAGGAAGTTTGTGTAGTAACTTTAAGGAAGTTAGTTTTCTGAATTTCTATTCTGAGTTTTTAAAGTGTTTTGTTACTCTGAACAAACACAAATGGCATTTTTCCTTTCAAGAATCACTTTATTTGTGCCTGTGTTTGTGTGCGTGTGCCAGGGGAGAAAGTTCAAAGTTAAATTCTGAGAAAGGTCTGGGGTAAGTGATTGTGTTTGAAAAATAGAAATGAAGAGTTTGGGTGTAAACCAATTTCACCCTAAAAGTTTTTCAAACACATTCTGATAACTGTTTGGCCATGCAATAGTGGGGTGTCTGAGTCTTCAAAATGCTCAAATTGTTTTGATGAAACCTGTAAGGCAAATAAATAGAAATATATATGGTCTGCAAAACCATGGGATAAAGCGGATGACACCGTTTCTTGTCCATGTGTGTCATGGGATGATTTAGCATTTTGTGTTTCTGCTCTTCATCATTTAAGGAAAACTGTTAATTCGTTTCTCTTTTACTTTTACGTCTGGAGTCAAACATTTCTGTGTGATTTACATTTTTCCCTGTATCCAGAGCAGTTCTGACTTTGCCTTTAACGGGTGCTGTGTTGAATCCAAATCAACCCTGGATAAGTAAGCAGGTGAATTCCAGTGATTTTCTAAACAAAATCACAAGGGCTCTTTCAGTTCAGATCTGTGCAGAACATTATGATAATAAAAGCCGCATCTATGCAAGGAAAACTCAGCCATGTAATTTTATGTAATGACTCCAGGTGGGCATGAAAATGTTTATCACACAGAACCGGCACATACCCTATTGAATTGCTCTTAGAGAGCTGGTGAGAGGGGATACTGGAGTCCTCCAGAGGGAGAGTTTGTGGTCTCAGAGGAGTAAAGCTTCTAAAGCATCATTTCATTCAGAGATTGGTTACACTTGTTTTCCCCTCCGGCTTTAAATCTGATAGATGTGAGCTGTGTGAAGGACAAAGGTTTGTTATCAATAACAGAGAGAGCTTTACTAAGAGTGTGCTTGTGACTTTTTCTGTTGCTCTCTCTGTTTTATTGAGTCTGTATGCTAGACAGACAAAGGAGACACCAATAAAAAGCGTCAGAGAAACTCTGCAGTGGATAAAAGGGTAAACACTCTCCGAACACGAAGTGAAATTGGATAAAGAGGGGTATCGTTATTAAATGTTCTCAAATAAGAACCTCTTTGTTTTAAATTCAACTACTTTCATGTTGCTTTTGTTTGCATTTATCCATCAGGCTTGTGTTTGCAAATCAAATTACACATTTCACTTTCCAGCCGCTGAATTTGGGAATAATGTCGCTGAGGTCCATGAAGAGATTTGAGCTCCAACTGATCCAAAGACAAAATATTTATTCTTTTTATAACAGAGGCTGCACCACAATGGATTAAACAGCATCATTACGGCCCTCTAATTAACCTAGAGCTACAGTAATTAACTTGTTGAATATTTCACAACATGCAAGCTGTTTTACTTGACTGAATATAAAAGATCATTAATGAAGGAGCCATTAACAAGATTTTTATGATACTAATATGGGAGCAGATACAATGCACCTTCTGCAGCACTACCATAGACGTATTTTATAAGATATTACACACACAGAATCCTCCTTTTGGCAAATGTGATAATGTTTATGAGAAACATAAATCACACTTATAATTTTAGTTTGGCCCATTGCTGCGTTTCATTGATGCTCTCTCCTCCATGTCCTCAGCTGTTCAAATCAAAGAAAATGGCAGTGATAATAATCTGTGAAAAATGTTGCCAATGAGCTGGGCTTTGACTACTCTGCTATAATTACATATGACATATCATTCTGTTAACTTGTAAACACTGTTTCACAAAGACACATTTAGGTGATAGGTAATGTATTATTGAGTAGGTAGTTATGCTGAGGAATCCTGACAGGATGGGAATATACCTGACATGTCTGACCCACTATTACCCTGCTCATTACCTACCCACTAATAGCAGCACCTGTATAACCTATGTTGTGGTTCATAGAGGCTTTGTGCCTCTTCTCCTTGGTGTGGTTCACTCAACTGAAAGTGATACACAGATGGCACCAGGCACCCCAAGGATTCCAAAGGTGGGAATTATTAACACAGACCTTTGCTGGAGATGTGGCTGGTCTGGTGCCTCCACCTTTCATGTATTCTGGTCATGCTCTGCACTTGGAGGGACAATATCCAGCAGGTTATCTAAGAAATACTGAGAAAGAAGTTTCAAGTCTTAGTTAAACTTTCCATTCTGAGTTCAGCTCATTGTCTTGTCCTCTTTTGAAAAAAAAAAGGATGGAATTATTCTGGTTTTAACAACAGCTAAACTGATACTTCATCTCCTTACAAAGAGTGTGTCACTATCATGACTCAACTAGCTGTTTATATGAGGGTGACTTAGTCAGTGCTGGATAAACTGGATCAAAACATGTTTACATAGTTTGGATTTCTGTGCCTGCACCCTGGAGATCAATTCAGTGCCTGGACTTATTTTATTAACAGATAAATGTGTCTTACTATGGAGGGAACAACTAACTTGTATTTTTGCCACATTTTCAACAGGAAGAGGTAAAGCCATTAACTTTATAAATGAGCTGGACTCCTTGATATGCATGATCTGGTTATTCCTCTTGCTAGTTAGAATTAACAATCAATGTTAAAAGGTTTAGGCCAATTAGAATCAAGTATTTGACACTGTGTGGTCAGAGGGAAAGCCTGGCAATGATCAAAATTAGTGACTTTTCAACTATGGTGCAACTTTAGACCATTAACCTTCTCAAAGGCAAAAATATCAGGAAAAGCTTATCAGGTTTTCTTTATATGTCTGGACTTAGGGTCATATTTTATCCTTGAGATCTTAATTTTAATTCATATGTGTTTTAGTTTTGACGTTTTGGGTGGGAGCTGGCAGTATGATGATAATGGTATTGTATGAATGATGTGATTCTGACCAGAAAGTCAGACAATGGGCCATAAAACAGCAGTGAAGGTCATGTTGACATGGCTTTTTTTCTGAATAACAAAAAGTGGACATTGCTTTGTCTGCCAAGTACAAGCACTCTCTTTAATACCTTCCTTTCATGTCCTGTCCAAGAAACTGGAAATAAATTAAATTCAAATGAAAAAATCTAGACATTCTGTTGTGATTTTCCATCCACAATATCTAGCACAGGGAACCAGAGGGGTCTGGGTATAATGCAAAAGGAGCAGAGCCAAGAGGATTAACAATGGGTAATTATGGAGTTAGAAAATAAGTGAGTTTGAGCAAAATGATAAAGTTTTAGTAGCAAAGTATTTCCGTTTAAATGACATAAAATGAGTCAGCGCCCTTCAAAAGGCACCATACACTCTTTAAACACATGAATTACCTTTTTCCTATAATTGTTCTGCATTCTTTTCTTGAATGCCTCCATATAAGAAAACAACCCCTTCTTCTTTTCTTACTCACTGTCTTCTTTCTGTCGTCTAGGCTTTGTCGAGCTTACACCCCGAGTGTGAGTTTATATTTCAGCTCCAGAGAGAGGAGCAGAACTGCCTCCAGTACATTAAAGAGCAGGGAAACAGAAGCATAGAAGGTGTGTTTTTGTCCAATTATCCCTCAGTTGCAGCTTATTAAAACTAAAGCATGGCGGCACTTTTGTAGTCGTGAAACATTCTGTAATTTTATGCACTAAGAACAGAAGCCAAAGCTGAAGAAGTGTTTGAAGGAGAGCCTTCGTTACTTTGGCTTTTTCAAGACTGTGCCTCATGCAGAATGCATAACACTGTGATTTATCATGTCATGCACAGAGGAAACCACTGCAGAAAGTAAAGATTTACCGCCCTATTAATTTTATTATTTGGATCTGAGCACAATTTAAGACATGGCTGATATTATGGCTTTGGAGAATGTTAAGTACTTTGTGAATGATTCACCCCCTCACCTCCACTTTGAGTACTGATATATATTTCAACTTTGCACTTCTCAGTCAGTGTTGTATGCAATCATGTAAAAATGTAGGAGCCACTTTTCTGACAGACACACTCGTATATCTAATACCGTCTTCCTCTTAATCATCCAAAAGGCTGCCGGCCATTCTGGGATGCGGTCTTGTGCTGGCCTCATGCAGTTGTTGGGGAAACAGTCCACAGAGCTTGTCCTGCTGTCTTCTCCCTCTTCAAAAACAGCACAGGTGAGTGAAGGCTTATGTGGTGAAAGAGTGACTGAGTAGTGTGTTAAGAGAATTGTACAAGAGAATTCTATTACAGGTATTTTCAAAAAGGTCTTTTTAGACTTCTGAAGCCTAAATCTAAACTAATAAGGCGGTATAGACTCGTCATATTTTGTCTGATAGTAAAGCCATGTCTATTCATAATCAAGTATGTGTGCTATTACAAGGAATTTGACTCTGTAATCACATACATTGCAAAGATTTTTACTCTCATAGCTGTCTAGCACTTATTATGAAATGAATTTTAAAAAAATCTAAAAGGTATTGTGTTAACATGCTATGCTCATTAAAGTTTACACAATGTACAGAGGTAAGGTTTTTTAAGTAATGCAGGTTTGGATAAGGGCTGAAATTGACATTTAAAGGATTACAAAACCTATCCAATGGTTGAGATATTTTGCTAAATAACCACACGTTAACCACATGTTGGCACTAGAGAGTCAGGGGAACTTTGAGGTTGGTGGGGCAAGTTTTGTCATTAGCATGACTGTCTCCAAAATTCAAGGTCTGACCCTCTGGTGGTCCATAGAGAAATTATACTTCCTATAATTCATCCTCCATCTGTGCCATCCTGAGTGCTACTCAGCACGTGTGGCCATAAAGACCATAAATACTTTATTTCTCATTTTCTTGATAAATTAGAGATTCTGATACAAAGATTTTGAATCAGTGTCTAATTTCACTTTTTATTCTCCTTATCTTCTGCCCCAGGTTCAGTAAGTCGTAACTGCACCCCCGATGGTTGGTCCAGACCTTTTCTGCCTCACCACATTGCCTGCAGTGTGGATGCTGACATTCCTGAGGTAATGGTCCTACCCAGTAACACTTAGTTTGACCAAAACCAGCCTGGCTTCAAGTCAGTCCACTAAGCTTGGTATCACAGGATCTGCCTACTCCTATCCTATGTCCTATATCTGAAGGACACCTAATTGATTATCTTGGAAGTTCACAGTGGTGCCTGAATGAATAATGCTTGGCCCCCTTTCTCATCTCAACATACACGAATTCACTTGTTGTAATCATCCTCACTCATAGTTTCAATGCTCTGCACACAACCCCCAGCTCTTTCCATCATTCCTGTCACATGACTACGATCTTGAACATCTGTTAATGAGTTAAAGGACCTTCAGACTACCCTACGTGAGACTGAATTCCTTGTCACTCCAGCCTGCTCCTCTTTGCGATAACAGATCAATATTCATCTTGGATCCATCAAAATCACTCGGCATGCCTTGAATCTAAATGTTATGATTGATAACTAGCGTGCTCTTGATTGCTTGATCATGCTGATTCTCCCTGCACATTTTCAGAAAGATCAAACATTATATTATCAAACCTACATTATGTTGTTGATGGTGGACAATGATGGTGATTATGATGGTGAGATATTACTCACCCTTTGCAGTCTTTTGACGCCTGTGTTTAACCAGACTTGACGCTGTTTCTTGGCACTTAATCACAATATTGTCCTGTCCTGTGTCCTGACTTGTGCTGCACGTACTCCCAGATGCCTGTCATTTTGGACAAAGGCATTTGCAAAATGAAATTCTGACACTGTTTCATTGCAGGGTGTACTAAGGGTAAAGCTTAATAAAAATCTCAGACTTGAAAATGAGAAGCTAGATGAGAGGTTGGATAGGTCAAGTGCTAGTCCAGATTTCAGTGTGTCGGCTAAAACTGCACCTAGTTTTGTTCTGTTTTAGTCGTTGACTTTTGAGTCTTCTACCTTTAAAGAGATGAAAATGATATCTTTTCATACAGAAACACACCTCTTGTTTATATACTCTCTGATAGGATGTCAGTCATCAGGTAAAAGCAGACATTTTCGTGCTTTCTGAAGTGAGAATAAACCTTTAATGCGCAGAACATCATTTTGGAGGATAATTATGAAGGAACAACTTGTAGAGCTAAAAAGAGCTATTTGTCCCCATTTTTTAGAAACACTTTTGAGGCTGCTAAAAGTAAGAGTGGTTATTTTTAAGTTAAAGTCCTTGTGATGGTGTCCTTACTTTTTTTACTCCCTTTGTGTAAGTCATGCTGCATTTATCTCTTTAACACAGTTGAGCTCAAAGCTTTTGGACACTTGTACTGATTTATTTTTTACCAAACAAAGTCTGTGTTTTTGTAGAAGACCTTGGTCACTCTCTTCTCTCTCTTGATTTCAGACTGAGCAGTCATACTTTGCCACAGTAAAGCTGATATACACCATCGGTTACAGCATCTCTCTAACGGTGCTGACTGTAGCTGTGTTGGTCCTTTTGCTCTTCAGGTATTTGATAGATTATATTCTAAAAATCCTTAATAATATACCTATCTATCCATCTACCTGTCTGTCTAGAGTATTTTTTTATGCCTTTGTTTCCAACAGGAGGTTGCGTTGTGCCAGGAACTTCATTCATATCCAGCTCTTCACCACTTTTATCCTGAAGGCTGTGGCAGTATTCATAAAGGACGCGACTCTCTTCTCAAGTGATGACACCAACCACTGCACCCTCTCCACAGTAAGATAATGATATTGAGCTCAAGAGGTTCTGGGTTATATTCAGAAACTCCTCAGGATAGTTTTCCCCTGCTCTCATATTAATACGTCCGTCTAGTCACATATTGCCTGTCAATCTCTTCTCTCATACTATCTTCTTAAAATTCTCTCTGTGTCCTACTTTGCTTCATTGTCTCTCTGTTTAGTTTGCCTGTAAGGCCTCTGTGGTCTTCTGTCATTACTGTGTAATGGCTAATTTTTTCTGGCTCCTGGTGGAGGCGCTCTACCTCAATTCTCTGCTGCTTTCGTCCTTCTATCACAGCCGTCGCTGTCTCTGGGGCTTCAGCCTGCTGGGATGGGGTGAGAAATATTGGCATGCCACATCCCTCACAGTTTTTGTGCTGAGATACACAGTTTGGTTCCAGTATAAGATATACCACATTAACAACAGTATGTGGCAGTTTTTAGGTATAGTAGGCTTAATTACCTCTTTCTAAAGATTAAGAACTCTTTTATTTTAGAAATTACACTATAAAGATATAGGGTTGGAAAGGACTGAGTCCTTGCTGTTTTATGCAGCTCTCTAACTTACTCAAGGCTAAACTACAGAAAAAGAAGCGGTCAGATAAAATAATTTAACTTAGAATATTTTGATTCCTCAGAGGCTGATATTCTTTTAGGTGAGCCAATTTACTCACAATGTGTGAGTTGTGGTTTTCAGTTCATTAATCTTGCATGCAGGAGAGTGAAATGTTTAATCCGGAAACTTTTAGCCTTGAAGGAAAAAAACCTGCAGTGGTTGTATCTTTTTGATGCTAGTTTAGGTTTTTCTACCTTCCCACAGGTGTACCCGCAGTCTTCATCACCCTGTGGATCGGATCCAGGATTTACTTTGAGGACACAGAGTCTGTATAAATGTCTTTCTCTATCGCCACGATTCTGTTAATTTATCTTATTAATTTATAGTGCACTACCTTAGGTTTGCCATCAGAAAGTCCATTTGTGAATGGATTTTCTGATGACAAAGTAAAGTGCTGAAAAAGTCTAAGTGGATCTTACACTTAAGAAGAGTTGAGTGCTTGTGTCGGGGTCACTCAAAATCTTCTAAATTATGTGGCAGACTTGACCTCATCTGCCGAGAACTATACTCAACTCAACTGAACTCAACTGAACTCAACTTTATTTGTTAAGCACTTTAAAACAACCACAGCTGAACAAAGTGCTGTACATAAATAGACAAAACAATTGGACATAAAAAAACAATCAAAAATAATGAAAACAATGGATAAAATAAAAGCAGAAGTAAAAAGTAAAATATAGTTTCAATGTTTTTAAAAACTAATTTAAAAACATAGAAACAAATAACTAAAAACAAACCATAAAACGCTAAAACAGGAGCCGAGTCTCATGCAGGGTTAAAAGCCTGTAAGCTTAGCTAGCCCGTGGTTCTCCTGCAGTTTTTCCTTAGAGGGGCAGAACTGACAAGTATCTATTGTGGCTGATAGACTACTACTAGTAGTAGTGACATGTAACTCAAACAGCTACAATTAAAAAAAAAAAAGAAAGAAAAAAATCCCTTTCTAGGGCGGCAGTGGTCTGACCCACATTGGTGAATATAAGGTATTTCCATTCAGTTAGATGATGGCAGGTTTTTGTCGAAGGACTGCACACTTAAGAGTTTTTTTTTGTTGACAGTTTTTTGTTTGTTTTTATTCAGACTCACCAAAACATATTCATAATTTCTCCCTGTGCAGATGTTGGGACATTAACGAGGACTCACCCTATTGGTGGATCATCAAGGGACCAATTGTCGTGTCAATTGCGGTAGACGCTTCGTTTGTATTGCACCAAAAAATGATGGGCTGTTATGTGTGCACCCAGAAGGTTGCAGATAATTGTGCACAGTCTTTATTTAGTTTCTTTCAGGGATCAATTCTGATGTATGGTTAGATAACAATTTTGCACACAGTAGAAAATAATGACAATAACTGTTCTGCTTAGTCTGTACTGCAGCATGACCTTTCATAATCATATTGTTGATAGAGACATTTAATTACTGTGCCTGTTGGGATTTTCATAATCAGAATAAGACGATCTTTATTTAACCCTGAAGGGAAATTCAATCATAATAATAATACTCGTTGACGTTGTTTTGGCTTTCCTGTTTTTCCCACCACCAGGTGAATTTCATGCTCTTCATGAACATCATAAGAATCTTGATACAGAAGCTTAATCCCCGGCTGATCCAGTTCAATAATTCCTCTCAGTACAGGTAATCCTTTCGCTGCAGACACAGAATGATTGACTGGGCTCAGTCATTCGGCATCTTCTACTTGAATCATCTCTACATTCGATTAGGGAAAGACCTGGAGGAGAAATTTCTGAGCATTCTTGCAGTGGCAGATTTGCTTTTATCAGACCTGGCTTTCATCTTTTCCTCGTTTTCTGAAGCTTTGTCTTTGTGCTTTTACAGTTTATCAGCAGCTATTTAGCTTTTACAGTCTTATGGACACATTTTCAAAAAACGTCTTCAAACTCTTTGGTCCTTATTTTCTCTGATAAGTAGACGCTTTGATGTAAGAGAAGATGCAAGCTGTGTGAGAAGTGTTGATACAACAAAGTGGGCAGCAACTTAATTCATTCAATGTCTCCTGAACCTCAAACTAACCAGTCTGGACACGTCTGCCCTCCCTCTTCAGGAGAGGCCTATCAGACTTCTAATTGAAATGAGCTTACTAATTGGCTCAAGGCGTTCACAGACACATCCAGATCTTAAAAAAAGACATTCCAAAGGTAACCTAAGTGATGCTTGACTCTAATTGCACCAGCTGGATGGATATTTACAAATAACATGTAAGAAAAGAAAGAAAATTATCCCTGCACTTCCTTTTAATCATTGTCTTTGAGTCATACAGCTGCTGCCATGTTCCTGATAATAATTAAGCTGTGTACAGGCTGACACATCATACAAGCATCCTCTCTATTCTCATCAGAGCGTCTTCATGCATGATGCCACTCTGAAGCTTTTTTTCCCCTCTGTGCAACAGGCGCCTGACTAAGTCTACCCTCCTCCTCATCCCTTTGTTTGGTACTCACTACATGTTCTTCAATTTTCTGCCTGATTATTTCAACATTAACCTGCGTCTCTGCATCGAGCTCTGCATGGGATCCTTCCAGGTACTCACACATATAACACTTCATAATCTGACACTAATATAACGCATGTGCAGATGTAACCTACTACAAATGCACTCACTCCAACCCTGTAGTTTGTTATAACCCCTTGTTTGAACTGCTCTGTTATGGCAGAGGATCCTGTCAGTCAGATTTATTCTTTATTCTTACAACAATTTGTCATTTTCATGTTTTGAATATAAATCAACATAAATTCACTCTGCTTCTGGCACTTAAATTAAAGATCTTCAATAAGCGCATACAGGAAATGAGGTTTAACCTTGAAATTCTGTTTTCCCTAGATAATTTCTCCAAACAAATTTGAGAGTCTACTTCCATCTTACAAGCTTTAGTCGGCTCTACTTTTAGACACAGCAAGTCTTGAAGTTAAAGACTAATAGTAGGATACTAACATGCAGCCAGTGATTTCCAAATATTATGATGTTTGGCAGCACTAATGGTTAATTAAACCCACTCTCTTACTTTGATATGTTGTCATGTCAGCAGTTACGAATAAGATATTACAGCTAATGAGAGTCATTCTTTGCAGTTCATAAAATCGTTCTTTTGTGAAGACTTTTTAATCATTGGAAAAGGGCTTAGCAGTAATGTGTTGCTGGAGGCATTTCTTGTCACATTTGGCACCAGCTGCGACACTTGCCAGTTTCCCTACACTGACTTTGCATAAATCCCTCTCTCTGTGACGCATGTGAGTACTTGGAAAACTGCGTACAGTGTGGGGAAAGAAAAAAAATAATGCCAAACAAATGTCCAGATACATGTTTCTGAAAGAGTTTCTGTTTAAACGAGATGCAAGAGGAATTTTACTCTAGAAATGGTAGTAGCTGTTACAGACCGTCTCTTTGATAGCAGTTTGCAGCAGTGTAGTATTCAAATATTAAATCAAAGCATTGATATTTCTATTTCCCATCTGCCTGAGCAAAAACATTGAGGACAATCCAAGTTTCAGTCCTCATTCTTAATCCAATCAGCTCTTTGTTTGTCTCTGACATTGAAGCCACCCTCACATAAGCAGCTGTTAAAAGATGCAAACTCCTCTAAAATGTTAATGATGACAACTCTCTCTCTCTCCCAGGGACTTCTTGTTGCTGTTCTGTATTGCTTTCTCAATCAAGAGGTCAGTATTTGTCATACCGCTTTAAAGCAATCGCTCTAACATATTCGACAAATCACATGGATAAATAACTGCTCTCTGTTGCGTAATAAATGTGTCTACCCAAACCATTTCCCAGTAATTAAGTGGTTTAGAGTTTTCATGGCTTTAAATGCTAAATAATTTCCCCGTAGTCAGCACCCTCATCACATAGACTGAAGATATATCATCTCTCCTCATATCTACATCTATATTTAATATAAACCATTATATTTTAGAGGGATGTTGATGAAAAATGGATGAGAAGACTCCAACCTCTAGTATGCCTTCTGAATAGTATACTAGCTACAGTTAGCATCTGCTTGGCTACGCTACTTTATTTTCCCATGTACTTTTATCAAACTGATTGTAGGCCATAGCGCTAAGGGTCTTGCCTAAGGACCCACACTGGTGGATGTAGTTTGCTCTTTTCAGATGTGTCTCATGTTGGATTCGAACCATATATCATATTGTATATAAATTCAAGGTCAAAGTTCACAGGGTCACCAGATCACTTTAATTGCTATTTGGCCTAGAAACCACGTAGAGTCAATCGAACCCAACGTTCTGACCCAATTATTGGGTTACTCTCAGAAAAATAACCCATAATTATTAACCCATTCAAAAAACCCTCAAACTGGGTTACAATAGAATCCATATGACCCAAGAAATGGGTATGGATCTGAAAAATAACCCAGAAATTTAACTCAACATGTATAACCCAGGAATTGGGTTGAAGAAATAACCCAAGTTTTTAGAGTGCACTTTACAAAAACAACTTAGACAACTGTAAACATGTGTCACAGACAAACATCTTGTGAAACAGCCAAAACATGAATTGTATGTGGTTTGCAGGTGCAGAAAGAAGTGCACATGCATTGGCTGAGGTGGCAGGAGCGGAGCTATGGCGTGGTGTCACCCGCTGCGAAGGGCAGTCAGATGGACACGCCCTTCTAAAGGTCCCCCTACAAGCACTCCTGTCCTGAAGGATCTCTGCTCACTGAATGTACACAGAGGATTACTTCTGACCCCCTCTTCCCCTTGACTGACTGTGCAGTAGGTCGTGGTTGTCAGCCATACCCCATAAAGCCTGAGTCTGTTTGCTTTCATTCTTGACAGTCTTAATGATGCTCTTCTTTTAATGGCTGCACTCCTCCTGCCTGAAGAGACCGAGGTGGACTTCACAATAAAAAAGAGAAAATGTCCACACACACATTTCAAGACAGGCTTTACCAGTTGGTTCAGTCTTTGATAGGAACTTCAGAAAGGTAAGCTTAAGATATACTTGATAGTATGAACACTTTCCTACACTAACAGCTTCACCTGACCAATAAGAATCAGTTAGCAAGTTTCCCTAAACTTTGATGTCACGTTGTTAAAAACACTGTATGCTATAAAGTTTAAAGCCAATACAACATGCTGTACTCTGTCTTGCTTTGTCCAGTGGTCTGGGCCAATAGTAAAGAAAAACTCCATCTGTGAGCGTATTACTAGAAATATATCTAGTGATGGTAGCATGGTAATTATTCTGAATTATAATGTGTAAAGTCCTCTACTCTATCTGCTCATCTGTTGATCCTCAGGTCTCTTATTTTGTCCTTTGTAATCTCTTCATGCTGTAACATGACAGGACCATGTCATTGGTGTAAATATCATACAAATGTTGAATTGTTACTCAGTTCTGCACAAACCACAACCCTTTTGTTTCATCCTAGCTTTAACTGAATGTGTTTACTTTTTTACAGATAAGAAATTGTTTTTTGGTCACTTTGGTCACTGTTCCATTTGAAATGTTGCTGCTTTCCTTGTGCCTTTCTTGTGATATTGTAATGGTTTTAGAAATAGGGTTTATGCTTGTTAAGCATAAACGCTTTCACTCAGCTTCAGTGTGGTTCTCTGCAGACTCTTTCACAAAATGAAAATGTTAAATCAGGACCAGAGGCAAAGCCATTACAGGAAATGTGGCAATGTGTTACCAAGAACCAACGCACACGTATCACATATAATAGGTTCATTCAGTTCTATGAATCTGACATTTCCTTAAATATCTCACATTTTGGGGGGACGTGTCGGCTATCTTGTTACAAAAGAAAAAAAAACTGACTCATTCTTGAGAGCAATAGACTGAAATTTAACAGTTTTCTTGTATTCTTTGAATTGCAGAAATAAAACATGTCTATGTTTGAATCCAATGCAATTGAACAACACTATTGTCATACACTTTACACATTTTTTTAGTAAGCTTGAACCATCCTTCAGCTAATATGTGCCTCTGATTTACTTTATGAGAAGAAACCATCAGAAGAAAAATAATGGAAGAAACTATGAAAATTATTACATCCCATTACTGTAGTCTTTACTGGCACAGTGTGTTTTACAATTTCAATGATTAGTCACATCTAAAGGATAGGAGACATTTAAAAAACAATAAACAGCATCAAAAATGTCATCAATTACAAATGTGTTAGTCTTTTTACTTGGGATGAATTTGCTGTAACTGTGGTAACACAGAACCTGACATGTATTTCAGTACAATTAAAATCCCTGATATACAAAGTACCCGCATTTGTTCACTACAAGTGAACACAATATATCAAATATCAAGAATATCAAAATTCCCATGAGCTGACGTCAAAAACAGGGTATTTATTTGTCAATCTATCCACCTGCAGGGTAGATAGTAACACATGTTTGGGTGACAAATAGCCGTACGATGAGACCACACAGAGACCACACTGTGATACGCTTCTCAAGAGGTTTATGAAAGTGGAAGAACAATTCAGAATGACTGCTCTCTCTAGTCTACATTAACAAACTTTCTTGACAATAATTCTGCATTATGATTGCGATATGGACACATTTAATAACTTCATAACAAAAGTCAGAAATCTTTAGTAATGATATTCAATTCTACAAAAGCTGGGCTTGTTTAGTTGCTGCATCTTTGACCAGCAATTCCTGATTAGAGTCATTTGACCAAGAGCAGGTTTGCATTTGTATGTTATGGTGGCATAATACCACTTATAATACCACTAAAGTATCCTAAGATGCTTCCCTCCAAACAATAGCAGGTGCACCTCCATCAGTCTTCCTTTTGCGCTATAAGGAATCTGAAAACTATTTAAGATGACAAAATAATGCGGGCTCTGTAAAGGGACATTCTGTCACAATTTTATTAGATGTGATATAACCCACCCCTGTCAACCAGTATTTAGCTAAGTGTAAATGCATATAGAAGATAAAGAAAAAAAATCATACCATTCTGCCTGGGTAATTATTAGTCTAATATAAATCCTATGATTTTGTTGACAATATTCAAAGTACAAAACAAAAATATGATCTTAATTTTTTTTAAATCCCCATTTTTTTTTTTCAGTGTAGAAACAAGATGCACCGGTTTACAGCCTCAAAAATCACCACATACTATTAGGGAAGAACTGGGTAAACACTGAAATGGTCTTGACACTCCAGTGCTCTCTCTGACTGGTGGAAATGGTTGTGCTATATCATACCCGGTCTCCCCTATGTAGAGGATTTACAACAAAAAAAAAAACAGTTGCATAATATTTTATGTTAACATTTGTTCAATGACTTTTCTAGCTCAATGATAAACATTTTCTGTGCCTGATTTTGATGTTCACTTTCATGTAAAAAAATGAGAACAACAATAATTTTGTCCTTGTTTTATTAGCTGAAAAATCCACTGTGACATCTTACCCCATGTAGTGAGACAACTTACCAGATGGCAGGGCAACATGTCACATGTTCACACTCTCTGCACTGACACAAGATATGAAAATGACATAAATACGACAGATATACCTGAGACTTTGGTCTTTCATCTGGTACACATTTTGTTTATATATGATGTACTGACTCCAAGAAATATATAAGAGTGTAAAAAGTGTGACAACAAGCCCCGGTCTCCCCTAGGTTTGTCACAGTTGAAAAACTGGAAAGTTTCCAAGTTTGAATAGAATTGAAACAGTTGCTATTCAGGGTGTACGTTTCTTTTTCTTAAAAAATAAATGAGTGAAAAAGAAGAAAAAACAAGAGATGTTGGTTGTCAGTTCTCGGGGTATCAGACCTGTAAGAGAAGTCACCTGCTGCCCTCATGTGGCCTCATGGGCTGACCAAAGTATCGCTGGTGTCAGACTCAGTCATGCTGAATTTAACTTTAACACCTTGACGACTCTGTCCTGTAAAGTCTCCGGAGTTTACGAGTTCACGGCGTCTCCTGAGTGCTTTATGACCTTCATGTCAGGGTTCAAAGCAGGGGCATCTCGAAGCAGCCTGGAGGTCGGACTGCTGCTCCTCTTCAGCGGTGTTTTGGGAATTGAGGAATGGGAAGTGCAGAACTCCTGGACAGGATGTGGAGTCATTGCTGTAATGTAGGATACAGCCCCCCTGTACTCCATACTGACGGAGAGCTGGCTCGAGGCTGCACGACCCCGCATCTGGAGAAGACAGGAAACACATTTCTGCCATCTGGCATCTGGATGTAACTCGCTGTCTCTGTCTGCTTAGGTTGAGAACAAGTTTAACCCCGGTAAGTCGGTCAAAGAGTTTGTTACACCTAACCCCTTTTTTTCTCACAGCACCACTTAGTAATGTAGCCCCACTGTTAGAATTTAATGGGGTGTCTTATCGCAAAAGTTTTCTTTAAAGCTGTACGTGTTTTTCAGAGTTTAACATTTAGCCTAAAAGAAACCAAACTGACTTGTTACAGACTTTAACTTCTTGCAGCTGCTGTAAGTTTCTATTGTTCTGTGCACAAGTCCCGGGGGGGCTGATGTTCACGTAATAACAGGGCGCTCTAACCCCTATGTTGTTTGGCTTGTCTAGACATGCATGGGTACTATGACTGCTGCACACAATTCACAATAAATTTCCAGTCATTTCTCTTTTAACAGTCATGTTTTTGGATTATTTAAACAGCTGGTCACTTCTTCCATGGCCTGCTGAGTTTCCTAAAGCTCTGCTCTGTACATAGACTCAGGTGATGATGACTCACATCTGGATCTTCCTCTCTTTCCTGCTGCTGGGGTTGAATGTGACTGAACCACTGAGCACCCCCAAGGAAAATGATAATGAAGTCCTAAAACAGACAGAGGTGGAGCTCAACAAGAGCCAGGTCAGCAAAACAGGAAAAAAACTCACATCACTGAAGAGATTCTGTCCTCCAGCTTTGCACATTTGAAAGTGTTGTTTTGTTGGATGTGATGGATTCAAGGAATTAAATGTAACTTTTGGTCCTTTGTTTGAGAATTAGGTGACTGAAAACGCCATCGGAAACCTGAGTGAAATAAAGATCAACACTCCTGCAACAAGTGAGTTCTTATTCTCCATAGCTTTCACTCTAACAAAGCAGTTTACCTGAAAATAGGGCTGGGCGGTAAAACCGTAACGATATATGCCGAAAATTAATTTCCCTCAATATCAATATAAAACATGATCAATATGCTTTTCAATAGTCAGCATTCTGTCATGTTTTGGTAGACTACACTAATAGCCAATGAAAAGGGTAGTTTCTTCAGGTCCACTTCATACTGAACCAGTCGTGCTGAATTAGAACCAGGTAGCAAACAACTACGTGGTAGTAGGCTGCAGCTACACGCAGAGTCGGCCCAAAGCAAAGGCAAACTTAGCGCCTGCTTAGGGCCCCGTGGCCAGTAGGGGGCCCTCAAGAGCATTAAAAAAATTTAATTTAAGTATTTTTTTATTTTTGCATGTATGAGTGATGCTTTCTGTATGATCAATTATATATAATTGTAAAAATAAAATAAATTAAAATATTTTAGTGCTGCTGCTGATGTAGGCTTATGATTCTTACTGCTGATATGGCAAAGCTTCACTATCGTTACGTGCCTCCTGATGTGCAATGTGCACTGAGCATCCTGAATGTGTTACATTTTGAGATTAAAAACCATATGTGGCACCCTGAACATCATTTATCAGTCATTCATTGGTATTATTTGTATGGTTGCATTGGTATTATTTAAGTTATTACCTTGGCCACCCCCTTAAATGTGTAAAGACATGAGAGACGCATTAAATTAATTTATACTATAGTAGGTGTGTGAATGATCAACAATCAATACTATTGGCAGAAATACAGGGACCCATTGAGGCTTAGGCCAGCTCTGGCTACACGGAACCATAGCACTTCAACAGTGTAACGCCTTACGACAAAACGTCAAAGAGACACAAAGACCTCACAGATGCAGTAGCTTATTGTATTGCAAAAGACATGCTACCAATAAACACAACTAAATTTCATTTTTTATATTTTGATGTATATCAATATCGACTGATATGAAAAAAATATTGTGAAAGTTATTTTCCCATATCGCCCAGCCCTACTTGAAAATATATATATTTTTCTTTTACAGCAGCAATACCCTTGACCACTACAGTTTCAAGCTCCAGCCCTGCTCCCGAATGCCGTGGTAACCAGGTGAAGCTGGAGAATAGCACACACTGTGGTTGTCCAGCTGGAATGATAGAGGATGGAGACAACTGCACCTGCCCTGTTGGCTTCACTCTGTTTGAAGCTGCAAGCTGTAAAGGTTGGAAAAGGCTTTTTGGGAAATATTTTCTTAATTTCATTTGATGCAACAGTCTTGAGAACAGCACGACTGCTGGTCGTGACTGAAGAAAACTTAATTTTGGTGATTTCCCTGCTGATTTGCATGCAGCAACAAGTGCCACATTATCCTCTCTCTTCTTGGTAGATGTTGACGAGTGTGAGAGAGAGGGGCCAGGACCATGTGGTCCCCATGCCAGCTGCACTAATACCCTGGGCTCTTACATGTGTAGCTGTCTCCGTGGTTACCTGATGGGTGCTGGAGGATGCCAGGGTTTGTCAATATCTGTGTGTGTGCGCGTGTGTGTGTGGAAAGGGGAGTTAAAGACAGAGAGGATGCACTATGTGTGTTAGAGCATGTTGGAAGGAGAGTTTTGGTGATGATTAACTGTACCCTTCAGATAATTCGCAGTGTTGTCATGATACATGTGTATCTTTGGGTTTTCAAGATATAGACGAGTGTGCTCTGGCTGCAGTGACGGGCCTGCAGGCCTGTCAAGGGGATGCAGAGTGCACAAACACGCCTGGCTCCTTCACATGTTCCTGTCCTCGTGGATATGTAATGGCACTTAATGGACAAAGCTGTGTGGGTGAGGCTAATGTTGACATCTGGTGTGTGTGACTATATACATACAGGAAGACAATGTTTTCAGAGGCATGCACTAAAATGTTGATGCGAGGTGTAAATGATGACACAATGTATAAAACACTGTAAATGTCTAAAATGAACCCTCATACAAAACCAACTCAGAAAAACAAAGACATGTGAAGTACCAAAAATGCAATTTCAATGGTAGCACTGCTGTACCATGTTTTTAGAGCTGTCAAATAAAAGCTTCCTATCTGTGGTTTCTGCTCTCTTCAGATGTAGATGAGTGCAGCTTCGAGGAGCAGTGCCGTCGTGAGCTGGGAAATGTGTGTGTCAACACCCCCGGTAGTTTTGTGTGTCAGTGCCAGCCAGGCTTTAGAGCAGAGGCTCCCGCCTGTGTTGGTAAGTTCGTCTTTAAGCTTCCAAAACAGCGGGATAACACTGATGCCCGGATTTGATCTGCTGTTGTGGGTTTCTAATATTTTGCTTGAGTTGCTCCAGATTTACGACTCTTGTTGACAGAGAGGAAGTCTCTGTAGGAGTTAGGGCTTAAATCTGCTGCTTTGCTGGCTGGCTGCCTGCTTTGTTGCTCGTTGTTTTTGTCCCAAAGCCCTTATCTCTACTTTGTAGTCTGTCACGTAGTGACTTATTTCCATCCTTGTTCTCTTGGTGTACTGTTTGCTTTCTTTTAACATCTCCATTTTCTTTTATGTGTGACTTTTCTGCACTTTGGGTCTCAGGTCCTGTGTGTCCAGACTACACTGTTTGTCAAGGTATGGTTTGCTTTCCATGCTAAACACATTCTGTGTGCTTCTAAATGTCACAAGAAGAATCAAATAAGCAAAATCTGAAGTATTTACAATAGGTGATAGTTTCTTAGAATAAAGCGTTATTTCTATCCATATTTAGTTTTCGAGGGACATAAGTATGCTCCATAAGATCTTGATTAGGGTTGGGTAATATTCTGTGAAACTGAACCTTTTACTCTGTTGCTTGCTGCCAAATAGGCATCTGTTTGAGGCAAAAAGCTGTTTTATTTCAAAGCAACAACTTAGCTTTAAAAAATGATATTCCTTCTGTTTTCAATTTTTCTTTTTCTGTCCCTTATCCCTGTCCCAGATGTAGATGAATGTGCAGAGAGTCCTTCAGTGTGTGATGGCAAGGGTGTGTGTGAGAATACACTAGGGAGCTACAAGTGTGTTTGCCAACCAGGTTACCGGGGAAACGGCACACACTGCGAAGGTAAGCAATTAGCGCTGACGTCCCTCAATGAAAAACTCTGTTTCAGTTAGATGAGGCCAGCTACTTTGTGTGTGCAGGTTTAAACGCTTCTTGTTTTGTATCCCTAAAAATGATCCAGATTGGCAGAACAATGTTTATTAAATGAAAACAAGTTTTTCAAAGTTTTCTCTCTTTTCACAGATGAGAATGAGTGTGCGTCAGGTGGTCACGGGTGTGACACAAATGCACGGTGTGGCAACATCATCGGCTCATATTTCTGCCAATGCTACCACGGCTTCAATGGAGATGGACACTCTTGTTTTGGTTGGTTAACAATGTGTTCATGAGTGTATGTTTTCCAAATGTGTGTGTTTCTAATAGAACTCAGTGTTTGTGAGTGTGTGTCAGCGGTACTTGAGTCACTCCAACAACACCAGCATGTGCCAGCGACACTTGGACACACATCACTTACCAAACACCGGTCTCTTGGGATTCCCCTTGTTTACAGATATTGATGAGTGTGCTGTAAACAACGGCCACTGTGAACACAACTGCTCCAATGAACTGGGAGGGTACAGCTGCCAGTGTGGCTCAGGCTACAAGCTGGACCAGGACAGACACAACTGCTCAGGTAACACCCAGGAGGGGGCGAGTAATGAATCAATGAATCAATGAATGAATGAATGAACACTTTTTGCCAACATGAGTAGAACCTACGAAGTGTTAGAGACCACTTTGTGTGGCATATTTATGTGATGAAATGAATTGTTCACATTGAAAAGCAGCTGGTTAAAGTCTTTTATTTTGAAATAAACAGCTGGGAGTGTTTCTCAGAAACTTGAGAAATATTCTTATTAGCCTATCTGCTACAAGTTTGCACACCTCCACTTAAACAACTCCCAACATGACAGCATGTATTATTTTTTTAAGCATATTTTCTTATAATTCTGGTCCTTTATGCTTTTATAATTATGAGCTTTGATTAGAAGTTACCACAGTGTATTTTTTCCAGTTCCAGTTTAAGGCCTCAAAGCCAAAGAAACACACAACAATTATTTACAGTCATTTATATTATCTTCTAATATAATAAGAGTCTGTTGGAAAAAAATCAACAGAGTATACAAATAGCATTTTATAAGGCACCCAGTGTTGTCTTTGCTGTTGTTTCATGCATAACAATGAAATTAAAGCCACAATTGGTAAACTCAAACAGTATAGAGCAGAAATCAGACTCTAATGTTTGTGATTCCATCTGTTGAAATCCAGAATGTGCAACAAGAGGGAAGAGATTTTAGTCATCCTTCTGCCAATAGAGGGCATGAAAGCCCCATAACATCCCATAACACCAGTGTCAGATTTTGTTGCTGGATTCAAACCAGTCCCCTGCCAAACACACTTTCTATGTTGCAAATCCACCACAACCAGTCCCCTAAACTTGTCGGATCAAGTGTCAGAACAATGCTGTTACTGCCTGGCTGAAGGCAGATAACAAGAAGGGAGGCAACACACAACAATAACCCTTAACAAAGATATTTGATCGAACAAAAATGATCATCAATCTGTATACGGCATCAGGATTAAGATCAGTAGTGTCAGCAAGTGTTGGATGTGTGAGCATGTGTTTGGTGGATGTTGTAAGATGGACAAACCCAAAATGGTGGTGGCTGGTGTGGTAGATGTAGGCCCTGCTGTGAGAGAGAGCTAAAGCTTTTTCAGCCAGGCCTTTTATGCTTTCTGGCCCTGCCCTGTTGGGCAGGTAACTCAGCCCCTTCCAGCTCCACCCTCCACCATCTCCCTGAGGCTGCAACACAGAGCAGAATCAGACACATGCAAGGGGAGAAAGCAGAAGAGGAGCGGGAGGGGTTGTCACAATGTGCATATGGTGTTTGATTTGAGTTTAAATAAGCTTTTACACAGAGACATGTTTGGCCATTAGTTAACGAATTGTCCCTGATCCTTCAGATGTGGATGAGTGCCTGGTACAAAATGGGACCTGTGAGCACATTTGCATCAACACTCAGGGTTCGTTCCGGTGCTCCTGCAGGCCTGGATACCAGCTGCACATCGATGGTCACACCTGTGTGGGTCAGTCACCCAGCAACACACTTCTACTTTACCACTCTTTGCTGCTGTACGCCAACTCATTCCAGTCATTTAAGCGAGCTAATTTATCATGCAGTAGAGAATAGACCTGCCAAGAATGTTTTACTTCACTTCCTCATAGCGGTCGTGCTTGTTTGCAGAAGTGCATACAGACGCTCTTAGCAGATGTTTTGAGGATGGAGAAGTCTAACCCAAATTCAACATTAGGTTTTGTGTGTTTATATATGTGTCCGTGTGTGTGTGTGAACGCAGATATTGATGAATGTAAACTCCAGAACGGTGGTTGCTCTCACACCTGCAGCAACTCTCCAGGAGGACACACCTGCCACTGCCCTCCTCCTCTGCTGCTTGACACAGACAACCTCACCTGCAGTAGTATGTTTTATTTTTCAGTTTTTACAAACTATCACATCAGACAAACGGTTTTCACAGTTTAGGATGGAGGCTGCAACAGATGTCTGTGAAACCTTTTTGTTCTTCATTGTTTAAATTTGTAAATGTTTGAGGTTTTAAATGTTTTTCCTTTTTTTTTTTCTTTTTAATTTCACCTGAAAAGATGTAACATCCTGCAGCCTTAGAAATGGAGGTTGTGAGCATGTATGTACGTTGCAAGCTGAAGGACAGGTCCAGTGTAGCTGTCGAACAGGCTGGAAGTTGGGTGAAGACCAGAGGAGCTGCTTAGGTGAGACTAAATAATCCTTTGATATAAATATAAGAGTTATGAAGAGCTGAACATGTTAACTTAGGCTGAGGTGTGTTTAAAAAATATAGTGACACTGGGGAAAAGAACAGCCAAAGTTTTCAGCTGACAGCTGAGTACTCTAGCGGTTCATGGACAAAAAACTGTTGCCTGTACAAATAACCAAGTTTATCTGCCTGTCACTCAGCCTAATGAGAAAATTAACAGACAGTCTGGATCTTTTTCAGATTTTTGGGGTATGTTGAATATTTAATTGTCCAACTGGTGACTGTAGTGACTATCCTCCTGGTTTTGTTTTTCGTTTTTCACAAGATGTGAATGAGTGTGGGGACTTCACAAATGGTGGCTGTGAGCAGCTCTGTATGAACCACCCGGGTGGATTTAACTGCACCTGCAGGGATGGTTATCAAGTACGAATGGATGACCTCACCAAGTGCCAGCGTAAGTATAACATCAAACATGATACACTTCAGAGATTTTTTTACTTTACTGGAAATGCAACTTTGATTTCAATTGTGTTATTGTTATTCTTATGTCCCTTTGTGTCTGCCCAGCTGTGTGTGACCCTCCCTGTCAAAACTACGGAGTGTGTGTGGCCCCAAACAGCTGTGACTGTCCTCCTGGTTACCCTGGACTGGGCTGCTCAGGTACACATGGATCACATGAGTTCAGTTTTTATCACCACAGCTACTTAACATTCACTGGATGCTCTAAAAAGGCAAAGAGGTAACGTTTATATCAATGGTGTGCTTTTCCACTGCAGTGATGTGCCATAATCACATAATTGAAGACATGAAATTTTGAAAATTGAGATGAAACAAGTCGTTAAGGAAACTCCAGTTTCAGTTAGTGGTTTCAGGTTTTTTATTTGGTGTCAATGGGACAATCTGCTGCTCATGAACATTCTACATATTACTTATTTTATTTGAATATAAAATAAAATGAAGGTGCAAATGTTGTCTTCATAGTCTGATGTGATTGTAATGTTCAGGATTATGTTCCTATTATGAACACATTTGCTCTTGATGATATGCTGAATGCTGTGTAAATGATAATATTGAGCATTATAGTGACAAATGGATTTACGTAAATGTTGGATGTGTGTTTTTAGCAATGTGCTCCCCACCCTGTGCCCACGGAGGAACCTGTATGCGCTGGAACGAGTGTCTGTGTCCTCATGGCTGGAGTGGAGCAGGCTGCCACACAGGTATTCCTGACATAGACATAAACGAAGAATGCCCCATATCTGTGCAAGCGACACTGAAGAGACACTGAAAGACTTTGTTTTAAAAACCAGATTAATCTCATGTGTTTAGAAATTTCCTCTCATTTTTAACCAGTTCCAAAGTTATTCATCCAGTTTGCTTCATGTTTGTTTCTCTGTGTCTTGCTCAGCTGTGTGTGAGCTTCCCTGTGCTAACAGTGGGCGCTGTGTGGGGCCGAATACCTGCCAGTGTCCCTCTGACTATAACGGCCCACAGTGTCTTTTGCGTGAGTAACAACCTCCAACACATCTGGCATTAGTTACACCAGGCATGCAGGTGGGGTGGCGAGTAATTTCTACCTCCTGGTCCTATTGCTTTTAAGGGGCACTGCCTCGTAAAATATGGGTTTTATTGTACAAACAAACAAAAGGTTAGCTGGCTAAACTAAAAACATGCTGTTCAGTTTACCTCCATGCCTGTACCGTCATAGACATACCTTTGTTGATGTGTGTGTGTGTGTCTTTTTGCAGCCCTGTGCACTCCTGCTTGTCAAAATGGGGGGCGATGTGTAGATGTCAACAAGTGCACATGTGTTGGTGGATGGCAGGGCGCTCGTTGCCAGATAGGTAAGATTACACATGCGGTATTATAAGTTAGCCATTGTAACGTGACTGTATTTATGGAACTCATGTAACTCTCAATTCAAACAGTTCATGAACCTCTAATTTCACAGTGTTAGACAATTTTCTAGACTGCTGTTTTTGTCTCAACTGAGTGACACAAACATTTAGATGTGTATGATTCCCACGTCATCAGTCTCCTTAAACCCTAAAAGTGGAACAGCATAGAGGAGGAAATCTGTGTTCATTTTACCTAACATGAGCTGTTTAAAACATAAAAGTACCCTAAAAAACAGGTTGTTGATGTTTACAAAGCAAACACAGTTTGGTACAATCCAGTCCAGATCGTCCTCTGCTTCAGGTCACTGTTTGAGCCAACTATTGACTGATATCCCAGTTTGATTGGGTTCTCTTCAGTGTGAATTTCTACGTAATTTAATGTTTTATTTTGTTTTAGACAACAAGTGTATCAAGTTTTAATACTGTTAAATCAATTCTCCTTTATAACTCTATACCCAGAAAAAACAGCCCCTGTCAGAGATGCTATATGTTCAGCAGTTGTCCGTTTATCCCTCTTTATCCCCTCCCTCAATGTTTCCTTGAATAACAAGTGACAGCATTACGTTTCGAAGGGGAAATTCTAGTTTATTTTCTTGTTTCCTACAGAGCCTGTTCATTGTCAGAAACCTTGTAAGAACAGGGGAGTTTGTGTGGGCCTCAACAGGTGCCAGTGTGCCAAAGGATTCACAGGAAGTCTATGTGAAACAGGTTGGTTGGTCTCTTTGTTTGTGCCGGTAATGACATTGAAGTCCTTTAACTTTTATAATAAGACGCTTACTGTTTGCTATGTCTGCAGCTGTGACCACCCCCTGTGTACCACCCTGCCAACACGGGGCCACCTGTAGTCCTCATAACACCTGTACCTGTCCTGAGGGCACTGCAGGCCTGCGCTGTGAAAAACTGTACGTATAAACAATCATGAGGCATTAACAACTACAGCTGCTTTAAGGATTATAACACTTTTAATTTAATCCACAAAGTGCTTTTTGTCAAGTCTTCTCTATCTCTACTGAAGCCATGCATCAAATCCTCTTTTTCTAGCTGGGCTGATTGTTATGATAAAAGGCAAAAAGGGCCAATTGTGACTTTTTCACCAAAATGACAAGTGATCAGACCTCAAGAATCAACATAAAAACCTTGTCAAGAGCATACCCTGATGAACTGATTTTTGCCTTCTTTAAATGAACAGCAGATATACAAAGTGAGTGACACATTTGACTATAAGATATTTTTTGGTAAGTAATACTACTTTTGCATGTACAGGACAAGATCAGCAAAGCTACAGAGTGTACATCTTTCCCCACAGGGGCCAAGTTCCCCACGGCAGCTTTCAGGATCCAGTTCACAGTTGTCATGTAGTTCAAGGAGCACTGTTGTGTGTATTTCCTTTGTAGGACCTGCCCTGTGGTCACCACTGTGGTCAGTATGGCTCGAGCAGTAAGAAAGGCATTTAGGGAGAGTTATGTTGACCGGTGTGGACCCCTTGGAGTTCAGCTTTGCACCAAGTACAGGTAAACTGTTTTGTTGTTTTGCTCTCTTTTTATTGATTATGGCGCTCAAGATGGAAATACAGCAGACAGATTTTTCGATAGACATATCTTTAGAAAGTTATTCAAATTTGATGTATATCATTATGAAAAAAGCTAACTTGATTTGTGACTCATAGTTTATGTGACATAAGTATTTCTGCTTCCAGAATGAACCAGGCACGTGTGTACCTTCAGGCCTACAGGGTGGGCTATAAAATCCAGTGTCCACAGAAGAAGGGAAGGTGAACATTGTGCTTCCTGCCACAAGACAACCAGCACCCCTTTGGGTGACATTTTTTGGCATGGCACACAGACTGTAAACTAAAGCAAGTCTTTACATGCATTCTCTGTACAGTCTCTGTACATTCAAACTCAGTTGTAACTCCTCTCCAATCAATTCCACCCTTTGACAAACCTGTGTACTATGCTTTGAACGTTTCGTAACACTTACCTCAACATCAGTTACTGAATAAAATGCATTCAACTTTATAAATCAGATATCTATAGTTGGGGAAATGTATAATTTCATACTTTGTCATTGCTTTTTATGGCAGCTAACGTTTTTTTATTGTCCTTTAACAAAATCATGTCATATTGTGGCTTTTTTTTAAAAGTCATTGATCTTTTGTGAGCAATTGTCTGATAACCATGGCCCGTATGCACGTTGAAAGCGTTTAGCGTAAACGCGATTAGGGCTTAAACGCGTTTAGTTATACGGGCCTTAAACGCGTTTAGTTCCTATACGATTTTGGTATGCACAATGCTGTAAACGGAACCGTATAGCTAACCGCGTTTACTGTGTCGTAAACGGTAAAGATATTTATAGAATTGGGTCAACCGGTCTGTTTTAAGTGTTGTGTACTTTCGGTTGAGGACGGCAGTTTTCAACCATGGATAAGCCGTAGAAATCTAAACTTACGGAACACTTCGTGGTCGTCATACATGTCGAAGGGGTGTTTTCTGTCACGAAAAATCCTGTTTCGACGCAATTGTCGCCGCTGTCTTCCTTGGAACAACAAGAGTGCCGCCATATTTAAACGCGTTTAGACCCGCTATTGGACCCCCAGAGGTGTGATAACTTTAAACACGAAAATCTGTATAGGAACAGCTATACGAAGTGACGTGCATACCGACATTTTTTGGCGTTTAGGAGTTTAGCCCGCTAAACGCGTTTTGCCAAGCGGCGTGCATACGGCTCCATATCTACACGTTTAAGGTCATTTAATTCATGCTTAAAAGAGTACTCTGTGGAATAGACCCAATAAAGATAAACTGTCACACTAACTCACATTAGAAATGACAGAACTGGACTATTTGTAAAAGTGTACCATGTCACCACACAACTCAATTTTCACATGTTCACTTTGTCATATTTAGTTTGTACTGAAATTCACTGATGTGTACCATGTTACTTAGCACACAGGGGTGTAGACTGCTTTACTGTAAACTTTGAATATGAGCAGATACCTGAAGGTGTGGAACATTAGGCTTACAGTAGGTATGAAAGACTTCATCCCTTACTCGACATTGTTGTACAGCTCCTCTTGTGTTGCGCAACATTATAGTGCATCAAGCTTTACGTAGCCTGTGGTCTGCCACGGGGAAGATTGTTGTTCATTCTAATGCAGACACCAATGGTTATTTTCCTCCTCTGTTAATCCAGTAAAGATGGAGCAGCAGAGTTTGTATAAACAGAGCTGTCATTCATGATACTTAGCATTGACTGACTTTCAAAGCTAATTAGCTTTGCTCAGATAACTACTTGTTTATGTGAGCTATTGTGTCAACAAAAGCCTTCCAATCTAAACACCGTCTTTCCACTCTCATTTTTGTCTGTTTTGCTTTTTAAGAAGATTTGTGGAAGCTTCATAATTTCTTAAATGTTTACAGGCAGTAGGGTATGAGCTGGTGTGGTTAGCAGTGCCGTTATTGGCAAGCATGAATAAAGGTGAGTTAAGTTGCAGAAACAGTATTTGTAACTGTCCACACTGTTGATCCCTTACTGTAAAGCTGTAAAAATAACCTGTGACTTTTCAAGTAAGACTTCACCTGGAATCTTTGATTTGAAGTATTCTCCCCTGAGAAAACTGTATTGTTAGTGCCACAGCTTTAATGTTCACAGTCAAATCTTTCTATAAACATCAGTGAGCTGTTTATTTGAAAAAGAAAAAAAAACTTTTGTGTGCTCAAGCCCACTCAGTGCCTAATTCTTGACCGGTAAGGATAACATCTTATTTATTTATTTTTATTGCTTTTAGGTTTGTCATAAAAATCTTAATGGCTGTTAACGTTAGCTTTCTTGATATATCATCAGATTATTTTTCCTGAATGCCTGTTAAAATACTCCAATTATTGCATCTGCACTAAACTAGGGCATCTGGTAGATTACAAAACTTTTGTACAGGGATCATGACCTTGTGACTGTGATTCAGGGACTTTGAAGGCAACCTTCAAGACTGGAAGGGTAAAATGAGATCTGCTGAAATCAAACACACTTTTATCTTTGTCTCAGGGTTCTCAATCAAAACAATCAGAACAGTGGAAAAATACAGGCGTAGTCAAAAAAGGAGCAAAATGTAAAAAATATTCAACACAAAAAAGCCAACAAAACAAGAGATCTGTAATAACTCATAAACTCACACTCAAGACCAGGTTAGGCATCGAGTCTGAAACAATTATGCTGCACGATTTAGTCTTTTTTTTCTCAAAGAAAAGCTGCCATTTCAATATGTCCAAGCATCCCGACTCATAACCACGTTATTAAGGTAGCCTATGTAATAAACAAGACCGTTTGTAAATCTGTCAAGATTTCAGTGAGTTGAGTATTTTTGATCATGCAAATTACTCACCTTCCATCAGCTACCATACAGTGTACCAGAATGGTATACTGAAGTAAGATGGCCGCCGTGTACGGACGCAGGTGACTCCGCCTCGATTCATCTAACCTTTCTTATGAATGTCTATGGAATCCGCCGACCGGAAGAAATAGCTGCCGAACACCAACGAGGAAGCTGCCGTTAAACACCAACGAAGAAGACGCCGCAGACAACCAACGAGGAAGAAGCCACAGTGAGAGAGAGAGACCATTGCAACCCTCAGCGGCTGCGGTCAAAAGTTTGGCTAACCTTAGCAGAAAGAATGAACTCTTATCTCAGCGCAACATTAGCAACACAGCTATATCATATAAAGGAGGATTAACGACCAACAGGATTAAACACCTCAGGATTCATGGAGGAGAAATACCTGAGTGCTCGTCTTTGACACGCTTCACCGGTCTTCCGCTAACCAGCCAGAATCAGATAAGTGAAACAAGAAATTACTTTTGTCTTCTGCTAATATTGAAGCGGCAAACAATTGTACTGTGTATGGTGAGTCATCTTTAATATCCAACCAACGTTAGCCCTTGTACTTTTTCATAAATAAACGACCTGACAACAAAAATTAATATTTATATACTGGTTAAAAATAGCCCAGTGAGAAATTCATAGGCCCAGACAGCCTTCTTTTAGACCCCATAGTTCCCCCTGTGGGTAATGATTTTATAATTTTATGGAAAGCACATTTTATTCATATATAAACCATCTTAATTCTTTGAAACCTTCAGACCTTTTACTGTAATTGTTCTACCATTTCAACCAGGATTTTACACCAGTCAATAGTTTATGAACTTCTGGAGATTGATATAAACAACTAGAGATTTTTTTTCTTGCATCATGTGACAACATTAACACGCCATACCCGCCTATTTAGTGCGTGGAAATCGTGCGCCCTGTCTCCGCATTTAGAAACACCAGCAGGCATGTCAGCGTGAAAGCGATGCACCTTCGGCAGGTAAGAGGGGGAATGAATGTCTGTGTGAATGTATGTTTAAGTATGAAGACAGAGCTTCAAGTGTACATCTGTGGTTATGCTATACAATAAAGGAGGGAGAAGAAAATGTAGCGATGTTAAATGATTAATTGTATGTGTGTCCATGACTCCGTGTGCTGCCCTCATACAGGACCATTTGTAGGGTTAACAATGTCTTTTGGATCTTTTGCATGGATTTAGTGGTGCAAAAGCTGCACAAACCTTGTCTGAATCAGGCCCTGTGTGCTTTTTTATTATATCCCCTAAACCATAACCTTGAAAACACTGACTTGAAAAATGTTATCATTTCTATTTCGAAAGTAAATCGCCTCCTCATACCATGTTCACACTAGAGGGGTGATTGGATTAGGCCAAGTTTCTCATGGAAACAAAAGTCGAAGTACTGGTGTCCCCTTTCAAAATGCAGAATTAAAATAATATATGAAGCCAGGCTAGGCTACTGAAGACCAAAAACCAGAGACATAACTGAGGTTAATAGCCCACATAGAAGGGTACAAAATAAAAAAAAAACATCAGTGCTAAGAAGTTTACTTTATTGATGCTTTACAGCCCAAAACAGGTATTAGCAAGGGTCCAGTGGCGGCTGCTGGTCTTTCAAGGAGGGGAAGCTCATTTTTCTGGCCAACATCATAATTGTATTTGTTTATTAGTATGTAACAGAACAGAGTCGCCAAACACAACGGCAGTCGTTTTTAACAAAGATAAAAGTCGCTGAGGATCGGTAAAGTCTCTGGAGCAGTTAAGACCAACGGAATGAATAACTTGGAAAATGCTCTGGTAGATGTTTTATTCTTCAAGATCGCTGATTCGCTTGTTTAGCTGTCAATCAAAAAAGGATTTCGCCTCAGACAGCTCATCCAATCATGGATGCAGAAGTTCGGAGTCCGGGAGAAAGTCGGGACCGCCCTCTCGCCATAGAACTCCAGTGAAGCCGAGCTTCCCTTGCAGTCTTAGAGCAATCGCCACTGCAAGGGTCCCATAGTAATGTGATCTAAAATGACACAAACTATACATTTGCTAGTATTTCAAAATCATTGGGAAAAAAAAAGAATCAACAGAGAAAAGATGATAACTCCTTGATAATTCTTGGTCAATCAGAGCTTCTCTCAGCGTGAGGTTGCACAGATTTCATAGTAATTTGGTGCTAATATGATGCTGTAGTGGTAGTCCAGCGCAGGCTTCACTCCAGCAGGCATGGAGAAGGTGAAGTGCTGAAGGAAGGAGGTGAAGAGGAGGAAAAGCTCCATCTTGGCCAGGCTTTCACCAAGACACAGCCGCTTACCTGAGACAGAAAAATAAATTTAAACAAACAAGAATTTTTGATAAAGTTTAGACCCTGAGGCAAAACTACGTCAGTAGAAATGTTTGTTTTCAGAAGTTCTTTCAAGAAAGGTTATTGTTTTTTGAGTCACCAGCAAAATTTTGCACCAAAATGAAAATTCTTGTTGGAACCGTTTAATTGATGATCCATCCAAACTGATCTTGCGTAGACTGTAAGCGGGAATAGGCCAGCTGACAATGTTCAAAATGGCCAACAATTCTTCTTAGAATTAGAATCAGAGTAATTGTGGCCATAAATTGTCTTGAATTTACCTGAAAGTTCATTTGAAGATCCTAGCTTAATTATAAAAGGAAAGGGTAATAGAAAGTTGAGAGCAAAAAGAGAAAAGGGCGATGGTAAAACTGACACACAGTGGTCAAGAAGTACTATGACCAGCTACACAAGATTAAATTATCTGAGCATTAAATATGTTGTCCTGTTGGTGTCTGGACCCGTTATTTAATATCTTTTTTTTTTGTTTTTTTTGATAAGTCCGGCTTGTTTTACCTTAACAGCTGCAATTTTAGTAGCCAATGCCTGTGATTTAAATTGTAACACATGATGCCACCCAGCCAGTCAAAGCTGTTACACCGATCAGTGTTAATGTCAGACTCGAGTGTACAAGATTAATAGAAAGTTCAGCTAAGAGCAGCATCACTGTGACACAGGGGCTAACAACCTTCCCTCTTACCTGACTGTGGATTGTTTGAATTGATCGTTTCCATAATTAATTTAAATGCCTACTGTGCAAAGCAGCTGCATTATGCTCTTGGTGTCCATGGATGGTCTTAATATCAACCAGAAGTTTGTTGAGCCTTTACAGGAGGAACTCAGGGACCAGTTTGGCTTAGGCGAGCTGCAGATTGTTGATAGTTAATGTTCACCATGTACGTCACCATGACGTTCAGTTTCAATCCAAGATGGTTTTTCAATAGTTAGGCCTCTCAAATTACATTTTTGCAGGTCCTTAAAAACATATCAAAAGGCCCTTAAATTTGACTTAAAATAGTGTAAGAACCCCGTGAAATAATAATGTGGTGATCCATAGGTTCCTAATAATTGCTGACGCAGCCTCTAGATTTCTTGAATAACAGAGAAAGACTCAAATAAAACAAAGGTCTGCGTTAAACCCTCACCTGCAGAGAAAGGGATGAAAGCAGCTGGTTTCACAAACTTGCCGTCCTTAGTTAGAAAGTGTCCTGGGTTGAAGGTGAACGGGGTTTCCCACTCATCCTTGTCATATAGTGCTGAGGTCAAATTTGGAATAACTGTAACCCCCTGTTTGTAAGAATGATTTTGTTATTGTGATATTGTTGACTGTAGCCCTGCAGTTATACATTTTTCAAGCTACGCTTTTTGGATTCTGTTTACTACTGATCTCTTATTGAGCTCAGGATCTTAACAATCAGTTTCTTGTATCGTGAGTTTTATGAGTTACAAGTACTTATGAAGAATTTATGGCTACAGAGAATTTCAAACCTCGACCAAAGTCAGGATGCAGAATGTCATCTGGAAACGATTCCGTTCAGCTAATATTATACAATATAAAGATCTCCTGACATAAAAACACGTTTTCTGAAAAGTCACCTTTGGTATAGTGTAACCTTCCAGCTGGATTTCCATGTTGGTCATATGAGCCGTGGCAAGGGGAACTATGCTACTCATTCTCTGGATCTCATGAAGGACAGCGTCTGTGTAGGGCAGGTGTGCTCGATCGTCCATTGACAGCTGTCTGGACCTTCCAATCACTCTGTCGATCTCAGCCTGGACTTTTGCTGTGAGATAGAAAACCATTCAGATGATTTAAGTGTGTAGGCCAGTCCCTGTGTTCTCCACTTTTTTTGAGTGTGATGTCTGCGGCATAGAGTTGATGAAGGACTTGTGTTGGCACAATATTTGTTAGTTAAGTTACCCTTTTTATCTGAATGTGATTGTTTAGTTTACCCCTAAGATTTTGCCACCAATATCTGTGTTAATCCCCTATTTGCACATTTTCAAATATGAAGTGGACTGATTAGTGTTCTTACCCTGGATCTCAGGGTACTTTGTCATGTAGAGGATAGCCCATCGCAGGGTGGTGGATGTTGTTTCAGAGCCAGCCACAAAAAATTCAAAGCCGCACATCACAAGGTTTTCTTCCACAAAAGTGTTGCCAGCCTTCCCCTTCCCCTAAGAATAGATCCAAATACATGTGTGAATAAAGTGCTCTGATAATTCAAAACAATTAGACAGCAGCGCCACTAAATTAATCTGTAAGTGTTGCAAGCTGCTGTTCCAGGGTTTAAAGTAAGTTGTATTCTGTAAGATAAAATGCCCTCAGAAGTGACAATTAAAAACGTTTCCTACAAAAATGGACCTCTTAACATTTCATGAACACTACTTAATGAGTGAAAATTAAAGATGTATCTAGTGCCAGTCACCATCTGTATTTCATTCAGGTAGCAGTCAATGTAGTCTCTTTGGTCAGAGGGGTCCCAGTCTTGTTTGTGCTTCTTAATCTCTTCTCTTATGAACTCCTTTGCCTCATTGAAAATATCCAGGAATGTTTGATGTGGTCCTGGTAAACGTCTCATCAGTCGGGGGAAAGAGTTGTGTAACTGCAGAGCAGAACCAATTCAAAATAAAGTGATATTAGGGTGTAGAAATAAATCCTTAATATTGAAACCCAAAAAAAAAACCATGTGTTTTTGGACATTTTAGATCTTAAGTTGTATTTTGTTGTGATAGTTTGAAAAGAGCATACCTGTGCCCAAACTGTGCTTTGACACTGGAATGCTATTTCAAGGCAGCTCATCAGTCTCTGAAACGTCTCATCACTGTACTCAAAGCGATGCCCAAAAACCAGGGAGCACATAATGTTGGAGACAGCGTGGTTGATGGTGAGATGTGGATCGAAGGGCTTTCCTTCAAAATAAAACAGAAAGTTAGTTGGGTTTTTTGTTTTATGTGCAGGTTCTTCTGCCAAAATGTATAATTGTACATTCAATCTGTACCTTTATAACTCTGGATGACTTTTGAGAAATGTGTGAATTCATCCAGGATGACTGGTTCAAGTGACTTCTTGCCAAATCCAAAATGTCTTAGGGTGGAGAGCGCAAAACGCCTCTGTTGTTTCCACATGTTCCCATTTGTAAAAAAGACCCCTGATCAGAAGTACATCAGGAGCAAGGGAAAATAAAGCAGCAAAATATCAAGGAGAATTAGTTTTTCTATAAACATGTTTTTAATTCATCAGTCTCTGTTGTGTATCTGTGATTGAATCTTTTCAATAAGATGGAAAAAATGTTGCCAATTTTACTCAGTTTCATGGTCAGAAAAACTTTTATGAATCAACTACTATATTTCTTTTAAGTTCTAAAACAAATGTTTTTCGTATATTTTATCTCCTTTTTTTGTTTATTCATGATATTTTCAAAAACGCTCATCAACAAGCAACTACAGTCCCTAGATATTCATCTGTTACTGCCCAAAAGGAGGTTACATGAACTGGTAATTATGCAAGCCAAAACAGTGACCCACTAACATGACAATTTAGTCCCACTGCTGACTTAGTATTTGCCTGTTGTGTGTTTAAAATCCTCTCACCGAATCCATGGGTCAGGTCCTCAATCAGAGGCATGGATGGGCGATCGGTTAGACTGTCTCCTTGATTTACAAGAGCTTCTTTCAGAGCAGCAAACCCGTTTAAGATTACATGCCACTCCTGGCCCATTCGCAGGCTGTACACACCTCCATATTTCTTTGCTAACTGTGAACAGATTTAAGAGAGGAGGAAAATAAAATGCTTAATATAACTGGAAACATTAAGTTGGTTCTTTCAGTTGACCTGTTGGATATATCTTTTTTAGACTGGTTCATTTACCTGTATCATACTTTCATGGGTCTTGCTGTGGTCCACTGAGAAAATATTACCCACGATAGGAAAAGCCCAAGGTCCTGGAGGGAAGCTGGCTGGCCGGCGGTTCTTAATGCAGTCCATAGTGAGGATAAAAATAGTTATGAAGAGCAGCAGACTTTTGACATCCCAGTTTACGCAGGTAGCAACTATGGAGGAGATGAAATCCATTCTGCAGTCAACTCTGTGCAACCAAAGTCTGTGTCAGACAAAAGTTCAGTGTTTTGTTGCCATGAACTAGGTCATGTCACCCTTCTCTGAGGACAGCACCAGGGATAAGCCTGAGGCTATTGACTCTTAGCAATACACCAGGGGTGTCCTGGTTAAATTGAACTCTGATCTTTTCTTTCATTTAGTTTAATTCAACCTTTTCTCTCACTGTTAATCAGTGACAATGAATCAATCATTTAACGCTTGTGAATAAGGTAAGTAAGTACCAAAATCTAATCAAATAGGGGACCACAGCTGGTTTGAAATTACTTCATGCTGAGGGTTGATTGTGTTCTTATTTTCACTACTGTATCATTTATGCATTGCCCTGAAACATCAGCCATGTAAATATGGTCTTTTTCTGCTTTCTGGTCTCTCTTAACATGTCAAACTCATCTGGCTCTGCTAAAAGATATTGATCATATAGTTATTTAAAGTGTCTGCCCTAAGCAGCTTCAACATCTATCTGAAGTCTTCGCACCATTAGAAATATGCATTGTGGCTGCTCTGCATGTTGAAAAGGAGCTGATCTAGTGCACAGTGACATGTCTGGTACAAGCTTTCATTAGCAATCCCTGATGAGCCCTTTGACATCTGACGCTGCTAACTAGGAGGGGTCTAGCAAAGTGAGAGAATACAGTGCATTGATTAGTGTAAATCTGGTGATTTCGTGCATTGAATGAGTGGGCATTGATGGAAGGAGTGGACATCCCGTCTTTACTACGAATGTCAAAGAGGTGTGATGCTAATTGTCTACTGTCATGCTAATTTTTTCCCTTAAATGTCAGATCAAACTTTTTTTGTCTCATTTTATCTGGTTTGGGTCCTTTCCTGGTTACAGTGCAGCATTTCTGCTGTTGTCCCCTCTGAATATGTTATAATATTAAAATTAAAATTTTAATGTTCACTGTTTGTGCATAAAATATATAAGGTTAGAATAAATCAGCTCGTTCGTGTTTTACTTTTAGCACTATGTTGAATTCAGAACTACTAATGTACCTTTTTACTAGGAGTCAAGTGAGTGTGGTCAGTTAAATATTTTAATTTGCGTGAACACCATGTCTTCCTATTCTTCTTCTCAATCCTGTGTGATTTGTGTGTGTCAAATAAGTCAGTTGAATTTAAAGAAAACAATTAAGGAGAATATAACGCTTCAAAGTGTGCTAAACCTAACTCCCAACAGAGAGTAATTGCTTTGAAAGGACATTAAAAACTGAGTATATGACTTCACTGTTACCCTTTCAGTATGTATCTAAAAAAAACTGATAGGAGAATAAGGCCCTTTACAAAAAAGAAACTGCACTCATTACCCTACGCTTGTATGCTAAACAGTGAGGTGGGTTGGTATGCCAAGGTCAAGAAATGGGATTATTCAATCCCATTATTTCAAGGACAACAGTTGGCAAACTACTGATTTAGGATGACAATCAAAAGCTTGTTGAGAAGGTGAGACAAACGAACACGACAAAAGTGCAAAGACATCAACTTTATTGACTTAACAATTAAAAAATATTATTAACTAGGGTCTTCTCACAATGTGATCTAAATTGAAAGCCAAGGGTTTACTAACTCTTCTTTACTGCTTCATCAAGATATATGTGGACACCGTTGAAAACAAACAAATAAAAAATGCTTTTGTCAGCACTCTTTATCAGTTACAGCTTCTCTCAGCGTGAGGTTGCACAGATTTCATAGTGATGTGGCGCTAATACGATGCCAAAGTGGTAGTCCAGCACAGGCTTTATTCCAGCAGGCATGGAGAAGGTGAAGTGCTGCATGAAGGAGGTGAAGAGGAGGAAAAGCTCCATCTTGGCCAGGCTTTCACCAAGACACATTCGCTTACCTGAGACAGGAAAATAAATTTAAACAAAAAAGGATTTTTGATAAAGTTTGGGCTCTGAGGAAGCTATGTTAGTAGAATTGTTTGTTTTCAGGAGTTCTTTCAAGAAAGGTTATTTTTATTTTAAGTCACCATTGGAAACTTTGCACCGAAATGAAAATTCTTGTTGGACCAGTTTTATTGACGATCCATCCAAACTGATCTTGTGTAGACTGTAAGCGGGAATAGGCCAGCTGACAATGTTTAAAGCGGCCAACAATTGTTCTTAGAATTAGAATCAGAGAATTGTGGCCATAAATTGTCTTGAATTTACCTGAAAGTTCATTTGAGGATCCTATCTTTATTATAATAGGAAAGGGTAATAGAAAATTGAGAGCAAAAAGAGAAAAGGGCGATGGTAAAACCGACACACAGTGATCAAGAAGTACTATGACCAGCTACACAAGATTATATTATTTGAGCATAAAATATCTTGTCCTGTTGGTGTCTAGACCTGTTATTGAAGGTCTGTTTTTTTGATAAGCCCAGCTTGTCTTACCTTAGCAATAGCAAGTTTAGAAGCCAGTGCCTGTGATTTAAATTGTAACACATAGGGCTCTATTTTCGTGCCTCGCCAGAAATGTGCCGCAGGCGCGGCGTAAGTCGGGTCCGCCGCGCCGCCAAGACGTTCCCAAGCACAATTTGGTATTTTGGTGAGCGGCGCAGCCCGGCGTAAGTATCCCTCCTCCCTAACTCAGCTCCTCCCAGCGGCGTAAGTCGTAGCGAGGGAGGAGAGAGGGCGTGGAGTGGGTTTAACACAGCCGAGACCTGTTTTCACTAATCACATCAGCTCCTCTCCTTGCCTTTAAATCCGCCACCGGCGAGGCATATTACTATTTTCGTTAAGTAGTCAAAGAGATCGAGAGATGTGTGAAGACAGCAATGCCACATGATGGCGACAGAAGGCAGCTCCTCAACAAGTGTCACTGTAAGCGCTGCATTGGGCGTCCTCCACACTCTCTCATATGAGCACAGATGGATTTGGTGTGTGTAATGTTGGACCCACTGGTAAGACAAACACCCTTTTCCACAAATAAAGACACTCACATAAAGTTGCATATATTCAAACCTCACGTGACAAAGGTGGGTTGAGCGCACAGATCACAACATAAACTCCAAAAATGGCATTAAAATCGGAACCATCTGTGCATAAATGACGCATCCCACTCCGTGGCCTGGCTCTTTCTTTCATAAATGTTGGCAGATAAAATAAATTTGGCTTACAAAACTGAATATTATAATATCCGTATGTCGGCTTAAAGTAGATAACGCATCTGAGCACTGAAACAAATCATCTGTTCAGCCGCTGCAGCAGCAGCAGCTGCAGCAGGACGGGGAGAGGACACGCAGACATGTCCAGGTCGAGCTGCGCGAGAAATAAAAGGAAGAAAGAAAAGGAGGGAGACGAATTACAAATCTTGTTAACTTCATCATGTGTGTTTATTTACTAGATATTTAATTTAATTTAATGCAGTTTCAGCTGTGTTGATTCGGTCAGGTTGTGTGTCCAAACGTGTGCCAAACACGCTCATCAGATCAGATATGGATCAGAATATATCTATAGATCTAAATGTATGTGCTGACTCAGATTAATAGTTGTTGATGATTATTTATTGCACTGAAATTGACACTGTGGAAACCTGCCTGTGAGGATGCGGTGATGTATGCCGATACGCCGCCGGTCTACCAAAATACCACTAGACCAGCTGCGCTCCGCCTGCGCTGAAAGCTGACCAGGTTTGAATCAGCGAGCCAGTTACAATCACACGCCACTGGCGAGCACGAAAATGTCACTGCACCAGCTGATTCTGTCGACACCTTCCCCTGCCACGCCACCACCGGATCTCGGTTCGCCTCCGTGCGCCTCAGTCCACGAAAATACCAAACTGGCTGTACGCCCGGCTCCGCCAGACGAAAATACAACTGCGCGGGGTCCGCCACCCTCCGCCGCCTCACCAGCGTACATGAAAATAGAGCCCGTGATGCCACCCAGCCAGTCAAAGCTTTTACACCGATCAGCGTTAATGTCAGACTCAAGTGTACAAGATTGATAGAAAGTTCAGCTAAGAGCAGCATCACTATGACATAGGGGCTAACAACCTTGTCTCTCACCTGATTGTGGATTGTTTGAACTGGTCGTTTCCATGATTAATTTAAATGCCTACTGTGCAAAGCAGCTGCATTATGCTCTTGGTGTCAATGGAGCGCCTTAATATCAACCAGAAGTTTGTTGAGTTCTTAAAGAAGGAACTCAGGGAGCAGTTTGGCTTAGGCAGATGCAGATGGTTGATAGTTAGGGCTCTATTTTCATGCCCGCCGGCATTGTGGCGGAGGGTGGTGCACCCCGTGCAGCTTTCAGTGCAGGCGGAGCGCAGCTAGTCTAGTGGTATTTTAGTTGACCAGCGGCGTAGTGCGCATATGTCACCAAAGCCTCACTGGCAGGTTTCCACAGTGTCAGGCACATTTCAGTGCAATAAATAAACAACAAGCAATATTCAGTGCAAGATCAATATTGATATATTCTGATCTATAGCTTATCAGATGAGCGCATTTGGACACTCATCCTGACCAAACTAACACAGCTGGAACCGCATTAAATTAAATATTCAGTTAATAGTCACACATGATGGAGTGAACGAGATGCGTCCGTGCGTGATAGTTAATGTTCATCATGTACAAAAATGATGTTCCAGTTTCAATCGAAGATGGTTTTTCAATGCTTAGGTCTCTCAAACTACATTTTTGCAGGTCCTTAAAAACATATCAAAAGCCCTTAAATTTGACTTAAAATAGTGTAAGAACGCTGTGAAATAAAAATGTGGTGCACCATTGGTTCCTCATGATTGCTGAAGCAACCTCTGGGCTTCTTGAGTAACAGAGAAAGACTCAAATAAAACAAAGGTCTGTGTTGACCCTCACCTGCAGAGAAAGGGATGAAAGCAGCTGGCTTCACAAACTTGCCGTCCTTAGTCAGAAAGTGTCCTGGGTTGAAGGTGAACGGGGTTTCCCACTCATCCTTGTCATATAGTGCTGAGGTCAAATTTGGAATAACTGTAACCCCCTGTTTGTAAGAATGATTTTGTTATTGTGATATTGTTAACTGTAGCCCTGGAGGTCCAAATGTTCCACAGAGCTTCAAAAACACAATAAATCAGAAAACACAATAGCATTTCAACAAAACATGATAGCAAAACACAAACAGTATTTACCAACTGTCAGAGTGATCTGAACCAAATGTTTTGTATCATGAAGAATGCACATACGTCCAAGATTTGTTCGGCCTCTTGTCCTAAAACCAACTTTTAATGCAGTTTTACATTTTTCAAGCTACGCTTTTGGATTGTGCTACTATCGATCTCCTCTTTTATTGTAGGATTTTAACCATCAGTTTCTTGGATCATGAGTTTTATGAGTTACAAGTACTTATGAACTCGCTGTTTGGCTGCCAGAGTTGTGCTTGGCTAAGCAAGAAAATTGGAGCAGAGAATTTTAAACCTCGACCAAAGTCAGGATGCAGACTTTCATCTGGAAACAATCCTGTTCAGCTAATATTATACAGTATAAAGATATCCTGACATAAAAACACGTTTTCTGAAAAGTCACCTTTGGTATAGTGTAACCTTCCAGCTGGATTTCCGTGTTGGTCATATGAGGGTCGCTAAGGGGGACTATGCTACTCATTCTCTGGATCTCATGAAGGACAGCGTCTGTGTAGGGCAGGTGTGCTCGATCGTCCATTGACAGCTGTCTGGACCTTCCAATCACTCTGTCAATCTCAGCCTGGACTTTTGCTGTGAGATAAAAAACCATTCAGATGATTTAAGTGTGTAGGCCAGTCCCTGTGTTCTCCACTTTTTTTGAGTGTGATGTCTGCGGCATAGAGTTGATGAAGGACTTGTGTTGGCACAATATTTGCCAGGTAAGTTAAGCTTTTTATCGAAATGTGATTGTTTAGTTTACCCCTAAGATTTTGCCACCAATATCTGTGTTAATCATCTATTTGCACATTTTCAAATATGAAGTGGACTGATTAGTGTTCTTACCCTGGATCTCAGGATACTTTGTCATGTAGAGGATAGCCCATCGCAGGGTGGTGGATGTTGTTTCAGAGCCAGCCACAAAAAGTTCCAAGCCGCACATCACAAGGTTTTCTTCCACAAAAGTGTTGCCAGCCTTCCCCTTCCCCTAAGAATAGATCCAAATACATGTGTTAAAAAAGTGCTCTGGTAATTCAAAACAATTAGACAGCAGTGCCACCAAATTAATCTCTAAGTGTTGCAAGCTGCTGTTCCAGGGTTTAAAGTAAGTTGTATTCTGTAAGATAAAATGCCCTCAGAAGTGACAATTAAAAACATGTGTCCTACAAAAATGGACCTCTTTACATTTCATGAACACTACTTAATGAGTGAAAATTAAAGATGTATCTAGTGCCAGTCACCATCTGTATTTCATTCAGGTAGCAGTCAATGTAGTCTCTTTGGTCAGAGGGGTCCCAGTCTTGTTTGTGCTTCTTAATCTCTTCTCTTATGAACTCCTTTGCCTCATTGAAAATATCCAGGAATGTTTGATGTGGTCCTGGTAAACGTCTCATCAGTCGGGGGAAAGAGTTGTGTAACTGCAGAGCAGAACCAATTCAAAATAAAGTGATTTTAGGGTATAGAAAAAAAAATGCATTCTTAATATTGACCCCCCCCCCCCCCCATTTGTTGGGCATTTTAGATCTTAAGTTGTATTTTGTCAGGATCGTTTGAAAATAGCATACCTGTGCCCAAATTGTGCCTTGACACTGAAGTCCTTTATCAAGGCAGCTCATCAGTCTCTGAAACTTCTCATCACTGTACTTAAAGCGATGCCCAAAAACCAGGGAGCACATAATGTTGGAGACAGCATTGTTGAGGGTGAGATATGGATCAAAGGGCTTCCCTTCAAAATAAAACAGAAAGTTAGTTTTTTTGTTTGTTTGTTTATGTGCAGGTTCTTCTGCCAAAATGTATAATTGTACATTCAATCTGTACCTTTATAACTCTGGATGACTTTTGAGAAATGTGTGAATTCATCCAGGATGACTGGTTCAAGTGACTTCTTGCCAAATCCAAAACGTCTTAAGGTGGATAGCGCAAAACGCCTCTGTTGTTTCCACATGTTCCCATTCGTAAAAATGACCCCTGATTGGAAGTACATTAGGAATGAGGGAAAATTAAGCAGCAAAATACTGAGGAGAATCAGAGTTTTTCTATAAACATGTTTTTAATTCATCAGTCTCTGTTGTGTGTATATCTGTGATTGAATCTTTTCAATAAAATGGAAAAAATGTTGCCAATTTTACTCAGTTTCACAGTCAGAAAAACTTTTATGAATTGACTATATTATTACCTTTAAGTTCTAAAACAAATGAAGGAGTCAAGCTTGATTATATCACAGATTTTTTTCATATATTTAATCTCCTTTTATGTTTACTCATGATATTTCAAAAATGCTCATCAATAAGCCGAGTTTTTCAGATATTCATCTGTTACTTCCCAAAAGGGGCAATTATGCGAGCCAATACAGTGACCCACTAACATAACCATTTATTCCCCAGCTGACTCAGTATTTGCCTGTTGTGTGTTTAAAATCCTCTCACCGAATCCATGGTTCAGGTCCTCAAGCAGAGGGAGGGATGGGCGATCGGCTAGACCGTCTCCTTGATTTACAAGAGCTTCTTTCAGAGCAGCAAACCCGTTTAAGATTACATGCCACTCCTGGCCCATTCGCAGGCTGTACACACCTCCATACTTCTTTGCTAACTATGAACAGATTTAAGAGAGGAGGAAAATAAAATGCTTAATATAACTGGAAACATTAAGTTGGTTCTTTCAGTTGACCTGTTGGTTAGATCTTTTTAAACTGGTCCATTTACCTGCATCATACTTTCATGGGTCTTGCTGTGGTCCACTGAGAAAATGTTACCCACGATAGGAAAAGCCCAAGGTCCTGGAGGAAAGCTGGCTGGCCGGCGGTTCTTAATGCAGTCCATAGTGAGGATAAAAATAGTTATGAAGAGCAGCAGACTTTTGACATCCCAGTTTATGCAGGTAGCAACTATGGAGGAGATGAAATCCATTCTGCAGTCAACTCTGTGCAACCAAAGTCTGTGTCAGACAAAAGTTCAGTGTTGTGTTGCCATGAACTATGTCACCGTTCTCTGAGGACAGCACCAGGGAGAGGTCTGAGGCTATTGACTCTTAGCAATACACCAGGGGCGCCCTGGTTAAATAGAACTCTGATCTTTTCATTCATTCAGTTCAATTCAACCTTTTCTCTCACTGTTAATCAGTGACAATAAATCAGTCATTTAACTCTTGTGAATAAGGCTAAGTAAGTTCCAAAATCTAATCAAATTGGAGACCACAGCTGGTTTGAAATGACTTCATGCTGAGGGTTTATTGCTTTCTTATTTTCACTACTGTATCATAATGCATTGCCCTGAAACATCAGCCATGTAAATATGGTCTCTTTCTGCTTTCTGGTCTCTCTTAACATGTCAAACTAATCTAGCTCTGCTAAAAGATATCGGTCATATGGTTATTTGTAGGGTCTGCTCTAAGCAGCTTCGCCATCTATCTGAAGTCTTCGCACCATTAGAAATATGCATTGTGGCTGCTCTGCATGTTGAAAAGTAGCTGATCAAGCTTTCATCAGCAATCCCTGATGAGCCTTTTGACATCTGTCTCAGCGAAATGGGAGGGGTCTAGCAAAGTGAGAGCAGAGCAGTGGATTAAACAGAGTGGCGACAACTTCAGATCTCGCCGCCAGAGCGGTCACGTGGTTCATGTACCCCTCCATAGTTCCAAGCGCAGCCTGCACTGTCCATGCTCTTCAACGGGACAGACTGCAGTGAGCACGCATTTAAGAGGTAAATATTAAAATTACTCGTAAAAAAGTCAACATTTGCAACTCTTATTGGATTACTGTGTACACGTCAAAGTCACGTACGTATATTTAGTGGCTGGATGACAAATAAAAGTGAAATAAGACAAGTTTGGTAACAAGTATTACTTTTTAACAAGAGAAAATATTACAATAAAGTGGTAAGTAACAGGTGGTACAAGCTGTTTCGACAATTGTGCAATGTTTTGGTCTTGCAGCATGGCCTGCATAACATTTTTCCATGTTAAAAATATGCCTTAAATGCTGACAGGATTTAAAAAGTAGCAGTCCCTTAACTCTATCATCCCATAAGCAGAAATCAAATTACATAGCACTTATGTTAGTCTAAAAAGAATAAATTGCACTTAACATTGGGGACTGATAAACGCTGAAATCTAAAATAAAGCCGATAAGTAACCATCTCAACATATGATTGATGATGATGATTTATCTGTGATTCAAAACTCAGTCACACAATAAATTCTGGCAGGCCTCTACAGCTGACGACGTCCAACTAGCAGGCCATGGCTAAAAAATCGATCCCAATTCCTGACTAAAAAAACATGTAATTACATTTGTAATTACAATTTCAGCATACTAAAATTAAAATCATTTTACATATAAAGGGGTCCCTCGATACCATTTACACACATATTGGCATTACCTTCGTTGATACAATATTTTACCTCAGGGAGTGTGGGAGCAAACCGTGGCTAAAAAAATCTATCCCAATTCCTGACTAAAAAAATTTAATTACATTTGGGACAAACGTTTTTACATATAAAGGAGTCCCCGCGATATCAATAACACACATATTGGCATTAAACTTGTTGATATTTTATCATTTAACCTCGGTGAGTGCTTGCCTTGTGGCCATAGAAGCAAACGGCGTCCGACATGACAGGCGGTCATGTTGGAACTATTGAGAGTTCCATAACCTGGAAGTTGGGTCTGCCGGGCTGTACAGCGTATGCCCATGGGAGTGTCGCTACTCTGTTTAATCCACTGCTCTGAGTGAGAGTATACAGTGCATTGATTAGTGTAAATCCAGTGATTTCATCCTGTGAATGAGTTTTGATGGAAAGAGCGAACAATCCCGTCTTTACTACGAATGTCAAAGAGGTGTGATGCTAATTGTCTACTGTCATGCAAATTTTTTCCCTTAAATGTCAGATCAAACTATCTTTGTCTCACTTTATCTGGTTTGGGTCCTTTCCTGGTTACAGTGCAGCATTTCTGCTGTTGTCCCCTCTGAATATGTTATAATATTAAAATTGAAATTTTAATTTTAACTACTTTTGCATAAAATATATAAGGTTAGAATAAATCAGCTCGTTCGTGTTTTACTTTTAGCACTATGTTGAATTCAGAACTACTAATGTACCTTTTTACTAGGAGTCAAGTGAGTGTGGTCAGTTAAATATTTTAATCTGCGTGAACACCATGTCACTCTTCCTCTCAATCCTGTGTGATTTGTGTGTGTCAAATAAGTCAGTTGAATTTAAAGAAAACAATTAAGGAGAATATAACGCTTCATAGTGTGCTAAACCTAACTCCCAACAGAGAGTAATTGCTTTGAAAGGACATTAAAAACAGACTATATGACTTCACTGTTACCCTTTCAGTATCTATCTGAAAAAAACTGATAGGACAATAAGGCCCTTTACAAAAAAGAAACTGCACTCATTACCCTACGCTTGTATGCTTAACAGTGGGGTGGGTTGGTATGCCAAGGTCAAGAAATGGGATTATTCAATCCCATTATTTCAAGGACAACAGTTGGCCAACTACTGATTTAGGATGACAATCAAAAGCTCGTTGAGAAGGTGAGACAAACGAACACGACAAAAGTGAAAAGACATTAACTTTATTGACTTAACAATTGAAAAATAATATAAACTAGGGTCTTCTCACAATGTGATCTAAATTGAAAGCCAAGTGTTTACTAACTCTTCTGAACTGCTTCATCAAGATATATGTGGACACCATTGAAAACAAACAAATAAGAAATGCTTTTGTCAGCACTCTTTATCAGTTACAGCTTCTCTAAGCGTGAGGTTGCACAGATTTCATAGTGATGTGGAGCTAATACGATGCCAAAGTGGTAGTCCAGCACAGGCTTTATTCCAGCAGGCATGGAGAAGGTGAAGTGCTGCATGAAGGAGGTGAAGAGGAGGAAAAGCTCCATCTTGGCCAGGCTTTCACCAAGACACATCCGCTTACCTGAGACAGGAAAATAAATTTAAACAAACAAGAATTTTTGATAAAGTTTAGACCCTGAGGCAAAACTACGTCAGTAGAAATGTTTGTTTTCAGAAGTTCTTTCAAGAAAGGTTATTTTTATTTTAAGTCACCATTGGAAATTTTGCACCGAAATGAAAATTCTTGTTGGACCAGTTTTAATGACAATCCACCCAAACTGATCTTGTGTAGACTGTAAGCGGGAATAGGCCAGCTGACGATGTTCAACATGGCCAACTATTCTTTGATGATGCCACCCAGCCAGTCAAAGCTTTTACACCGATCAGCGTCAATGGTCGACTCGTGTACAAGAATGATGGAAATCGTGACACAGGGGCTAACAACCTTGTCGCTCACCTGATTGTGGATTGTTTGAACTGATCGTTTCTATGATTAATTTAAATGCCTACTGTGCAAAGCAGCCGCATTATGCTCTTGGTGTCAATGGATGGTTAATATCAACCAGAAGTTTGTTGAGTTCTTAAAGAAGGAACTCAGGGAGCAGTTTGGCTTTGGCAGATGCGGCGGACCCCATGCAAGCTGGGCGTGGTGGCACGGTAGGGGGAGGTGTCGACAGAATCAGCTGGCGCAGTGACATTTTCATGCCCGCCGGCAGCATGGAAAGTGCGCTGAAAGCTTGCCGATTCAAACCTGGTCAGTTTTCAGTGCAGGTGGAGCGCAGCTGGTCTAGTGGTATTTTAGTTGACCAGCGGCGTAGTGCGCATATGTCACCAAAGCCTCACTGGCAGGTTTCCACAGTGTCAGGCGCATTTCAGTGCAATAAATGATCAACAACAACCAATATTCAGTGCAAGATCAATATTGATATATTCTGATCTACAGCTTATCAGATGAGCCCGTTTCGCGCGGGTTTGAACACTCATCCTGACTGAACTAACCCAACTGGAACCTCATTAAATATTCAGTAAATAGTCACACATGATGGAGTGAACAAGATGCGTCTGTGTCCTCTCCCCCGACCTGCTGCGGCAGCAAGGCTGAACAGATGACCTATACTGCGCCTGCGCCACGCCGACGGAGAGGCATGAACACAGAGCCCATGATGTTCATCATGTACAAAAATGATGTTCCAGTTTCAATCGAAGATGCTTTTTCAATAGTTAGGCTTCTCAAATTACATTTTTGCAGGTCCTTAAAAACATATCAAAAGCCCTTAAATTTGACTTAAAATAGCGTAAGAACCCTGTGAAATAAAAATGTGGTGCACCATTGGTTCCTCATGATTGCTGAAGCAACCTCTGGGCTTCTTGAATAACAGAAAAAGACTCAAATAAAACAAAGGTCTGTGTTGACCCTCACCTGCAGAGAAAGGGATGAAAGCAGCTGGCTTCACAAACTTGCCGTCCTTAGTCAGAAAGTGTCCTGGGTTGAAGGTGAACGGGGTTTCCCACTCATCCTTGTCATATAGTGCTGAGGTCAAATTTGGAATAACTGTAACCCCCTGTTTGTAAGAATGATATTGTTATTGTGATATTGTTAACTGTAGCCCTGGAGGTCCAAATGTTTCACAGAGCTTAAAAAACACAATAAATCAGAAAACACAATAGCATTTCAACAAAACATGATAGCAAAACACAAACAGTATTTACCAACTTTCAGAGTGATCTGAACCAAATGTTTTGTATCATGAAGAATGCACATGCGTCCAACATTTGTTCAGCCTCTTGTCCTAAAACCAACTTTTAATGCAGTTTTATATTTTTCAAGCAACGCGTATGGATTGTGTTTACTATCGATCTCCTATTTTATTGTAGGATTTTAACCATCAGTTTCTTGGGTCACAAGTTTTATGAGTTACAAGTAATTGCAAAGAATTTATGGCTTCACTTAACTCACTGTTTGGCTACCAGAGTTGTGCTTGGCTAAGCAAGGAAATTAGAGCAGAGAATTTTAAACCTCGACCAAAGTCAGGATGCAGACTTTCATCTGGAAACGATTCCGTTCAGCTAATATTATACAATATAAAGATCTGACATAAAAACACATTTTCTGAAAAGTCACCTTTGGTATAGTGTAACCTTCCAGCTGGATTTCCGTGTTGGTCATATGAGGCGTGCCAAGGGGGACTATGCTACTCATTCTCTGGATCTCATGAAGGACAGCGTCTGTGTAGGGCAGGTGTGCTCGATCATCCATTGACAGCTGTCTGGACCTTCCAATCACTCTGTCGATCTCAGCCTGGACTTTTGCTGTGAGATAAAAAACCATTCAGATGATTTAAGTGTGTAGGCCAGTCCCTGTGTTATCCACTTTTTTTGAGTGTGATGTCTGCGGCATAGAGTTGATGAAGGACTTGTGTTGGCACAATATTTGTCAGGTAAGTTAAGCTCTTTATCGAAACGTGATTGTTTAGTTTACCCCTAAGATTTTGCCACCAATATCTGTGTTAAACACCACATTTGAAAAGGGATAAAAGGGGTGTAAAATTAAGTTATGGTCAAACACACCGTAACACCAAGTTATACACCCCATCGAGAGATAAATGTTGCCAACCGCTTGCTTCTGTAGTTTTACCAACTTTAGTAACGGCCGCACAATAGCAATACACAGCGGTCTGAGGAGCCATAAACAAACCTCAAACAAAAAGCCACTCTATAGCCACAAATAATGCTCAGAACAGCACCTAACTTTATCAACAGTACATATAGGGTCCCAGCCATAGTACAAGCCACCAAACATCTTTTTAGCTTTGCCTGATTTCTATAGCAACGAGACTAAACACAACTCACCTACTTTCTTCCAGCAGCCACTTGTTTGCATGGAGACCACAGATGAGTCCATTATTGCAGTGGGGTGACACAGCTCAAGGAAGAACATTTATGATTATTTCTTCATGGAAATGCAATCAGACAGAGATGCTAAGACAGAAGAACTACCGCATCTGCAGTGCAAAATGATTAATATGATGATTATTACTTCAAGGCAATGATAAAGTAATGATCACAAATGTTCTTTCTTGAGCTGCATCCCCTCGCTGTAGTTCGTCATGGACTGGCCCAAGGTCTCGCTACAAACAAGTGGCTGCTGGAAGAGAGTGGATGAGTTGTGTTTAGTCTCTTTGCCTAAGAAATTAGGCAAAGTTAAAAAGATGTTTTGTGGCTAGTGCTATGGCTGAGACCCTATATGTACTGTTGATTAAGTTAGGTGCTTTTCTGAGCATTATTTCTTGCTATAGAGTGGCTTTTTGGTTGAGCGCATGGCTCTCTGTATTGCTGTCTTGCGGTTGTTACTATAGTTGGTATAACTAGAGAAGCAAGCAGACGGCAAAATTAATCTCTCAACGGGATGTCTAACTCGGTGTTATGGTGTGTTTGACCCTAACTTAATTTTACGCCAGATTATCCCTTTAAGTATGCAGTGGACTGATTAGTGTTCTTACCCTGGATCTCAGGGTACTTTGTCATGTAGAGGATAGCCCATCGCAGGGTGGTGGATGTTGTTTCAGAGCCAGCCACAAAAAGTTCCAAGCCGCACATCACAAGGTTTTCTTCCACAAAAGTGTTGCCAGCCTTCCCCTTCCCCTAAGAATAGATCCAAATACATGTGTTAATAAAGTGCTCTGGTAATTCAAAACAATTAGACAGCAGCGCCACCAAATTAATCTGTAAGTGTTGCAAGCTGCTGTTTCAGGGTTTAAAGTTAGTTGTATTCTGTAAGATATAATGCCCTCAAACAAAGGGACATAGAGTACATGGCAAAAATACAAATAAAGTTATAAACAAACAGCAAGGCTCTTTTTATGAAAAGTCATGTCAGTGCAACATAAACAACATAAGTGACAATTAAAAACATGTTTCCTACAAAAATGGACCTCTTAACATTTCATGAACACTACTTAATGAGTGAAAATTAAAGATGTATCTAGTGCCAGTCACCATCTGTATTTCATTCAGGTAGCAGTCAATGTAGTCTCTTTGGTCAGAGGGGTCCCAGTCTTGTTTGTGCTTCTTAATCTCTTCTCTTATGAACTCCTTTGCCTCATTGAAAATATCCAGGGATGTTTGATGTGGTCCTGGTAAACGTCTCATCAGTCGGGGGAAAGAGTTGTGTAACTGCAGAGCAGAAAAAAATCAAAATAAAGTGATGTTAGGGTATAGAAAAGAAATACATTCTTAATACTGACCCCCCCCCCCCCCCCCCCCCATTTGTTGGGCATTTTAGATCTTAAGTTGTATTTTGTCAGGATCGTTTGAAAATAGCATACCTGTGCCCAAATTGTGCCTTGACACTGGAGTCCTTTATCAAGGCAGCTCATCAGTTTCTGAAACTTCACATCACTGTACTCAAAGCGATGCCCAAAAACCAGGGAGCAGATAATGTTGGAGACAGCGTTGTTGAGGATGAGATATGGATCGAAGGGCTTTCCTTCAAAATAAAACAGAAAGTTAGTTTTTTTTTGTTTGTTTGTTTATGTGCAGGTTCTTCTGCCATAAATTTATAACTGTATATTTAATCTGTACCTTTATAACTCTGGATGTCTCTTGAAAAATGTGTGAATTCATCCAGGATGACTGGTTCAAGTGACTTCTTGCCAAATCCAAAATGTCTTAGGGTGGAGAGCGCAAAACGCCTCTGCTGTTTCCACATGTTCCCATTCGTAAAAATGACCCCTGATTGGAAGAACATTGGGAATGAGGAAAATTTAAGCAGCAAAATACTGAGGAGAATCAGAGTTTTTATATAAACATGTTTATAATTCATCAGTCTTTGTTGTGTGTGCATCTGTGATTGAATCTTTTCAATAAAATGGAAAATATGTCGCCAATTTTACTCAGTTTCACAGTCAGAAAAACTTTTATGAATTGACTATTTCTTTTAAGTTCCAAAACAAATGAAGGAGTCAAGATTGATCAAAACACAGATTTCTTTTTCATATATTTAATCACCTTTTATGTTTACTCGTGATATTTCAAAAATGCTCATAAATAAGCCACTAGAGTTTTTCAGATACTCATCTGCTACTTCTCAATAGGGGCAATTATGCAAGCCAATACAGTGACCCACTAACATAACCATTTAGTCCCACTGCTGACTCAGTATTTGCCTGTTGTGTGTTTAAAATCCTCTCACCGAATCCATGGTTCAGGTCATCAAGCAGAGGGAGGGATGGGCGATCGGCTAGACCGTCTCCTTGATTTACAAGAGCTTCTTTCAGAACAGCAAACCCATTTAAGATTACATGCCACTCCTGGCCCATTCGCAGGCTGTACACACCTCCATACTTCTTTGCTAACTGTGAACAGATTTAAGAGAGGAGGAAAATAAAATGCTTAATATAACTGGAAACATTAAGTTGGTTCTTTGAGTTGACCTGTTGGATATATCTTTTTTAAACTGGTTCATTTACCTGTATCATACTTTCATGGGTCTTGCTGTGGTCCACTGAGAAAATGTTACCCACGATAGGAAAAGCCCAAGGTCCTGGAGGGAAGCTGGATGGCCGGCGGTTCTTAATGCAGTCCATAGTGAGGATAAAAATAGTGGCGAAGAGCAGCAGACTTTTGACATCCCAGTTTACGCAGGTAGCAACTATGCAGGAGATGAAATCCATTCTACAGTCAACTCTGTGCAACCAAAGTCTGTGTCAGACAAAAGTTCAGTGTTGTGTTGCCATGAACTATGTCACCCTTCTCTGAGGACAGCACCAGGGAGAAGCCTGCTGTTGAATCTTAGCAATACACCAGGGGCGCCCTGGTTAAATAGAACTCCAATCTTTTCATTCATTCATTCAATTCATTCATTCAATTCAATTCAACCTTTTCTCTCACTGTTAATCAGTGACAATGAATCAATCATTTAACTCTTGTGAATAAGGCTAAGTAAGTTCCAAAATCTAATCAAATTGGAGACCACAGCTGGTTTGAAATGACTTCATGCTGAGAGTTTATTGTGTTCTTATTTTCACTACTTAATCAGGCCAGTATACATAGCCCTGAAACATCAGCCATGTAAATATGGTCTCTTTCTGCTTTCTGGTCTCTCTTAACATGTCAAACTCAAATCTAGTTTTGCTAAAAGATCCTCTCAATCCAGTGTGATTTGTGTGTGTGTGTCAAATAAGTCAATTAAATTTAAAGAAAACAATTTAGAAGAATATAACACTTTAAAGTGTGTACATGCTAAACCTAACTCTCTTCCACCTCAACTGAAAGTAATTCATTTAAAAGGACTGTTCCTGTCCTTAATGTGTAATGACTGCATTAACATTAAAAACGGACTATATGACTTCACTGTTACCCTTTCAGTATCTATCTAAAATGATAGGACAATAAGGCCCTTTACAAAAAGGAAACTGCACTCATTACCCTACGCTTGTATGCTAAACAGTGGGGTGGGTTGGTATGCCAAGGTCAAGAAATGAGATTATCCAATCCCATTATTTCAAGGACAACAGTTGGCAAACTACTGATTTAGGACAGCGATCAAAAGCTTGTTTAGAAGGTGAGACAAAAGAACATGACAAAAGTGTAAAGACATGAACTTTATTGACTCAATAATTAAAAAGTAATATTAACTGGGGTCTTTTGTGATCTAATGTAAGCTAAATTGAAAGCCAAGTGTTTACTAACTCTTCTGAACTGCTTCATCAAGATATATGTGGACACCATTGAAAACAAACAAAAAATGCTTTTGTCAGCACTCTTTATCAGTTACAGCTTCTCTAGGCGTGAGGTTGCACAGATTTCATAGTGATGCGGTGTTAGAGTGGTTCCAAAGTGGTAGTTCATCACAGGTTTTACTCCAGCTGGCATGGAGAAGGTGAAGTGCTGCATAAGGGAGGTAAAGAAGAGGAAAAGCTCCATCTTGGCCATGTTCTCACCAAGACACAGCCGCTTACCTGACAATGGAGAACAAACTCATAAAAAATGATAAAGTCTTGGCTTTTTGTCAAGTTAGGATTCTTGAAAAGACCACATTCAGGCCTAGCAGCATTTCGAGCTTCGTTTAGTAACATTTAAAGACTTAAATGATTGTGTTGATCCTCACCTGCAGAGAAGGGAATGAAAGCAGCGGGCTTCACAAACTTGCCGTCCTCAGTCAGAAAGTGTCCTGGGTTGAAGGCAAAAGGGGTTTCCCACTCATCTTTGTCATATAGCACTGAGGTCAAATTGGGAATAACTGTAACTCCCTGTTAATAAGAATGGTATCAAAAGTAGGGATGTAAACAATTACCAAATATTGAGTAACAGATTGTAAGACCGTCTTTGAGCTCTCATAGAGATACAGTGTGGTGTTATATTGCATTCAGCTATCAGTGTGTTTCCCTTTGTTTAAGTGTGGCATACAGCACACACTCTCAGCCAGGGACTGTGGCTGGAAGTGTGGTCTTCACAAAGTCTCAGCGAGCTTGTTTTGGAAAATAATTCCCAACAGCCCCCGCTAAAGGCATGGACATTGGGATGCATAGCTAACAGACTAGGAAAATAAATGTACAGTTAGATTTCTAGACTGGCAAAGTTGGCGTGTATTGATTCCTCTTGAACATGAGTTTGCTGCTACCTGACCAGGCTGAGCTTGGACATGCATAGTTTATCAATAATAAACCTCATGGAGAGGGGCCTCAGCAAGACATTCCCAGTTCAACTGCACTGTATGTTTGCGTGCTGATCAGTAGCAGGCTATGCTCCTCTCTTCTCCTGAGTATCCAAAACATGGAGCCACAGATCGGATGACACTACCATACGGTCTATCATTGACCTTTGGCCTTGTACACTTGTGAAGCACCCTATGCTTGAACATGGTGTTTTACGGCCAATCCGTGACTATTACAGAAGTCCAATAATAAAACACCACTTCGGTTCAGACTGAGCAGGCCACTCTTCTCTATCACCCCTCTCTAGGTGTCCTGTGTAGTGAATAAAGAGATCCTATTTAAATGTGTGTAAAATAAAATCCTGTTTTGTTGAAATGTTACCTTTGGGACAGTGTAACCTTTCAGCTGGATCTCTGTGTTGGTCATATGAGGCACACTGAGAGGAATTATGTTGCTTTTTCTCTGGATCTCATGAAGGACAGCCTCTGTATAAGGCAGGTCTACTCGATCTTCCATTGATAGCTTTCCAGACCGCCCAATCACTCTGTCTATCTCAGCCTGGACATTTGCTGTGAGGAAGAAATCATAAGAACCAGATGAATTACATCTGCAGACTTCAGGAGTAGATAATGATTAATGGAGAGATTAGGGTGCAAATTGCCTGGGGGGTTGGGGTTAGGGTTGTTGCCATTTTCCTCCCTCTGCTTTTTAAACCTTTAAACTATTTTAGTTTATTGATACATTTGTGTTTTTAATGATTTAAAAACTAAAGCAAGTCATATCAGCCTCAATATTTTTAGTTTGATGTCTGTGTCAAAGAGTCAGTAAAGAACAGGTGTGTTGGCATTATAGATGTGCACAATTAGCCAACAGGTAAACATTTTGAACCCTTTCATGTCAGTATTATCTTGTAATGGAAAAAAAAACAACCTTATTCATCGAAGTTTTGTTTGAACCTATTAGAAAACCACCAGTAAAAGCATATGTTGCCCATTCATATATTTTTAAATGAGTTATGTTACCCTGGATCTCAGGGTACTTTGCCATGTAGAGGAGAGCCCAGCGCAGACTGGTGGATGTTGTTTCAGAGCCAGCCACAAACAGATCCAAGACACAGGCAACAAGGTTTTCCTCATCAAAAGTGTTGCCAGTCTGCTTCTTACCCTGTCAACATATTCAAATAGGTGTGTTAAGACATGTATTTTGATCATTTTAAGCGATTAGATGGTAATACAACTATATTAATCTGTAGTGGCAACGGTACCCTGAAAAATCTTTCAGTCTGTACTTTCTGAGCATAAAGGGGTATTCTGTCCGGTAAATGGCCCACAAACAAAGTGCCATCATGGACACAGAGACCATGGCAAGACTGTAAATTAGGCTGTAAACAGACAGCAAGCTGATTTTGTACGATCTAAATACAGCGTAACATTTGAGAGCACTAATGTCGGTTATGAAACATGTTTCCCAAGCACTGACCTCCAAATATTTTCATTCACAGTACAATGTACATAATAGAAAGATTCATATAGTGCCAGTCACCATCTGTATCTCATTCAGGTAGCAGTCAATGTAGTCTCTTTGGTGAGAGGGGTCCCAGTCTTGTTTGTGCTTCTCTATCTCTTCTCTTATGAACTCCTTTGCCTCATTGAAAATATACAGGAATGTTTGATGTGGTCCTGGTAAACGTTTCATCAACCGGGGGAAGGAGTTGTATAGCTGCAGAGAAGAACAAATTAAAAATGGTGAGATAAAAAAAGTTTTTTCATAATTTGAGGATTTTTTATCATGTTATTTTCACAATTTTAAGCTTGAATTGAGTTTTTAGAAATATTACAACCATAATAAACCCATTTCATGCATGCCAGAACATTTCTAATGTAAAATATCTTGTAAAATTGTGTTATACAACATTATTATTTCAGTGGATGTTAAAATAGGGATGTCCCGATCAGTTTTTTTCCTCTGATTACAATTTTTTAAATATAGTTTTGGTGAGTCTGAGTCCTGATCCTACAAGTATTTGCCTAGATAATAGAGCTGTCCACATTTTTTTTGTTGTTGTTTCTAAACCTAAAGCAAACCAAATAAATAAAGATGTCTTCAGCTTCTTTCATCGAAGTTGGGGTAGCATACATAAATCACAGATATGATCTGCTCAAATTGCCAAGCATACCAGTCCCCAAATTGAGGCTAGACTCTGGAGTCCTTTTTCAAAGCAGCCAATCAGTTGCTTAAACTTTTCATCGTCATATTCAAAGCGATGTCCAAAAACCAGGGAGCAGATAATGTTGGAGACAGCGTTGTTAATGATGAGGTGTGGATTGAAGGGCTTACCTGCAAAGTTGAACAGAAAATTAGTCGTTGATTTTGTTTATGTAAAAGTTCCTCTGCCTGAGTGTTTCACTTTACCTTTATAGCTTTGGACATTTATTAAACAGTGTGTGAATTCATCTAAGATGATTGATTCAAGTGACTTCTTCCCCAATCCAAAATGCCGGAGAGTTGAGAGTGTGAAACGCCTTTGTTGCTTCCACATTTGCCCATTGGTGAAACCAATTCCTGGTTAGAGATTCACGTCAGGTGGGAAAAGATTGAGTAGAAAACATAGAAAAGACAAACAAAGGATCACATACAATTAAAAAACCATCAGAGCTTGGTCTGCACTTGTTTTATGTTGTGTTTTTGGCCATTTTTTTGTTGTTGTTTTTATTAGATTAGACCACTGAATAGCAACAGGAAATGTGTGGACTAGAGAATGGGGAAAGACATGCAGTAGAGGGCCTTGGCTAGGAATCAAAGCAGCAACAGCTACAATGAGGATTATCACCTTAATACACTTTTTTAAATTAAGATCTTTACAAAACCACCATTTCATAGAGTTGCCAAATTTACTCATTTTCACAGTTGAGAGCTCCTATTAATTTAAATTTTCTCAGTTTATCTCATTTTAACAGTGGAGTTAAGGTTGTTTGTAACACATTGATGTCTGGTTCCATCTTAATTTTCTTGGTTTCTTGTAATTTATAGTTCTTTTTCCTCTGTGTCTCTGCCCCTGTTTTTGAGTAGCACTTACTCTAGATCGTAAATGGACTATGTAAATGTGACGCTTTCTCTAGTCTTTTGATCACTCAAAGCACTTTTTAATTACATGTCACCTTCACCCATTCACACACCGATGGCAAAAGCTGCTATGAATAGAGCCCATCAGTTTTTTACTAATTCCATTCACACACCACCGGGTAAAGCCACTGGGGACGAATGGGGTCAGGTGACATTCCTTCAATTTTGGATACAGAACTGCAAATACAAGGACTAGGATTTGCCCAGTCCATGTTTTACATTTTCTCACCTAGTCCATTGTTTAGGTCCATAACCATAGGTAGTGGTGGGCGGTCTGCCAGACCGTCTCCTTGATTTACAAGAGCTTCTTTCAGAACATCAAACCCATTTAAGATTACATACCATTCCCGGCCCATTCGTAGGCTGTAAACTTTTCCATATTTTTTTGCTAACTGTGAACAGATTTAAAAAAAAAACAGTTAAATAAAATTCTCACATAACATGAAACAAAGTTGCTTTTTTATGTTGACCTTTTCATTTTTAATAGTAATTTTTTTTTTTTTAGACTGGTTCATTTACCTTTGTCATACTCTCATGGGTCTTTTTGTGGTCCAATGAGAAAATGTTACCCACAACAGGCAAAGCCCAAGGTCCTGGAGGAAAGCTGGCTGGCCGGCGGCTCTTAATGCAGTCCATAGTGAGGATAAAAATGATGGTGAAGAGCAGCAGACTTTTGATATCCCAGTTCACACAGGTTACAGTTAGGAAAGAGGTTGAATCCATTCTGCAGTCAGTGGCTCGACTCTGTGTAACCAAAGTCTGTGCTTTAGTCTTCTGTGAGACACAAGATTAGTGTTGCCATAAATCAACGTATGTGACCCTTCTGTGTGAGGGAGACGTCTGATAATATAGGCCCTTGGCAATGTACCAGACGTGTTTTAGATGTATTGAACTTTGCTCTGTTTATTCACCGAACAGGGATTTTGAACATTGGTAATCAGTGACAAAAAATCAATCATACAATATTAGCAAACTTAAATGGCCGAGTTGATCCAAAGAAAAGGAGAGCAGAACCCCCTTATAAAATAGAATAAGCAAACAGTGATGTTTTCCAAAGAATCTTTTTTGTCCACGTAAAAATAATGAGTTTAAAAAAATGAACATAGATTGAAGTGAAAGTTAGCATGTATGAATCTCTGACCTCTTTTGGCATTTTGTGTCTTTTGTTGAAAGTTATTATGAAACTTGTGATTTGTGTGGTACTATTGAAGCAACAAATGCTGGGCTTCCACCACACGATTTTCAGTCCGAGACTAAAAACTGAAAGTCTTAAATAAATCTAGGAGTTTTACTGAAGCCACAGCGCATTCCCGTCATCTCGAACATTAAGTTTCAGATGGTAATCTGTGCCGTTTTATATCAGTCTTTTCCTAGTCTTGGGTTTGCGATAAAATCAAACGTGTTTGATATTATCGCAAACCCAAGACGGAAAGAAGATTCACTGAAAGAAGATTAACTGTGACCAAAGATATGAGCTGTTGTACTCACAATTGCAGAGAAAGAAGAAACTAAGAAAATAATGTACAATCTGTGCATACTGGACTACATCTCCAACACTGCCCTTGATTAAGACTCAGATTATCATAGACACCAACTTTTTTTAGGGTTGCATGAATGCTGTGAGTATTTGCAAAGTAGTCTCATTAAAAACAACAACCCAAAAACATCATAATGAAGCCGAGTCATGGCAAAGTATGTATTTAAACAACCTAACACAACAATGGGGAGTCCATTTGGTAATGCAACAAAAAAATAAAACAACATTGCAACGATTCTAATTTTATTACATTTTACAGCCTTAATTAGATATCAGAAGTGAGCAGTAAGTAATTTTAATATCAGTTAAAGCCATCTCCAAAAATGGTTGCATAAAGATGAGTTGGACTTGTTCCATTTTATACAGTTATTTTTTCATTTTTTATAAAAATTTTACTCAATTTTTTTGCCAGTTAGTGCTTTCCTAAACGTGGGGTTGCACAGATTTCATACTGACGTGGTGCCAGTGTAATGCCCAAGTGGTAGTCCATCACAGGCTTTACTCCAGCAGGCATGGAGAAGGTGAAGTGCTGCATAAAGGAGGTGAAGAAGAGGAAAAGCTCCATCCTTGCCAGGTTCTCACCAAGACACAGCCGCTTACCTGAAAAAAAAAAAAAAAAAAAAGCAGAAAACCAACTAAAATTAAGCTTAAAAAGCATTTGAGTGTTTGAACAAAGACCCTGAGAGGGGTTATTCGGGGTCATTTGGTGATACATTTATTGTGGTTGAAACTATTCTCCTTCATGTCATTGACTTCAGAGTGAAAAAAGGCTTTTACCTGTGAGGGATGCTAATAAAATAAGGGATTGTGTTTTTCTTCACCTGTAGAGAAAGGGATGAAAGCTGCCGGCTTCACAAATTTGCCCTCCTCATTCCGAAAGTGTCCTGGGTTAAAAGTGAAGGGTGTCTCCCACTCATTCTTGTCATACAGCACTGAGGTCAAGTTGGGAATGATGATCACACCCTGGTGATTAGAGCAGTACAATATAAACAATGCAGTACAATACAATAGGATACATGAATGGGTATTTTCAGCCAGATGGGACATTTAACCTTCACAGAGAGCTCTAGATCTACTGCACCATCTGGTCTCCTGCTACTCACACGCCCCTCCCAGAAGCTCTGCAAGGGTAATAAGTTGGTCCACTGTCCTACAGCAAGGACGAAAACTACACTGTTCCTCCTGTATCTGAGGTTATGACATTTGACTAAGGCCTGCTTTCCAGTACCCTAGAGTAAGATTTCTTAGGTGATCCACAAGAAATTGGAGCACACTCTCTGGTCCTCCTTTTTATAAATGGGAAGCACCGCACTGATCAGCCATCAGGCACTGTGCCAGACCTCCACACAACTTTGAAGAGGCGTGTCTGCAAAATTTGATTCATACCTGACATCTTGTCTACTGAGGAGCTTTTTAGTCACTCTGGCAACTTTTAGCAAGGATATTGGCAAGGATTCACCTCCTCATCACAAAGTTCCTCAAAGTTTTCCTGCCACTGCCTGACAGTATCCTCCTGACTTATCTTCTTATTCTTGTCTAACTCCCCACAAAACTGCCTTCTTTTAAAATAATCATGTAGATCTTTTAGGACCCCTACCAGAGTCTCCATGTATTGTTAATAATATAACACTGGATTTCATTATGGCCCAATAGCTTCGAGTTTGATACACTAAAAATTGCATCCATGATAACTAACCTCTGGGATTGTGTAGCCACCCAGCTGGAGATGTTTGTTTGTTTTGTGAGGTAAGCTGAGAGGAACTATGTTGCCCATTCTCTGGATCTCATGTAGGACGGCATCGGTATAGGGGAGGTCTGCTCGAACTTCCATCGATGGCTGTCTAGACTGTCCAATTACTCTGTCAATCTCATCCTGGACTTTTGCTGTAAAGGGGGGCAAATGGACATGAGTTCAAGTACTTCTTCAACAAGTTAGCAGACAGTTTGGTTTTGTTTGGTGAGAGACCTATTCACAAATGGGGGGAAGGTGTCTGTTGCACACTTTTGGCCAGTAAAAGAATTCAATTGGTCTGAATACCTGCATAATGTCCACCAGTATGATTAAATGTGTCACTCATTTGTACAAAATTAACTCTGAATTTGTTTGGTCAGTGTTCTTACCCTGGATCTCAGGGTACTTTGCCATGTAGAGGAAAGCCCAGCGCAGGGTGGTGGATGTGGTCTCAGAGCCAGCCACGAAAAGATCCAAGACACAGGCAACAAGGTTTTCCTCATCAAATGTACTGTCAGCCTGCCCCTTCGCCTAGGAGTATATCCAAATACATGTTTTGGAAGAAGCACTTCTATAATTATCTGTATTGGAAGTAGTAACAGTCAGAGTTTTGCTTTGGTAGTTTGAAATGGGTTGAATTTTGTCAGTGATACTGCATTCAAAGATGAAGTTGTTAGATATAGGCAATGGCAAAAAGCAAAATTATCTGTGCAGAGAGCAAATAATACTTTTCAAAAGAACTTAACCCAAAAAGTCATTGACAAGTTTTATCTAATGCAAATCACCGTCTGTATTTCATTCAGGTAGCAGTCTATGTAGTCCCTCTCGTCTGAAGGATCCCATTTTTTCTTGTGCTCCTTGACCTCCTCTCTTATGAAGTCCTTTACACTGTTGAAAACGTGCAGGAATGTCTGATGTGGTCCCGGCAATTGTCTCATCAGCAGAGGGAATGAGTTGTGAAACTGCAGAGCAGAGCAGATTGAATTAATGATGTACAGTGGAGGGTATGCACTGATCAGCAATAACATGATGGCATAATGACTGCTAATCCTTTCCAGGCCATAGGGTGGCACTGTGTGGCTGCTGTCCCATTAGCAGGTAGAGGAAAAATACTGTGGTGGAGGTTACTGTATTTTTGCATGCTCTCAGTAAAAAGTATAGCAAAATGAAATAATCTGTCTTGCGTTTTCTGTGTAAGTGCTTTACTATTAATACGCTACTGGTGTGATATGTGAGACATCAACTAATCATTCTGTTGTTTTGAAAGGGGCTAGACTTGGATGGCTTAATGACTGTGTCAAAGCATCTTCAAAACTGTAGCTCTTGCAGGGTGTTTCACGTCTGCATGATCACTTTCCTACCAAAGGTTGTCCACTGAAAAAAACTGGTAAACCTGTGGTGCAGTCATGGGCAACCAACTAAGGCTCACTGACATAATTGAGGAGTTAGGGTTACTACGGGTTAGGGTTGCTGGCCCATGTGGTCTGTTTCAACAGAAGAGCTACTGGGACTCACATTTCTAAACCAACAACAACAACAAAAAAAAACCAAAAAAAAAAACAATGCCAACTCTGAAACTGTGAGAAATCAGCAGCGCCTAGATCCAGTGACATCCATGTCTTGTCAGGTAGGGGCTGTTTTGGCTCTGACTTGACAAGACAGGACCTACATAATATTCAGCAGGCGGGCATATTGTTATGGCTGATCAGTGTATTACATAATATTAATACCTTGAAAATGCCTCACCTCTGCCCAAACGGAGGCTAGACCTTGAAGTCCTTTTTCAAAGCAGGCAATCAGTTGCCTAAACTTCTCATCACTGTACTCAAAGCGATGCCCAAAAACCAGGGAGCAGATAATGTTTGAGACAGCGTTGTTGAGGGTGAGGTGTGGATTGAAGGGCTTACCTCCAAAAATAAACAGAGAAAATAGATGTTCAGTTTGTATATGTGAATTTGACATTCTGAATTGATCACTGCACATTCAGTATTTACCTTTAAAGTGATAAAAGTCTTTTGAACAATGTGTGAATTCGTCTAAGATGACTGGTTCAAGAGACTTCTTGCCCAATCCAAAATGCTTGAAGGTTGAGAGCGCAAACCGTCTCTGCTGCTTCCACATGTGTCCACTGGTGAAAATAACACCTGAAGAGAAATACTAATACTAATTACCATCAATAACTTAGTCCACATGGTCGCTTTAAAAATGAATGTTTATCAAGCTTTGACAGTCAAAGCAAAGGCAGAAACTTAGGAGGCTAACCAAATAAATAATTAATGGTCAGGCCAAACAGAGAGTGGTCTTGAAAACCCAAGCAATGCAAGAACAAACTGCAAGACAAAAGGTCAACAAGAGGAAATGCAAATAAATAAAACAATAAAATGTATTTGATTATACAGAGGATTTAGATCAAACAAAGCAGTCATAAGGCGATATCTATATCATTTTTATTTATCTCTTTCTTTACCTAGTTACCTACTTCATTAATTTTTTCATTAACGAACAAAAAGAGTTAGTTGGATACCCATCTAATAAAGTCTAAACTGTGGTTGTGCTAGCAAATCACAGACCTCAATACTTTTTTTCAGAGAGGAGAAACAAGATATTATCCACTGTACTCATTAAGTAATGGTTTCATGTATAATTATCCTAGATTTCATAGTATTAGTGGGTTTAACACAGCAAATACAAAGCTTTATGTTTAGTCAGTGTTTAACATCCTCTCACCAAGTCCATGGGTCAGGTCCATAACCAGAGGGAGGGATGGACGGTCTACCACACTATCTCCTTGATTTACAAGAGCTTCTTTCAGAACATCAAACCCATTTAAGACCACCACCCACTTCCGGACCATTCGCAGGCTGTACACATCTCCATATTTTCTTGCTATCTGTGGGTTTATTCATTACAAAAGGACAAACAAAATGTTCAATATAACATGTGACATTAAGTTGACCTGTTGTGACTTATTTGAGGCTCATTCGTCTACCTGCGTTAAACTCTCATGGGTCTTGTTGTGGTCCACTGAGAAGGTGTTGCCCACGACTGGTAAAGCCCAAGGTCCTGGAGGGAAGCCAGGTGGCCGGAGGTTCTTTATATAATCTACAGTGAGGACAAAGATGGCAGTGAAGAGCAGCAGGCTTTTGACATCCCAGATCAAGTATGTTCCAGCTGTGGAAGTGATCAAATCCATTCTGCAAACAAAAAATTGAGTCCGAGTAACTGAATCTTCTGCTTTACTCGTGTGAGACAAAAAGATATGCTGTCAATCCCCGAGTTATGTCACCCTTACCTCTCCTGTGAGGGAGAAGTTCAGTGTTTATGGCTTGGCAGCATACCAGGGGCAGTCCAGTTGAAATAACCCCTGATCTGGTTATTCCCTGAGCTGCAATGTCCAATACTGTTAATCAGTGACTCTAAATCAACCATTCAGTCACAGTGAGTGATATACAAGGGACAAGCCATATCAAAATTTAGGCAAAGAGGTACTTTAAATTGATTTTACCCATGCACTTTAGCCAAGGGCTCAATATACACCTGACAAAAAGCAACGTGGCATGCAAGACAATTGTCATAGTCATTTCCAACCTGACGCAGTTGTTTTCACACCCTTATCTTATTACAGAATGATGACCTCTAGTATCATGAAAATAAAGATTAAAAGCCCATATTTCTTTGAGGTTTAACACAGGCGACAATAGTAATCTTTACAACCTGGCCAATATGGTTGTTGTGTGTCCTGAGTTTTGAATAATTGATAAAGTTATGTTGCCGTGCCTTGAGCAGTAATGTACACATCTCTGTTAATTTGGAAAAGCATGATCATTTTTGGTTGTGCGGCAGCTCTACTTGACTTAAATAAAAAGGCTAAAAATCCATGATGTAAATTGTAAAATGGCTACATGCTAGTGCACCTAGCTCCTAAAGGGAGATACTGTAATTGGTCTGATTCATGTTGCACCCAGAGGACATGCTTTAACAACTAAGGGACTTAATCAAACCTCTTTGCACCCTATGTGCCTACTTAGCATACAGATTGTGCACAATTTTAACCAAAAAAAATATGGTCAGACACACCCTAATTCACTTTGTACTATATAGGTTTAAGATTGTGCATTTTAAACAGGGTGTTTATGGAAGGTTCATAGTGTATATTGTGTTATCCCTACTTGTCTAGTACATAGACTCCAGGGAGAGATGTTATTGAAGGATATTTGTACTGAGCATTATCCCAACGCTTTTTAGAGTTTTAAGTCTAGACCACATATTCAACTTTTTATTTCTCAAAAAAAGTGGAAATGTTTGAACAAAGGGTGAAAGAACTTAACTTAGCCTAAGACAAAATAAATATATTTTAGTACAGTATGGATGTATACATATACCTCAACATACTTAGGGTTTTATATTTTTGTGTACAGTATACACTGACCCAGGTTTAACAGAGATCATGTTTTAAAAATCTAAACTCATACTCATTTAAACATTCTGCACAATAAATTTTTATTAATGAAAGCATGAAAAATACATACATAAACTCTGTGCTAAGTGTTTAAAAGTATAGTGGTAATCCCATAATTCAAAACAGGGTTAAATACTGAACATTTAAGAAATAAAATGAAGTTGTGTAATCCTGAGTAATGACGACTGAAAACAAAGGTTGTCCCCAATGGCACTTCTTTGGGTTTGTCAGAGCCCCTCTGAGCGTGGTGTTGCACAGATGTCATACTGATGAGGAGCCAGAACGATGCCAAAGTGGGAGTCCATCACAGGTGTCACCCCAGGAGGCATGGAGAAGGTGTAGTGCTGCATGAAGGAGGTGAAGAAGAGGAAAAGTTCCATCTTAGCCAGGCTCTCCCCTGGACACAGCCACTTGCCTGAAACAAAATATTAAACTTGAACCAATGTAATCAATACCCAAGAGCAAAAGCAGAGCCAGGTTTAACGTAGACACACACATCATATCAAACAACTGGACTCTGAGTTAAGTTACAGCTGAATTTTCTGAAATTGAAGGCTTTCTCCTTGCAGTCTATTATAAGCTTCTATCTGCACCCCAAAAAACTGGGGTGTTTTTTTCATTAAGAGAAAAGCCCAGAGTAAGGTAGCGTTTGTGGTTTCAGAGCCAGCTACAAACAGATCCAAGGCGCACATTATCAGGTTTTCCTCTTCAAAAGTATTTTCAGCCTGCTCCTTACCCTGAAATTATATTCAGTTTTTTTAGAAACATGCTTCTAAATAGTTCAGGGCTAAACTTTATTCACCCAGCCTAAAGGTCCTGATTCTAAGTTCTGGGTCCCTGGCAATGACTGTTGGGTACAAACTGCAAAGCTTTGTTCTGCAGGTAGGGCTTGGCTTTTCATTGACCGTGGGTTCGAATAGTTCTGTGGGTATAGTATCTCTCCTAAGCCACTATGTATTCTGCAGTTGTGAGTAGAGAGCACCTTGATAGCTCAGTTGGTAGAGCGTTGGACTGTAAGATGCTCCTTGTGTGAAACGCTGTGATCCAAAGGTCGCTGCTTCATCTCCACCTCCAAGCACCTCCTTGTCATTGGAAATACCCCCAAGCCTTGTCTTTATCTGTCAACTCCTCCAAAATGTAAAAACACGAACAAGATAACTCTTTCTTAAATTTTCAACCATCAATTTTTTATTAACCCAGCCTAAAGGTCCTGATTCTAAGTTCTGGGTCCCTGGCAATGACTGTTGGGTACAAACTGCAAAGCTTTGTTCTGCAGGTAGGGCTTGGCTTTTCATTGACCGTGGGTTCGAATAGTTCTGTGGGCATAGTATCTCTCCTAAGCCACTATGTATTCTGCAGTTGTGAGTAGAGAGCACCTTGATAGCTCAGATGGTAGAGCAGTGGACTCTAAAATGCTCCTTGTGTGAAACACTGTGATCCTAAGGTCGCTGGTCCAACTCCAGCTCCAAGCACCTCCTTGTCATTGGAAATACCCCCAAGCCTTTTCTTTATCTGTCAACTTCTCCAAAATGTAAAAACACAAACAAGATAACTCTTTCTTAAATTTTCAACCATCAATTTTTTATTCACCCAGCCTAAAGGTCCTGATTCTAAGTTCTGGGTCCCTGGCAATGACTTTTGGGTACAAACTGCAAAGCTTTGCTCTGCAGGTAGGGCTTGGCTTTTCATTGACCATGGGTTCGAATAGTTCTGTGGGCATAGTATCTCTCCTAAGCCACTATGTATTCTGCAGTTGTGAGTAGAGAGCACCTTGATAGCTCGGTTGGTAGAGCGTTCGACTGTAAGATGCTCCTTGTGTGAAAAGTTGTGATCCTAAGGTTGCTGGTTCAACTCCAGCTCCAGGCACCTCCTTGTCATTGGAAATACCCCAAAGCCTTGTCTTTATCTGTCAACTCCTCCAAAATGTAAAAACACAAACAAGATAACTCTTTCTTAAATTTTCAACCATCAATTTTTTATTCACCTAGCCTAAAGCTCCTGATTCTAAGTTCTGGGTCCCTGGCAATGACTTTTGGGTACAAACTGCAAAGCTTTGTTCTGCAGGTAGGGCTTGGCTTTTCATTGACCGTGTGTTCGAATAGTTCTGTGGGCATGGTATCTCTCCTAAGCCACTATGTATTCTGCACTTGTGACTAGACATCAGCTTGATAGCTCAGTTGGTAGAGCGTTGGACTGTAAGATGCTCCTTGTGTGAAATGCTGTGATCCTAAGGTCCCTGTTTCAACTCCAGCTCCATGCACCTCCTTGTCATTCGGAAATACCCCCAATCCTTGTCTTTATCTGTCAACTCCTCCAAAATGTAAAAACACAAAAAAGATAACTCTTTCTTAAATTTTCAACCATCAATTTTTTATTCACCCAGCCTAAAGGTCCTGATTCTAAGTTCTGGGTCCCTGGCAATGACTGTTGGGTACAAACTGCAAAGCTTTGTTCTGCAGGTAGGGCTTGGCTTTTCATTGACCGTGGGTTCGAATAGTTCTGTGGGCATAGTATCTCTCCTAAGCCACTATGTATTCTGCAGTTGTGAGTAGAGAGCACCTTGATAGCTCAGTTGGTAGAGCGTTGGACTGTAAGATGCTCCTTGTGTGAAACGCTGTGATCCTAAGGTCGCTGGTTCAACTCCAGCTCCAAGCACCTCCTTGTCATTGGAAATACCCCAAAGCCTTGTCTTTATCTGTCAACTCCTCCAAAATGTAAAAACACAAACAAGATAACTCTTTCTTAAATTTTCAACCATCAATTTTTTATTCATCCAGCCTAAAGGTCCTGATTCTAGGTTCTGGGTCCCTGGCAATGACTGTTGGGTACAAACTGCAAAGCTTTGTTCTGCAGGTAGGGCTTGGCTTTTCATTGACCGTGGGTTCGAATACTTCTGTGGGCATAGTATCTCTCCTAAGCCACTATGTTTTCTGCAGTTGTGAGTTGAGAGCAGCTTGATAGCTCAGTTGGTAGAGCGGTAGACTGTATAATGCTCCTTGTGTGAAACGCTGTGATCCTAAGGTCCCTTATTCAACTCCAGCTCCAAGCACCTCCTTGTCATTGGAAATACCCCCAAGCCTTGTCTTTATCTGTCAACTCCTCCAAAATGTAAAAACACAAACAAGATAACTTTTTCTTAAATTTTCAACCATCAATTTTTTATTCACCCAGCCTAAAGGTCCTGATTCTAAGTTCTGGGTCCCTGGCAATGACTGTTGGGTACAAACTGCAAAGCTTTGTTCTGCAGGTAGGGCTTGGCTTTTCATTGACCATGGGTTCGAATAGTTCTGTGGGCACAGTATCTCTCCTAAGCCACTATGTATTCTGCAGTCGTGAGTAGAGAGCACCTTGATAGCTCAGTTGGTAGAGCGTTGGACTGTAAGATGCTCCTTGTGTGAAATGCTGTGATCCTAAGGTCGCTGGTTCAACTCTAGCTCCAAGCTCATCCTTTTCTTTGGAAATACCCCCAAGCCTTGTCTTTATCTGTCAACTCCTCCAAAATGTAAAAACACAAACAAGATAACTCTTTCTTAAATTTTCAACCATCAATTTTTTATTCATCCAGCCTAAAGGTCCTGATTCTAAGTTCTGGGTGCCTGGCAATGACTTTTGGGTACAAACTGCAAAGCTTTGTTCTGCAGGTAGGGCTTGGCTTTTCATTGACCGTGGGTTTGAATAGTTCTGTGGGCATAGTATCTCTCCTAAGCCACTATGTATTCTGCAGTTGTGAGTAGAGAGCACCTTGATAGCTCAGTTGGTAGAGCGTTGGACTGTAAGATGCTCCTTGTGTGAAACGCTGTGATCCTAAGGTCCCTTTTTTCAACTCCAGCTCCAAGCACCTCCTTGTCATTGGAAATACCCCCAAACCTTGTCTTTATCTGTCAACTCCTCCAAAATGTAAAAACACAAACAAGATAACTCTTTCTTAAATTTTCAACCATCAATTTTTTATTCACCCAGCCTAAAGGTCCTGATTCTAAGTTCTGGGTCCCTGGCTATGACTGTTGGGTACAAACTGCAAAGCTTTGTTCTGCAGGTAGGGCTTGGCTTTTCATTGACCGTGGGTTCGAATAGTTCTGTGGGCATAGTATCTCTCCTAAGTCACTATGTATTCTGCAGATGTGAGTAGAGAGCAGCTTGATAGCTCAGTTGGTAGAGCGGTGGACTGTAAGATGCTCCTTGTGTGAAACGCTGTGATCCTAAGGTCGCTGGTTCAACTCCAGCTCCAAGCACCTCCTTGTCATTGGAAATACCCCCAAACCTTGTCTTTATCTGTCAACTCCTCCAAAATGTAAAAACACAAACATGATAACTCTTTCTTAAATTTTCAACCATCAATTTTTTATTCACCCAGCCTAAAGGTCCTGATTCCAAGTTCTGGGTCCCTGGCAATGACTGTTGGTTACAAACTGCAAAGCTTTGTTCTGCAGGTAGGGCTTGGCCTTTCATTGAACGTGGGTTCGAATAGTTCATTGGGCTTAGTATCTCTCCTAAGCCACTTTGTATTCTGCAGTTGTGAGTAGAGAGCACCTTGATAGCTCAGTTGGTAAAGAGTTGTACTGTAAGATGCTCCTTGTGTGAAACGCTGTGATCCTAAGGTCCCTGGTTCAACTCCAGCTCCAAGCACCTCCTTGTCATTGGAAATAACCCCAAGCCTTGTCTTTATCTGTCAACTCCTCCAAAATGTAAAAACACAAACAAGATAACTCTTTCTTAAATTTTCAACCATCAATTTTTTATTCACCCAGCCTAAAGGTCCTGATTCTAAGTTCTGGGTCCCTGGCAATGACTGTTGGGTACAAACTGCAAAGCTTTGTTCTGCAGGTAGGGCTTGGCTTTTCATTGACCGTGGGTTCGAATAGTTCTGTGGGCATAGTATCTCTCCTAAGTCACTATGTATTCTGCAGTTGTGAGTAGAGAGCAGCTTGATAGCTCAGTTGGTAGAGCGGTGGACTGTAAGATGCTCCTTGTGTGAAACGCTGTGATCCTAAGGTCGCTGGTTCAACTCCAGCTCCAAGCACCTCCTTGTCATTGGAAATACCCCCAAACCTTGTCTTTATCTGTCAACTCCTCCAAAATGTAAAAACACAAACAAGATAACTCTTTCTTAAATTTTCAACCATCAATTTTTTATTCACCAAGCCTAAAGGTCCTGATTCTAAGTTCTGGGTCCCTGGCAATGACTGTTGGGTACAAACTGCAAGGCTTTGTTCTGCAGGTAGGGCTTGGCTTCTCATTGACCATGGGTTCGAATAGTTCTGTGGGCTTAGTATCTCTCCTAAGCCACTATGTATCCTGCAGTTGTGAGTAGAGAGCACCTTGATAGCTCAGTTGGTAGAGAGGTGGACTGTAAGATGCTCCTTGTGTGAACGATGTGATTCTAAGGTTGCTGGTTCAACTCCAGCTCCAAGCACCTCCTTCTCATTGGAAATACCCCCAAGCCTTGTCTTTATCTGTCAACTCCTCCAAAATGTAAAAACACAAACAAGATAACTCTTTCTTAAATTTTAAACCATCAATTTTTTATTCACCCAGCCTACAGGTCCTGATTCTAAGTTCATGGTCCCTGGCAATGACTGTTGGGTACAAACTGCAAAGTTTTGTTCTGCAGGTAGGGCTTGGCTTTTCATTGACCGTGGGTTCGAATAGTTCTGTGGGCATAGTATCTCTCCTAAGCCACTATGTATTCTGCAGTTGTGAGGAGAGAGCACCTTGATAGCTCAGTTGGTTAAGCGTTGGACTGTAAGCTGCTCGTTGTGTGAAACGCTGTGATCCTAAGGTCGCTGGTTCAACTCCAGCTCCAAGCTCCTCCTTGTCACTGGAAATACCCCCAAGCCTTGTCTTTATCTGTCAACTCCTCCAAAATGTAAAAACACAAACAAGATAACTCTTTCTTAAATTTTCAACCATCAATTTTTTATTCACCCAGCCTACAGGTCCTGATTCTAAGTTCATGGTCCCTGGCAATGACTGTTGGGTACAAACTGCAAAGCTTTGTTCTGCAGGTAGGGCTTGGCTTTTCATTGACCGTGGGTTCGAATAGTTCTGTGGGCATAGTATCTCTCCTAAGCCACTATGTATTCTGCAGTTGTGAGGAGAGAGCACCTTGATAGCTCAGTTGGTAAAGCGTTGGACTGTAAGCTGCTCGTTTTGTTAAACGCTGTGATCCTAAGGTCGCTGGTTCAACTCCAGCTCCAAACACCTCCTTGTCACTGGAAATACCCCCAAGCCTTGTCTTTATCTGTCAACTCCTCCAAAATGTAAAAACACAAACAAGATAACTCTTTCTTAAATTTTCAACCATCAATTTTTTATTCACCCAGCCTAAAGGTCCTGATTCTAAGTTCTGGGTCCCTGGCAATGACTGTTGGGTACAAACTGCAAAGCTTTGTTCTGCAGGTAGGGCTTGGCTTTTCATTGACCGTGGGTTCGAATAGTTCTGTGGGCATAGTATCTCTCCTAAGCCACTATGTATTCTGCAGTTGTGAGCAGAGAGCACCTTGAAAGCTCAGTTGGTAAAGCGTTGGACTGTAAGATGCTCCTTGTGTGAAACGCTGTGATCCTAATGTCCCTGGTTCAACTCCGGCTCCAATCACCTCCTTGTCATTCAAAATACCCCCAATCCTTGTCTCTTTCTGTCAACTCCTCCAAAATGTAAAAACATAAACAAGATAACTCTTTCTTAAATTTTCAACCATCAATTTTTTCTTCACCCAGCCTAAAGGTCCTGATTCTAAGTTCTGGGTCCTTGGCAATGACTGTTGGGTACAAACTGCAAAGCTTTGTTCTGCAGGTAGGGCTTGGCTTTTCATTGACCATGGGTTCGAATAGTTCTGTGGGCATAGTATCTCTCCTTAGCCACTATGTATTCTGCAGTTGTGAATAGAGAGCACCTTGATAGCTCAGTTGGTAGAGCGGTCGACTGTTAAATCCTCCTTGTGTGAAACGCTGTGATCCTAAGGTCGCTGGTTCAACTCCAGCTCCAAGCACCTCCTTGTCATTGGAAATACCCCCAATCCTTGTCTTTATCTGTCAACTCCTCCAAAATGTAAAAACACAAACAAGATAACTCTTTCTTAAATTTTCAACCATCAATTTTTTCTTCACCCAGCCTAAAGGTCCTGATTCTAAGTTCTGGGTCCCTGGCAATGACTGTTGGGTACAAACTGCAAAGCTTTGTTCTGCAGGTAGGGCTTGGCTTTTCATTTACCGTGGGTTCGAATAGTTCTATGGGCTTAGTATCTCTCCTAAGCCACTATGTATTCTGCAGTTGTGAGTAGAGAGCACCTTGATAGCTCAGCTGGTAGAGCCGTTGACTATTAGATGCTCCTTGTGTGAAACGCTGTCATCCTAAGGTCGATGGTTCAACTCCAGCTACAAGCCCCTCCTTGTTATTGGAAATACCCCCAAGCCTTGTCTTTATCTGTCAACTCCTCCAAAATGTAAAAACACAAACAAGATAACTCTTTCTTAAATTTTCAACCATCAATTTTTTATTCACCCAGCCTAAAGGTCCTTATTCTAAGTTCTGGGTCCCTGGCAATGACTGTTGGGTACAAACTGCAAAGCTTTGTTCTGCAGGTAGGGCTTGGCTTTTCATTGATCGTGGGTTCGAATAGTTCTGTGGGCTTAGTATCTCTCCTTAGCCACTATGTATTCTGCAGTTGTGAGTAGAGAGCACCTTGATAGCTCAGTTGGTAAAGCGGTGGACTGTAAGATGCTCCTTGTGTGAAATGCTGTGATCCTAAGGTCGATGGTTCAACTCCAGCTACAAGCACCTCCTTGTCATTCTAAATACCCCCAATCCTTGTCTCTAGCTGTCAACTCCTTCAAAATGTAAAAACAAAAACAAGATAACTCTTTCTTAAATTTTCAACCATCAATTTTTTATTCACCCAGCCTAAAGGTCCTGATTCTAAGTTCTGGGTCCCTGGCAATGACTGTTGGGTACAAACTGCAAAGCTTTGTTCTGCAGGTAGGGCTTGGCTTTTCATTGACCGTGGGTTCGAATAGTTCTGTGGGCTTAGTATCTCTCCTAAGCCACTATGTATTCTGCAGTTGTGATTCGAGAGCACCTTGATAGCTCAGTTGGTAAAGCGTTGGACTGTAAGATGCTCCTTGTGTGAAACGCTGTGATCCTAAGGTCGCTGGTTCAACTCCAGCTCCAACCACCTCCTCGTCATTGGAAATACCCCCAAGCCTTGTCTTTATCTGTCAACTCCTCCAAAATGTAAAAACACAAACAAGATAACTCTTTCTTAAATTTTCAACCATCAATTTTTTATTCACCCAGCCTAAAGGTGCTGATTCTAAGTTCTGGGTCCCTGGCAATGACTGTTGGGTACAAACTGCAAAACTTTGTTCTGCAGGTAGGGCTTGGCTTTTCATTTACCGTGGGTTCTAAAAGTTCTATGGGCATAGTATCTCTCCTAAGCCACTATGTATTCTGCGGTTGTCAGTAGCGATCACCTTAATAGCTCAGTTGGTAGAGCAGTGGACTTTAAGATGCTCCTTGTGTGAAACGCTGTGATCCTAAGGTCCCTGCTTCAACTCCGGCTCCAATCACCTCCTTGTCATTGAAAATACCCCCAATCCTTGTCTCTTTCTGTCAACTCCTCCAAAATGTAAAAACATAAACAAGATAACTCTTTCTTAAATTTTCAACCATCAATTTTTTCTTCACCCAGCCTAAAGGTCCTGATTCTAAGTTCTGGGTCCTTGGCAATGACTGTTGGGTACAAACTGCAAAGCTTTGTTCTGCAGGTAGGGCTTGGCTTTTCATTGACCATGGGTTCGAATAGTTCTGTGGGCATAGTATCTCTCCTTAGCCACTATGTATTCTGCAGTTGTGAATAGAGAGCAGCTTGATAGCTCCGTTGGTAGAGCGGTCGACTGTTAAATCCTCCTTGTGTGAAACGCTGTGATCCTAAGGTCGCTGGTTCAACTCCGGCTCCAAGCACCTCCTTGTCATTGGAAATACCCCCAATCCTTGTCTTTATCTGTCAACTCCTCCAAAATGTAAAAACACAAACAAGATAACTCTTTCTTAAATTTTCAACCATCAATTTTTTATTCACCCAGCCTAAAGGTCCTGATTCTAAGTTCTGGGTCCCTGGCAATGACTGTTGGGTACAAACTGCAAAGCTTTGTTCTGCAGGTAGGGCTTGGCTTTTCATTGACCGTGGGTTCGAATAGTTCTGTGGGCATAGTATCTCTCCTAAGCCACTATGTATTCTGCAGTTGTGAGTAGAGAGCACCTTGATAGCTCAGTTGGTAGAGCCGTTGACTATTAGATGCTCCTTGTGTGAAACGCTGTCATCCTAAGGTCGATGGTTCAACTCCAGCTACAAGCACCTCCTTGTTATTGGAAATACCCCCAAGCCTTGTCTTTATCTGTCAACTCCTCCAAAATGTAAAAACACAAACAAGATAACTCTTTCTTAAATTTTCAACCATCAATTTTTTATTCACCCAGCCTAAAGGTCCTTATTCTAAGTTCTGGGTCCCTGGCAATGACTGTTGGGTACAAACTGCAAAGCTTTGTTCTGCAGGTAGGGCTTGGCTTTTCATTGATCGTGGGTTCGAATAGTTCTGTGGGCTTAGTATCTCTCCTTAGCCACTATGTATTCTGCAGTTGTGAGTAGAGAGCACCTTGATAGCTCAGTTGGTAAAGCGTTGGACTGTAAGATGCTCCTTGTGTGAAACGCTGTGATCCTAAGGTCGCTGGTTCAACTCCAGCTACAAGCACCTCCTTGTCATTCTAAATACCCCCAATCCTTGTCTCTAGCTGTCAACTCCTTCAAAATGTAAAAACACAAACAAGATAACTCTTTCTTAAATTTTCAACCATCAATTTTTTATTCACCCAGCCTAAAGGTCCTGATTCTAAGTTCTGGGTCCCTGGCAATGACTGTTGGGTACAAACTGCAAAACTTTGTTCTGCAGGTAGGGCTTGGCTTTTCATTTACCGTGGGTTCTAAAAGTTCTATGGGCATAGTATCTCTCCTAAGCCACTATGTATTCTGCGGTTGTCAGTAGCGATCACCTTAATAGCTCAGTTGGTAGAGAAGTGGACTTTAAGATGCTCCTTGTGTGATACGCTGTGATCCTTAGGTCGCTGGTTCAAGTCCAGCTCCAAGCACCTCCTTGTCATTGGAAATACCCCCAATCCTTGTCTTTATCTGTCAACTCCTCCAAAATGTAAAAACACAAACAAGATAACTCTTTCTTAAATTTTCAACCATCAATTTTTTATTCACCCAGCCTAAAGGTCCTGATTCTAAGTTCTGGGTCCCTGGCAATGACTGTTGGGTACAAACTGCAAAGCTTTGTTCTGCAGGTAGGGCTTGGCTTTTCATTGACCGTGGGTTCGAATATTTCTGTGGGCATAGTATCTCTCCTAAGCCACTATGTATTCTGCAGTTGTGATTCGAGAGCACCTTGATAGCTCAGTTGGTAAAGCGTTGGACTGTAAGATGCTCCTTGTGTGAAACATTGTGATCCTAAGGTCCCTGGTTCAACTCCAGCTACAAGCACCTCCTCGTCATTGGAAATACCCCCAAGCCTTGTCTTTATCTGTCAACTCCTCCAAAATGTAAAAACACAAACAAGATAAATCTTTCTTAAATTTTCAACCATCAATTTTTTATTCACCCAGCCTAAAGGTGCTGATTCTAAGTTCTGGGTCCCTGGCAATGACTGTTGGGTACAAACTGCAAAACTTTGTTCTGCAGGTAGGGCTTGGCTTTTCATTTACCGTGGGTTCTAAAAGTTCTATGGGCATAGTATCTCTCCTAAGCCACTATGTATTCTGCAGTTGTCAGTAGCGATCACCTTAATAGCTCAGTTGGTAGAGCAGTGGACTTTAAGATGCTCCTTGTGTGATACGCTGTGATCCTTAGGTCGCTGTTTCAAGTCCAGCTCCAAGCACCTCCTTGTCATTGGAAATACCCCCAATCCTTGTCTTTATCTGTCAACTCCTCCAAAATGTAAAAACACAAACAAGATAACTCTTTCTTAAATTTTCAACCATCAATTTTTTATTCACCCAGCCTAAAGGTCCTGATTCTAAGTTCTGGGTCCCTGGCAATGACTGTTGGGTACAAACTGCAAAGCTTTGTTCTGCAGGTAGGGCTTGGCTTTTCATTTACCGTGGGTTCGAATAGTTCTGTGGGCTTAGTATCTCTCCTAAGCCACTATGTATTCTGCAGTTGTGAGTAGAGAGCACCTTGATAGCTCAGTTGGTTAAGCGTTGGACTGTAAGATGCTCCTTGTGTGAAACGCTGTGATCCTATGGTCGCTGGTTCAACTCCAGCTACAAGCACCTCCTTGTCATTGGAAATACCCCCAATCCTTGTCTCTATCTGTCAACTCCTCCAAAATGTAAAAACACAAACAAGATAACTCTTTCTTAAATTTTCAACCATCAATTTTTTATTCACCCAGCCTAAAGGTCCTCACTCTGAATTCTGGGTCCCTGGCAATGACTCTTGGGTACAAACTGCATAGCTTTGTTCTGCAGGTAGGGCTTGGCTTTTCATTGACCGTGGGTCGGAATAGTTCTGTGGGCATAGTATCTCTCCTAAGCCACTATGTATTCTGCAGTTGTGAGTAGAGAGCACCTTGATAGCTCAGTTGGTAGAGCGTTGGACTGTAAGATGCTCCATGTGTGAAAGGCTGTGATCCTAAGGTCGCTGGTTCAACTCCAGCCTCAAGCACCTCCTTGTCATTGGAAATATCCCCAAGCCTTGTCTTTATCTGTCAACTCCTCCAAAATGTTAAAACAGAAACAAGATAACTCTTTCTTAAATTTTCAACCATCAATTTTTGCAAACAAAAAATTGAGTCTGAGTAACTTAATCTTCTGCTTTACTCGTGTGAGACAAAAGGATATGCTGTCAATCCCCGAGTTATGTCACCCTTACTTGTCCTGTGAGGGAGAAGCTCAATGTTTATGGCTTGGCAGCATACCAGGGGTAGTCCAGTTGAAATAACCCCTGATCTGGTTATTCCCTGAGCTGCAATGTCCAATACTGTTAATCAGTGACTCTAAATCAACCATTCAGTCACAGTGAGTGATATACAAGGGACAAGCCATATCAAAATTTAGGCAAAGAGGTACTTTAAATTGATTTTACACATGCATTTTAGCCAAGGGCTCAATATACACCTGACAAAAAGCAACGCGGCATGCAAGACAATTGTCATAGTCATTTCCAACCTGAAACAGTTGTTCTCACACCCTTATCTTATTACAGTATGATGACCTCTAGTATCATGAAACTTAAGATTAAAAGCCCATATTTCTTTGAGGTTTAACACAGGCGACAATAATAATCTTTACAACCTGGCCAATATGGTTGTTGTGTGTCCTGAGTTTTGAATAATTGATAAAGTTATTTTGCCGTTCCTTGAGCAGTAATGTACACATCTCTGTTAATTTGGAAAAGCATGATCATTTTTTGTTGTGCAGCAGCTCCACTTGACTTAAATAAAAAGGCTAAAAATCCACAATGTAAATAGTAACATGGCTACATGCTGGTGCACCTAGCTCCTAAAGGGAGATACTGTAATTGGTCTGATTCATGTTGCACACAGAGGACATGTTTTAATAACTAAGGGACTTAATCAAACCTCTTTGCACCCTATTTGCTTCACTTTGTGTACAGATTGTGCACAATTTAACCAGAAAGAATGTGCTCAGACACACCCTTATTCACTTTGTACTATATAGGTTTAAGATTGTATATTTTAAACAGAGTGTTTATGGAAGGTTCATAGTGTATATTGTGTTATCCCTACCTGTCAATGAGGCTTCTGAAGGTTTGTTTTTTGGGTATGGAATGATTTCTTCCTTTAAGTAATATTTTATCTTAATATTTAATATTCAGATCTAATACATAGATTCCAGGGAGGGATGTTATTGAAGGATATTTGTACTGAGCATTATCCCAACGCTTTTTAGTGTTTTAAGTCTAGACCACATATTCAACTTTTAATTTCTCAAAAAAAGTGGAAATGTCTGGACAAAGGGTGCCAGAGCTCAACTTAGCCTAAGACAAAACTAAATATATTTTAATACAGTATGGATGTATACATATACCTCAACATACTTAGGCTTTTATATTTTTGTGTATACTATGACCCAGGTTTAACAGAGATCATGTTTTGAAAATCTAAACTCATACTCATTTAAACATTTTGCATAAGAAATTTTTATTAATGAAAGCATGAAAAATACATACATAAATTCTGTGCTAAGTGTTATAATCCCAAAATTCAAAACAGGGCTAAATACTGAACATTTAAGAAATAAAATGAAGTTGTGTAATCCTGAGGAATGACGACTGAAAACAAAGGTTGTCCCCAATGGAACTTCTTTGGGTTTGTCAGAGCCCCTCTGAGCGTGGTGTTGCACAGATGTCATACTGATGAGGAGCCAGAACGATGCCAAAGTGGGAGTCCATCACAGGTGTCACCCCAGGAGGCATGGAGAAAGTGAAGTGCTGCATGAAGGAGGTGAAGAAGAGGAAAAGTTCCATCTTAGCCAGGCTCTCCCCTGGACACAGCCGCTTGCCTGAAACAAAAGATTAAACTTGAACCAATGTAATCAATTCCCAAGAGCAAAAGCAGAGCCAGGGTAAACGTGGTCACACACATCATATCAAACAACTGGACTCTGAGTTAAGTTACAGCTGAGTTTTCTGAAATTTGAGGTTTTCTCCTTGCAGTCTATTATAAGCTTCTATCTGCTGTTTTTGTCTGTCCAACAGTACCAAAGAAGCACCACTCATGATCCTCTGTCTCACGGTACATATTAGAAAAATCAGTCCCTGCAATGTTTTCAATCTGTTTTTATTGAAGATAAGTTTTCTATTATCATGAGCAGATCTACCTTGGCCCCACTCTACAGTAAAAGACTCTAAGCAAACAAGTTATAGAGTATATCCTCACCTGCAGAGAAAGGGATGAAAGCAGCTGGCTTCACAAACTTGCCCTCCTCGTTCAGAAAGTGTCTTGGGTTGAAGGTGTGGGGCGTCTCCCACTCATTCTCATCATACAGGACTGAGGTCAAGTTGGGCATGACTGTAATTCCCTAGTGATTGGAGGAATGTAATGTCACATTTAATCCATTAAGTTTAAAAAGGGTGGAGGTTTATGGAACATAAACTGACCTTAGGGATAGTGTATCCTCCAATATGTATTTCATTGCTGGTGAAATGAGACAAGCTGAGAGGGACAGTGTTGCCCATTCTCTGGACCTCATGGATGACAGCATCAGTATAGGGGAGGTTAACACGATCTCCTGTTGATGGCTGCTTGGACCCAATCACTTCCTCTATCTCGATCTGGACCTTTTCTGTGCAACAGGAAAAGAAAACAAGCAACACGTTGACACATATTTTATCAAAACACTACAAGAGTATGTATGAAACACTGTCAAAGAGATGAAACAAAATATAGCAGGGGGTTGTTGCTGTTGTTTTTTATTTTTCCACCTGTGACACACAAAGTTGCTGTTAAGTAGATTGGAGAAAACAATGTTTGCGTGACATCTGTTGCTTTAAAGTGACAAGAATGACATGATATATATAAGCGAGTGTTGAGCTTTCAAACAACAAAATCACAACAATAGGACATGTTTTGGTACCACCCATTTGCACAAAATAAAGTCAAATGTTAGTGCTCTTACTCTGGATCTCAGGGTACTTTGCCATGAAGAGAAAAGCCCAGAGTAAGGTAGCGGTTGTGGTTTCAGAGCCAGCTACAAACAGATCCAAGACGCACATTATCAGGTTTTCCTCTTCAAAAGTATTTTCAGCCTGCTCCTTTCCCTGAAAATATATTCAGTTTTGTTAGAAACATGCTTCTAAATAGTTCAGGGCTAAACTTTAAATTAAATGTCCAATATATACCTTAAATCTGTGGACTTAAACTTGTGTGTCTAATTCGCTTAAAATGTGTGTGTATCTTGTCATTGATAAGATGTTCAGAGCAAGTGCTGTGAGGCAGAGGACATGTAAACAGCACAAATCAAGTCCATCTGCCTTTCAACAAATATTAGCAAAAAGTAGTGCAAAGACCTGGTTTGAACCTTTACTTTTGTCCCTGCTTTGGAGACCTCCAACATCAACTTGTAGTTTTACATTACTCTAATGACAGCAGGTAAAAATGTCACAGAAACCGAACACTCAGCATGTGACTAAACGGCACAGTGTAAATAGTACAAATCCTCATCTCATGCAGTCACCTTGCGTATCTCATTCAGGTAGCAGTCGATGTAGTCTTTTTGGTCAGAGGGGTCCCAGTTTAGTTTGTGGTCCTTCAGCTCTTCTCTTATGAATCCCTTAATGTCCGTGAACATGTGTCTCAGTGTTTTATGCGGCCCAGGCCAGTGTCTCATCAGCCGGGGGTATGAGTTGTAAAGCTTGATAAGAGAGCAGATAGAGAGGAGTATTTTGATCAATTGTATCATACTGAGAAATTTAGATCATAATAAAGGTACATGCATATAGATTTGTCAATAAGTTAGAAAAGCCATACCCATGCCCAGAGAGAGATTTGAATCTGCAATAATTCAAAGAAGTAGTTGATCAGTTTCCTGAACTTTTCATCAGTGTACTCAAAGCGATGTCCAAAAACCAGGGAGCAGATGATGTTGGAGACCGCGTTGTTAACGATAGAGCGTGGATCACATGGCTTACCTTCACAGTTCAACGGAAATATAGATGTTGTTTTTGTAAATGTGATGGTTCTTCTCTCTGAATTTGTCACTGTGAATTTAGTGCCTACCGTTAGTCTTCCGCAGATCTTTGGAACAAAACACAAATTCTTGCAAAATGACAGGTTCAAGTGATTTCTTGCCGAGTCCAAAGTTTCTGAGGGTTGTGAGTGCAAAACGCCTCTGCTGCTTCCATAAAAACCCGCTACTGGAAAGAATACCTGATAGGAAATACATTAAAAAGTAGTTAAAAATAAGGGTTGGACTCAGATATGTAGATGAAAGTCAGTTGATTCAAGCAATATCAAAGATTTCATGTGTGTGTGGTTTACATCTTCTCACCCAGTCCATAGTTCAGTTCATTTGACATAGCAAGGATTGGACGATCCACCAGGCTGTGTCCGTTATCAACCAGAGCTTCCTTGTAGACCTTAAAGCTGTTTACAACCACAATCCATGTATTACCCATCCGCAGACTGTATATGTTTCCAAATTTCCCTTTTAACTGTGAGGGCATCAGAAATGGGAGGAAACGGCAATGCTCAGTACAACAGATTGATGAATTGTATCAACTGACCTGCTTTTTTTGTGGTGGCAGTTTTTTTTTTCCTTTTTTTTTTTTTTTTACAACATTTGCTAATTTACCTCTGTCATACTCTCATGAGTTCTGGTGTGGTCCACAGTAAACATGTTGCCCATGATTGGGAAACCCCAAGGTCTTGGAGGAAAGCTGGCAGGCTGTCGGCTCTTAATGTAATCTGTAGTGAGGATGAAAACTGCTATAAAGAGCAGAAGACTTCTGAGATCCCAATCCATGTAGGAAACAAGTACAGAAACGATAGAATCCATAATAGAAGCTGGGCTCAACTCTGCAACTGTCGCTGTTCTTGCTTCTCTTGTGCAGTGATGGGCTTGTGTTGTGTCAGCATGAAGATGCTGACTTAAACAACTGATCTCATTGACTGTGGCCTATTTTTCCACAGTCTATATTTGCGCACCTATTGATTACCAAAACCTGTCCAAGGTTATGTCCAGGATAAATAATGACCTAAAGATACCTTGTGATGAGAAGGTAACATGAGTTTTGAGTAGCAACCCAGAAGCAAATAAAGAAGAATTGTTGGCCCTTTTTTTTGTCTTTGTAAATTAAAAAAAGATTACTACATGAGAAAAGAAATCATTTAGAGTTGCTGGTGACTTTTGACTGGTTGACTAAATGACTGGTTAATTACAAACTGGTGTAATGACTAATGATAATTAACTTCAATTATAGTGAATTAGCTCATTCACTAAAACCGATGCAACACAAAGTGCTGTACATAAAAAGAAAAGTTAAGTAATACAAAGGGATTGTGCAGACTAAGATATTGTTGTTCATAGAACCAATATGAGAAGGTGGATTTTCAGAATAGACTGTTAAACCCAGTATAGGTGTCTACAGTGCAATGCCAATGTAACCCTGTTTGACCCAACAGGAAAATATAAAATACAAATACTTGATACTTTCATTCCTATATTATACATATCAAAATGCTGGTATGGGGCCTGCTAACTTGAACAGCCAAAAATATCAAGATCAGCCCATCATCATTCATTTTTAGTCTCTGCAGATTGTGCCCATACTATTACCATCATTATTGGCATATTATTGGTACTCCATTCACCTCTCACTCTTGAATAAGACCTGAAGATACTCTGACTCCAGAAGGAGCGAATCACCATTTCTCTGCTGAAAAAGTGAGAGGACCATAGCCTAAAACCTGATGGTGCTGACTGCCATCTACAGAAAGGCTGTCATGGCCTGCTTGAGGTCAAGGCTTGGAAGGGTTCAGTTTGAGTAATGAGTTATTCGATGTTTAAAATGGTGGTTGTTTGACAAATATGTTTGCACCTGCAGAGTTCTTCATTGGAGGAAAAATAGGGAGGAGAAACACAAAACTAATGTGACCTAAAAACTTTAATTTATTACGAGAGTCAGCTTCAAATCAACACACAAATCTGATCTATTGTGGACCAAATCGACCTGATATTTTATCAGTAAGCTGTGTCATGTGTTTTGGTCAGCATGAACGGTCCAACAACAGTCCTTGACTCCATGAACCAGATCACTACTGTGCACGCTTTGGCAAGATAATCGATCGTCCCAAATGACAGCCTTAGGACGTGATAAAGAAAGTTAGCAATGCAATAATTTAAATCAAAGTTCAGAAGCGCCAGACACCCCATGCAGGCTCATTCACAATTATCTTCACAGTGAAAATAAACATGTTTACAACCATGTGCAAAAAGAGTTCAGGTCTGAATAGCTCATTCCTCCATCAGCACACACTGTGCAGACAGGGAATTTTCTATGAATTAACTTTAAGCTTGAATCAATTGTAGCACCCCCTTCTGGACAAAGCAGTCATTGCACGTCTTTGCCTTGACATGCTTCAGTAGTGTCCCTAAAAAGGTGATTAAGTCGAGCATTGTTTTAAAACAAACAATGGTGAGCCAACTTTTTAAAGTCACACTTTAAACATATAAAGTTGCACAGGAAGATGATTAAATGTTTACAGCCTTATAGGGATAATAGTAGTTAACCTCATCATCACTTTAGGCCAAATGCAGGTCTGTCATTTGTTATTTTTATTTTCACAAAAGTAGACATAAAATAATTAGATATTTAAAACAAATAAGTGCAGCAAAATGAAATGTTATGAATATAACTTCTGTTCCCCGTAGGAGAGGAACAAAGTATAACAAGGTATAAATGTCCTTTATTTAGCTCATAAAGACTCATATCACTCAAAATCCATCTCAAATATCTGGTCAGAGAAATCAGTGTGAAATAAAAAGATGAAAAAATATGTGAAATGATTGAAATGTTCTCAATGAATTAAATTGAAAACACTTTTTTTCCACCACTCTAGAGACCCTTATTTTAGAGCTAGGAGACAAAAACAAACCCTGACTTAAAAACATCAATCAATGATCAATACTGATACTAAAAAGATTTGATCATTTCTTAAACAAACTGAAGTAGCTTCAGACTCAAACAGACCAAGCAGGTGATCAACCTCCAGCCATCATAGCCAGTCAGGAGCCGGCAAATATCAACCAAGCTACTCAATATTGCTCTGATATTATTGTTATTATTATTATTATTATTATTATTATTATTATTTGGGACTGAACTTTTCTAGTCATATAATCATAAGTAATAACAACAAAGTAGGACAAAGGTTATAACCATCAAATTTTTCAGTCAGTCTGAGTTTCTCTCAGCGTGACACTGCACAGATTTCATACTGCCATGGTGCCAGAGTCATGCCAAAGTCAAAATCCGTCACAGGCTCCACCCCCTCAGGCATGGAGAAGGTGAAGTTCTGCATGAAGGAGGTGAAGAAGAGGAAAAGCTCCATCTTTGCCAGGTTCTCCCCAAGGCATAGCCGCTTACCTAAAACAGGAAAATAAAATGAAAAACTACAACTACAAAAATTTTATGGCAATTCAACTTTTAACAAATATATTGTTTTTTTTTCTTCTTTTATTCACTTTAAAGAACGAAATAACGTTCCAGAATAAACTGTACACATCCTTAACCGTCTTGTGTTATTTTGATTAACCTGTAATATTTTTCATTAACGAAAATTCAAAGGAACATACATTTTCTTGATAAATCTGTACTTTGCCTTAAGGCACACTTCCATATTTGACCCCAAATGCTTGCGTCTATTTATTAATTTCCCACTCCTAATGTTTTCACCCTTTCTTTACTGATACCAACTTTCTTTATCAAAGTTTAAATCTGTAGCAGCCTGTCCTGTAGCATGGCCTGTTGTGGTCTCTAGACTGTCTTTTCTCGGTCTTTTCTTTGATGGTGTGAAAGACTAACAAATGTAGGACCCTCCAGTGGTCCCGCATTTGTTATGTGAAGAAACACTCATTAAAAAAAAGTGTTGTGTAATTCTTTACCTGCAGAGAAAGGCATGAAAGCAGCTTTCTTCACAAACTTGCCCTCCTCGTCCAGAAAGTGTCTTGGGTTGAAGGTGTAAGGCATCTCCCACTCATTCTTGTCATATAGCACTGAGGTCAGATTGGGAATAATTGTTGTTCCCTGTTGAATAGAATATGATATGATGGAATAATTACGATATGATATGATATGATACAACATGACATAAAATGAGATAAAATGATAAGCGACCTTTGGGACAGTGTAGCCTCCCAGCTGCACATCCTTGGTGGTCATGTGAGGCAAGCTGAGAGGAACTATGTTGCCCATTCTCTGGATCTCATGGAGGACAGCGTCAGTATAGGGGAGGTTTACACAATCATCAATTGATGGCTGTCTAGACTGTCCAATCACTTTGTCTATCTCAGCTTGGACCTTTGCTGGATGAAGGTAATCAGACAAGTGTTAAAATCATAGCATCAAAAGTATATACTGGATTCTGAACTGAGGCAGAGTGGAGACTGTCCTGTGGTGTGACAAATCAGTCTCATAGACGCTGTATCCTCCAGCCTAGAGAGGAGAGGGACCACCTCTTGATGATCAGCACACAGTTCAAAGTCAGTTTCACGAAGATTTGTGGATAAATATATGGGATGTTATCATATCTGAGAACTATTGATGCTAAACAATATATAAAGGTAACCTTTGCAAACCTCCAAAATCTGTTTTTATCAAAATTTACACTGCAGCTGTTTTATTTTACTTCATTTTTTTGGATTGGGGTTATAAAAGGTAAAAAAGAAATGACCTACCAATAATTGGTGTTGATACCCACAAAATGACATATATTATGTGTTTTTCTCATCAGTTTTCATGTTCGTATGATCAAATTTATTGGTGCTCTTACCCTGGATCTCAGGGTATTTTGCCATGTAAAGGAGGGCCCAGCGCAGGGTGGTGGATACGGTTTCAGAGCCAGACACAAACAGTTCAAGGCCACACATAACCAGGTTTTCCTCGTCAAAAGTATTTCCAGGCTGCTCTTTACTCTGAGAAAGTATTCAAATCTGTGTATTAAAATGATGCTTTTTCCTGAACAACAAAGTTTAAACCCCACAAATATCTAGTGCTTGTTACCCTCTGTATTTCCGTCAGGTAGCAGTCGATATAATCTCTCTGGTCAGAGGGGTCCCAGTGTTTTTTGTGCTCCTCAATCTCTTTTCTGATGAAGTCCTTTGTATGATTCCAAATACGCAGCATTGTCTGATGTGGTCCTGGTAAACGTCTCATCAGCAGAGGGAATGAGTTGTAAAGCTGCAGAGAACAGATCCATAATAATAGAAACTGAGTTTTTGTCTGTAGCAGTCAGTGCTAAATTTTGAAAACTGATCTGAGAATTAACTCACACACATTGCTTTTTCCTATCTTTACTACAAAGTACACATGATAGTAATAAAGTGTTCAGTTACATACTGCTATACCCACATTGAGGCACTTCCTCACAAAATGATATTTCATGCTACAGCAGCACTGAACATAAAAAATTACTTCAGTGTCTTTAAAATGCCGTACCTGTGCCCAAATTGAGCCTTCAATCTGGAATGCTGTTTGAAACCAGCTCAATATTTCCATGAACTTTTTATCATTGTACCCAAAGCGATGCCCAAAAACCAGGGAGCAGATGATGTTGGAGACAACCTTGTTGAGTATGCACTTTGGATTGAAGGGCTTACCTTGACAGTAAATCAGAATAATAAACATAAATGGGTTTTTATATTTGTTTTTCTCGTTCTTAATGTGTCAAAGCACATTTAATACTTACCTTTATAACTTTGAAAGATTTTTGCACAATGTGTAAATTCATCCAAGATGACTGGTTCAAGAGACTTCTTGCCAAAACCAAAGTATCTGAGGGTTGAAAGCATAAAACGCCTCTGCTGCTTCCACATGTGCCCATTAATGAAAATTACACCTAAAAAAATACATCAGTGAATAGTAACAAGCTTAGTTCTTCACTCATCAGATGGTCACAGAAGCCAGAAAAAATGTTATTTGGGTAATGTGCACAAAAGCTCTTTGCGTTGCTTTGTGAGTGTAAGGGTGTTAGTTATGATCTTTTACCTAGTCCCTCACTGATGTCCTGCAGGACAGGGAGGGGAGGCCGGTCTGCCACACTGTCTCCCTGATTTTTAAGAGCCTCTTTTACAACCTCATATCCATTTAAGATCACCAGCCACTCTTGTCCCATTTGCAGGCTGTACACGTCTCCATACTTCTTTGCCAACTGTGAGAAATTTCAAGAAAGAAGAAAAAACTGCTCAACATAATAGATAATAGAAAGAGGGTCCTTGCAGATTTTTTTTCAGGTTGTATATGTGTTGACCTACTTGTGTCATACTCTCATGGGTCCTCTTGTGGTCCACAGAAAACATGTTGCCCACAATTGGAAGAGCCAAAGGTCCTGGAGGGTAGCTGGTCGGTCGGCGGTTCTTGATATAATCTGCAGTGAGGATAAAAACTGCTGAGAAGAGCAGCAGACTTCTGACATCCCAATCCACACATGATCCGACAACAGAAAAGACTGAATCCATGTTTCAAACAAGAGCTCAGCTCTGAAGTGGTGGCTGGGCTTTCAATTTTGTTGCTTGGATTCAATAATATCAACCCTCTTCAACTCTCCTGTGAGAGAAGTGTAATGTCAGTGACTGTTGGCAACAGATGTACTGGTTGCATTGGACTCTGATCTCTTTATTTATATAAGTGAGGGATGTAACACTGTTAATCAGTGACAAAAATACATTAATTAGAATTAAGTATATCGGTAAGCCCACACTCTTTGTTTTATGGTGTGACTTGGTTGTAATAATATATAAATAAAGTTGTGACTCTGATCAGTGGGCGAACTACTGGGACTTTCTGGCACAGAACTCAACTATTTTAAATCTTGCCCAAAAGACAGAGAACACTTGGTATCTATAGGTTAATTCACATCTGAACAGACAACAATAACATGAGGTTCCCCAAGGCTCCATTCTGGAACCTCTTCTGCTTAACATATATAAGCCCCCACTGGCTCTGATACTTTCATTCCTCCATTATCTACATCAAAATGCTGGTATGGGGCCTGCTAACTTTAACAGCCATTAATATCAAGATCAGCCTATTATCATTCATTTTCAGTCTCTGCAGATTGTGCCAATACTTTTGCTATCATTATTGACATATTATTAGTATTCCATTTACCTCTCACTCTTGAATAAGACCTGAAGATACACTGACTCCAGAAGGAGAGAATCACCATTTCTACACAGAAAAAGTGAGAGGACCATAGCCTAAAACTTGATGGTGCTGACTACCATCTACAGAAAACTTCACACTTGTCAGAAACCTCCTTCATGGCCTGCTTGAGGTCAAAGTTTGATGACACCAGAACCTTAATCATACGACACAACCAGAGACACAATTCTGTGGTCCTTTAACTGGACTTGTTTTGGGCCGAGGCAGGATCCAATTTCTCCTACTCCATGCTGATTGATATGCAAGAGTTTGAGAAGGTTCAGTTTGAGTTATGAGTTATTCTGTAACAACTGGTTTTCTTGAGGGACCCAAAAGCAGGTAGCAGAGGCAGAGGAAGCTTTAAGTGATTTTAATGTGATGAATGATGAAGGATGGTGTGAGGTCCAGGGTCCAAGGAGTGCAGGGGGATCTGTAGAGAGGGGGTGAGGCAGTGTGTGAGCTGAAGGAGACAGCAGGTGAGTGGTTCAGGATCAAAAGTGTGACAGTGGAGGCAGAGGTTGGACAGACACTGGTGGCCTGAGGAGGCACTGGTGGAGAAAGTAGTTAAAATTATCTTTACAGATAAAATAAACATGTTTACAACCAGGTGCAAAAAAAGTTGAAGTCTGAATAGCTCATTCCTCCATCAGAACACACTGTGCAGACATGGTATTTTCTGTGGCTCAACTTTAAGGGCTCTATTTTCGTGCCTCGCTGGCGACGTGGCGCAGCGTAAGCCAGGTCCGCTGCGCCAACAAGGCGTTCCCAAGCACAATTTTTTTTTTTGGTGAGCGGCGCAGCCCGGTGTAAGTATCCCCCCTCCCTAACTCAGCTCCTTCCAGCAGCGTAAGTCGTAGCGAGGGAGGAGAGAGGGCGCGGAGTGGGTTTAACACAGCCGAGATCTGTTTTGACCAATAACATAAGCTCCTCTCCTCGCCTTTAAATCTGCCACCAGCGAGGCGTATTACAATTTTGGTGAAGTAATCAAAGAGATCAAGAGTTGTCTGAAGACAGTTATGCCACACGATGGCGACAGAAGGAAGCCCCTCAACAGGTGTCGCTGTAAGCGCTGCAGAGGGCGTCCTCCACACTCTCTCAAATAAGCACAGAGGGATTTGGTGTGTGTAAGGTTGGACCCACTGGTAAGACAAACACCCTTTCCCACAAATAAAGACAACCACATCAAGTTGCATATATTTAAAGCCCACATGACAAAGGTGGGTTGTACGCACAGATCACAACATAAACTGTTATAATTGTCTTTTACTTTGCTAAGGTTAGATTTGCTCTTTTTCATTGAACTAATGCACCTTACTGAATGTTTCCATTTACTCACAGGTTGTTTTCATTTAATCAGAACAGTGTGGTGTCTTAATTGATAAGGAGGAACCTGATGAGCCACAAGGCTCTCTTTGCTCTGTTGAACAGGTTTGCTCCAGTAGTTACACGCCTCAAGGTCAACAACACACACACATATTTCATAGCACATTTTAGTAAGACTGTGTGAACAGTGGTTGGCCTGGTCACGTTGGATATTGCTGGCCAATGATACTAGGTAGTGTTTAAGTCCAACCTCTGTCCAGGGCAATCCGTGCCCAAGAGGATAAGTGTGAATTGTACCTGGAAATGGGCACTTGTTTTGATGGAGATCCTAGGAGCTCTGTCATTGCGAGTCCAGCGCTGTAGAGCTTTTCGTGTGATCTAAATAAATGTTATATCTGAGAACTGAAGATTTCTCTGGTTGTCTTTGTGCAGTCAACTAAAGAACTGATTCTTACAAAACAAATTCCGTTAATGGCATTAAAATCAGAACCACCTGAGCATAAAGGACGCATTGCACTCCGTAGCCTGGCTCTTTCTTTCATTGATGTTAGCATATAAGATGGCTCACGCAACTGAATATTATAATATTTGTAAGTGAGCCTATTACGCCCCAGTCTAGGGGTGCCTAGGGCACAACATGAGAAGGCCTCATCTTCCCCAAGTCCCAAGTAGCCACAACAACAGAGATTCAGTTCAATTTAAAGACAAGGATTTAGTTACATAAATCAGTAAATGAACATAAAGATATAAACAAATAACTAAGGCTGAGTGACTAGGCTTCAGGGTGGACTAAGGCCAAAATAACAACCGAAATGATCCTGTCTGTGGAGTAAGTACTAACCTAACCAAAACAAAGGAAACAAATGACAAAGACTTACCTCCCTAACTAAAATACACAGGAGAAAATAAGGTTAACAAAACTGGCAGTCCACCCCTACTACTCAAAGAAAATACTAGAAAATACTCCAGGGTTGAAACAGCAAATAGTGTGGCCGGTTGGGAGAGGAGGAGGAGGATGAGGAATGCCTGGCCTCTGCCCATGGTGGCTGCCATCTTGGTTCCTGATAAAGCAGGTGTCCACCAATCACTGTCCAGGACGTAGTCCAACCCACCAATGACCGCGTGGCTGTGGCACACACCTATTTGCATACAAGATTGAAACAAAAAAACACAGGGCACACACACACACACACACACAGCAGACAGTCTACAAATTATGACCACAGTCATAACACCCCCACACCCAAGAATTAAACATCCCCCTAAATGTTTAATTCCTACGGATCGGAGGAACACCTTGACAAAGCGTCTGCAATTACATTTTCTGTGCCCTTCTTGTGACAAATCTGCAGGTTAAAATCCTGCAGGAGAAGAGACCAGCGCATAAGGCGCTGGTTAGAATTGCGCATGTGGGCAAGGAATATTAATGGATTGTGATCCGTGTACACGTGGACAGGCTGCGAACTAGACCCGAGATAAACTTAAAAATACTGCAAGGCAAGCAGGAGGGCGAGAGCTTCCTTCTCGATAGTGCTGTAATTAAGCTGGTGCTTATTAAACTGCCCAAGGTGGCTGCCATCTTGGTTCCTGATAAAGCAGGTGTCCACCAATCACTGTCCAGGACGTAGTCCAACCCACCAATGACCGCGTGGCTGTGGCACACACCTATTTGCATACAAGATTGAAACAAAAAAACACAGGGCACACACACACAGCAGACAGTCTACAAATTATGACCACAGTCATAACAGAGCCAAACTCCAGATTGAATATTCACAGAATGTTAAGGATGTGAGAACATTACATGAACAGGTCATTTTGAATGAAAGTTTCTTTTATTTTTTAAGTAAATGACTCATCTGATCACTAATAAATAATCTGGTCAGCTGCTCCAGCAGCAGCAGGATGGGGAGAGGACACAGAGACATGTACGGGTTGAGCGGCACCAGAAAGAAGAGGGAGAGGGAAAAGTGGGGAGATTAATTAAATATCTTGTTAACTTAATTATATGTGACTATTTACTGGATATTTAATTTATTGCTGTTTCAGCTGTGTTAACTCAGTCAGGTGGAGTGTCTAAATGCCTGCCAAACGCGCTCATCAGATAAGATATAGACCAGAATATATCAATATATATCTAAATGTATGTGCTGACTCAGATAGTTGCACTGAATATTGGTTGTTGTTGATAATTTTTTGCACTTAAATGTGCCTGACACTGTGGAAACCTACCGGTGAGGCATCGGTGACGTATGTGCACTATGCCACTGGTCTACTAAAATACCACTAGACCAGCTGCGCTTCAACTGCGCGGAAATCTAACTGGGTTTGAATAGGCAAGCTTTCAGCGCACTTTCTACGCCACCGGTGAGAACGAAAATGTCACTGCGCCAGATGATTCTATCGACACTTTCCACTACCGCGACACCACGCCCAGCTTGGCGGTCCTCGGTGCGCCCGTATACGAAAATACCAAACTGGCTTTGCGCCGGGCATTGCCAGACGTAAATACCACTGCGCAGGGTGTGCCACCCTCCACCGTGCCACTGGCGGGCACGAAAATAGAGCCCATAAAGTTTATTGTGACTTTGCTACTACAGTGTGGGCTGACAAAATAATAACATTAATAATCATCTCTTTGTATAGTTCATATATATATATATCTATATATATATATATATATATATATACTGTATATATACACTCACCGGCCACTTTATTAGGTACACCTGTCCAACTGCTCGTTAACACTTAATTTCTAATCAGCCAATCACATGGCGGCAACTTAGTGCATTTAGGCATGTAGACATGGTCAAGACAATCTCCTGCAGTTCAAACCGAGCATCAGTATGGGGAAGAAAGGTGATTTGAGTGACTTTGAACGTGGCATGGTTGTTGGTGCCAGAAGGGCTGGTCTGAGTATTTCAGAAACTGCTGATCTACTGGGATTTTCACGCACAACCATCTCTAGGGTTTACAGAGAATGGTCCGAAAAAGAAAAAATATCCAGTGAGCGGCAGTTCTGTGGGCGGAAATGCCTTGTTGATGCCAGAGGTCAGAGGAGAATGGCCAGACTGGTTCGAGCTGATAGAAAGGCAACAGTGACTCAAATAACCACCCGTTACAACCAAGGTAGGCAGAAGAGCATCTCTGAACGCACAGTACATCGAACTTTGAGGCAGATGGGCTACAGCAGCAGAAGACCACACCGGGTGCCACTCCTTTCAGCTAAGAACAGGAAACTGAGGCTACAATTTGCACAAGCTCATCGAAATTGGACAATAGAAGATTGGAAAAACGTTGCCTGGTCTGATGAGTCTCGATTTCTGCTGCGACATTCGGATGGTCGGGTCAGAATTTGGCGTCAACAACATGAAAGCATGGATCCATCCTGCCTTGTATCAACGGTTCAGGCTGGTGGTGGTGGTGTCATGGTGTGGGGAATATTTTCTTGGCACTCTTCGGGCCCCTTGGTACCAATTGAGCATCGTTGCAACGCCACAGCCTACCTGAGTATTGTTGCTGACCATGTCCATCCCTTTATGACCACAATGTACCCAACTTCTGATGGCTACTTTCAGCAGGATAATGCGCCATGTCATAAAGCTGGAATCATCTCAGACTGGTTTCTTGAACATGACAATGAGTTCACTGTACTCAAATGGCCTCCACAGTCACCAGATCTCAATCCAATAGAGCATCTTTGGGATGTGGTGGAACGGGAGATTCGCATCATGGATGTGCAGCCGACAAATCTGCGGCAACTGTGTGATGCCATCATGTCAATATGGACCAAGCTCTCTGAGGAATGCTTCCAGCACCTTGTTGAATCTATGCCACGAAGAATTGAGGCAGTTCTGAAGGCAAAAGGGGGTCCAACCCGTTACTAGCATGGTGTACCTAATAAAGTGGCCGGTGAGTGTATATACACACACACACACACACACATATATATATATATATATATATATATATATATATACAGTCTATGGCACGCCGCTGGAGTAATTCACAGTATTACATTGAACTATTCTAGTCTTATAATCATAAGTAATGACAACAAAGTAGTACAAAGATTATAACAGACTTTTTCAGTCAGTCTGAGTTTCTCTCAGCGTGACACTGCACAGATTTCATACTGCCATGGTGCCAGAGTCATGCCAAAGTCAAAATCCGTCACAGGCTCCACCCCCTCAGGCATGGAGAAGGTGAAGTTCTGCATAAAGAAGGTGAAGAAGAGGAAAAGCTCCATCTTTGCCAGGCTCTCCCCAAGGCAAAGCCGCTTACCTAAAACAGGAAAATAAAATGAAAAACTACAAACAGTTTCAAAAAATTTTATGGCAATTCAACTTTTATTGTTTTTTTCTTTTTTTATTCACTTTAAAGAACAAAATAACTTTGCAGAATAAACTGTCCACATCCTGAACCATCTTGTGTTATTTTGATTAACCTGTGTAATTCTTTACCTGCAGAGAAAGGCATGAAAGCAGCTTTCTTCACAAACTTGCCCTCCTCGTCCAGAAAGTGTCTTGGGTTGAAGGTGTAAGGCGTCTCCCACTCATTCTTGTCATATAGCACTGAGGTTAAATTGGGAATAATTGTTGTTCCCTGTTGAATTGGGTACGATGTGAAATGACGTGATATGATATGATATGATATGATATGATATTTAAAGTTTGTCTTTGATAAGTGACCTTTGGGACAGTGTAGCCTCCCAGCTGCACATCCTTGGAGGTCATGTGAGGTAAGCTGAGAGGAACTATGTTGCCCATTCTCTGGATCTCATGGAGGACAGCGTCAGTATAGGGGAGGTTTACACGATCATCCATTGACGGCTGTCTAGACTGTCCAATCACTTTGTCTATCTCAGCTTGGACCTTTGCTGGAAGAAGGTAATCAGATAAGTTATAATCATGGCATCAAAAGTATATACTGGATTCTGGACTGAATGGACTGAGGCAGAGTGGAGACTGATATATCTGACAACACCATTGATGCTGAACAATATATAAAGGTTTTGAAGCAACATATGCTGCCATTGAGATGATGCCCTTTTCAGTTTTTTTCCCATTATTTTCATGAGTATCTATTCTTATTATTTTGATCAAGTCATGGTTTTTACTTTTCCTGATGTATTTATCTGAATTTTCTTTATGTTTTATCTCAATCTATTTATTCCATGCATATTTTTTGTGTTTCATATTGTAGTTTTTATTTTTTTACTTTGGTTATATTTGTTTTATATGTTGTTGTTGTTTTTTTTTTTTCTGTCAGATTATTATCTGACATACTCATTTCTTTTTGAAGAGCTCTTATTTAGTATCTTGACATTTTAAATTTTCCTCAAATGTGGCTAATCTGACAAAAGTCCAGGTACTAAACTGGCCTGTCTGAGGTCCTGACTTTGACTTTGGCATAAAATAACATAAAAATATGAGGGGACAGAGGACACTGCATACAGCTAAGCAGACAAAATCCTTTATCAAATAAGAAGGGGACAACTTTTCCCTTTCCAAAGTCCAGAAACCGGTGTCCTCAGATCCCAAATATTTGCAGTTTATTGTTAATAGAAGAGATGAGGAAATCCAAAGTAAACATGCCCCTGTCCTAACTGTTTTGAAACATGTTGCTGGTATCAAACTTCAAATGAGGACATATAATGCACACAAAAACATTTTTCAACATAATTTTCCTTTGCCCTATATTTAACTGAATAAAGGGTTCAAGTCATTTGCAAACCACCAAAATCTGTTTTTATTAAAATTTACACTGCTGCTGTTTTATTTTACTTCATTTTTTTGGATTGGGGTTATAAAAGGTAAAAAAGAAATGACCTACCAATAATTGGTGTTGATACCCACAAAATGACATATATTATGTGTTTTTCTCATCAGTTTTCATGTTCGCATGATCTAATTTTTTGGTGCTCTTACCCTGGATCTCGGGGTATTTTGCCATGTAAAGGAGGGCCCAGCGCAGGGTGGTGGATATGGTTTCAGAGCCAGCCACAAACAGTTCAAAGCCACATATTACCAGGTTTTCCTCGTCAAAAGTATTTCCAGGCTGCTCTTTACTCTGAGAAAGTATTCAAATCTGTGTATTAAAATGATGCTTTTTCCTGAACAACAAAGTTTAAACCCCACAAATATCTAATGCTTGTTACCCTCTGTATTTCCATCAGGTAGCAGTCAATATAATCTCTCTGGTCAGAGGGGTTCCAGTTTTTTTTGTGCTCCTCAAGCTCTTTTCTGATGAAGTCCTTGGTATGATTCCAAATACGCAGCATTGTCTGATGTGGTCCTGGTAAACGTCTCATCAGCAGAGGGAATGAGTTGTAAAGCTGCAGAGAACAGATCCATAATAATAGAAACTGAGTTTTTGTCTGTAGCAGTCAGTGCTAAATTTTGAAAACTGATCTGAGAATTAACTCACACACATTGCTTTTTCCTATCTTTACTACAAAGTACACATGATAGTAATAAAGTGTTCAGTTACATACTGCTATACCCACATTGAGGCACTTCCTCACAAAATGATATTTCATGCTACAGCAGCACCGAACATAAAAAATTACTTCAATGTCTTTAAAATGCCGTACCTGTGCCCAAATTGAGCCTTCAATCTGGAGTGCTGTTTGAAACCGGCTCAATATTTCCATGAACTTTTTATCATTGTACCCAAAGCGATGCCCAGCTAGTTTTTGCTTCTTCCACCATTGAAACCGTAAGCCTCAGTTCCAGCCTATACTCCTAGCAGCCATTCATGCTAGTACCTCAATGCTAATCATCAATGGAAGCCATAAATGTGACACAATTGAGTTTAATGACATCAACTCACAAAATATCACACTAAAGTGCTGGTGGAAAGGCTCATGCAATGTCACCACAATTTCTGCCATATATTAATTAGTTTTATTGACATAAACACAAGTGGTGTAGGCTACTGCTTTTGCAGCTTTAATACACATCAGTGCTATGCAGCTACCAATCCAAAATTAAGGCAAAGTATCACATTGAACTATTCTAGTCATATAATCTTTAGTAATAACAACAAAGTAGTGCAAAGATTTTAACGATTTAACTTTTTCAGTCAGTCTGAGTTTCTCTCAGCGTGACACTGCACAGATTTCATACTGCCATGGTGCTCGAGTAATGCCAAAAATGGAATCTGTCACAGGCTCCACCCCCTCAGGCATGGAAAAAGTGAAGTGCTGCATAAAGGAAGTGTAGAAGAGGAAAAGCTCCATCCTTGCCAGGCTCTCCCCAAGGCAAAGCCGCTTACCTGAAACAAGAAAATAAATAAATGATTTAAATAATTCAAAATCATGTAAATAAATGAAAAATACAGTATATTCAGAAGTTCAACTATTGTGGTTTAAATAGTCGTCTTATGTGTTTTACTAATCAACAGACATGAACGCAACTTTTCATAGTAAAACTGAAAGAAAAATGTTGTCCAAGTTGTGCATAGAGGTTGTACATATAAATATTAAGGTGTACATCTAGATAATAAGTTGGCCTGTTTTAAGAATGTGGGGGAGTCCTTTAACTTCGCTGCAGGAAAAAAAGATTCAGAAAATCTTTTGTAACCACAGCCAGTAGATGACATGAGTGGACAGACAACTTAATTTCCCCTCATAGATCAACAAAGTTCTTCTTTTTCTTCTTAATTGAGATAATGTGAAGGACAAGGTCAGACAGCAAATGCATGATGAATAAAATGAACCATGTTTGGAAAATGACAGAAAAAAACTCCACAATTGGGTGACCACATCTGTGTATCTGCTCAATGCCTTGTTTGTTCTCCAGTCTTACAGGAATTAAAGGTACTTTCATTATATATCCTTAACTCTGTCTGCCTCTTGTCATTCAAGAAAGATTTTTCTAACAAAACCTATAAAAAGTCATACAGTTCCTCACATTTTTCATTCAACCTGTGATAGATTTTAAAAACCTTAAAAATTACATCATGAAAAAGTTCAATATTTTAATGAATCTGTGGGATATTGTCAAGCGGAAGATGAGAGACACCTGACCGATCTGTAAAAAAGGTCATTGTTGAACAAGTAATGAATGTAGAGAATATATAAAAGTTAAATTGGATCGTGAAGAAAATAGTTTTCCAAAATATTCTTATTTGTTGAGTTCCACCTGTATGCAGGGCCAGACCCCGGACCCTTACCTGCAGAGAAAGGCATGAAAGCAGCTTTCTTCACAAACTTGCCCTCCTCATTCAGAAAGTGTCCTGGGTTGAAGGTGTAAGGCGTCTCCCACTCATTCTTGTCATATAGCACAGAGGTCAAATTGGGAATAATTGTTGTTCCCTGTTGAATAGAATATAATATGATGGAATTATTACGATATGATATGATATGATACAACATGACATAAAATGAGATAACATGATAAGTGACCTTTGGGACAGTGTAGCCTCCCAGCTGCACATCCTTGGTGGCCATGTGAGGCAAGCTGAGAGGAACTATGTTGCCCATTCTCTGGATCTCATGGAGGACAGCGTCAGTATAGGGGAGGTTTACACGATCATCCATTGACGGCTGTCTAGACTGTCCAATCATTCCATCTATCTCAGCTTGGACCTTAGCTGGAAGAAAGTAATTAGACAAGAGTTAAAAAATATGTCACCAGCAAAATTACCAGATGTATGGGATTTGATGTTGTCAGCAACAAAATTACCTCTATTATGCACATTACTTACCCTGGATCTCAGGGTACTTTGCCATGTAGAGGAAGGCCCAGCGTAGGGTGGTGGATGTGGTTTCAGAGCCAGCCACAAACAGGTCAAGGGCACATATTATCAGGTTTTCCTCATCAAAAGTGTTGCCAGGCTGCTCTTTACTCTGAGAAAGTATTTAAATATACAGACTGTCAACTGCACTCATATCCTTTCATCAAGTTACTAACCAGATCCCTCTGAGTGTCCCTAAGCTCCCCAGTCTCTTAGGTTCCCTTTGTACAGACGCTACAGACGGTCAGCTGCATCATCTCTGATTTTCCACCTCAGGCCCTGAGCTCCTCCATCTTTAGGTTTCTCTGGACTGTTGTTGTGGACATGAAGATCAGCCTCACCGACATTAATAACAAAGGTGGAGTTCACTACTATTGGGCCTGCTGACTGTAATTACCTTTTTACAGATAAGGTAAACTGATTTCATATTGTTCCATCATTATATGCTCTGTGACCAGGAGTCTGTATGAGCTGTTGTTGTTGTTATTGTTGTATTTGGTTTTTGCTGTGGTTGCTGTCCACCATCTCTTTTTCTCTCCCCCTCGCTCTTACTTCCTCCCTCTCTCTGTTTGTTTCTCCCAAACTCTGCAGCAGCAGCTGGCTGTCTGACATGAGTCTGGTCCTGCCCAAGGTTTCTGCCTGTTAAAGGGGAGTTTTTCCTCACCACTGTCACTAATGCTGGATGAGATGGGTTACATCATTTCCATCTTAGCTCAGGTCTTTGTAATAGATCAAAAAATGAGTGTAGTCTAGACCTGCTCTTTGAAAAGCAAGATGGGGTAACAACTGTTTTGGAGCTACATAAATAAAAAATGATTGATTGATTGATTGATTGATTGATTGATTGATTGATTGATTGATTGATTGATTGATTGATTGATTGAAATACATGTATTAAAATGACATCTTAAAAATTATTTTCAATACTTGCACAGCAGCACAAATACATCTATGATAACCTGAACTTGTACCATTGAAAAGGTTCTAAAAGACTCTGCTGGTGTGGTTCACAAATGTCATAATATGACAAATCAAACAACAGGTGGTGGTACTGAGTCTGTCAAAGGAGAGACTTTCAAACTTTGGCAGTATATTTACCGTCTGTATTTCGGTCAGGTAGCAGTCGATATAATCTCTCTGGTCAGAGGGGTCCCAGTTTTTTTTGTGCTTCTCAAGCTCTTCTCTCATAAAGTTCTTGGCATTATCCCAAATGCGCACCATTTTCTGATGTGGTCCTGGTAAACGTCTCATCAGTACAGGGAATGAGTTATAAAGCTGCAGAGAACACGTTGAAAATAACACTAAATGAGTTTTTGATCGTATCATTCAGTGTTTCACAACTTGTTCATTTTACTCATTTCAATCTCAAGCTGAGTTCCAATTACAGAGTGATATATCCACATTGAGAGGCTTGAGTCTTTTATGCACAGCTTTAAATTGACTACACTTCAGAAGCACAGACAGACAACTAAAATCACTTTAATTTTTCTAAAATGCTGTACCTGTGCCCAAATTGAGCCTTCAATCTGGAGTGCTGTCTCAAACCAGCCTAATATTTGCAGGAACTTTTTATCATTGTACTCAAAGCGATGCCCGAAAACCAGGGAGCAGATGATGTTGGAGACAGCATTGTTGACGATGTATCGGGGGTTGAAAGGCTTGCCTGCACATAAAGATAGAAAGATAAATGAATTTGTAATTTTATTCTCTTTCTAAATGTGTCAAAGCACATTTACTACTTACCTTTATGGCTTTGAAACTCTGTTGCACAATGTGTGAATTCATCCAAGATTACTGGCTCAAGAGACTTCTTGCCAAAACCAAAGTATCTGAGGGTTGAAAGCATAAAACGCCTCTGCTGCTTCCACATGTGCCCATTAATGCTAATGACACCTGGAAAGAAATACACAAACAAGTCAAATATGTCTTTGGATTGGCTTACTTTTTCATCAAGTATATATGGGACCAAACTGTAGTGATTTGAACTATGTGTGCATGAAAGCTCTGTGTTTCTCTGAGTGGATGTAGGTGTGCTTATGTCCTCCCACCTAGTCCATTGCTTATGTCCTGTTGTATTGGGAGATTTGGGCGGTCTGCCACACTGTCTCCCTGAGTTATAAGAGCTTCTTTTACAACCTCATATCCATTTAAGATCACCAGCCACTCTTGGCCCATTTGCAGACTGTACACATCTCCATACTTCTTTGCTAACTGTGAGAAATTTTAAGAAAGAAGAAAACATAATAGATAATAGAAAAAGAGTCCTATCAGTTGACCTGATGTTTTTTTTTTTTCAGGTTGTATGTGTGTTGACCTACTTGCGTCATACTCTCATGGGTCCTCGTGTGGTCCACAGAAAATATGTTGCCCACAATTGGGAGAGCCAAAGGTCCTGGAGGGTAGCTGGCTGGCCGACGGTTCTTGACGTAATCTGTGGTGAGGATAAAAACTGCTAAGAAGAGCAGCAGACTTCTGACATCCCAATCCACACATGATCCAATAACAGAAAAGACTGAATCCATTTTTCAAACAAAAGCTCAGCTCTGAAGTGGAGGCTGGGCTTTAAATTTTGTGGCTTAGAGTCAATAATATCAACCCTCTTCTACTCTCCTGTGAGAGAAGCGTAATGTCAGTGACTGTTGGCTTCACAACAAATGTACTGGTTGCAATGGACTCTGACCTTTTTTATTAAATGATAAGAGATACAACACTGTTAATCAGTGACATATAAACAATTATTGGAGCTGTTTTTGATAGCAGTGTGTCATAAGAATGAGTTGGTAAATTCAGCTTTTTAAATTTAAGCTTAATTATTTTCAAATATGTTCTTTAAATATTTAAATGGTTGAAGGACTCTTCAATAACAACCTCATATAGTTCATCTGGTCTTATTTGATTCTGGGATGTGACGACTTAAGTTTGTGTTATAGCTCTGTCAAGTTTAAGTAACAGATTCCTGTCTTTTATTTTATCCAAGTTTGCGTCTCACCATGTTACAGCTGTATTATTTCCAATTCTTCGACCAAAGGACACCAATATCAGTAAGTTTTATTCTCCAAACCCTAAAAACATTGTCATAAACATAAGTGGTGTAGGCTACTGCTTTTGCAGCTTTAATACACATCAGTGCTATGCAGCGACCAATAACAAATCAAGGCAAAGTATCACATTGACATATTCCAGTCACATAATCATAAGTAATGACAACAAAGCAGTACAAAGATTATAACTTTTGAACTTTTTCAGTCATTCTGAGTTCCTCTCAGCGTGACACTGCACAGATTTCATACTGCCATGGTGCTCGAGTAATGCCAAAAAAGGAATCGGTCACAGGCTCCACCCCCTCAGGCATGGAAAAGGTAAAATGCTGCATAAAGGAGGTGAAGAACAGGAAAAGCTCCATCCTTGCCAGGCTCTCCCCAAGGCAAAGCCGCTTACCTAGAACACGAAAATACAATGAAAAACTTAAAATCATTTAAAGTTATATATTCAAAATATCAATTATTGTGGTATAGATAGTCCACTCTTTTTTTCACATATTAGCATATATTAACACGACTTCCTGAATAAAACTGATGGAAAAATGCTGTGCAAGTTGTGCATACAGGTCGTAAAATAATGATAATGTGAAGGACAAGGTCACTGCAATGTTTAGATTGTGCAAGGACAGCAGACACATGACGAATAAAATGAAACCAAGGGCAAGTGTTAATTGTAAAATTGTCTGTTGACATTATTTAGAAATAAAAGGGAAAAAAAAATACAAAGAGGGACCACTTCTGTGTATCTGCTTGATGCATTGTTTGTGCTCCATTCTTGCAAGAATTAGATGTACTACATTCTATAGATATCCTGAAGTCTGTCTGCCTCCTGTCATTTAAGAAAGATTTTTCTAACAAACACCTATAAAAACTCATACAGTTCCTCACATTTTTCATTCAACCTGTGAGTCTTTAAAAATCACATCGTGAAAAAGTTTAATGTGTTAAAGAGTCTGAGGGATATTGTCAAGAGGAAGATGAGGGACACCTGACCGATCGGTAAAAAAAGTTCAGATAATCTGAAAAACTAGATATTTAATTCTGATGATCAATAAATCATAATCATAAAAATCTCGTCAAATAGGGCATGAAATATCTCATTTTACAAGTAATGAATGTAGAGAATATATAAAAGTTTAATTAGATTGTGATGAAAATAGTTTCCTCAATATTCTTATTTGTTAAGTTGCACTTGTATGAAGGGCAGACACCATAACCTTACCTGCAGAGAAAGGCATGAAAGCAGCTTTCTTCACAAACTTGCCCTCCTCATTCAGAAAGTGTCCTGGGTTGAAGGTGTATGGCGTCTCCCACTCATTCTTGTCAAATAGTACAGAGGTTAAATTGGGAATAATTGTTGTTCCCTGTTGAATAGAATAGAATTTGATGGAATTGATATGATGTGATGTGATATGATGTAATGTGATACAATACGATACGATACGATATGATATGATACAAAATTCAAAGTTTGTCGATGATAAGTGACCTTTGGGACAGTGTAGCCTCCCAGCTGGACATCCTTGGTGGTCATGTGAGGCAAGCTGAGAGGAACTATGTTGCCCATTCTCTGGATCTCATGGAGGACAGCGTCAGTATAGGGGAGGTTTACACGATCATCCATTGACGGCTGTCTAGACTGTCCAATCATTCCATCTATCTCAGCTTGAACCTTTGCTGGAAGAAAGTAATTAGACAAGAGTTAAAAAATATGATATCAAAGGCAATAAAAGTACAGATCAAGATTTGTGAATAGATGATCCAAAAGGTTGCCCCCAAGGCACTATTGTAGATAGAAGAGTCGTAGGACAAAGTATATATCAAAACGTGCTGTTTGGTCAGGATTATAACTTATTATTATTATTATTATTATTATTATTACGTTTCTATGTATATGAATTTTTCATGATGTAAGTCACGAAAAACTGCAGATAAATTTTGCCTTGAAGTCAATAGGACATGCAAAAAAAAAGCAATCATTGAGGTTTTTCAAACCTCTACCGCTCAAGCTCAGTTTTTTCTGTTGTGTAAATCAAAACTTGAAAAGGAATGTTTGTTGTACGTGTGCTCCTTGTATATGATATTATTACAATGCTTGTAGAATGAAATATTTGAAATCTCTGAAGAATCTCCTCATAATGAACACACCCTGGCAGTAACCTCCATTGCCTTTTAAAAATTTCAAGAGGAAATTTTCCTAGTTTTACGTATCACTTTGTTTCAGAGAGTTGTAGATGTGAGTGACAGGGGTGATTAAATAGTGTTATTTCATAAGAGAAATAAAAGAAAGAAAATTACCTGATGTGGGGGATTTGATGTTGTCAGCAACAAAATTACCTCCATTATGTATTTTTCTCATAAATATGCACATCACTTACCCTGGATCTCAGGGTACTTTGCCATGTAGAGGAAGGCCCAGCGTAGGGTGGTGGATGTGGTTTCAGAGCCAGCCACAAACAGTTCAAAGCCACACATTACCAGGTTTTCCTCGTCAAAAGTGTTGTCAGGCTGCCCTTTAGTCTGAGAAATTATTTAGTTATGTGTATTAAAATGATTTAAACAGCAGCACAAATACATCTATGATAACCTGAACTTGTACCACTGAAAAGGTTTAAATGTCATATTATGAAAATCAAACAACAGGTGGTGGTACTGAGTCTGTCAAAGGAGAGACTTTCAAACTTTGGCAGTATATTTACCGTCTGGATTTCGGTCAAGTAGCAGTCGATATAATCTCTGTGGTCAGAGGGGTCCCAGTTTTTTTTGTGATTCTCAAGCTCTTCCCTTATAAAGTTCTTGGCATTATCCCAAATGCGCACCATTTCCTTATGTGGTCCTGGTAAACATCTCATCAGCACAGGGAATGAGTTATAAAGCTGCAGAGAACATATTAAAAATAACAGTGAATGAGTTTTTGATTGTATCAGTCAGTGTTTCACAACTTGTTCATTTTACACATTTCAATCTCAAGCTAAGTTCCAAATACAGTGGGATATATACACTGCTCAAAAAAATTAAAGGAACACTTTTTTATTGAGCCTGGCATGAGATCAATTAAACCTGTCTGATAATTATCTGTTTTATCCGTTAATTATCTGAATTAACGACAGGTGCACTACAGTGGCAACAATGAGAAAACCCCCAAAACAGGACTGGTTTTACATGTGGAGGTCATTTCAAGTTTCTCCCTCTTGATCTTTTTTGGCTGGTTTTCCACTAGTGCTGGTTTTGGCTTGCGTCATTATCACTACTGGCAGTATGAGGCGATTCCTTGACCCTACAGAAGTTGCACAGGTTGTCCAACTCCTCCAGGATGGCACATCCACACGTGCTGTAGCAAGAAGATTTAAGTGTCTCCCAGCACAATCTCCAGAACATGAAGGAGATTTCAGGAGACTGGCAGTTATTGTAGGAGAGCTGGGCAGGGCCGTAGAAGGTCCTCAACCCATCAGCAGGACCGATACCTGCTCCTTTGTGCAAGGCGGAACAGGCTGAGCACTGCTCGTGCCCTACAGAATGACCTCCAGCAGGCCACTGGTGTGAATGTCTCTGCCCAAACAATCAGGAACAGACTTCATGAAGGTGGCCTGAGGGCCCGACGTCCTGTAATGGGCCCTGTGCTCACTGCCCAGCACCGTGGAGCTCGACTGGCATTTGCTTGAGAACACCAGAATTGGCAAATCTGCCACTGGCGCCCTGTACTTTTCACAGACGAGAGCAGGTTCACCCTGAGCACTTGTGATAGATGTGAAAGAGTCTGGAGAAGACAAGGAGAACGTTATGCTGCCTGCAACATTGTTCAACATGACAGGTTTGGTGGTGGGTCAGTGATGGTCTGGGGAGGCATATCCATGAAGGGACGCACAGACCTCTACTGGCTAGAAAATGGTAGTCTGACTGCCATTCGGTATCGAGATGAAATCCTTAAACCCACTGTCAGACCCTATGCTGGTGCAGTAGGTCCTGGTTTCCTCCAATTGCACGACAATGCCCGGCCTCATGTGGCAAGAGTATGCAGGCAGTACCTGGAGGATGAAGGAATTGATACAATTGAATGGCCTTCACGATCCCCTGACTTAAACCCAATAGACCACCTCTGGGATATTATGTTTCGGTCCATTTGGCACTGCCAGGTTGCTCCTCAGACTTTACAGCAGCTCAGGGATGCCCTTACACAGATCTGGGAGGACATGCCACAAGACACCATCCGTAGTCTCATTAGGAGCATGCCGAGATGTTGTCAAGCATGTATACAAGTACGTGGGGGCCACAAAAGATATTGAGAAGCATTTTGAGTTGCAGAAATGAAGTTTTGAAAAAATGGACTAGCCTGCCACATCATTATTTCACTCTGATTTTTGTGGTGTCTACACAATTAAGCCCTCTGTAGGCTGAAAACGTATATTCCCATTAAAAGATTTGGCATCCTTTTGTTCCAAAGACATTGCCCTGTCGTTATCTGTATAGATATCCAACTTCACATGGAGATCTGATGTATCTGTTGGGTCTCTTTAAAGTGTTCCTTTAATTTTTTTGAGCAGTGTATATACACATTGAAAGGCTTGCATCTTTAATGTACAGCTTAACACTGACTATGCTTCAGAAGCACAGACAGACAAGCAAAATTACTTCAGTGTCTTTTAATGCTGCACCTGTGCCCAAATGGAGCTTTTAATCTGGAGTGCTGTCTCGAACCAGCCTATCATTTGCAGGAACTTTTTATCATTGTACTCAAAGCGATGCCCGAAAACCAGAAAGCAGATGATGTTGGAGACAGCATTGTTGAGAATGTGTCGGGGATTCAAAGGCTTGCCTACACATAAAAATAGAAAGATAAATTAATTTGTATATTTATTTTCTTCCTAAATGTGTCAAAGCACATTTACTACTTACCCTTATAGCTTTGAAACTCTTTAGCACAATGTGTGAATTCATCCAAGATTACTGGCTCAAGAGACTTTTTGCCAAAACCAAAGTATCTGAGGGTTGAAAGCATAAAACGTCTCTGTTGCTTCCACATGTGCCCATTAACGCCAATGACACCTGGGAAGAAATACACAAACAAGTCAAATATGTCTTTGGGTTGGCTTATTGTTTCAAGTATATATGGGACCAAACTGTAGTGATTTGAAGTATGTGTGCATGAAAGCTCGATGTATCTCTGAGTGGATGTAGGTGTGCTTATGTTCTCCCACCTAGTCCATTGCTTGGGTCCTGGTGTATTGGGAGATTTGGGCGGTCTGCCACACTGTCTCCCTGATTTATAAGAGCTTCTTTTACAACCTCATATCCATTTAAGACCACCAGCCACTCTTGGCCCATTTGCAGGCTGTACACATCTCCATACTTCTTTGCTAACTGTGAAATCATTCAAGAAAGAAGAAAAAACTGCTCAATGTCATAGATCATAGAAAAAGAGTCTTATCAGTTGACCTGATATTTTTTTTTTTCAATTGTATGTGCGTTGACCTACTTGTGTCATACTCTCATGGGTCCTCTTGTGGTCCACAGAAAATATGTTGCCCACAATTGGAAGAGCCAAAGGTCCTGGAGGGTAGCTGGCTGGCCGGCGGTTTTTGACGTAATCTGTGGTGAGGATAAAAACTGCTAAGAAGAGCAGCAGACTTCTGACATCCCAATCCACATATGATCCAATAGCAGAAAAGACTGAATCCATGTTTCAAACAAGAGCTCAGCTCTGAAGTGGAGGCTGGGCTTTAAATTTTGTTGCCTGAAGTCAATAATATCAACCCTCTTCTACTCTCCTGAGAGAAGTGCAATGTCAGTGACTGTTGGCTTCACAACAGATGTACTGGTTGCATTGGACTCTGACCTTTTTCATTAATGGATAAGAGATGCAACACTGTTAATCAGTAACATATAAAATCATTGGAATTTTGTATTTTTTAAGGTGTTTAATTTGCTGTGATGTGTGGAGAAACTTGTATCTGATGTAAGACCAATAGCTTGCCAGATGCTTACCTTACCTTACCTACTTGTTCCTGTTTCTACAGATTTAGATAGACCTACAGATGTAACAGCTAACTTCACAAGTTAATAATCTACCTTCTTTTTGGAACTGTTTTGATGGCAGTGTGACATAAGAATGATTTGGTTATTTCTGCTTTTGAGTATAAACTCACTTACAACAAAAGACAAGTAACATATAAATGTAAACAAAAACAAATATATAACCAATACAAGTATCATACTCCGTCAAAAGCTAAGGTAAACAAGTGCGTCTTCAGTTGGGTTTTAAAAATAGAGAGACTATTTGCAGTATGCACACTTAGGGGTAGTGCATTCCACAAAGTGGGAGCAGCAACCGCAAACGCTCGCTCCCCTCTGGATTTTAAAAACGAACGAGGCATGTCTAAGACGACTCGGTCAGCAGACCTAAGGGCTCTGGAGGGGTTGGTGTAGCTTAACAAGGTCAGCCAGGTACTCCGGGGCCAGCCCATTCAGAGATTTAAAAACTAATAAAAGAATCTTAAAAACGATCCTGTACCTAACTGGAAGCCAGTGTAGAGAAGAGAGCACTGGAGTTATGTGCTCATGCTTCTTGGTGCCAGAAAGGAGGCGAGCTGCTGCGTTCTGCACGAGCTGCAGGCGGTTAAGCTCAGACTGGTCAATTCCAAAGTAAAGGGAATTGCAGTAATCCAAGCGAGAAGTAATAAAAGAATGGATTACCGTTTCCAGGTCTCTTTGGTTGAGATACGGTTTATTATTTGCCAAAAGCCTCAGCTGGAAGAAGCTGGATTTGACCACAGCACTGACCTGCTTGTCCAGTTTGAAGGCACCATCAATAATAAACCCAAGATTCCTGGCATGAGATTTTATGTAAGGTGCTAATGGGTAGAGGGAGCTGGCAAGGACCTGAACCAGGTTGGGACGGCCGAACAGGATAACCTCTGTTTTGTTTTCATTTAGTTTCAACAAGTTTAGGTCCGTCCATGTTTTAATGTCTTTCATGCAGTTAAACACAGCCTGGAGCGAGTCTTTAGTAGGTGCCTTCACCAGCAAATGCACCTGTACATCATCGGCAAAACAATGAAAGGGGATACCGTGCTTCCTAAAAATGGACCCCAGCGGTAGCATATAGAGGGAGAACAGTAAAGGGCCCAGGACTGACCCCTGGGGAACACCGCATGTCAGAGGGGCAACGGAGGAGGAAAACTGTCCAATGTGAACAGAGAAGGATCTCCCAGAGAGGTAAGATTTGAACCAGCTTAGGGCAGTCCCTTTTATGCCTACACATTGTTCCAGGCGAGATAGGAGGATATACATATATTATGATCAATATCTATATTTGGATGTAGGATCCAAAAACAGAACCGAAGTTGATTGAGGATGAATTTATTCAATGATGGAGCAGACTGGATGTTACAGTTTATTTTGCAGATCGTACGTACTATCTTTGCCTGTGACCTGCTGTGTCCTCCAACACTCGAGACTTGACAGCTGGTCAGGTAAATATAAGCTACGTTCCAACTTACCTCTTCCACTGAGACATCTAACATTTGTTTCAGGCTCAGACTTTTTCCATGATGTCTGTGTAACATCAAACCAAGATTTGGACCCCAAAGCAGGACTCAGGAGCCAGATAAAAGTTCAGAGTAGGTTTTAATCAGGCAAGGGTTCGGTACACAGGAGGGCAGTCACACAGGCAGAGGTATCCAAATCAACAGGCAAAAATCAGTCCAAAAAACACTAAGTCAAAAACAGGTCGGCAAACACTTGGAAAATGCCGGAATGTTTGACACAAGGGAACAAGATGAACTGGCACAGAAGAGAAGGGTGACCTTAAATACACACAGGGAGTGGAGATAGCAAGACACAGGTGGACTACATTCGGGCCATCAGGGAGCGGAGCACACAAGGGCAGGAAGTAAAGAGACCTGAAACAAGAAACACAGGTAAGTTTGAAATTAAAACAGGAAAGACATAAGAAACATGAGGAAGGGTAAATAGATTAACTTAAAACCATAGACAAGACAGTCTGCTTGTTCAAAATTAGTTTTCCCTGCCCAGGTGTTTACTTATTCAGATCAAATGAATGCAGTGGCCTCTGTATTTTCAGAACATGTCTCTGCAATAAGAATATATCCTCAATGAATATTAAACTGATATGTTTTCTTTGCAGAATTTGCATTTGAAGCTGCTGTAAGGAACTTACTGTCTGTTGATTTTGGCGCCCCCCTGAAGGCAAAGCAGCAACCCCTTTTTGTTTTTGGTTACATCTCTTCCCTCTGAAGGTGATATTACTCACATGAATATTTTCTGTGGGACAAGTAACAAAGGCTGTTTCTTGAGCGTACCTACCCTTAACACAGCAATTAAAGGCATTGAAAAGTATATTATAGAATTAGTTAATCCATCATCAATGGCTTCATCTGCTTTTATACATCACGGGGACATATGACTGTTCATTTAGGTCTGTTTCATAACTTATCAAAAACCCCTCACAAGAGATTAAAATAAAGGTTTTTAATGAATTGAAAATAACCTCAGAGCCCCCACCCTCTGGAACATCCTCCCAAGAGATAACTTAAAATTATCTCTAAAATATAAGTGATTGTGGTTAAGTTATGTGATGCCAGTAATGATCGCTAGTCATTAAAATAGACACCTGTTGCAAGACTCCAGAGAGGGGCACTAAATGACTCCAGTGTAAGAGCAGGAATGGCCATTGATGCAACCAGAAAATTCTCCTCAGACCGGACCATCTCATTCCACTTTTGCTCTAGTGGTCCGCACAGGCCACAAAAGCAGAAGATCCTACCTCTGAGTTAAGGCATAACCGATGTTTAAAGGCAGCATTTTGGGTGTTTCTAATGTCATCTTTGCAAATATAAAGAAAAGACAATCAAACCAGAATAGAATTTTCACAAAAATGGTGTTTAAGAGAACAACTCAATCACCTTTCTACAGACAAAAGAAGAAATTGGTGGTAAGGCTCATGCAATGTGATCACTGTTTCTGCCAAATATCAATTTGTTTTTTTCTCCTGACCCTAAAAACGTTGTCATAAACACAAGTGGTGTAGGCTACTGCTTTTGCAGCTTTAGTACACATCAGTGCTATGAAGTGACCAATCAAGGCAAAGTATCACATTGAAATATTCAAATCACCCAATCATATGTAGTGACAAAAAGTTCAACATCGTTTATTATCAATTAACTTTTTCAGTCAGACCAAGTGTAAAGAGGATGACAATCAAACATGAATCCATCGACACAATAAGTCCAACCAATGACAAGGATGTGGATTGGGCATCTCCTGGTTCCCTGGACCTCTCTCTGGAACTCTGCCCTCCTTTATAACACACGTTAGTTGGGTTCAGAAGTTCATGAAGTCTCATACCAACCACTGCTCCAGCAGGGACAGTAGAATGAGTTAATGTCCTCCAAGCCAGTTTCAATAATGAATCAAGGCAAAGTATCACATTGACATATTCCAGTCATACAATTATAAGTAATGACAACAAAGCAGCACAAAGATTATAACTTTTGAACTTTTTCAGTCAGTCTGAGTTCCTCTCAGCGTGACACTGCACAGATTTCATACTGCCATGGTGCTCGAGTAATGCCAAAAAAGGAATCGGTCACAGGCTCCACCCCCTCAGGCATGGAAAAGGTAAAATGCTGCATAAAGGAGGTGTAGAAGAGGAAAAGCTCCATCCTTGCCAGGCTCTCCCCAAGGCAAAGCCGCTTACCTAGAACATGAAAATAAAATGAAAAACTTAAAATCATTTAAAATTGCATGTTCAAAAATTCAATTATTGTGGTATAGACAGTCCACTCATTTTTTCACATATAAACACAACTTTCCAAAAAAAAAAAACGATAGAAAAATGCTGTCCAAGTTGTGCATACAGCTTGTAAAATAAAGATAATGTGAAGGACAATGTCACTACAATGTTTAGACTGTGCAAGGACAGCAGACACATGACGAATACAATGAAACCAAGGGCCAGTGTTAATTGTAAAATTGTCTGTTGACCATATTTGGAAATTATATGGGAAAAAAACACTATCAGGTACCACCTCTGTGTACCTTGATGCCTTGTTTGTGCTCCATTCATGCAAGAGTCAAATGTACTTTAATTATATATCAATAAGTTCTCTGGTCTTGTCATTCAAGCACAAAAACCTATAAAAACTCATACAGTTCCTGGCATGTTTCATTCAACCTGTGATAGATTTAAAAAAACCTTAAAAATCACATCATGAAAAAGTTTTATATTCTAATAAATCTGTGGGAGTTTGTCGAGAGGAAAATGAGAGACACCTGATCGATCTGTAAAAAGTTTGTGGTAATCCAAAAAACTAGATTATTAATTCTGATAATCAATAAATCATACCCCTACCTGCAGAGAAAGGCATGAAAGCAGCTTTCTTCGCAAACTTGCCCTCCTCATTCAGAAAGTGTCTTGGGTTGAAGGTGTAAGGTGTCTCCCACTCATTCTTGTCATGTAGTACAGAGGTTAAATTGGGAATAATTGTAGTTCCCTGTTGAATAGAATATAATATAATGGAATTATTACGATATGATATAACATGATAATTGTGATAATTGTGATACAACACAATATAATATAATATAATATAATATAATATAATATAATAATATTCAAAGTTTGTCCGTGATAAGTGACCTTTGGGACAGTGTAGCCTCCCAGCTGGACATCCCTGTTGGTCATGTGAGGTAAGCTGAGAGGAACTATGTTGCCCATTCTCTGGATCTCATGGAGGACAGCGTCAGTATAGGGGAGGTTTACACGATCATCCATTGACGGCTGTCTGGACTGTCCAATCACTTTGTCTATCTCAGCTTGGACCTTTGCTGGAAGAAAGTAATCAGACGAGAGTTAAGAAAAATGTCACCGAAAGGCAACAAAACCACAGATCAAGATTTGTGAAAAGAAGATCCACAATGTAGCACCATCATAACAGACCCACGAGTGCACATTTTGATTAAAACATTGAACCGCTCATTAGAACAATACTATTAAGGGCAAACGCACCAACGCACTATTTGTATACTTTGGATTTTTTTTCATTCCTCTCCTGCACAAATTTTGATTCTACTGGGGTTTTTCAAACATCGACCGGCTCAGCATACCTTCATCTAGAGACTCCATTTAAACTTTTAAATGTGGACACAAGTCTTGTCAATTGGTGTAATAATCCACATGTTGATAGGTATTGTAGTTTTTTAACATTCACTATTTAATGACCATGATCAATCTTGGAGAAATTTTGAGATTATAATGGGTGTGTATTGCGTGGCATGTTCATGCCAGAGTGGGTGACATCATTGGCTAGATTGAGAGAAGTTGCATGAAACATTTCTCTTTCCACACTCCTCCTGGCCAAAAATTACACTCTACATGCAAATTTTTTTCCACAGTTGTAGACACAGTTGTTCAGTTTCTAACGATGTGTTTATTTCAGCAGAGAGACTTAGAGAATTTAAACTCTGAGCCTCCAAGTGTGGCGATGTCTCTCTTTGCTCCTCATTGACTCTAATTCAAAGATTTTCTGAGAGAAGTAGAAGGGACTCCTGTTTATAACTTGCAAATATGTCCAAACCATAGACTCTATATACTATAGACAACTTGGCTCCACATTTTGTCATTATATGAACTGGAGGCCAAATTGCTCTCAGTATTTCCGGAGATTTTCTCCACTTCCTGAAACCACCAGTTGCACAGAAGTGTTGTACACATTCAGCAGAGCGCTGCCCATACAGGGTATCCCATGGGTGACTTACACAATCCTCATACGCCCATTGGCTGTATCAAGGGTCAGTTATAGAAAACATGAACCCCTTAATAACATTTTTTAAATGGAGCTGCACAGAAAAAAAAGAGGAATTGAGCACAAACCAGTCTTACAATAACTACATGTCAACATTGCAAGCAGGGAGGTGTTTGTCCACAGCTCCATCAGGATTGCTGGAGGAGGCAGAATTTATGACCTATACTGCAGCCTGTCACCAGAGGGTGCTGTTCTCGTGGAGGCTCATGTTGCCATGACAACCTGAGAGCCTCGGCCAGGCCTACAGCTGACACCAATTCACTCACACAATGGATAACACAATAACATGATGAGGTACTGGCCCCTATACAATAGTGTCTTGGTTGCCTCAAGACACTATTGTAGCTTGAAGAGTTGTCAGACAAAGTATATATAAGAACGTGCCATTTGATCAGGATTAGTGTGCTATTATTTTTATTTAACATATACACATTTTTTGCAGTGTAAGTCATGGAAAACTGCAGATAAATTTTGCATTGAAGTCAATAGGACTGCTCCAGCTCAGTTTTTTTATTTTGTAAATAAAAACTTGCAAATGAACGTTTGTTGTAGGTGTGCTGCTTAATATTACAATGCTAGTAGTATGAATTATTTGAAATCTCTGAAGAATCTCCTCATAATGAACACACCCTGGCAGTAACCTCCATGGCCTTTTAAAAATTTCAAGAGGAAATTTTCCTAGTTTTACGTATCACTTTGTTTCAGAGTTGTAGATGTGAGTGACAGGGGTGATTAAATAGCTTTACTTTATAAGAGAAAAAAAAGAAAGAAAATTATCTGATGTGGGGGATTTGATGTTGTCAGCAACAAAATTACCTCCATGTATGTATTTTTCTCATAAATATGCACATCACTTACCCTGGATCTCAGGGTACTTTGCCATGTAGAGGAAGGCCCAGCGTAGGGTGGTGGATGTGGTTTCAGAGCCAGCCACAAACAGTTCAAGGCCACATATTACCAGGTTTTCCTCATCAAAAGTGTTGTCAGGCTGCTCTTTACTCTGAGAAATTATTAAGTCATGTGTATTAAAATGATTTAAACAGCAGCACAAATACATCTATGATAACCTGAATTTGTACCACTGAAAAGGTTTAAAAGACTCTGCTGGTTTGGTTCACAAATGTCACATTATAAAAATCAAACAGCAGGTGGTGGTACTGAGTCTGTCAAAGGAGAGACTTTCAAACTTTGGCAGTATATTTACCGTCTGTATTTCGGTCAGGTAGCAGTCGATATAATCTCTCTGGTCAGAGGGGTCCCAGTTTTTTTTATGCCTCTCAAGTTCTTCTCTTACAAATTTCTTGGCATTATCCCAAATGCGCACCATTTCCTGATGTGGTCCTGGTAAATGTCTCATCAGCACAGGGAATGAGTTATAAAACTGCAGAGAACACGTTGAAAACAACAGTGAATGAGTCTTTGAGTGTACCAGTCAGTGTTTCACAACTTGTTCATTTTACTCATTTCGATCTCAAGCTAAATTCCAATTACAGAGTGATATATCCACATTGAGAGGCTTGCATCCTTTTAGAACAGCTTAACACTGACTACACTTCAGAAGCACAGACAGACAGACAACTAAAATTACTTCAGTGTCTTTAAAATGCTGTACCTGTGCCCAAATTGAGCTTTCAATCTGGAGTGCTGTCTCGAACCAGCCTATCATTTGCAGGAACTTTTTATCATTGTACTCAAAGCGATGCCCGAAAACCAGGGAGCAGATGATGTTGGAGACAGCATTGTTGAGAATGTGTCGGGGATTCAAAGGCTTACCTGCACATAAAAATTAGAAAGATAAATGAATTTGTAATTTTATTCTCTTTCTAGATGTGTCAAAGCACATTTACTACTTACCTTTATAGCTTTGAAACTCTTTAGCACAATGTGTGAATTCATCCAAGATTACTGGCTCAAGAGACTTTTTGCCAAAACCAAAGTATCTTAGGGTTGAAAGTATAAAACGCCTCTGTTGCTTCCACATGTGCCCATTAATGGTGATGACACCTGGAAAGAAATACATCAAGAAAGTCAAATATGTCTTTGGGTTGGCCTATTGTTTCATCAAGTATATATGGGACCAAACTGTAGTGATTTGAAGTATGTGTGCATGAAAGCTCTGTGTTTCTCTGAGGGAGTGTAGGTGTGCTTATGTCCTCTCACCTAGTCCATTGCTTATGTCCTGTTGTATTGGGAGATCTGGGCGGTCTGCCAGACTGTCTCCCTGATTTATAAGAGCTTCTTTTACAACCTCATATCCATTTAAGACCACCAGCCACACTTGGCCCATTTGAAGGCTGTACACATCTCCATACTTCTTTGCTAACTGTGAAATGATTCAAGAAAGAAGAAAAAACTGCCCAACATAATAGATAATAGAAAAAGAGTCCTATCAGTTGACCTGATGTTTTTTTTTCCAGGTTGTATGTGTGTTGACCTACTTGTGTCATACTCTCATGGGCCCTCTTGTGGTCCACAGAAAACATGTTGCCCACAATTGGAAGAGCCAAGGGTCCTGGAGGGTAGCTGGCCGGTCGGCGGTTCCTGATATAATCTGCAGTGAGGATAAAAACTGCTGAGAAGAGCAGCAGACTTCTGACATCCCAATCCACATATGATCCGATAACAGAAAAGACTGAATCCATTCTATAAACAAAAGCTCAGCTCTAAAGTGGAGGCTGGGCTTTAAATTTTATTGCTTGGAGTCAATAATATCAATCCTCTTCTACTCTCCTGTGAGAGAAGTGCAATGTCAGTGACTGTTGGCTTCACAACAGATGTACTGGTTGCATTGGACTCTGATCTCTTTATTAATGGATAAGAGATGCAACACTGTAAATCAGTAACACAGAAATCATTGGAATTTTATTCATCTTATTTTTAAGGTGTTCAACTTGTTGTGATGTGTGGAGAAACTTGTATCTGATGTAAGACCAATCGCTTGCCACATTTTTACCTTTCCTTACATACTTGTTCCTGTTTCTACAGATTTAGATAGACCTACAGATGTAACCTCTAACTTCACAAGTTAATGATCTACCTTCTTTTTGGAACTGTTTTGATGGCAGTGTGACATAAGAATGATTTGGTTATTTTTGCTTTTTGAATTTAAACTCACTTATTTCCAGATACTCTCTTTAAATATTAAAATTGATGAGGGACTATTCAAAATCACCCTGATAAAGTTAATCTGATCTTATACGATTCTAGCATGTGATGGCCAAAGTTTGTGTTATAGCTTTGTCATGCTTAAGGGACAGATTCTGGTCTTATTTTTTTCCAAGTTTGCATGTCATTATGTTACAGCTGTATTATTTTCAACTCTTCCACCGAAGGACACCACAACATTACACTTAGGAGGGATCGTTTCCATGCTACAACTCTAGTTATTGCTGCAAAGCCCCGCTCGTAGTCTAGCTCCAGTTCAGTCGATGAATGTATACAAGCTTTAGACCAGTGCTCTGTAGGAAAAAGTGTAAGGATCATTGCTATACAGATCACTCTTGAAAATAAAGGCCAATGTTTTAATAAAACAATCTGTATAAACAAAAGTTTTAATAGAATTATTAGCATGTTAAAGCTGAAGTGTCTCTGCTCCTTCAGAAGCAAAAAGGTTTAGAGCTTTATTCTTCCTCAAAATAACATCAAGCAATTACGAGCTGTGTGCTTTTTACAACTGAGTTTTAAATTCTAGTAACCTTCTTTTAGGTGTAGTAGCTTCCAACTCTTACCTCATGATTGTAGTAAAGTAAGATATCTGTACTGACCAAGGGCGAGATGTCCAACTCCAACTGTTGTTATTGAATAATTCTGGCTTTAAATGAACATTTTACATGAACTTTTAACACAGCATCTTAGGATTCGGAAAAATTACAGTGTCAGAAAGAGATTTATGTTTGGAAACAATTGTTTTTGTTGTCTCAGTAACCATAAAATGTTCTTTCAGCTTGTGTTAACACTTGACACACTTTAACGGTTAAATTCTAAATATCTTGGTCTGTATGTTCAGTGAATTCAGAAAAGGTATCAGACACTCTTTATTCATTTTGATAAGACATTTTCGAAAACATTATGGTCCAAGATATAAATAGACAGTTTATTAATGTAAGTTATTAGTTACTTTATCATTAACAAGCAATGAAATTTTCTTTTATTATTAATGGACTATTTATTAAGGGTTTATATAGGGTTTAACTATTGGTTGTAAAACATCTAAATTAAAATGTGTGTCAGTAGCACTTTGTAAATGGTAAATATTTGGTTTTTAAACGTCTATAAAAATTACTTGGTTAGATGGTTGTTGTAAAGTTGCAAGTGATGTTTGTAATACTTTGTGAATGATTAATAAGTGGTTTATAAACCATAAACCTATAAACATTACTTAGATGTTTATTGTAAAGTTAGGGTTAGGTTTTTAATATTGTACAATTTACAGTTAATAATTGGTCTATATGCTATTTATAAATGATGATTAAACATTAATAAACTATTTGCTTACCATTTCTAAATGGTATATTCACCATTTATAAGTTATGGTTATTGTAAAGTGTTATCTTAAATTTTATCAATGTCTTTATTTGGAGGTAGTATCTAAAGATATAACCGAAGTTCATTGAGGAGGAATTTATTTTGAAATCCAGCGGACCGGAAGTTACGGTTTATTTTGCGGAACTGCTCTCTGTGCGTGTGACCTGTTGTGTCCTCCAACACTCGAGACTTGACAGCCGGTCATCTAAGGACAAGATCAACAAAATCATGGTTTTCGAGGAGAAGATGATCCTGAACGGAGAGCCGGAGGATGTTAGTAGATCTTAAATACTCAGCGTGACTTTATTATACCGGCAGCATTTTATTATACAGCTAGCAAGTCGCCAGCATGAGGGCAGAATGAGCTACATCACCGCATAGTTAGCATTAGCTTGTGACTGTAATTCATCTCTTTCAAAGACAAATTCAAGCTAATTATCACAGCAGCTTCTTAGCATGATAAGTTTTTTGTTGTTATTTTTCACGCTGACTTGCTGTTGATTGAATGTTTGACGTAAAGTTTAGGAAACGACAGCTAACAAATCGCTCTGGGTAAATCGTGTCACTGGTTTCATCTTGTCTGTCTAATCTAGGAGGAGGAGGAAGAGGAAGAAGAGGAAGAGGAGGATATGGTGGTATGTAGTTTTAACCCTCACTTATATCAACGGTCGTATTTGAATGTTGTGTATACGATCACAAGTCTGACATATTGATCTGACTATAATAGAAAATGTTTAATGATGTAGAAGGTTATATGATTAAATTATTAAAGGGTTTAATGGGGGCACCAAACATTCCTACTTTAAGAGAAGTAAATTTGATTAAGGAGCAACAAGAAAACACAAAACTGACCTGAATAACATGAGGATGTTACAACACTAGGCCAAAGCGACATGTGGATAGACCTGGGCGATTTGGCAAAAAATAAAATCACGATATATCATCCGGTCTCGATTTCTATCACAATTTTAAAAAAATCTTTTTTAACTGCCAGTTTTAATGCATTTTTACTACTAACTGAAGAAACTAGAGAGTAGTTCAACATTTTATGAACATACAAAGTAAATAACAAAGCAAATTCAATAAGTTACACTCAGAAAAATATAAAAACCATTTTAACTCATCAGTACAACAAATGTAGATAAATACTAAATTATACAGTGAACTAGATTGATAAGCCGACATACCTTACACATCGGCCTAATTGTTCGTCGTCACTTCGGAGATACCTGAACCACCGCCACACAACCGACGTTGTCATGGCTGACATCTATTTTGCTAATCGCAGCTCTGCGTTTAGCACCACGTTCGGTCATTCTGTTTACTTCCCCCTGTTTACTTCACCAGCAACATCTAGAAGTGAGCAGGAAAAGCTGGACCGATTGGCTGTTGTCATGCACATTTCTGCCATGTTTGATCGAGTAAATATGCTCACAGCTGATCACTGAACTGAAATTTATCACCATCATTAATCACGATTACATTGTCACCCAGTCCTACTTGTAGATATTATCTACACCTTCTGCCTTCCCCCCTTTTCATAACCAGAAGAATCTACCTAGGTTGTTTCAGGCCATTCCCCTCCCTACCCCTCCCTCTAGATCTCAGTCTCTATAAATACATGGGACATGCTTTGTCTAGCCAAAAATAAACCCTCAACTTGCCTGTACACATGTTATTGACTGATCCTGACCTCATAGAGGTGAAACAGGCAGGAAATTAGCCTCTGACCGATCAGCTTGCTTGATTTTGGAGCAACATGTGCTTATCTGGAATGGGGAGAGAAACTAAGAGGAGACTTCATCTACCTGTATGATTTCGTAGATAAAAATTAATAATAAAAGTTATTGGTTGTACTCTCCAGACATCACTTTTCAACAGACACTAAAACAGGTTAATGTGAAAGGTTAACCATGATGGTACTTAACAGGGATGCTGTGAATCAGCCACAGTTGGAGTTGCAGAGATACGTCATTCTAGGCTGCATGGTGACACTAAGCTGCTAAACTGTATTTATTGTTTCACTAATTCATTCGAAAGCTCAGCAAAGTTATGTTTGCTGAATTATTCCCATAACTTAAGAAATAACCAGTGTCTTCCCAAATCAAGATAAATGATTCATCTATGTAGATGAAGTGACATAGCTCAACTTTCTTCCTGTAGTTATTTAAATCTAGACATAGTGACTGACAGAATGAAAACTTATTTGGCATACTTTGCATGAAATCAAAGAAAGGTGGGCTCTTTATATTACTGTACTGTTTTTTGCTGCTAAGTCATATGGTTGTATTGTGCTGGTGTAATGCACCCTGGACAGTCAGTTTTAACGTCTGTTTAATTATACATGTAAGTAAAAGTAAACTCTAATTTGTGTTCTGTGGCAGGATGATCAGACATCTGCATCACCCTGATTTCTATTAAAAGCTCTCAGAATCATCTCATTGTGTGTGCAAGGATGTCTAGCTTCAACCTGCTTCAAGTTGTGTCACTCTGCACTCAGAATTATAAACTATAGCAAACAGATTAAAAATGATCAAAGTGAAGTACATCTTCATATCCTTTCGAAGGGCTTTACATGAATTTAAACTTTTTTTTATAAGTGAATGTTTTTATTATACCTGATTTTAGGGGATGCTGCAGCACTTTCAACACCCCTGTCTCCTGCATCCATGCTCAATAACCTCATATCTTGCTTTATAGCTTACCTCCCGCAGGTTAACAGTTTGTAATGTACATTTTTATACTCACAATAGACACTGTATTTCATAGTGGAGTTTTAGCTTCAACACGGGAGTGGGGCATCAGTGCGTAGCATTCATCAACTACTACGTTTTGTACTTGTGTGTCTCCCTTTTCTTAGGATCCCATCGAATCGTTGCGACAGAAGTGTGAAGAAGCAGAGCATTGTGTTCATACGAGGGAGCGCCTGGAGCAGTGTGAGACCAGAGTTGGATCTCGGTCTGCAACACTGGAGGATTGTACTGAGGAGCTCTTTGACTTCTTGCATGCTCGGGATCATTGTGTAAGTTTGACACTTTCGAAATCAAGTAAGCTGTGGTAGTCAAGGTGTCAGGATTTCAATTTAAAACTGCTGATCATTTTATCTTATTGTTCTCTGTGGTATTATTTATTTTTTATTGTACTGTCTTGTCTTAATTTATGTTTTCCTCACAACTCCTGACTCGTGCTTTCTGAGAAATCAACTGTTGTGAAATTGTCAGTTACTCTTATTGGGTTCATGAGGTTTTCAGGAGTTTTTGTTTAGGCGTAAAAGCACTACACACATCTGACCCAACTAAACTCATCCAAAAAACTGGATACAAGAAGGGATATCTAAAATGACCAATGAGGACACGTCTGAAACAGAGGGGAAAATAAATCACACAACCAACTTCTAGATATGAACTAAACTGAGACAGGTCCCTTAGAATATGTACCAAACACTACTGCAGTAACAAAGTTTTGAAGACACAAATCAACTCCCCTTAAAATGATCAGCAGTCTAAAAAAAAAAAAAATACCCCAGCCCATCACTGGTCTGCCCATAGTTTGGTACCTTTGGTCACTTTTTGTGAATGGCTTCATGAATTGGTGCTATTCTAACAAAGACTAGTACTGGCCTGCTCTGCTGCAGTGAATCTTTAGCTCAGGCTTACCAAGATGTCCCTGCAGAAGCACCAGCACTCTCCACACTGGTTAATTAGTAACATGAACTCAATTAAGACCTAAAGTCAAAAAAGGACAAACAGTGCTGAACTAAGTCTTCTCTTTGCAAATACAATGTTCATCGATATTTAATGTGTTGCATGTTGGACATGAAACTGAAGCGATGGGTCGTTGTCTGTCACTTGAGCTGCAGTTGTATAAACTGACATTGATGCATACAGGTCAAGAACTTCACAGCCTTCTGTGTGTCAGTAGACAGGATCATCACAATTGTCTACTTAAATTGACCTGGTTAACCTCAGCCCCCTCCACATTATATGCTTGATGATTTAAAGTCAACATAACGTTTACTTTTTTCACTGTGTTGTAACAATGAAACAATGAATGGTCCTTAAAGAAGGGCATTAATGCCTACAGCTTATCTTAGATTTAAGAACTTAACTGGCAGCCACATGCAACCTTTCCTCTAATTACTAATTCCTCTTATTTCTTATATTGGATTACAAGTTACTTCATTACTGTCAACTGTACACTTTCTTTGACAGGATATCAATACGGTGGAGAAAAACAGCATTGTACTTTGTGATCTGCAAATGAATAGAATAAACTTGGAGCAGATATTCAGATGCATTTCTTTTACAAAAACAGTTTTGAGCTCTATTAGCTTACGTTTCCTTTTACTGTATGTTGTGGGTTTGTACTCATGAATTTCTTGTGTTTCTTTTTTGTTCGTTTTTTTTTCTAGGTGGCGCACAAACTGTTCCATTCAGTCAAATAAAAGCCCATACGGTTGTTGCACCACTGGCTGATGACATTCTGCAAACACTGAATGGCAAGGAGAACATGCTTTTAAATACATCCATATGTGGATATGCTGTATGTTGTAACTTTAAATGTATACTATGCTATATTTGCCCATGTTAAGAAAAGTGTTTAACTTAAACTGAATCAAAATACCATTAAAACAACTGGCTCAAAATGTTTGCTTGTGTCAAATTTGTTTTAATGACTTTTATACATAAAAATATCAAATTTTTCAGAGTTAGAATGATTTAGAGCAGTGGTTCTCAACTGCAGGCGGCACAGTGGTGTTGTGGTTAGCACTGTCGCCTCACAGCTAGAAGGTCCTTGGTTTGAATCAGGGTGTCAGGGTGTTTCTGTGTGGAGTTTGCATGTGTCTGTGTAGGTTTACTCCGGGTACTCCGGTTTTCTCCCACATCCCAAAAACATGCCTAAGTGGGGTTAGGTTAATTGGCCACTTTCAAATTGCCCGTAGGTGTGAATGTGAGCATGGATGGTTGTTCATCTTTATATGTCAGCCCTGCAATGAACTGGCGACTTGTCCAGGGTGTTCCCTGCCTCCGCCTGAAGAAGCTGGGATAGGCTCCAGCCCCCGGGGAACGTGAATAAGCAGTAGAAAATGGATGGATGGTTCTCAACTGGTCTCACTCTGGGACCCACATAGTCCTTAAGTTGCAACCCACTTTTATAAAATTGAAACCAAGCAAATTTATTTCTTATAAAAAAAACCTTTAAATCTCAAATCCTTGGCATAAATACACCTGTTTTATTGAGTAAAGTGCATTTCAGAGCACGTGAACTGAGGAAGACAACTACTAAAGTTGGGTATACAGAAAATATATAATTGCACACAATGGAGACCAGCAAGATGAAAAATCTGACTTATTTGTATCTCTGCATTCAGAGCATATTCAGAAGAACCTGAGGAGGACCATGCAACAGCATAGACAAAAGTGAATAAATATTAAACTGCACAAAATAAAGACCATAAAAAAATATGTAATTTTACTGTATTCAGGCCCCATTAATAAAAAAAAAAACAAGGAGGACCATGACATAATGTATGCCTTTCAAAAGAAGCTATGTTTCAAAATAAAAGACATATCAAACATCAGATGCACATTAAATATTTACTTCTTTGACCCACATTTGGGTAGGGACCCACCAGTTGAGAACCACTGATTTAGAGGGACAACATAAAGGTGACCTTGTAAAAACATGCCCTTATGTCCTCGAGTGATGAGGAAATGGATCCAGGTTATTGTGCATTGAAAACAAAGATGCTAAATATTGCTTGAAGATGAAAACACGTCTTTATTTAAAATCTTAAGATACTCATGAGATATCAGTACAACTTTGCGCGCTGCTTTGTATCTTGATCTTGGCAGGAACTTATCTCTTATATCTTAACCATGTGACACTTTACTGACACAGTCACTGATTAAGTACGCTGGAGTGACCCTTGGGACACAAAAGACACCCTACATAGACTGGACAGGCAATTGAGGATTGTGGGGTATAGCAGAAATGCATTTTAAGTCAAATACTCTGTTTATTTAGGGAGACATATTCACTTAAAACAACACCTGGCGCCCTCTACCGTGCATCTTGGGTATGTCTTGTAAAGCATGCTAACCGGCTATCAACACCTGTCTGTACCTTGTGGAGGAGTTGTGCGACGGATCTATTGCCGGACTCGTTTACCGCGCCCACTAATCTACTTATGAGCTCCGGCAGGGCAGACACTTGACTGATCCAGTCGTAACAACGGTCTGCCAGTGTGTGTTATAGTTAGCCGTTCACGCGTGTACTTGGAGGAGCTAGAGGACAGCCAGAGGAGCCATGGACCTCAAACAGATACTTCGGGAAGTTGAGCTTCACTACGGAACAGCTGCACTAGTAACGGGTGCTGTCTGCGGCGTGGGAGCTCTGATAGTCCTGGTGCAGAAGCTCAGCAGCCACCAGAAGACAAAGGAGAAGATCCGGAGGGCGAGGGCACGGAGGGACGAGAGCCTGCAGCGGGCTGAGCAGGCTCTGCTTCAGTATAAGAACCTGGTGAGACCCGGGACGTGAGGGGTGGGCTGGGAGGTGAATGGGGGAAAGTTAAACAGGTAAGAAGGGCACCAGTCACGCGACAGACTGGGGAGTACCCCAGCTACACCCTAGGGTGTAACACAAAGAGCTGCAGAACGTGTCCTAACCCGGACATAGAGGTCTGAAGAGGTCTCGTTAGCTCACAATCAGTGTTATCGATAAGCAGTTGAGATGATTAACGTCAGTTACGCCGAAACGACGTACGTAAACAGCTTATCTGATTACCTCAAAATGAATGGATGAACACTCAAAATGGTCACCTCAAGTAACTCGAAAAAGTTTGTGGAAAATAGTGTCTAAATGCATGTAACATTAAGTTAATGTGAAAGAGATAATTAACCAAAAAAGTTCTGCATGAATAAAGTAACTAGACTATTTCCTCTGTCTAACTACTTTAATCACTTAAATGATTAAAGGGACTGAATTAGCGTTAATAGATGATTTTAATTGTTTGGTAGAACAAATTTCAGTCCTGACTGACCAAACGAACCACATTTGCTTGAATTCTATTAAAAAGCATTGAAATTATTAAATTAAGGGGCATGTTCTGTTTATAAATAAGGGTAGGGCTGGGCGATAAAACGATAATGATATATATCAAAAATTAATTTCCCTCAATATCAAAATAAAACGTGGTCAATATGCTTTTTGATTGTCGGCATTCTGCCATGTTTCTGTAGACTATAAGAATAGCCAATGGAAAGGGGAGTTGCGTTAAAGAGACACAAAGACCTCACAGATGCAGTAGCTTATTGTATTGCAAAAGACATGCCACCAATAAGCACTGTTAAATTTAATTTTTTATATCGTGATATATACTGTGATATATATCGATATCAAATGGTATGAAAAAAATACATCATGATGAACTTTTTCCCATATCGTCCAGCCCTGTATGAGGGAAATACGATGTGAAACAAATTCATCTACTAGGGTGGTGGTATCAGTTGACTTTCTTAACTACTATAGCCTAAAAGGGTTACCGAATAATGTTTAAGAACAAAATGACTTTTAGTTTACTCATTTGACAATCTAGGTGTTTGAAAAAGCTTGTATCATTGACCCCTAATGTTTATCAGTCATTTTTAGCATTGTTGGGATCTGTCTCAGGGTCCCAATGTTTTTCAAGTGCTGGATTCATATATGAACATATGTTTATACTGTGTGTGTGTGAGCACGCGCATGTGCGTGTGTGTGTGCACATGTGTGTGTAACTGTCTGAACTGTCTGTCTGTCTTCTAGCATCCCATGACTGATTCGGCTTACATCTTGGCACTGTCCCTGCCCGAGTTGACAAAGCAGCTGCAGGAAGGCTCCCTAAGCCCTGAGGATGTGTTTTACTCGTACTTGGAAAAGGTCCACTACCCAATACTACACAACCCATTTATAGTACTCACTGTAGCACTACAGTAGAGGACAATAATCAGAAATAATCACTTTAATTTAGCTGCATTTTGAGAGATTTTATAATGGAATTATATAAAAATTGTTTACATTTATTTCATTCTACTAGACATTTGTGTTGTATAAAAACCAGGCTTCTGGTCATAAAGGCTTAAAGATATTTGCTGTTGTTCTTTACCTTTAGACTCTGGATGTGAATAAGAAGCTGAACTGCTGCACTGGGATCTTGTTGGAGAGTTTTGACCAGCTGAAAACTCTTTCCTCCAGCAAGAAGGGGCTCCTGTATGGAGTTCCAGTCAGCATCAAAGAAAACATCACATACAAGGTATATCTTGTCGTGAGTGTATTTCATCAGCATCAAAACAGGATGATACCTAAACTTATGATTTTCAGTCATGTATGCCACTGTAAAACTAGCCTTGCATAAAACCTTTATGCCTTTGACTTACTGCAATCTAATACTACTCTCCTTGCCTTTTTTTGTATGACAACACAAGAATTATGACAACACCTGTGGTGTGGTCAGTAATTTGGAGCAGCCTGCAGAGACCAACAGTGTACTTGTTGAAGTTCTGAAGAGACAAGGAGCTATTCCCTTTGTGAAAACCAATGTGCCCCAAAGCCTGTTAAAGTAAATGATTACCTGACACTTGGTCATAAAGTTGATTTGTGCAATTGTTTTGGCAATACGTTTTTACATGTTTACAAAGCTTTTCAGCCTGTCGATCAGTTGTGATTCCCTTTGTTGCCTCACCAGCTATGACTGCGGTAACCCCATCTATGGGCAGACCTTGAACCCCCATAACTTGAAGAAGACCTGTGGAGGTTCATCTGGTGGAGAGGGGGCCCTTATCGGAGGAGGGGGCTCTGTGCTGGGTTTTGGGAGTGATATAGGGGGTAGTATCCGTATTCCCTCCTCATTCTGTGGGATCTGTGGCTTTAAGCCAACAGTAGGTCGGTTAAGGTGAATGACCCCACTTTGCTGAGATTATGAAAAACAATTGTGCAGTCTTGACACTTTGAACTCACTTTTATCTCATCTTTTTGCATTGTTTCTTTGCCAGTGCACAGGGTGTGGCTTCACTTTATGGAGGGCAAAAATCAGGTTGGTAAGACTTGTTTTACTGTCAAATGTAGATTACATGCTGTTAGGAAAACATGATAACTTTTCTCTGTGTTCCTCATTAAATAAGTGCTGGCAACAACTGGACCCATGGCTAGAGATGTGGACAGCCTGGCTCTGTGTATGCAAGCCATGCTGAATGATGACATGTTTACCTTGGATCCATCAGTTCCACCCATGCCTTTCAATATGCAGGTGTGTCCTCTTAGCAACCTGACTAATGCTTGAGGTGGTGTTAGCAACAAATCCCTGCTGACAGATCCCTGTGGGAAGCCTACCCAGACTCACAGTAGTTAGGCAGAGTTACTCATTTGCTGTTTTACTGTGTTGTATAATCTAAGTAAGAAGAGTAAATCAAAGCCACACTCTAAATAAAAGCATAAATCTCTCATACACATACTGTATACTTGTTAGTAAAATGCTAATGGTGTTTTTGTTTGTCTTGTTCACAGATATACCGGAGTGCCAAACCACTGAGGATTGGTTACCTTGAGAACGATGGCTTTTGTCAGCCATCTCCGAGCATGGCTCGGGCCGTCAGAGAGGTCAAAGTTCTCTTAGAGAAAGCTGGCCACACTGTAAGCCCATACCTCACACAAGCACATGTATAGACATTATAATACCCTAACAACATGTTATCTGAGCTGTATGTTTTAATGCAGCTTATTTTGCCTCTAATCTGATCCTGTAGCTGGTTCCCTTCAGTCTGCAGAAGGTCAGCCAGAGTTTCTATGAACTGGTGGTGAGGGGTGTCGCGGCAGATGGAGCGACATCTGTAATTGAAAAGCTGTGAGTTGATGATTTCTTTGAGAAAGCAGTTATTCAGTTGATGTGCAGTATAGTGAAAGTAACAAATTCTCACAAGCTGTAACTTTTTGGTCAACACTTAAATCAGTCTTTTGGCAATGCTGTTCTTTCACTGACTATGTGACTCCTCTGACCTTTCCTCCTCTGCTATGATGACATTTTTATGTTTGTTGGATCAAATTCAGAATCTTGTGTTTCAAACAAAGAACCTGCACAGGAAATATTTTAACACCTATTAGATATATTGCAAAACTTTTGGTATGAATATTTACAGCATGTTCCTCTTAATTCTAACTTTTCCCTGCCAAGTGTTTCTGTCAATGACTTTATATCAAATCAAATTTTATTTATATTCATTATAACCCAACCTTAAGATGGGACAGATTTGACCCATCTCATCTAACATGAGTGACAGTAGCAAGGAAAACTTCCTTGTAACAGGCAGAAACCTTGGGGAGGACCAGACTCATGTTAAACAGGCACCTGCCGCTGATGAGTTAGGGAGAAATACACAGAGAGATGGGAAGGGAGGGAGAGAGAGAGAGAGGGGTGGGAGGGAGGGCAGGGGGAGAGAGAAAGAAAACAAGGGAGTAGGAGGGCGAGAGAATGAGTAAGGGAGAGGGAGGGAGAGAAGGAGAGCAAGGGTGAGAGAGGGAGATTTGAGAGACCAAGTGTAATCAGTATTTAGTTTTCGTCAGTAAATGTTACAGTGTTCAAATAAAAACGGAGACATGGACTAGGTTAAAAAATCAGTATGTTAGTAAAACCAACATTGTATGGTGTTTGTATGTTGATTTTTATCATGTAGTATAGTGCAACTGAAGCTTTGTTATTCCTGTCCTGCTTTTAGAATTACATTCTCTTTCAATGATGTGTTCTTCTCATGTTAGTAATTCCTCTTGTGTGTTGTAGGGAGGGAAGCCCTCTGGACCCCACTATCAGAACACAGGTTTACCCTATGTATTTGCCTGTGTGGCTCAGGAAAGTCATCGCATTCCTCCTCAAGCCACTGGTGAGTTCACAACTTTAACTAAGCCTCCACAGGCATGAAGAGAGATTTTTAAAAAAGTATCATTACCCCTTTTAATATTGATTGAGAAAATTCCTCGATAGTTACTTTTCCAAAAGATCTGGGGCACTCTGAGGGTCATTCATCGTTCAAACACGCCAATACACTTCAGTCATCATCAATATGACCTTATGAGTCCCTTAGATCATCTGAAGACGCACCAGAGAGAAACATTTTAAAAACTTTTTCAACTCCCTTTGCACTCCATGCTCCTGTTTTTATTTTGTGTGTGTGTTCAGAACTGATGCCGTGTGATTTCGTACCAATCGTCACATCTTCAATTCTGCTTGTCTTTTGCAGTCTCCCCGAAGTTCTGCTATGCTCAACGCTTTCTGTGGTGTTGGGTGAGACAGTTATTTAAAGTTGACGGCTTGTGCTGTGCATGTCATTACCCCAACATTTCACGCCATTGACAAAGTGCAAAAACTAACTTCTTTCTTTTTTTTTTGCTTTGTTTCTAGATCTGTTGCTGATCTGTGGAAGCAGCATGTAGCTGTTGAGGTACTGTAGAAACCAGTAGGCCAAATATTTGCTATGAGGCAAGACTGATCCAGAACACAGCTGAGAAAGTAAACTTGCCTGTGGCTCTGATCAGTGAATGAACAAATGAAAAAAACAAGTGAGGGAAGTAAAGAGTTACTGTTTGTTAGCTTATGGCAGTTAAATGCTGTAAGCACAAATAAACATGCTCACAACTCTGCAGGACCCCTTCAGAAAGAGTCTGATGATTGTGATGCAGCTCTGTGATAAAGACTAAATGTAAATTACTGGCAGAAACAGCAAGCCGATTCTGTCTCCTCCAGGCATTGAAGTAAACTAACAGGTTTTGAAGAGTTGCTCTCACTAGTCTTGAGCTTATATTTCAATGAATATGTTCAGTGGTCTGTTAATGTTCTTGTGTCTTCCATTAGGACTACGTTCAGGAAACAGTAGCAGATTGGAGACGATGCAACTTAGATGCACTGCTTTACCCTGTGATTGGGCCAGCCTACAACTTCTATTACTGCTGCAAGAATACTCGTACGTTGACCCAAACTGTTTTGCATGATACTTCTGACGTGGCACATTGAATTATTAGAGATGTATGGCATAGAAAACAGGGCTTGGTGATGCCTTCAGGTTATTGATTATGTAAATACATAAATTTTGGATGAGTGGGTTGGTAGGATGGCTGTGCTCAGTCAGGGCATGGGCTCCACTGATGGGTGGGATAACAAACTCACCAGCAATCATCTTAAGTGTGGGAGTATTTAAGCGGGGATCAAACAACAGCGTGCTCTTCAAGTTCTGCAAATTAGAAATGGCGTATCACTGTAATACTACCTTGATACTTGAGCACTTTGAGCAGAGGCATGAGGTGGGGAGCATCTTGTGGCGTGTCTGTTAGAAATGACGTCAGTGAGCTGGCTCTGGTTTGCCAGAATGGTTCTAAGTAGAAACATCTGGGAGCGAAAAGACCCAGGTCTTGCTAAGCCAAATATTCTGAATGACAAGAAATAATCAAAATAGACATGGTTGTTTACATTTTATGGAGAGATTTTGAATCCTGCTGTAAGAGGATACCATTTTTGAAACAATACTGTACAGTTAATATTTTAAACTAGGCTATTTTGTGGGGAATAATGACCTGAGGTGTATAAATATTGATTTTTAAAAAAGATAATCGAAAGAAACATAGAAATTTGAATGACAACCTTTAGTTTGATTATGTATAGATTTGTTGTTATTTCAGTTGGGTACAAAAACAATTGTTAGATAACTCATCATGAGGTGCAGCAACCCTTCATAAAATACACTCTATTCTGTACCCCAGAACCTGTACATCAGTACTTCACCACAGTGTTAACATCATAAAACAAGATGAGATGAGAAGAAGAACTGTATTTTTTCCAGAGGGGAAATTTGAGTTGATTCATGAATGATTACTTTGCATAACAGCACTGAAATTACTACAGTCCAAAGAACAAAACAGGTAAAACCAGGTCTGTCTCTCATCCTTTCAGAGATTTGCAGTTACACAATGCTCTTTAATCTCCTCAACTTTCCGGCTGGGGTTGTTCCTGTCTCCACGGTGACAGCAGAGGATGAGGAGGAACTGAAGTACTACAAGGGCAATTATCAAGACTTGTGGGACAAGAGTTTCAAGGAGGTAAGACAAATGGTGCCAGTAAAAGATGTTTTCAGATGTGTAATTTTGTACAACACAAATGAATCTTACATGTTTAACAAGCCAGAGTTTGACAGTTATTGATTTTGGGGCCATTTTTCTCTTCAGTGACACCTATTTATGCCACTGTGTTTGCCATGTGTATGTAGTGGATACAAAATGAAGAAGAGTTTAGAATACTTCGCACATTATGGAACTTAACTCCACAAACGTTAAACATTTTATGACCACAAGGGTGCAGCACTGAGCATTAAAAAGCTCCAATGGTCACACCACCTTTACAAATACATTGCATCTTGACATCAAAACGTTGTGTTGTTTAAATAAACTTCAATATAGTACAAACAGCTCATCACCTCCATGACTCTAAAGGGTGAACCTGTTACTAGGAGTGGCTCGTCAGATGATGTCAGGCTCAGACATGACTATAACGCTCTTCTGAAGAATCTCGCTAAACAGTAGTTCCACAGTTAGTCAGCAGGTGGAGGCAGAAGACTACGGTGGTTCATGTTGCCAACTGTTGACTGGATGAATCCTGTGTTTGTGTGCAGGCTGTGACTGGAGCTGAGGGTCTGCCTGTGGGGGTGCAGTGTGTCACCCTGCCGTGGCAGGACGAGCTCTGCCTGCGCTTCATGAAGGAGGTAGAAGAGCTGGTCAAACAGAAAAGAAAGTAGGGCCTGCCGGAGGCCACAGGTGGGGATGCAGACTTCATGGGCTTCAAGTTAAAATCTCCTCATATAAAAATAACAAAACCCTGAAACAAGAGCTAATGAAGGTGCTCTTCAGACAGAAATTTCTGCACTTAACACAAAACACAGTTTTAATCATATGAAACTAAATAGAATATAGATGGTGAATTAAGTTAAAATGATGAATATAAGTTTAGAAAAGTATAAAGATTTTTCTATTCTTAAAGGATTAACTCAGGTTTGCTCACTGGTTTGAATGATCACAATTAAGTCATAATAATGAGTTTATGTTAAATAGTTTTAAGCTCATTTACTGATTAATAATTCCTTTTGTTTGTGTTTTTTCTATGTCATTTAAGGTCCTTTTGAAATTTTAACATTTCAATGACTTTACATACTTTAACAATATTTTCTGCTGTTATGGACACAAATGACTGGCATTAAGTTGATTTGACATCAGGTATAACAGAAACAGTGTTGGATTTTCTTTTTCATCACTGGCACTGGTTTTATATTTTAAACAACATTGCACATAAAAATGTAATCTGCTTGATCTTTAGGCAGAGAGGCGCTGCATTGTTAGGAAAATCTTTGAAAATTTGCAATTTAAAAGTTTATGGAAATTAATGTTGTTAATCATTTATCATGTCTGTCTTGAAATGAACTGATAAAGAATAAAACAAGTTCATTAAATCACTCAAAGATGAACTACTGGTTGTTACCACAAAAGATGTTGAAATTATTTTTTTTTTGTATTTTAAAATATTAAAAAAGAAAAATCACAAAGGTCTAGATATAAGAACTATTTCACGTATGACATAGCCCACATGAATCCTTTCTGTTTCTTCTCATATCTGTTTCACCAGCTGTCATATGTTTTATTTAGTTAGACATCTACAGCCATTACAGCCTGTATGGTCAACCTGTTTTTGCAGTTGATTTTTTGGTGAGCTTCCTTTAAAAGTTTTTAACGTGTGGTGCACCTTCACCTTGTTTTTGCCTCACTCCTTCTCCCCCACCTCCACCGCTTTATCACTGTTCTTCAGATGAGTGTAGAAGTATTCTTATATAAAGTGATCGTTGCACCAATGTTAAAACAGAAAACAGAGAAGAGATAAAGGAGACTAATGACACATGGCGCTTTCATCTACAAGGCCAGCGCACCATGTCGTCATATTGTGATTACCCTGTGCTATTGTAAATATGTGTTTCTGTTGGGTTTACATAAATTTACATATGTTTTAAAATTCTCCTGGGATGAGAAACCATTACCAACAATGTTAGTGTATTCCATTACAACCTTGCACATTTGCGCTGTTGTCTCATTGAATAGAAATGGCCATGTGCGTGCGGTTGAGGAAGGAGGGCACATTAGGCAAGGAGGGGAGCTGGAATTGAGAGGTTGTTCTTAGCATTATCTGTGGCACATAGAGAGCGAGAGTGTGGGTCTCGCTGTGCCACTCAGTCAGGGAGCATTAAGCTTTAAGAGGCAGTGAAGGGACTCAGGTCTTCAGAAGGAGCTTGACATTGTTCATAAATCCCTCAGGATCTAAAACAGAAGCAATGACGAATACACGTACAAAGAGAGCCTTTAAATTTGTCAATTAGATGCATTTACCAATTATGGATTGGCAGTTTTATTTATGATGCAGATTATAATTAATTTAAACATTTGTGTACTAACACAGATGATCAAAGCAGTTGTGCCAAAGGGGGGGCAGTTTTTTAATTCGAGAACAATGGTAAAAATCCAGACCCAGAGTGTTTTTGTTTCATCCCTACATTAGCTTATTGAATACACTCATGTTAATATTTGTGCATAATGTGTCAAACTGAGAAGATGTAAGACTTTGCTTAGAAGGCCAGTTTTCTTCCAGTAATTTAAACTAACACAACAGATTACTTTAACAATGTCTGCAGGATTCAAGAAAAAAAATATATACATATAAGAAGACAAAATATCATTTTATAGATCCTAAAAATATATATATACAGTATATATCTTTTTATGGGCGCAGTTAACCACTACATTCACCATCATTTTTTCCCCTTTGAAAATGTCAGTATTTCATTAGATTTTGCTATGACAACTTTTTTCATTAACCCCTCAACGTAATATCTGTGCAACTTGATTTTTATTTGAAATTTTGGGGGAGGAAAACCACGTGTGAAAACAGATTAGTTCCACTTGCCAAAAAATATTTATTTTTGTTCCTCAAATGCCTTAAAACAAAAAAAGAAATTTGACTTAAGATAATGAGATGGTCTTTGTATCTTAATGCTCAAAGGGCTTAATAAGGGCTTTTACTGCGTTGTCAATTGGCAGGGTAAGACGTCTAAAATGGACAAATTAATTTTACTTTTTAAGATAAATAAATGAATGAATATATTACATTTTACATTAAATTTCATGTGTTATTCATCATTAGGTTTGGGGGATTTATGGTGTATTTATTTTAACTTGACTGAAAAAGTCTGGGAGCTCTTGGTGTTGGAAAAGTATAAATGGATGTATTTGTGCAGAAATATGAGGAATATATTTATGTTTCAAAGCCATTAAATTGTCTGCAGCGATGGCAACTATCAGCAAAAACAGCAAGCTTCAACATTTGAACTACTCTCAAAGATTTTCTGTTTGCTTAGCCACATCAAACTCCTCATAACTCGTGAAAATACCTACATAAAGTCTCATGGGAGTGCAACCGATAACTCTTGATCTCTGTAAACACTGACCGATGTTGGTGATGTTAATAACGGATTGGATACCCATCATTATAATAAGTGTATTGAGAAATATCTCTATCTGTCATCCTGTAGTCATGATGCAGTTCTTTATAAAAACTCTGAATCAAACTTTTCAATGTTAAAAAGTGAGATTGCAATAAAAGAGTTTGAGAAGTTTGATGTAGAGGGCTTCTGGACAAAGCTCAGCCTGTTGTAATCAAACTGCTGAACCATCCAACAGCCCCGATGAGCCAAGGTGCTCTTCTCATGTAACGTCTCATTGATAAGAGCAGCAAACACCTCATTTTCAGGAACCTTAGGCTATAAGATCAGGTACTTTAAAAGCCATCCAGACACATTCAGACTCTGCCTGTGTGCCAGCAAATAAAACACCTTGATATCGCCCCAACTAAACTAGGATGATTCTGTCTTAATGTCCCATTTCAGGGACCAAGGAGCCCATAGTCTTTATGGCTCCACAGTATTGCAGGTAATAATGTTTGACACAGCAGGGCGTCTGCCTTTCAGATGATCAAAGTGACAAGTTCAGCCTGCAACTACAGCCACTTACAGGAGACATCAAGAAGCAGCAAGATTGGCAGCTTTTAGTGCTTTGGTCCATTTCATCAGCTGTTACTACCAGCAGAGGCGACGTGCTGTGGAGGACGTGAGGGAGGAGGGGAAGGCAGATTAACAGACAGCTGATACAGGTGTATAGGCGGTATCAAACAGCAGCTCTGTCAATACAGCAGGCTCCAAAATTCCTCAAAAAGGGGCTGGGATCCCTGAAGTATGCCTACCGATTTCACTATGACAGGATTAACTGGGAGCTCCGTATGATTTTCTCAGATTCTGTGACTCAACAATTCAGTGATCCACGTTCTATCGGCTTTAAGGGCCCCTATCCCAAGTTTCAAAAGCTTACCCTTCGGACAAGGGACATTCTTTCTCCTGTGAAGCGCCACTTCCCCTTTTCTGCTGCTTTCGGTTGTTCATCAACCCCCGCATCCTCGCCAGCTCTCCCATCCTCCTTTCTCTGCACATCTGCTTGGTTTGAGTTTTCCTTTCTTCCCTCCAGCGCCTTGCTTGGCCCAAGGCCCTTATAGCCAAATTGGTTTACATTGGAGAGATAAATGCTCTGCAAATGCGCTTAAACACGTACAGTAAAAAATGCAGACAGTGCGTGTCAGGATTATCACCCAAGTCAGGGGGAGAAAGGAGAGCGTCTCTGTTGCACAAAGCTGGGGAGCCGGAGTGAAGCCTGCAGATATAGTCCGTCTCATCCACTTCTCAGGAGAAAGAGAGGAGGATTTAGCATTTGCATGCTAGTCTGTAATTCCTGGTATTATATAACTTGTCGCCAACAATCAAACTCCTGTATTGTGAAAGTATTGTTTCACTTGGGTGAGCAAAGTGTGAAGTTAAACTCTCAGGGGAAGGGGGTTTAGTGGCAGCATGGAGACAGCTGGTCCAAGAAGCATGGCAGAGACCACCCTATAAGCCAGTGCATAAGAACAATTCTGCAACCCAACCTCAAGTCCAATACAGGGTGGATCTCAAAATCCCCTCAAAATATTCAGCTTAGAGCTCACCTGACTACAGTGACTGACATGCTGAAAGAGGCTGATCATAAGTGCTACAGCTATGGGAGGAGAGTACACCTCTGTATAACTATGCAGCCTCATATTAGGTCTGCTTCACCGTACAGATAATGACTAAAATATCGGAGAATATTGTGTGTATAGAGGAAGGAAATCATCGTTTTTACCTGATAAATCATTCAAAGTACGATCATGTGTGATGGAAGTCTGAGGGCTCTGCAAATCAATTATTTGTTTTATCAGAGGGCCATTACTTGCTCAGTCAGTCTCTTCTTGCTCAAAACTTTGCTAAAGAACTTTGGATTTATGGAGATTTTGTCACACCCTGTTGTACATGCACACAAAGTTTTGTTTTTAATTATTAAATGATCCCTCCCTGCTTTTTTATATCTCAAACTTATCCCCTACTGCAAATCTTTGCTGTGAAAAATGTAAATAATGAAAAGACTTAAAGCAGCATGCTGTCAATCTCCACCTCTGATACTTTTGCTACGTTTCAATTACCTCGGAAGTCGGGTGTCGGTGATAGGAATGACGTTACACCCGAGTTGACGGCGTTCCAGTTAACAAGTCGGAAAACCAAGATGGACGCCTACAGTTAGCCATTGTTAGCTGTTGTTTACAGTTGTCAGTTGTTGTTAGCGGTTGTCAGCCGTTGTTAGCCGTTGTCATCTGTTGTTAGTTGTTGTTAGCTATACCTGTTGTACGACAAATACCACTTATTTAATTTCACAAAAACAAAACGAAATTGCTAACAAATAATACATTACGAGAGCTTTAACTGCTACCTTTTACTGTTGCCGCACTGTGCTGCCATCTTGGATTATGACATTGCTGTCAAGTCGGGGTTGGCAAAGATTGTCTGAATTTCCAAGTTGGAAATCGGACTTCAGGGGGGCGTTCCAGATGAATTTCTGACTCGGTGATTGGAAATTCCAACTTCTGAGTGCAACTGGAACGTAGCATGACCCCATGGCTGTGGTTTCAGGCATTTAATAACTGCAATGTAGAAGTAATCAGTAATCATGATCTTGTTTGTTTTTGTAGATCATATAGAGGTGTCAGTATTTATTCCGGTCAGTTATAAAACTATCATAATATTCCTTATGGGGGCTTTAGGATCAGAGTGTTTTTCCACATCCTGTGCATTGAACATACAAGACTGGACATGTGTTATGTTCTCATAAGAAATAGAAAATAAACAAACAAACACAAGGAAATAGATATTAGTTTTGACCAGAAATTTCATTTTTGTTGCTGAGTGAATGATGCAGCTGACCATTTTGACTGGAGTGATCCCGCTGCAGCTGTGTTTGTCATTGACGGTGTTCTCTTTAATTTGAGACCACATTGTTAGTCTATGACACAAGAACAGAATGAACGCGCTTTAGCTGCGTATAACAAGACTTGTTAACAAGATCAATTGGTTATGGGGTTTTTGAAGGGTCTTTTTATGAGATATGCTAACAATAAAATGAGTGAGGTGATCAGGAATAATCCTTGATTTGAATAAAAAGGAGACAAGTTGTACATTCAAATTAGGCTTCAAACACTGAGATGTTCCCTTGGTATTGAAAAGTTGTGGTGTTTCCTGATAATAAAGGAAGTGGTTTTCTTCTTCCCATCCCCACCTTTTATCAAGTTTCCCTGAAAGACACCAAACTTACCAAACTGCTGTCCATGTCCGTCGGCATGAGTATAAAAAAACCTCTCCACATGCTCTGCCATGGGGATTTGGTTGTAAAACTTCCAAGAGAGACCACAGTCACCCCCTCCCCTTGGAAAAGCCCCCTTTTCCTCGTCCCCAAAACCTACTCCTCCTTCCAAATCAATGCTGTCCCCTTTAGACCTCCCAACACAAAGCCCTCCGTGCAAACCCAGCACAGAAATCATAGCACACCATTCAATCATTGTTTTTTCCCCTCTCTCACCCCTTTTATGGTCCCACTAAAGGTTTTAGCCGGGCAGAGAAGGAGGGCTGTCACTGAGGAAACCTTAGCCCATTGATGAAGTGACAGGCGCTGCCAGAATATGATCCTAATCCTGTTTCCAGCATTCTTTTAGCCCGCTGGCATCGCAATTCCTCCACACATTCTCTGAGCTGTCAACTAGGAAAATCCCTCTAATAGCGCATTGCCCAGATACACATCAAAGAGCTCCTGGAAACCTTCAGCGGCTTAGCTGCCATTGACACACTCACACACTCTCTCTCTCTCTCTCTCTCTCTCTCTCTCTCACACACACACACACACACACAGGTTTCCCATTGACTTAGACCCGTATGATTTTTAAGAGCACACAAAACACAAACAAATTGACCATATGGATCCAAAGGTGTCGGCCTGAAGATAACCCGAGGCTGAAAGAAAGAATTTCCCTCAAAATAATTTTCATGTACTGTAACCTGACCTGTCCTCTACCAGCGCGCCCTCTTATCTCCCTTTCTCCTGTTTAGCAGTGATATAATCTATAATCTTGATGGGCAGTGAGCAAGAAAGTGGGGAAAGACCTTGGAAAAACAGGTGTCTGAACTTTGCTGACTCCAGGAACCCTTTCAGTCCCACTTTATCTCATTCTATTCTTACTTAATCCATCAATATCCCAACCAAAGGTAATCTTCTTATGGCAAAGCATTCTGTTTCGGTGCAACCAAACCTCGGCTGACAGGGTGGGGGAAGAGGGGAGTGAAGGGTAGGTGGGTGGGATGTGGATTGGGGACTCTTTAGAGCCTGACACTGTGCTTCAGTCATTTCATTTAGGATTAGTTATTCCGCAAACAGGGTGAACAAGTGGCAGGTTCCCCCTGTATGTGATGTGTAAACTTCACCATCGGTGATGATAGACCTCCTGTGTCTGAATTATGAACGGTTCATCAAGGCGTCTTCAGGGGAACATATCAACCAAACCTCAATTTGGACTAAAAAAGTTTGGAGTTGATATGCGTGGAAATCAAAACTGTTTGGCAAATTATAGTTTTCTGTCAGTCTCTCTCGCTCAGCAGCGTTGACTAATCCCTCTCCTGTTGCTAACCTCATCTGACTTTGGAGACTCAGTTTGGGGCGTTCATTTGCCTTTTTGTTTGCGATCTGGTGACAACAACGAAAAAGGAAGTCTTGATGACATTTGTGCCACGTCCCTTGTCCATTTAACTCCAAATAAAAAAAAAACAGTTTTATGATGTAAAAATTCACCTCTTTCACCCTCCTTTCAATTTCTGAGTCATTTCCTTTTTTGAAATAGTCACATAAGACATCAGTTCAAGCACATATTTTAACCGACCACACTGAGAACATAAGTCATTCTTATGTTTGATTTATTCTCTTGCATTGAACAGATAAATTACTTACATCTTAAACAATTGAGAAATACATGTCTTTAATCTACAGCGACATAATACATAGAGAATGGGCCTGTGCGTCTTTCTGCCAAACGCCGTTGGCTCGGAAAAAGTGACAACTCTGCTGAGTTCAATCCAACACCCGAGTGAGTAAAATCAAACTGGGTTCATGTTAAGTCACCGTGCCTCCCCATATTTCTCCTGAGGTCCCTCACTGAATCCAAAAAAATAAACCAGATGCTTCCTTTGAAATTCTTCACACAAAAGGAGACATGGAGTTACTCTGTAGCCAGACAGGTGGAGGCAAACACTGACAGATATTTACAACGCTGAAAGGATTGTTAAATGCTGAGCTTAGTGCTGTTACTTTAAACAAGGAGAGTAAAAATACATTTGGCCTGGGATTAAATTGAGTCATCAGAGTCTTTCTGATATAAGACCTTCATTCTGGGGTTCGCGGCTGTAAGCCATGCTGCAGAGGGGTGCGTGCATGCATAGTTCACATTTAGGGGTTTAATATAGAATATTTTTATATCCTCTACCTGTCCTGGAATGACGCTGAAAGCTCAGCAGTTCAAGACCTCCTGTCTGGACTCAAGCTGACGCCAAAATAAGAATCATTACAATTGCTTAATGCTGCCAGAGGAGTCGAGGACAAAGATACTTTGATCTGCTGGCCGGAAAGTCACAAAGGTTCAGTCACAACTGCAGTCAAGTTGGAGTTTTTGGTCAAGACTTTGAGGCCTGGTTCTTGACTTTATGTCCATCAAGTAGATGTTCTCAGTGATTTGGTTGCTTGGCGTGGTTGAGCTGCATGCCGTTTCGATGACAAGAAGGAAGAGTGTATTAAAAACCCAAGGACCAAAACTGAAAGACTATGCCTAAGAATTAAACATTTTCTCCAACTTAGTGTGTGCCATAACAAAAACAAACAAACAAACAAAAAAATGGGTGTTGTGATGCTTTGGTTTTGAACTTGAGTTCATTTTAAATATGAGAAACAACAAAGCATTTAATTTGTAGTTTGGACACTTTTTGCAGTTACTCAGATTTATTGTCTTGGTTGTTTTTGGAGTGTTTTGGTTTGGTGGTAGTGAGAGGTCAGGAAGAAGCTGAAGTGGTACCAAGAGTTGTCCCATGTCGAAAGCGCCCATACATCAAAAGGTCAGCCCTGACTGGAGGGTGAACATTTACATTTACACCGAGCAGTCCAAGCTTTAGTTGGGAAGTGTGTCTAATCCCAGTGAGGCTGCGTGCTGCTTAGCCCTCAGACGGAGGTTCTCGATGCTGGTGGTCTTGCTGTTGAGGCTTCCGGGGAGGCTGCTTGGCGCCGGCTGCAGCAGCGGGCTGTTCCACACCTGCTGGGCCTGCGACAAGGTCTGGTAGTAAGACTGGCAGGGCAGTGAGCCCAGCGGGGAGGGCATGTTGACGTTCATACCTAGGTAGGGCAGAGAGGACGGTGTGCTCATGTCAAAGGACGGGTAGTGGACCAGGTTGTTGGTGGCCGCCATGTGCTGCCGGAACTGCTCCTGCAGGCGGAAGAGACTGAGAGGAGACGAGGCGTAGGAGTTGCTCTGCGCCAATCCGGTGGTCGCACTGCTGGAGGAGGGCAAAGTTGGGGAGCTGAGGGGAGAGTCTGAGGGACAGGAAGAGGCAGAGGATGTTAGTTTGGGGGAAAATTGTGAGCTTTAGTTTAGTAATAGATTCCTGCAGTTAAATAATGAAAGACGTGATTGTGAGATTTGTACCTGACGTGGGGCTCAGTCGTTTGCAGGATGGAGAGCTGCTCCCTGGCTGCACTCCCCCTTCTCCCTGCGTCTCCTCCCTGATCTTCCCCCTCGTCTCCCCTCTCATTTCGTCCTCTTCTCTGTCAGCGTTATCTTCTGCTGCTGACTCGCTGTCGGATGGCTCAGGGGAGGTGACGTTGACTTCCACACTTATTTCTCCAGGCTGCGGCCGGGCGGCTGCCAGCCTCTCTGTCTCTGAGTGACAGGAGGAAGAGGAGGAGGGAGGGGGAGGAGTGCGGGCTTCGGGAACCAAGGTGGTGCTGTTGGAGCTGAGGTCAGTCTTTGAATCGTCTGTGGAGCCCTCTGCAGGTCCAGATGCTTCCTTCTGTTTCTGGAGCTGCTCCTTCTGCAAGCTGCGCTGCTTCTTACGAAACTTTGCACGACGGTTCTTGAACCAGACCTAGATAACAGATGACAGATAAATAGACGGATCAGAGCATTAGTCAAAGACCAGCAGTAACTTCTTCAACTCTTAGTAGGGGAGAGTGGGGTAAGATGAGCCATTTTTCATATTTTGGATCACTACATCAAAGAAATCCTAGTTTTGTCTCTTACAAGTGTATCTGCAGATATTTCAAGATGTTTTGCATCCTTGAAAACCAACAGAATGAGTGTAAACATAACTGTCTTGATAACATAGTATGCCAAAAAAAGTGGTCTCCTATGGTCAACTTACCCTGAGTATGGGGTAAGTTGACCGTAGGAGCGGGGTAAGTAAGTTACTACCCCCCCGACTCTCCACCCCAGCCCTCCCTCACCTTCTCTCTCCATAAATAACAGTCACTTCTTCACATTCATATGTATTTTTTATCTATGATACACTATTCAACTGGTACAATAATTCTTTTCATTATTATTGCAAATAACTGCTAAAAAGCTGTTTTGTAAAAAAAACATTTTAACATGAGAATGTCTCGAAGTGATTCAAAACATTCACAGCTGTATTTTAGAAAAGCAAAAGTAACACATTTCAACAAACTGAACTGAAACTTTGATCCTCTTATCAGACTTCTTTACTTGACTGTGGCTTTATTAGTCATCTAAGCTAAAATGATGGACTTTTATGTTTTTGACCTCATGTTGTAGCTCATAGATACCACAACTGATGTATAAAACAAATTTAAAATGATCTTTTTTGGTCTGAACACAATTCTAATAAAACTTACGACAGACTAAATTCACTTTCAAGAGTGAAAAAATGTTTTTTGGAAATAAATGTCTAACCCCTTCACCCATGTGCTTCTAACCTTCACAGACTCCATGAATTGATGCCCATCTCCTAAATATTTGGTCACATGATCAATTTCTTTTACCATTACCAAGCAACAGGGGGTGGCTCAACTTACCCCACTCTCCCCTCCCTGCTTTGTCAAAACATTTTTCTGCACCTTGTTGCATCATTTTAAAAGAAAAAATCACTAAAACCCCCAGTTTCAACTTTAACTGTATAAACAATCAGCTGGTGAAAAAAAAAAGACGTGCAACATAAAATGAATCCAGTGAGTGGGTTTTCACCTGAACTCGTGCCTCAGGCAGGTTGGTGCACATGGCCAGACGCTCACGCATAACCACATCAGGGTAGTGGGTCTTCTGGAAAGTTTTCTCCAGGGCCTCCAGCTGTTGGGCGGTGAAGGCTGTCCGACTACGCCGCTGCTTTCGGTGCTGGGAGCCATAGCGGGCCTCAAGGATGATATCTTGAAACGTACAGCCGTTGAGGAACAAGAAAACACGCCCAGTTTAATTGAAGGACAGCGAAGGTCACCCCTGAGGTCACTTTTACGATTTCAAAACATTTGAAGGTTTTTGAAAGTGTATTGAACACGACACAACAAAATGGGCTACTGGTTCTTACCAGCCAATCTCTCTGCTAAAGTGAGGGCATGCACTGAAGGCCTGTAGTCCGGCGCGTGCTGGGCCTGTTGCGCCGCCTGCTGGTGAAGGTTGTACATGGCGCTCAGTGAGTTCATGGCGTGGAGCGAGTAGCCGTTCACTCCGTAGTGCTGCATGACTGAAGAGCTGTGTAAGCAAAGGGGAACATGTAGTGAAATAAACACAGCAGATATGAACTGTCTGAACATAATACGTGTTTTTAATTTAATTTTTTATTTACTTTTATTTCTATCGCTGTTGTCATATTATAATAAGAAATCGTGTTCTTTTTTTATGACAACAGGTAAGGCAAAAACAGACACTCATAGGACTATAATAATATTCTTCCTATGTAAAGGACAACTGACCCCATAGGCCTTATTAAGACATTTAAAACAGACTAATAATGAGGACATGTTGTTACATCCAGTTAGGCCTACAACTCATTTAAAAATCACTAAGTGTTTTCTCACTGCAGTGTTCAAACTGTTGATAAAAATCTTAATTTGCAACGATAACTTTTATTATTAAATTCATATCTTAAGGTTAAAAAAAGGGTCAAGAAATATTCTGCGCAATATCGAAAATGTAAGCCAACTTCTATTGTAAAATGATGATGATGAAATGAGATATGTGGGGGAAAATAATTATTACACTCTAACAAAAATAATAATTTGCTAGGCCACTTTTTTACTTTATAAAATTGAAAATGTATTTTTGAGACCGAATATTATTTATTATTTTGTAGATGCCAGTTTACTTTTTTTGTTTCATTATTATGCTGCCTTTTATTTTATTATGAAATCATTAACCTTAAAGCCCACTCTATATTTGTTTTTTGTTTTTATTTTTTCTATTTATAGGCCTTGGTGTGTATTTCGAGAATAATCGGTATTTGTGAAAGCTGTTATTATTTTTGTCGTATTTAGTAAAGCATAGGTAGGCTACTTATCAATTCTAATTTTGGCAGGTGGGCTTCAAAAGACTTTGTAATCTTCCTAAAATAAAACAGAATTTTAATAAGGGTTTTTTTTTTTCTTACAGTCTAATTTTCTTCAATGACAGCTCGGTTCCCTGGTGATAATTTTCAGACATATATTGAGCTCCCCGGGATACATGAGTTAGATATTCTCATGATGATTTTGAAAAGCCAAATTTTTACAAACTAGGCCTGTGTCAAACCTCGGCAGCTTTATTTGTCCGCCTCAAACTCGGACTCTGGCGTGGACCGTTTATTTCAATCTGTGGAGGGTCCCTATAGGTCACTGTCTGACGCCTGGGGGCTCGCGGAAATGTGACAGGTCGTCGGTGAAATGTGCACGTGGGATCCCCAACGGGCTCCTGTCTAATGTGGGTGCAAATAGGTTACAACTATACAAGGCAATTAATTTATCATCAGGCCTGACACCGTGAGTGTGCGTGTTCCTGTTCAAAACGTGTGACTGATGCTATAATTTATTTAGCCAGTGACCAGCTTTACTGCATTATTATTATTATTTCACTGACTCTGCCTCTGGCTGCATTTGTGTAATCTGTTCGATGTTTCTTTAAAGAAGTGCTGCTTAAATCCTGAACATATCTCTGTTCATTCAGCCTCAGGCTCTGCTTTAAACCTCATTATGTTGATTACCGTGAATTTACGAGTTACAGCCTTTACTGTAGACTGAAGGACACAGCTCACATGCGTTTGATAGAGTTTCAAAAACTTTAAGAATATTTAAGGATAAATAAAAATGATGTTTGGTAATGTTTAAAGCCAGCGAAGTTCCTTTACCAAAATGATCTGTTTGTTACAAATTAACAGCCAGATTGATTATAAAGTTTTTTTTCAATGTTTTTAAAAAAAACTCTATTAAGGTCGACAGGACACTTTTAACCGAGTAGTCGACTAAACGACAATCGCCTTGCTGACTGTTTTTTAGTTTAGGACCGCTGCTCGACAGATTTCGCTTTAAAACCAGGACTCATGATGACAACAAAACTCAACACAAACATTTTTAAAATAGACATGCAACACGTTTTTTTTTTTTTTTTAATTTACGTTTTTGAAGCCGAATAACCGATTTAGAAAAGTAGAGATTCCAAATGGTCCAATTTACAGAGTCCTGGCTAAACTTACCTCTCTTCTATCAGAAGCGAAAAATCCCCAAAAGCGCTCGAATATTTTCCTCTTAGATCGTCTTCTCCAAAGTTTTCACACGTTTGTCCATTTTTCATTTCATGATTTTAACTGAATTTATTCTTTAAATCCTGATATGGTCCCGGCGTGCTCTGCTCCGTCCTCTCTCTCTGTCTCTCTTTCTCTCTCTGTGTCCGTGGATGTGGATGTGGGAGGATGCTGAGCTGCCATCTCTCGGCCTTTAAAGCTCTGCGGGTGGGGTCACCGGGCCGCTCACACGCTCCTTCTCTGTGCCAATCACGTCGCTTGGCTTCCTCCACCCTCCTTCTCCACATTACTCTGCACCTCAGACAGGACTCTTCAGGTCCGAGGAGCCGACTTGACTTAATAGTCCACATCTATTTAAACCTATTCTTTACATTGTAACATATCACTGCAGTCAGACATGAAATTCTTGTTATCATGAAAGTAATGTGCATGAAGATGGTGTTGATTTTATTTTGAAGGATCATGTTGTCAAAATAAGAAAAGCTTTATTCTCAGCATAACAGGGTGAAATTTTTGCTCAAAGTGCGTAATTTAAAAGAAACTGATAGTTATTTTAAATGAGTTTGCATTTTAAAAAGAAGCTTACAAATGTTTTATTCATTTTTTCCCACTTGATACCTCTTGGAAAAATATACATACTTTCATTTTTTTAAGCCATTCATTAAAAATGTCATTCCACTTCACATGTTCAAAGTTTTATTTATCCAAAAATGAAAAAATAACATAAAACAAAACAAGAAATTATTTAAAATCTGAAGAGAATAAGCAGATAATCAGTGAAAAACCAAAAACTCCAAAGCATTCTATGAAGTCCATCTTTTAAAAATGCTTCCAAAAGGGTTTTAAAAAGTGTAATTAAATGATATGCAATCGGTAAGTGCTGGCCTTTTGCAGTGCCTTGTGCTCAGTGACTTTCAGGTTAATACCACGCTTTAATTTTATTTTTCTCCTGCCTCGGTGTGACTGCATGTTTTGGTGGGAATGCAGCTGAGATGGAGAGATGCAGGCTGGGCTCCACTCCTGTCTCCAGCAGCTCCCCGGCCCCAAGGGATTTAGGTTAGGATTGGGTAGACAAGACGCCATTTCACCCTCCAAAAAAATGTCTTAAAATGACTGCTGGTAAGAGGATTAAAACAATAATGCCCCTCTCTTCTTCGAGGTTTTTAGAAAAGATTTCTTCTCCCGGAGAAAAACCGTTTAGGCTGGAATTAAGGGCAGCGAAAAGTAGCCTTCTAATGTAAAGCTTGCATATTTTGTTGAATTTTCTCAGAGAGAATGAGAGGAGAAAGGGAAGGTGGGGTGAGGGGGTTAAAATCCTAAACTCAGTTTGATCTTTGGCCACATTCATCCGCAAGAATTTTAGACTCCTGTCATGAGCCAATGCACTACAAGAAAATGTGGCTCTCATATTTGTTTATATGTTCACTAAAACTTTACTCTCTTGTTTGCAATCATCGCCCTCACTTTTCTCTAAACTGATAAGAAACCCCACATATGAAAAGCAACACAATTAAATAAAGAGTCCAAGCAACAAGTGGTTATCAGTGAAAAAAAAAAGATTAAAATCCAAATATGTTTGTTCTTTGATTCAGACTGTGTGTATTTCTGGTTTTGACAGTGATGCTTCAGAGCATTTGGGCACAGAGGAGCAAAGAAGAAAAAAGAGAAAAAAATGGGATTAACTTGTGAACCGATGGAAATAAGAACTTAAACTGGAGGTAAATCTGGCCAGTGTCTCTTTGTGGGAACCGTTTCTAAAGCAATTAAAGCGAGAAGGAATTCCTCTCAGCCGCTCTCCCTCAAATCAGCTTTTTTACGGACTTTAATGCGGGCTGATGTCCAGCACGGCTGAGGGCTTTAATGCAAGTGTCAGAGGGCCTGCTATTAGAGCGATATTAGGCCAGTAGAGCAACAACCTGTCCAGACCATGCAGCAGACCCACACTCACTCAGTTTACACACCGCTGCAGGACAGTTTTACTCAGACACAAAACTCAGTGAAGTCTTTAACGTTTCATCTAATAACAGGTTCAAGTATTTAGGCATACATTTACCATTTAACACAAGTGTTTTGACTTATTATATAGCAGATGGAGTTCCTGAGTTGTGATCTTCTCTTCATAAACTCCTGACTGACTTCAGAGGTATGAAAAGTAACATAAAATGACAATCATGATTCAAAAAGTGTTTCGGTTTTTAGACCTAGAAAATAAAGGAAGGGAAAGGAGAGCTGAAGTTGAAATTGAGTCCAGGAGAGAGGCTGACTGAACCCTAATCGACCTCTTTTAGTTTTGAGGATTTTCACCAGATTTTGCTCTCTCTCAGACATGGAACACCTTATAAAAATATCTATCAAAAATGGTTATGTTTGCAAATGTTACAAAGAGGACTAAAATAATCAGTGCAATGCTCTAAACTGGGAACAAGGCAGACATCTTTTTTTGTGGGAATGCAAACTATAGTAATAACAGTTAATAAAGGATAGGCTTTTATAAGCAGTCTGCTTCTGCCTATGCCTTTTCAGTCAATATTCAACACATGATTCTTGATTTAGTGATTTTGTGTGAAATGTCAATATTGTGTATAATATTTGGTGTTGTCATGACTGAATAAACTACTACTACTACTACTACTACTCATATCCTTTAAAAATAACAACTTTGATGCTGGTGAAGTGTCAAAGATATTTCAACTTTCTCACCGTTTTATTTTGCAGAACAGTTCCTGTGATTTTGAGGCTTAATCATCATTCAGTATGCTGGCTGTAGTTTACTTTTCTGTTTATTTACCATCTCCTCGGCGCCTCTCATCCTGATCACCTTCAGGATCTCAGCACTGCTCGCTCCAGGCTAACTTCCTAAACCCCAAATTCATCACAGATTTCTGTGGATTTCATTGCGGCACTCATTGTTCTCTGCACTTGGGCTTTATCATGTTAAAGCCCCCTGTCAGATCTGAGTTATCGTCTTTGCTCTCAATCATCCTCTCGCCTGCTTTCTGAATATCAAAACTTTATCCCTGCATCAGGACTTTGGCTGCCTGAATCAAAGCTCAGCCGAGGGAAGCTGCAGCGATTTATAAATCATGTTCAGTTTTTAATCAGGTTTATAACGCATGAGCGTTTGTAATTTTACCCCTCAAATGGCTCCCTATATTTCCAAGTGGTGCTTTACATCAAATCGAGGAGAAAGTTGATGCCTTCAGCCTTCAGAGCCCATTAAGTTTTATCATTAGGTTTTCTTTAACTTCATGAATATATTAGTTTTCAATCCAGCTGCTCCGGCCTGCACACGCTCTTAGTCAAGGTTAGCTTGTGCTCATTTGGGTGAAATTAATCATTTTGATGTATGGTTGAGAATTGACTGCTTCCTTGGGACTTGTGTGACTGGAGTAACAAAGAAACTTGCCATTAGAAATCCTCAAGCCGCGTATAAGCGGGGCATTTAAATGGACATATCTCAGGCTTCAGATTCCTTTACCTTCTTTGGTCTCTATCTGTCAAGAACAGGCTGAAAGTAAAGGCCTCATGGCTCCTAAAAGAGTCTACACAACCATATATCATATTTATTTGACCACATTTTCCATTTTAAAGCTCCTGTTAGAAGTGTTTAGCTAGTTGTGGACTGGTTATTTCTGATTAGTTATATTAAGTGCCAAGAAACACTGCTGGGGTGTGTGTGTCAAAAGAGGCGATTATTAACATTTCACAACTAAATCAGGCTTTTAAGAAAATTCCTAACTAAACATTCTTTGTGAGTTTCAAATTAGGGTGATATTTGTTAGAAAACCCAATGTACATGTATAAAAAAGAACCAGCAAAAGTAAAAAGTTGCACTAAAAGATTCGCACAGAAGTGGTGAAATCACCAAATTTTCAACTTTAGCAATAACATGATGTCTTTGTAAAACTAATGAAGGCTGTTATGTTTCCTGCTTTGAGATTACTAACGCTGAGATATGGAGTTTTTGTTGCACAAATAACCAGCCTCAAGCTCAAGTTACACATTCAAATATATGTTACAATTTTTCCAAAAGACATACAGATATTTTTAATGACCGTCAATTACTGTTTTTTAATCAATTCTGCAGCAACCTGTAAAGATAAATTATGACATTGTCAACATAAAAGTTTTTCTTTGGACATATTTGCAAAAAATGGCCAATCTAGAAATGCAGACCTGATGTAACTTCAGTGATCATTCTGAGTTGTATTCCTGGATTAGACCTCAGTTTCTCAACCTGCATGGTCACTAACTTTGTCGGCATGCTGATTTCTTTCAATCAGCTGTCTTATAAAGTTGGTGTATCAGAGTTTTGTTTTAACTAAACAGTGACCTGCATCAAAAAACAACAATAAAAGTTAATCAAAAGTTTTTTTGTTTTTTTTCACTCCAATCGACCTCTTTCACACATAGTTTAAATCTTTGTCCTTTTGATAAATCCAGTGAGTTCATGTGTTTGCATGAACTGCCATTACTGTGGCAGCAACTCAGTGTCTGCTGCTGCCTGTGACCATGACCACTGTTTAGAAAGTGGGACCGAAAACCCTAGACACTTACTAATAAAGATACCTCAGTCAGTCAATCCTAACCCTGTGTAGACTTGACATAGTAGTGGTTACAGCAACAGCCTGATTACAGTCTGTGGAGCACTCTAACTCCGGTGCAAACAAAGGCCATACCAGAGCAGGTGAGTGATCACAACAACAGTGACTCAATATTTACCTGCTACAAGAATCTGTACAACTCTGGTTCCAGGGTAACATGCACATAATGGTTAGGGATAATTACAGTAATTACTTCAACTTTAATGGCTTACTCAATATAATGGGAGCAACAAGAGCCTCACAGGATCTTCCTAATGTGTTGAAAAAAAATTGTATGTGTATGCTATCACTTGTGTATTTTATCATTATATACATATGTGAATCCTCATCTACTGAAAATCACTTGGTGTGAATGCTTGCAGGGTTACATCTATTTATTTTTAACCCTAGAACACTATCACTAAAATTAGTAACACCATCACTATCACTGGGTGATTTTTACCCAAATTAATATACCCAAGAAAAAGTACTTGTCATCAAAATATATCAAAATAGGAAAACACATGACAAATTAAAGTAGTTTTCTTTTTTTTTTTTAACTGTGCAATGTCCAAAGGGAGGGGAAAAAGTGCCATTAAGGGACCATATAATAATGCAACAAGATAACTGAAATTAGGCATTCATGAACAAAAAAATCCTAAAAATTAAAAATTTTAGAAAATGTAAACTTAGTTTTTTTTCCCACTTATTCCTTGTGCATGTGAGTCTTCCCTGGTGAAGACTCAGGGTCCTTGGCACAATAACAGCTGCAGGAGAGAGAACCAAAATATGGCAGATTTTGAGTGACCAGCTGAATGACCAGTTGACTAAAATATTTCTTATCACCATATGAATTCCCTTGGAAATCACTACTTTGTGATAGTTATTCATAACCACTGCGCTAAATAAAGATAGCATGCAAATTTCAGGACCACTATTATTGACCTTATTCATCTACATGCAGCTATCAAATCCACCCAAACCTACTTACCCTCTATCACTATTGCCGGGTGAAAATCACCCGAACACGTGCCTGTAGGAAAAAACAGGTTCTGGATCAGGAAAACAAATATGCCTTCAAAGATGTCAAAGGCAATGCTGAAGCTACCCAGAGACCCATGATACTCGGACAAACACAACATAATGAAAATCACTTGAACATGTTTGGTCGGTGAAAATCACCCAGCAACAGTGTTCTAGGGTTAATGAACATGGGAAAGGAGAAGTGTGGTCTTGGAGTTAGGACTGATACTTTTCCGCTGACGCCATGCAACTAGATGAATGCTACAATTTCACTCACAGGTTGTTTTCCCAACAGTGTGACATGATAAGCAGGAACCTGATGACGAACTAAGCTGTCTTTGTCTTCCCAGTACAGCCCACAGCTGCAACCTGTACTCTATCTGGATAATGTTGTAATGTCGTGCCACTTGTGAGATGATGTTGAAGTTGAAGAAAAAGAAGACCACACTCTCTGTCGTTCTTCTCAGCTGGCTGCAAGTCAGATGCAGAATTATTTTTCTGACATGTGTCCTACATTGTTGTCCAAAGTAAAAGTTTGAAATAGTTCAACTCTTCTAACAGATGTAACTTTGCAATTGTCAGACAAATATTTGGATTAACAAAAATCTAAAGCAGCATTCTGCCAATTCACTGTTAAAAATGTTGGACTAATGATGCAAAAATCACGATTATTGCAATGAAACCATCATTTCATTTCTTTGAATAAACTTGAGGCCTACAATGTCCACAGTGCAACTGGACTGTTGACAGGGCTGTGACTCTGATGACGATTTGACAGACGTGATCTGAGGATATTTATCAGATTAAGAGGCTACAAAAGGCTTAACACAAATGGTGATTTTGATGGCTGATGGTTTTTTAAAGTTACTCCAAACTTTTCTTGAGATCAACCTTCAAAGAATCACTAACACTGCAGGAACAGCAAACTAGTAAATCTGACCACAAGTTGTTCACTTTCACTATTGTTGGTCCTTGTATGATCCTCTAGACACAGCTCACCATGCTGCAGCCAGGACCACTCCTCTGAACGGTCTCTCTGGCAGACTTGACATATCGAGGTTGGCAGGTTTGTTTCCTCCCTCTTTCTCAGAGCCGCTCTTTGGTTGTGCCCCTCAGGCTGCGGCCCAGCACAAGGGTTCCTATTGTCAGGGCCTAATCCAGGGGCTACACAGCTTTAGCAACATGGTGGGATAAAAGCCCATCAAACCACTACTTTATGGGGGCAAATCTTTCTTAATCCCTCGCTTTATCTAAACAAAAGGAAAGAAACAAGAGGATAGAAAGAAATTGTGCAGACACAGGGCAAGACTGGGAGCTAAGATGCAAAGAAGTAGTTTCACTGGAGAAGCTAACCATTTTTGACAGGCTTTCACTAAAGGATTGACAAAAAACGGACACCAGGATCCCCAAAAAGGGCCGTACAGGGTCTTTTTCTCTTTTCTAAAGTTAAGCTCTAAGATCTTTGGAAGGATATGTCGAAATTAGTGAGATTTAATTCAAAAACCTGAACTATTAAGAGGACTTGGCAGGGGGCACCTGTCAGTTTTGGGCTCTGTAAAAAAAAAAGCCTGAGTTTACTTGGATTTCGTAAACAAGAGAGGGCTGTGTGATCCTGAATCTATTCTTTACTCTTCTCTCAGACTGAAATTGAGCATGGGAATTACACTTTCTCACCTCACACAGCTCTAAGACAATCTTCTCCATCGCACCGACTGAGCGACACTGACCCCACATTTAATCTAAAGAAGGTCCGAGTCAGCAAGATGCTGTTTAATTCTTCAAAGACACTGAATGACAGCTACAAATTAGGCTTTCATTTTATCTCTGCATCTGAGTCCCTCTTAGTCGAAGTTCGACTGGGGCAGTACTGTTCAAAGTGAGCAAACCTTGTTACCCACAACTTCTCTGTATTTGTGTCTATGTGTGTCTATGTGTGTGTGTGTGTGTGTTGCAGTGACAGATCCCCTGACCCCATTTCATGTCTGCTGCCAATTCCAATTTCTATCTTTGCTCTGTGGCAACTCGCACTGAATCCCAAGAGCGGCATCTGCAAATGACTCCATGAGTTAGAGGCTCCATTTTCTGCCACAGCCCAAATGCACCACAAGAGGACCATTTGGAGCTGGGCGGTCACAAAGCCGAGCAGAGATTGAGAACAAGCCCGTTTGTTCTGGCTCTATATGTACATAAACCACCACAGCCAGGGGGGTTTCAGCGTCTTTCTTGCCCTCTCAGGTATACGAACAGAAACAAGATGACATACATAATAATAATTCACCACCTAATAAAAAGCTATGTAGCACACAGCATAGTTGTGGCATTTTAATTATAAGATCATCATTTTATTATCGGACTGAAGATATAACACAGACAGATTTAATTGGCATGTAAGTTTTATATTTGTCTGAGAGCACGCCCCCTGCTGGCCCAGGTTTATGCCTCCCGGATGGGGTAATTAAGAGATAATAGGCTGGGGATGCTCATAAGGGACTGAGTGATTAGTGATTCATTACATGAGCTTAGAATGAGCAAGAAGAGAGGAGGGAGGTGGTTGGGTTTTGGATGGGGGGGAATACTAGAACAGCCTGACAAATTGCCAGTGGATTTATCCTGGGTAATTAACTATCACCCTGGGAAAGGCTGGGATAGCGCCTACCAGCAACCTACCGTAGGGTCTCACAGTGATCAGGCATACATGAAGAAATCTTTTATATTGAGTGTTTGAAGTACTGTCGTGTGTGTTTGTGTGTTTTACTGCATCAACAATGTCTAGTAACATTTTGACAACAGCAAATTAGTTAATTGTGTGAAGCAAAAAGACTGAAATTAGTAAGCTGACACTGTCATTTGGGAGAAAATGGCGCCCACCATCTGCAAAGCTCACTTCTTTGCAGGTTGCATCTAATTTGTTTAAGTTGTTGGTTGATAACAGACCTGAGTCTCATGATGACATGGTTGCCTTTGCATTTGGATGAAGCTAGTTCATTTAGGTCCAGTGAGGAGATTTCTGCTTTGAAATTACTGCTGACAGTGATTCCCCTAGAATTTTTTTCAGCAGCACCGCTTCTGTGTCAGGGGGTGGGGGTCGGGGGTGGAGGGGTGTCACTGTTACCCTCACTCTCTTGACGCTCATGGAACTGCTCTGTTACAATCACGTTACATTACGTTACCCACGCTACTCGCTGTGCAGACTGTGTATAAGCTTGAACGTTATTCTTCGCATTAATGGAAGAGCGTCCAACGCGACTTTATGCGCTTGCTAAAGACTCAAATCAAGTCATAAATAACGTTGTGTGTTGTTGTGCTCACACAGTGTGAGTAGAAATCAAAGGTGGCGCATTGATATTAATGCTACTCGCTATATAGACCGCGTACAAGCTTGAACGTCACCTTTCACGTTGATGGAAGAGGGTCCGACAGGATTTAATGCACTCATTGATGACTCAAAACAAGCCGAAAATAACGTAGTGTGTTCTTGTGCCCACACAGTGTGAGAAGAAATCATTAGCGGCGCATTTATATTAGTGATCATGTGAAATTTCAGTAGTGGTGCAATGAATGTAGGGGAAACGGTGACTGATGTCTTATAATGGCTCATTAAAAGCTGCCCAAACAGCTACATTTCGCAGAGTGATCAGTCTGGAGTAAGAAGAAACAAAAGATATCACTTTGTCTACAGGAGGCACCAGAATTGGCACAGCCTGAAAGTTACTTACACAACCTTTAAAAGGCAAACAACACCCAAAACCCAAAAGTTTTTAACACGTTCTGTGTTGATGTTCTGTCTAGTACTTGATGAGGGATGAAAAAAAAAAAACATGGATCAATCTTCTCATCATGATTATTTACATTAGCTGTTGTGAATGCATCACAATTCTCAGCAGAGCACAAATGCAGAGCACATTAAATAGATTATGTAAGTTTTTCAATAATGCTGGCTGCAGTTAGTTAAACAGAATAAGCTGAAAACATCTCTAAGTTATGTTGTTGACTTTTATTATTTTTGTTAAGTGTTTAAGTGCCAACAAGATGGGACCTTTAAAAGCCAAATAACTTTGGAGGCCGTACTTTTGACTCTACTTCTGAGTTAAAGATTCACGTCTATGCAGTGTTGTGTTGTACTGGGAAATAGAGGTTTCATTAGAAACCCATGTGAGGTATTTTACTTAAATCAAGACAATGGTAAATCCAAGAAATGTGGCAATAAAAAGTGTCACATCAAACTAAGAAACTCTGCTATGTCCCCCTTTAATAATCTTTGCATGGCACTCATGAACGACTTCCATCCACTTTTTTGATTGTCATGATCCTATAAAGCAGCAAAGACTATATTTCCATCTTCATAGTCCTCCCAAAGCCTGACTCCCATCCAGGATTAATCCTCTCTGGTCCATATCAAGCTCAGAAAGCAGTGAACACTTACATGGAGAAGTTGATTTCCTCTGTCTGTTTTATCTGATTTGGAAGCACTTAGAAACAGCTCAAAGTCTTTTCTCGATTAAAAGGATGGGGGAAAAAAAGTCAGCCGGTGTGATAACCACTAGCTACCTCTCAACATCCAACATCTGGCTATTGTTGTTAAATCTGCTTTAAAGCATCTGTGGGTCATGTGGATTTGAACATTTAGAGAATTGAGGCTCATCTGTTGAGCTTAAGTCACTGTCAGGTTGCATTTTCTCCTTTTTAGTCCCTAATTAGAATAAAGACTGCCGAACTGAAGCCTTGTGACACTTTCTAAAGTGCTGTTCCTCTCCCTAGTGTCTTATACATAAAACACATATGTGGGTGTAAACATGAACAGCACAAACATGCTGAATAAACTAAAACGATTCCTGGTTACTGACAGTGAAATCCATTTATCCATTGACCTGCATTTCAGTAAGGTCACTGCTCACAGGACATACTAAGTCCAGCTCTTCTCCCATAAGCTCTATTATAAAAGTGTTTTGCACAAATGAGCATAAGGGTTTGATTTATTGTTGTTTCATAATCTGGGTTTATGCCTTGTTCTGCAAAAAGCCTTTCTAAGAAGGCTTTGGCTGGCTGTCAGGGCAGAGCCACATCCAGCATTAACCCACTGACTTACCACTGTCTGAAAGGTCAAAATGAAGTGATGTAGAGAGGAAGAAAAGTTTCACTGATGATGATTTGATTAACTTAAAAAAAAAGAACTTTCTTGCACCCCAAAATGAGAAAGTACACACATGTGAAAAAAAGTAGATTCATTGTATAAATCCAACCTAAACTTGCAAACTTGCAAACTAGCTACACGGTAGTCTGATTGGAGTCATAGACTGGGGATTGATTTTCTCTCTCATG